GATATGTATAGCCAGTCGCTGGCCGCCTGCCGGCCGGTATATACCACTAAACCAGTGAAGAGGCAAACCGGCCAGCCAAGGTTTTTCCTTCTCTTTTTGTTTTTAGTTCTTTTCCTCTCCCCTCCCCAGTAAGTCAAAAGAGTAAAGTCGTAAAGTCATTAGAAATTTTTCCCCCGTTCATCAAATATATTTGGTAGTTTCCCCCCAAATTCCAATAAAATCGGCGAGGTGTCCGTGTTTCGCCAGGGTATCATCGTAAGAATAGTCAGTCGAGCAGGCGGCTCGGGGCCGAGCGAAAATATGTGTTCTCGGTCCCGCGGGTCTGCGTCGACTTTTTCATGCCAGCATGACATGGTCTGTGCGGGAGAGAGCAAGCCACTCAAGGGGTGGTTGCGGAGTGGATAAATAAGAAGCCTCAGCTCTCCATATACGGTCCGGTAACGTCCTGTGCTGGGGTAGATTGAAAATAGGTGTAGTCTGTAGCAGTCACAAGCCAGGCTTCGTGCGCGGCTTCGAAGAAGGTCTTAGGGTCTTCGTCGCTCGAGGGAGAACTCTGATAGTAGCTCGGTAAAAGCTTTGACCCTGGTTAATGCAGAGGAGTATTGACCTCCTCAAGTATCGTCGTCCCTGTTCGACACTGTGTCGCCATGTCAGGGATCGTTGTTCTTGTCGTCTTGGTTGGCAACAAAACTTCCAAGGATCATTTTGTTGACCGAGCCCGTCCAGGGGACGTGGTCGATCATGTCACTTTGGGCGCAAATCGTGCAGTCAGTATAGTTCACAACAACTCTCGGATGGGGGAAAAGGGTTGAATTTATTGCAGAAGCGACAAATAACTTACGGGACATCGTAGAGCTTGGAAAAGTCATCATCCAGCCTCGACAGTTGGGCAATCGCCTCTGGATAGTCGCCAAACCGGATAAACGAGATGCTGAATCGTCGGTCCTCCATATGGTTCCCATTGAGAGCCTTTTTCAGGAATTTGGCAATCTTGACCTCGACCGGGTTCTCGGCTTTGGTGCCTCTCCAAAGGCCGTCGGTGAGCACTAGGAGAGTCATGCGTTTGTTCTTGTAGCTTCGCAGGTATTCGTCAAATACCACCCCGAGCGTCTCCGTCATGTCTGTCTTGACCTCTGAGGCGGCGTCAAGGGGTATCGTCGGTGTTTTCTCCCCCATCAGGCTCGCAAAAGCTTTGGCAGCTTTTTGGCCTTTTTCATTGTATGGTCGTTGAGGCCCGCTGGTGAAGACCACGTCCAGGCCATCGTCATCAAGGGGAGCAAGCTTCATGGCCAGGGTTACCAAGACATACGTTGCTACAAACCAGAAACGGCGCATGCTGGAGCCGTTGTCGATGATAAATTTCTACGGACGCCTGTCAGATGGACATCAGAATATAACGGATCCAGAAGTAGGACCTACCATGTCTCGGTCGACGATGAAATCCTTCAAGTACTTGTCCACCTTGAACTTGCGAGTGAGGAAACTACGCCCATGTTCGAGCTCCAACCTGACACGCTGTATATCATAGTGGCCATATACTGGAGTCGGCACTGGCGGAGCGGCGTATAGATCGGTAAATGAGATCGAAGAGCTAGCAAGCTCGAGAGACTGTGTTGTCTCGAGCTTGGAATCCCGCCGCCTCGAAGTTGGCGGTTCTTCTGCTGCCGCGTCCGGCTGTTTCTCAGTAGTATAAGATGGGACTTTGCTGAAACGATGCTGCTGGTCTCCGGGGGCCTGAACAGGTGGTTCAAACAAGGGCATCTTCCCCCACGCTTTCTCGCTTTGCGACATACTTCTTCTGTCATCAAAACGTACCTTCTCGTGAACATCGTCTCTGACTTGCTCCGCTGGGCCTACACCGGTGCTGTCAGGATCCCCCACGGCCTGACCAGATGTATGACGAGACATCAGCTCCAATTCAGATGGCCTCCAGGAGCCATGGTAGGATTTGACAGCAGTTCCATTGGATTTTGCTGAGGGAGATAGTCGAAGGGGCGGCACAGAGTTTACATCGTCGTGGCTATCTGTATAGCCACGTGGGCTCTCATGCACCTGCAAGCCGTCAAGATATGAGGAGCCGCTTCTAAGATGGGGCTGCGGCGATGTTTGTAGAAGTGCGGGACTTTGCTCTCCCAAGATTTGTAGTTCCTCGGTCAACATCTCTGCACGATGGGCTGTTTTCGCTGGAGGTATATTGTCAAGTCGCTGCGACTTGCCTATGCGTCCAGACGTCTTGATCGATTTGACATGCTTTGGTTGGCTGGCCTGAGCTGCATTGGCTGGCGCCTCCTTGTCAAAGTTGTACAGGTCTGTGAGGAGCGCATCGGCGACACGTTTGCCGCGCTCGTCTCGATCAACTTTGAATTTGGCGACAGACACGATGTCGTCTAGCTCTTCACATAGCTTTGCAGAGCTGACTCGGTGTCCAGGGCTTTCCAACAGCATGTGTCCTTCCACAAGGTCAAGGACCCGGCAAGAGATGTTGTCCGAAGTGCGCACTATGCTCCGCAGATAGTGATGCCATTGAAGAACCTCTGGCAACACTTTCCGACCATTATGGAAAGCGTCATGGGCTGTTGGACACGCGGTGCTGGCCGTTGGGTCGGCCTGTCGCCGGTCTCGGAGGCGTTTAATGGCTGCTTTTCGGATAAAGTCGTACTGGAGTATTCCCTGCTGGCCCAGGATGACCCAGGTTGCTGCACGAGATAGCACACATCCAAAAGACCAAGTGTCAATGGTCTGACCGTGAGGGGTGCGTGTCTTGAACCGTGACTGATCTGTCTCAGGGGCACCTGTCATAGAGGAGTCAGAACCAGAGCTCTTCCCTGCCTTTTTTGAGGAGTCCACAGTACCATAACTCTGAGTGCCGCCATCCATATACTCCATAGGAATGGCTTGACTCCCTTTTTTCTTGAACTTGGTAAACCCAAAGTCAACCAGTTTGAACTCGCCATGAACCCTCAAAATATTGTCTGGCTTGACATCGGCGTGCCAACTGCAAGGTCAGTGACAGGAGTCATGCGAGGGAGCAGGGTCCTGTAGCATACCCATAGTATTCCTCTGTTTCACCGTCCCGGTCGATTTCGAGATTGTGTATGCGTTGCAGTGCCTCTGCGACTTGGAACAACGACTCCCAGAATGAGATGATCTCAGGGGACCGCACTGGGGGGCTCGAGAACTCGTGCGCAAAGAATTCGTCCAAGTCAAGCTCTCCGAATTCGAGTAGAATGTTATAGGTGTACCGTCCCGGGGTTACCTCATAAGAATAGTGGCCGATATAGCGAACCATACCTTTTTGGTCCTCCAGGCCGGCGAAGGCGTCCATCTCCCATTCAAACATTGCTCGATTCTCAGAGCCGTAGGATTTCAACGCCAACTCATAGAACTAGACAAACATCAGACACGAATGCATGACTCGACCCTCGGCCAGGCCAGAGACCTACTCACCTTTCCTTTGTCTTTGTATTCAACCATTGATGCCCGAAGAAATTGCTTCAAATCCTCGGCGATGCATTCAGCGGGGACGAGAACTTGGAAAACCTCTGCTGTTCCACCCTTGCCATTGACAGGCTGACGTTCGTAGTATGGAAAGATACACATTCCACCAAAGTCCCCGTGCATACGCCGTTTGAGGAGCACAGGGCAGAAGAACCACTTTCTTTTCTCAAAAGCGTCGATAACAGTATCCGGTTCGGAGATATTGGCTCGTTTCAAGTACTGCTCCAGATACTTGTAGTGGTGTTCTGTCGATGTAGTGCTCAAACTTGCGTCGGTTATATTGGCGCTGCGGAAGAGGTCCAGGAGGTGTCCGTAGCCAATGTCAAGGAGGACACTGAAGACGATGACGGCGCAGCCATCGCTACTGGAGACATGTTCAGCCGTTGGTATAAAGGTCGCATTGGGTCTAGGGCGCCAGACTTCGGTAAGGAGTCGTTTCAAGTTCGTGGCCTTTTGCCCTTCTCCCACGGATGCCATCCATTCCTGGAGTTGGCCGGTCTTGATATAGTAGCGGCCACAAAATGTTTCTTGTTTCCAACAGCCCCGCAGATTCGCTTGGAACTCCTTGAGCAGATCGGACGGAGCGGACGACCTGGCTCGGGTATTCATGTTGAGGACAGGTACAAGAAGGACATTAGCTCGGTCGCAACGAGAATCTGTAGGATCGAGTTGGGAAAGAGAGTCAGATCAGAATGCGCAGGTCAAGAACAGGCTGCGGCTGGCATGAAGAGCAAAGGCAACTTGTGCTCGAGATTGCAATGAGGCTGCAGGAGGGGCCTGGCCAGGTTTAATACTTCTCTGACCAGACGAGTATGTCGAGCATGCCACTAGGGCCCGAACGATTCTAGTAGCATGCTGGCATGAAGCCATGCTTTCAGCGGCCCTTTCGACCCGGCCCACGGCCCACTTGCGAGTTGCCTACCAAGAGGGGCAGACGCCTTTGAGTCCTGGCGGCGTTCGGGAGGCAGCTGGATGCCTCTCCCTTGAGTGTGTATTGGTCAGTCAGCCACATTTTGTCCAGCTGAGGCTCCAGGTGGAGGCAGCTCGAGGTGTCTTATTGGTCTCCCGGGGGTTACTCGCTAACAACTTCAGGGATGTGACCTCGGGCGCGTCCTTCCGCTGTAAGAAGGCCTGGGGACGCCAGCGGTTTAGGCGTATGTGGTCTTCCAAACTGGGGCATTTGTGAAGCCATCACCCGTCCAGAGAGGGTTAGAACTTAGAACCGATGTATGTGTGTGGGAAACATGTATATATCTAGGCCACTAGTTGATGATGGTCGCTTGTCTTATTGCCGGGACAAGTTCCCCAAGTAGATTTTGCTGCAGGGCTCGTCTTGGTCTTCTAGAATCTGTTTCTGGGGAACCGAGTCTGATAGACCATTTTGATGACCGAGGCCAGAATGGGAAAGATGGGCCAAATGCCACCTGAAGAAGACACGCGTTTCGAGACGGGTTCGTAACCTAAGTCTGCGATTGGAAATCAGAACGCAAACCCAGCCAGGCTCAGACCACACTGCCAGCGTTGTTGACAGTTGGTAATGTCGTGTCAAAGTTGGGGTTTGACACAGAACGAGTGAGATTCCGTGGTTGTTGCTTTTGACTTGGATCATCCCTTCCCCATCTCTTTTTCTCTGCAATCCTAAGGGCCCAGAATGCTCCGATGAATGTGAAAAAGGTCAAAGGCAGGGTCACTTGTAACCATCTATACATTGCCACACTGGAGAAGACGCCATCGGTAGGCGGTCCCCCAGCCTGATCCTGATACTTGATGATATCAGTGCTGAAGAAAGTCTTGTTTTGTCAGTAGGGAGATCTATTTAGGTGGATGTTGGCCTTGCACTTACCGAAACAAATGTCGCGGGGAGATAAACCAAGGTGACAATAGTGATGATTCGCATGACAATGGCTTCACCTTCCATGTTCAGGTTCAATTCTTCCATGCGCTCTGCCGCTTGAGTTTGTAGCAGTTGGATGATCTAGGAGGACTGTCAGTTCTGCTTCTCTCGCCCTTTCTGCATGTGCGACACTGACCAGCTCCTTTCTGTCTTTGGTGATCTTGTTCAGTAGATTCGCCCGGACAATTTGCAGCTTCAAGTTCGATATCATGTCGTTGGCCTGGGCTATGAATGTGGTTATGTCCGTGTCGCATTCATCTCTCAGGGTCTGGGGTATCTCTTTCTTGGTCCTGAGGCTGTCGTAGAAGTTGCACAAAGACTGCATGACGTCCACATTGGCTTCCAGTAGCATGATGGCTTCACTAATCTGGTCTTCCCGCGCCGTAACGGTTTGGAGATGTCGGATAGTATAGGTGTACTGCGCTCGGCCTGACCCACGGAGACCAAGGACTACCATAGAAGTCTCCTCTTCAAGCAAAGACTCAAGCCATAGTATGTACCACCGCCAGTTTGCCGTCGACCAGTGGGCGAAGAGCAAATGGGGGGCAAGGCTGGCTCGAAAACTGTCCTGTAACGTGTCAAATGTCATGTTCTCTGGCCTCCCTTCCGGGCCCGTCAACGACTTGTAGCGTTCGAGCAGGTCGTCGCCCCCTTTTGTCACTATCCAAAGCGCTGTGCCGTAGACGATGTCGAACCGATGATGTATTGCGGCAGGCTGAACTGACCACTCGTTCAAACTGATGTTCTTGGGGTCTTCAGACTTCAAAGTCACCGTTTTCAGATTGTAGCACAGCTGGTATAGCCGCCCACTTCGCCCAAGACTTGGGACCGCTAGTCCGCGAGGCGGATCGGACAGAAAGCTTTGTTGGCGAAAGCCGCTGAATCTTCGGTCTCTTGGCTCGCTCTGTGCACCAAAGACAAACACGAAGTCTAGGTAGATAGGCATGACCTGATGGTAGGAGAAAATCTCGCACATCAGTTGACGTGTGATGTTCAGTGGAGCCCGGGAGTGCTGGCCCTTGATATATCTAAAAATTCTCAATGATGGTGAACTCTACACAATGGTGACAAGCTCACATGAACCGGGACCCTGGATCTCTTCTTTGTGCAACCATTACCGACTTTGCCGGGTTATTCGCATCAGGAACCAGTTGTAAACCCAAGAAGTTCCTCGCTTTGACTGCATCGTGCGCATTGAGTTTTTGCAGCTCTGGTATGACTGTTAGTTATGCAACGTTATGGAGGAACGGCAATGGCACCATTTCCAGATGCATTGTGTAGGTCTCGAAATGAAACCTCAATATCCGCATCAGGACCACCGTCGACGAATAGATCATTTTCGACACGGTCTAGCAGCCGTTTATATATCTGTAAATCGCCAGAGTAGGTGTCTGTGCTGCTAGAAAGCAGGTTCTCCGGATACTGGGCCCAACTCAGATATGATTCCTGCAGCTTCGATGGGATCTGTAGTTCTTGCATGGCTGAAGCGAGAAAGAGTGTGTATGAGAGTGTGTTGATACAGCAGAAGAATGTTGACGCGGACGTACGGCTCTCTAGTTATATTGCTCCCTCTCGTTCCGCCACCTCGATGGCGGTGCCCTTGTCGGTGGATGGGCATGGACAACCCTGCGCTGCGGCAACAATCGCCTACTGAATCGTGCTGGCATTCTTCAGGACGAGGTGGAAAAACAGAAGGAGTAACTCTTGGCTACAGCGCCTGGTGTCAGTGGCGGGCGCATTTCACTTCGTACAAGCCGAAATGAGCGACTCAATAGATGATTTGCCCAACAAAGCCTCCACAGCCTAACCCTGTAAGCCGCGGGAGGAGGCCATGAGGGGAAAGCCACAGTAATACAAGGGCGCGCACCAAAAGTACTATTTACGCTATTTAAATGACAAATGTTACTGTGACAGAAGATTTCCTAAGCTTATAGGCACTTATACCTATCTCCTAGCTACAAGTTAGAGCTAATAGGCGCTAGCTTAGTCTTTATTTTCAGTCTTGAAAGGCGCTGTAGGTACCCAGGATTGAGCTCCGATATCTCCGGGGGCCGCTGTAAGGGCAACGAAAATAAAGTCTGTTGTCTTTTGATCAGCTTGTCATTCTATTACTAGCGTTGACAATACTTTTGGTGCGCGCCTCGGTACCTTACTCACACTCGTACGTGTAGAGGGGTCGGCAGGGATAAGGGATAGGCAAACTAGTCACCCGACTCAGCCTCACCAGCCTCAGCCAAATCTGCCCGCTTGAACCACTTTCCACTGGGCCTCGCCTTCTGCAAACCTGTTTTCCCGCTCAGAGCAGCGGCTCGGTCCTTGGTGGAGATCGTCTGCCGACAAGGCATCCAGCCGTGCCAGCGTAAAATGTTGCTTACTTGTCGTCTTTGTGTTCGGGGGAGACCGACCGACGTTTCTCTGCCCGAGACGTGGCCGGCGCGTGCAGGTTGGTGTTGGCAACCGTCGCACTGTCCCTCAGCCGTTGTAGCTCCTTCTTGTCCACCTGGTCGGCGAGGCGGTCCTGTCAGTGTGGTTTAAGGCGTTAAAATGGAATCCATTGAACCTTACATCATTCAAAGGCTCGGGCACATCAAAGACCCATTTATCGCCCACCTGCGACACCACAGAATATTAGAACGGAGCATCACACAGGCATTGCTCTGAACCAGACATACGCGCTCTTCGTTGAATTCGAGCCCAGGAAAATCTGATTGTGGGAATCGTTGCTCGAGATATCCTTTGAGCTTTTCCCATGTCATGCCGTTGTATACGCCGTATCCCTCCCGGTAGAGTTTGTATTTGGGGTCCTTTTTCTTGCCTTGTACAGAAAATGACTCGGTCAGTCTGCGGCCCAAGCTCCGACCAGGATTAACACTGTCGCCGGTGGGCCTGCGTCGCATATCGGGAGACATATTGCCTGTGATGATAGAGAATAATCCAAGAAAATGGGCACAGGAGTCGAGTTTTCAACCTCGTCCATCCGCATACCCGATCAAGACACGGGAGGGTGTAGGACCTCAGCTGACCGGTGTGCGACACGAGCCTATGCGGGCATGTGAATAGGATTGTTGTGCGCCGATTCGAGGTCCATTGGTAGGCTCTCGTAGGAGAGTCCAGTCAATGTGGCGTTAAACAATGTCCAGTTATTGGGCCCCGCATGTGATTGTCTTGGGAAGGACATGGTTGTGCTGTAGACCCTGGAAGAATCAGCAATCAGCAGGGTTAATGTGGTTCAGGTGTGGCATGCTCCCTTCGGGGCTTTGCAATTCCCTGACGCCCTAGTATGCCACTGATAGGAAGACTTGGAAATAAGCCTGAACAGCGCGGAGGCTTAAGCAGACCACGGTGGCCCAGTCGGCGATATCGTGGGTTGTTTCGGTTGGGCGCTTTTGTGGGAGCTTCAGCAGCATCATTGGACTGGTCGACTGCCTAATATTGTCTGTGTGAGGTTTTTCTAGGTACGACAAGTGTTCAAATGAGGCTTCAAGAGGGTTGTGTTCAGGAGGTGTGTGAGTCAATGTGCTGCTGCGTCTGCCCCGAGCATCTGTCCGCATGGCGCAGGCGAAACCTGGAAATCCGACACCAATCAAGCAGGAAACACTCCCTACCAGCAATCATCATGTTCGCAACCAAGTCTTTGTAAGAGTTCATTGCTCAACATTCGCCAATACACCGTGGGTCACTATTGGAGCTATACTTCTACATGTGTGAACAGCCTATGGGACTGTAAAAGACCAGTTGCCTTGCTCAATTGCGCTTTACTCTATACCTCATCTATATGATTTTGGAACATCCTCATCATCCAACAAGCTCAACAGAATCATAGCACGTAGCTTTAATCGCCCTTAGCCGCACGGCTCTCTTGAGGGTAGGATCTCGCGGATCGGGTCTGAAACATTCACCGTACATAGGCAGTCGAAGAGGCACAACAGGTCGCCATCGCGCGCAAGGTTGTCAACGGCAGGATCTGGAAATTCATATCTTGGTGATGATCATCCAAAATAGCTCGCAATGGTAGCAACAATTTGATGTTGGTGGTCGGTGCAGGTCAAAGTGTTGGAGAGTACCACGTGCCACCTAAGGTCAAACAATCGGATATTCTGGTCATTTGATACTGGAAGCTCCCGGCCAATCAGCGTCGATGCAAAAGATCTGATTCTTGGCGGCACCTCGGGCTCCTTCTCAATTGCGCCTCAAGCAAACCAGCTTCAACATCTCCTCAAGCTTCGTCTTCGACAACCACAGTCTCTCTTCTCTTCCTCACACTCACCATGCGTCCCGTTCCGACATCAGCGGGCTCTGCCCTGCGCACTTGGACCCGACACACCCTTCCTACCAGCTCCACCTCCGCTTCCTCCTCATCCTCTCGTCTTGCCATCACAGCTTCAAACATTCCCCAACGACGACTGGAATCCTCCGGGGCAGCAACATCCGGTAGCTCCAGCTTCCAGAGCCCTTTCCGGACGCCCAAGTATGATACACGCAAGATCCCCAGCTTCAAGACGTACGAATCCAAAAACTCCGAAGTCACGAATCGAGTCTTTCAATATTTTATGGCCGGGTCAATGGGATTGTTGGCTGCTGCCGGGGCGAAAAACACTGTGATAGGTAGAGACACCCATATTGGAGCTTCAGCAGGCTATGATCATGAGCCCATTGCAGCGGTGCGACGGATTCAAGTGGTACAGAGCTGACCGATTTGCGAAATTGCACAGACTTCCTAGAAAACATGTCTGCATCTGCCGATGTGCTGGCCCAGGCCAAAGTGGAAATCGACTTGGCCTCCATCCCCGAGGGCAAAAATGTCATCATCAAATGGAGAGGAAAGCCAGTCTTTATCCGTCACCGCACTGAAGACGAGATCAAGGAGGCTGAATCTGTTGAGTACGTCCTGGTTCCCCTCCAATTCCCGAAGACTATGTGCACTCTTAGGAAGCTATCCTGTACTAATAACCTCCCACAGCCTCTCAATCCTCCGTGACCCTGAGAAAGACGCCGACCGGGTCAAGAAACCCGAGTGGCTTGTCATGTTGGGTGTCTGTACACATCTGGGATGCGTCCCCATCGGCGAAGCTGGCGATTTTGGTGGCTGGTTCTGTCCTTGCCACGGTTCGCATTACGATATTTCGGGACGAATCAGGAAAGGACCTGCGCCATTGAACCTGGAGATACCTGAATATGATTTCCCTGAGGAGGACAAATTGATCATTGGTTAGAAGAGTCGTTGAGGTGTCAAGCAGGAACAGACAGAACCGCTGACTGGCTGAGTACTGTGCTCCATTGGCGGCGTGGTAGTGGTCAAGGGCGAAGATCACAAGCTAGGCACAGAACTTGGGAATCACAAGTGTTATTGTACATATTAGACAGCAAGACGCTGGGAGATGTCGGGAGGCAGGTGGTCGGAGAACATCTAAGAGCATTCCATCACCTGGTTGTAAGGAGGGCGAGCGAGAACTGCCAAAACAAAATCCACATATATTTATTTTTCCATTTCATTAAAGCCCCCACGGTGCTACCTGAGTCTCTACATGCCGTCGAAGCTCATAATCGAGGTCCAGGTTTTCTCCCTCTCCCCCAAAGTAACCCTGAGGTATGTACCCGGGAGGAAAGGTGACACATATAATATATATACAACAAGCTAGGTGAACTCATTCTGCGGGTCCCAGCTCTTGAAATGGACCCCAATAGAGCATTAGAGTCAAGGCATCGTGGTGGGTTCATGTCAGGTCAAGTCAGGTGAGACAACTGGGCCGGGTGGGAGTGTGAAATATGTATGTACATGACAAGGACCAACGGTACTGGACTCGGTAGATGCATATATATGTACATAAAGTCATACACTACCGCGGCCGGAGGAGCACAAACAGGAGGCCCATGATGGCCATGCCACCAGCGACCCCTTCCATGGCGACGGTGGTCAGATCTCGCTGCGAGACGAGGATCTTGTGGTCTTCGCTGAACAGCGCCCTCAGGGAGTCCTCGTACCAAGCGAGAGGCGAGTCCGGGGATGTCCAGCGTGAGAGCCCGTTGACGGGCTGCGCAGAGGGGATCTCCTCGGCAGGGATGCCGGGCGGAAGAGAATCGGGAGCGTCCACAGCCACGGCCTCTTCAGCTTCGAGTTCACGTGCTGTTGGAGTTTCCGCAGCTGCTTCGATGTTCGATAATGGAGGTGGCGTTGGAGCTTTCTCGTCTGATGTTGAACCCGTGACGGCGTCGACAATCTGTTCCGCAATGTTGTCCGCCACTGCCTCGACTTTCTCGCCCGTTGTCATGCCCGCCACAGCTTCCGTCACACTCTGGTTCGGCTGTACTATTGCCATCTTGGTCTCCTCTTCCCTTTCTTTGAGCGCCATCTCCACCTTCTCCTCGAAGCCCTTCACCAAGCGTTTCCGTCGCCATGGTTCCAAGACGACCTGGAAAATGAGGAACAACAACACGTTGAGACCCATCAATCCCCATGTGCCCCACGTAGACATCTGCCTGATCTTGTCACTCCAGATTTGTTCTTCGTGATACCGAGCTAGGATCGCCTTCGCAAGCTTGGTGGATGCTTCCTCATACCTGGCTTCTGCGTCGCTTACTTCCTTCTGCGCGGCGGATTCGGCTTGCTCGTTGGCGTGATCTGACCGATATAGGCTGGTGAATCTCTCCAAGTCTGCAGGCGACCACGTATGCTTCCTGTGCAGCAGATCATTGACTTCACGCTGCGTGGTACTGCGTTTAGCAATTGCTTCGCTGTAACGGTCCCGGGCTTCCTTCACGGCGGCACGACACTCCTGGACCACAGATTCCTGGCGTTCAATGTCGGTCTTCAGTGCTTCAATCCCCGAATAGCCTGTCAGATCATTGAGTCGGCGAGAGGCGGTGAAAACATGGGTTTGGAAGTTGTCCATAAAATGGCCAAAGCGTTGTTGAAGGTCCGCATAGCGCGAGGAGAGGGCAGACGGTAGAGGTTTACTGGGAGAGCCGGAGGACTGGGCAGGTTCTGGTTTATCGGGCCTTTTGTTTTCCTCGTGTTTGGAGGCATGTACTATTGAAGAGGACTCGGGAATGGTGTGGATAATTGTTTCGTCTTGAGGTTGCTTGAGCTTGTGTGGCATCTGTGCCGCCGCATCGGCCCTTGAGTCGAGGCTCTCGCCTATTCGATCTTTCGCATCCTCTATCTCTTGATTGATATCCGACTTTTTCTCGCTATAAAACCGAGCTCGAACAGCTATTCCTGGCCGCTGGGGTGCCCATGGCTGCGCACTTGGTCGCACCACCGAGGGGAATTGACGGGGTAATGTGAGGGGTCGGTGGACAGGCTTCGCGGCTCGAAAGGCGGACCATAATGTCTGGGACAGCCGTAGGGGAGCTTGCTGCATTGCGAGCAGCAATCTGATCTTGACATCCACCGAACCTGCGAACACAGTATTCAGTTTGCCATTTCGGTAGAGCAGTAGTTAAACAGCTTCCTTTCCATTGATCGGCGAGTTTTTTTCGGTCGAGGAAGGTTTGCCGGTGCCGACAACGGGCGACACCAAGCAATTGATCCGCCAACGTCATAGTGTGGACGGAGTTAGTGAGTGAGTCGTTAGTACAAGGTATTAGTTGATATTTGCAGTCTTGGCCGGGATTCCTCTTTAGGCTATCGTTGGCTATGCCAAACCTCCCCGCCAAAAATTGAAGATCTCAATGCTGGCCAAATTGAAGAGAGAAAATCTCTAACCATTGAACCCACCAGTGCCCACCCCTCGTGTCTGACCCGGCACTCACTCAAACTATAGCCGGAAGTTCTCGTGCCGGACTCTCCCTTTCCCAAGGGTTTCAGTTGATCTTGTCCCCGGCAGAGAAAGACAAAACCGACATATAAGACCCATCACTACAATATACACCCGGTCCATAAAGCGTCTTTCTTCGCCCTGCCGCTGAATCTGTGGCATTTCTGCTCCCCCTCAACTCCTCACCTTCTCGACCGGTGTCATCCCAGTCGAACCCCCCCAAAAAAGATGCCTTTCCCTCAAACCCTCGAGGCCAAGCCTCGAGTCATCTTCTTCACCGACTTCGATGGCACGATCACGCTCCAGGACACCAACGACTTCATCACAGACAACTACGGCATGGGCTACGAGCAGCGGCGGAAGCTCTTCCGCGCCGTCATCGACAAGACCGACAACTTCCGCAACACGTTCCAGCAGATGGTGGACTCGTGGAACATGCCCTTCCCGCGCGTCCTGGAGATCCTCAAGGAGAACATCAGCCTGGACCCGGCCTTTCGCGACTTTGTCCTGTGGGCCCGCGAGAAGAAGGTCCCCGTCATCGTGCTGAGCAGCGGCATGGCCCCCGTGCTGGAGGCCCTGCTGAAGCATCTCCTGGGCGAAGACCTGATGCAGGACCTCGAGATCGTGGCCAACGCGACGCAGTTGCGCCCGCCCGAGAACTCGCTCGACAAGCCCAACGGCTGGACGATCCAGTACCGCGACGACTCGGGCTTCGGACACGACAAGTCTCTCACCATCCGCCCCTACGCGGATGCGATCGCAAAGATGCCCGCGCACGAGCGACCCACCCTGCTGTACGCGGGCGACGGTGTCTCGGACCTGAGCGCCGCGCGCGAGACAGACCTGCTCTTTGCCCGAGAAGGCATGGACCTTGTGACGTACTGCGAGCAGGAAGGCATCCCCTTTACCGAATTCAGTGGCTGGGACAGCATCCTCGAGGAGACAAAGGATATCTACGAGGGCGTCAGGACCGTCAAGAATCTCGCCGAGGAGGGTCTGCGCAGACACCGGACCAACTCTATCGAGTCTCACGGGGCGGTGAAGCCGACCATCAGATGAGCGCGCTGAGAGAGACACGCAATTTATAACATTGCATGGCCTGGACATGGAATGGGATGGGATTGATGGGTTTGCAACGAGGACGATCATGAGTTAAGAATAGAAAGTGATATACGGGATTAGGTTGTAGAAGCCTATAAGGATATCCCGCGACGGATTACAATAGACTAGGATAGACTTCGGATTCATATAGACCACGTGCAGTGATGGATAATCAAATGGCATATTTTGTTCGCCACACACATGGTACCTCCCCAACACTCAAAGCCACACTATTCCCCCTCCATGTCTGCAATATCAAGATGACGTCCTTTACTCATTGACCCAAAAAAATCACGAATGCTTTTCGTCATATTCATTCAGCGCCTTCCTCAAGACCTGTTCGTCCCTGGGCACCATCCGGACCGTGTACCGGCGCGGGACGCTGACGAGCTGTGTGGGATCCTGCACGCCGTTGACTGGGTGTGTGTCCACGACGCCGGTCCCCTCGGTCGGGCGGACGTCCTTGATCTCAAACGCGCTGAGCAGCCGCAGGTAGATGGTGTACATTTCGCGGTTGGCCAGGAGACTGCCCGCGCACATCCTGTAGCCGAGGCCGTACGTGAACAGCGGGGCGTCGGGCTGCTCGAGCCAGCGCTCCGGGCGGAAGGCGAACGGGTCCGACCACACTTCCGGGTCCATGTTGCAGGCCCAGGCGTTGAGGAAGACGACGCTTCCCGCGGGGATCGTGTGTCCGTTGTAGACGACGTCCTTGACGGTGGCGCGCGGCAGGCTGAGCCGAAGCACCGTGTAGTATCGGAGGAGCTCTCTGACGAGGGCCACAATGTAGGGGATGGATTGGTCGTCGTACGCGTCACAGAGGATCTGGTCCTGTGGGTAGACCTTGCGAATCTCCTCGAGGGCCTTCTGTTGGATTTCGGGCCGTTGCGCAAGAAGGGCCATGGACCATGCGACCAAGGTGGTGAGTGTGTCCAGCCCGCCAGAAAGCATGGTAAGGGAGATGGAGATGAGTTCTTCGGTGTTGAGCTTCGCTTCCTTGTCGAGGATGACGTTGGCTTGGATGCAAGGTTGATGGATCCCCTTGGCCATCCTGTCGTCCAAGTCGTCGTTCAGCTTCTTCAGATATACGTCTCTTCTGCGCCGCATCTCCCGGGCATGAGCACTCCCAAAGCTGAACGGGTTCAGTCGTAGAAGCGGAATGTAGTCCTGCAGGTTGCCCGTGGTGGAGCGAAATTTGGACACTTCTTCCTCAACATAGGTGATTTCACCAAAGAGTTCATCGTTCTGAGATGCCATGCGAGTCCCCCAGTTCAAAGTCAATGCCAACGATAGCGACAGGCGCTGGATCATCGGCATCGGGTCTACAGGAGTCAGTCCACCGTCTCCATAAGTGATGAATTCATTCAAGAAGTCCCGTGTCTCGACATCGATGTGTGGGATGTAGGTTGCTACACTTGGTTTGTTCAGCGCAGATGCGGCACCTTTTCTTCTCCGTTTCAGAGACTCCGAGAAAGGGGACGTTCCTATTGTTGTTCCGCTCGTAGAGCTCACCACCTTGTGAAAAGTGTAGAACTCTGGTCTGGAGGCGAGTGCTTGCGAGTTCGCCCCAAATATCTCGCGGGCAGCTTTGCTTCCGTTCACCACTATGACCGGGATGTTGCCCAACATGATTTGGTAGACGTTGCCATACTTTTGGGACCATAACCGGTATTGCTCTGCTGCGTTGAGGCGGATTTGATGGATATTGCCGATGATGGGTAACCCCGAAGGACCACCGAATCCTGGAATGCGGGCTTGATGTCTTTGGATTTCTGTGATAAGCAGATACAGAAGGGCGCAAGCTGCTGCGAAGTATGCCGCGAATGCTATCGGTGCTTCTTGAGCGTGGCCCACCAAGAGTTTAAGTGTATTGTCGATCATCTTGGTACCCCCGAGAACGATAGGTAAGCGGCAAGGCAAAGAGAGTAAGGATGAAAGGAGGAGAATAGTCTATACGACAATGGGGAGACTGGACAGAGAGATACCCGGTATATATCACACATTAAACAATAGATCCACCCCGGAATTATGATGTGAGGGGGGCGGCAGTGGGACTGTGGAGGAGATGCGAATCACCAACCAGGAAATCGTCTCATTCCGTGGTTGTTTTGTGGAGAGCGGAATCAGCACCGCTCCAACGTAGAGGCGGAGATGGTCGCTGAAAGCATGTCCAGGATATAGCAACGCCCTCATTGGATCAATCTGCATAGTCAGGGCCAGTCGGTGGAGGGGCTCTGGACCCAAAGAGCCTTTCTCCTCAGCCTGAAATAATGCTGCAAATTGGCAGTTGCTGGGAAACAAAGGCGTCTTGAGAACGGGTGTGTTTGAGAAGACAGCGAAACAGCGAACATTTCAACGAAACTGCGTTGTCCTGTCTGGTTGGTACCTCGAGATCCCTGGTGGCGTTCGAGAGCCCATGTGCTAGAACGGACGGGACATCCGCTCTCACCTCATTCCTGCGGAAACGATTGTAAGAATTTGGTCCCTCCAACATCATGATCAGTGACACCAGGAATCACATTGTTCCAGAATAGATTGCCCATGAGCGGCGTGCAGAGCTCCTTGTAAAGTCCACCTTGTCGATCGAACTTGATGCCGAGTTCGGTACTCTGCTCACTGCCCTCAACTTTCTTCCCAATCAACGTTTCTTCATCAAGTGTACCCGTCATGATGACAATCATGTCGTCCACACCAATGATTCGCCATGTGAGTCCGCTCCCACATTGAGAGCAAAAAGACCGGATAGCGGTTTCGCTTGACTGGTATTCTTTGTAGGTTGGGCATTTGGTGATGTCGCCGACAAGCTGGGACGGGTGAATAAGAAGGTCATGGGAGACCAACGCCCCAGTCCACTTGCGACACATTGTGCATTGACATGTGGCTCCCTGGATTAAATATCATTAGATATGTCTACCATGCTGGAGGCCAGGCATCATACATTGGCTGGCCACGCCGCGTCCTCTGGAAACACCAGTTTGTATCTGATGGAGCCGCAAAGACAACCACCAGAAATTGATTCAGGCCTGGAAGCCATTGCAAGTGTTGTGCCGACGAAGGAGAAAGAGGAAATGGTTTGACTAGATTGATGTTGGGATATATATCCGAGCTGTTGGGCTGTGGCTGTTGGTGTATGCCCTATTCTTCCAGTGTTTGTGGGCTACTTTATACCCAGGGTGGCTTTTTCCATCAATTCAATTTCTGATGGGACATGTTAGGCAACCACATTGATTGATAATTTTGTGTCTCAATGGTTGGAGCCAAGAAAGGTCGTCGAGGCATTCCCTGCACTCAATTATCCGACCAAGAGACAAGTCAGCCGTCACTGAGAAAGTGCGAGAACGCCTACAGCACCATGTCGTATTCCCTCGTATTCGCTGGTCAAACGTGGTTGAAAGGCAGGGCAAGATATGTATACCAAGTGACCGGCCTTTCGACGAAGCTTGGCCGTGGCTTGTCAACTAGGCATCCAAATCCTTATCCTGCTATGGTTGCACGAACCATATAGATTCAACATGTGATTGGTGTCTTGTCCAGTTTGTATTTGGTCAGCAACAAAACTTGGCCATGGTATTGATTGTTGCGCTCTTCCGAAAAGTGAAAGTCCAGACGTGCCCAGCGGCTATTACAAACCATCTCAAAGGTAATGTTCGTATAATGTGCCTGGCTGAATACGGCGGGAAACTTCATTTTGCTGCTTTCCGGCTTCTCCTGGAACCTGGAACCGGCGCGGCTTTTCCACCAGCGGCAGAGGACACACCATTTGCAGCGACAACTTTGTCGGTGCTCTTGTTTTGTTCTGCCTCCTTCTTTGCTGCTGCCCTCTTCTTAGCACCTATCTTTTCCAGGTGCTCGACCTGCTTCTCGCTAAACTCCCACAGCTTCTTCGCGACTTCTTCGTTTTTGACTTCTGGTCTGAGAGGCTCGTACTGCCTGCACTCTTTGATCATCTTTCCTCCTGCGCCTCGACCATATTCAGCATCCATGGCGGCGAGTAGGTAGCTCTGGGCTCCTTGAACAGGGGACTTTAGAATGAGCCACCACAACGGCCAACTGATCAGATAAAGGAACAGTCCCCATATAAGACCACCTGACAGCCAGCGGCGCGTGCCTGGTGTGCGGCAATAACCAGGGTCAATTATCAGCGCCCGAGCATTGTTGAGTTCTTTGTCTGGCCTTTTGTATGCGTCGAGGTGTTTTTGAAATGCATATGCAAAGGTCATGACTGCCAATTTACTTCGGCTGTATGAAGCGCTTCCTGATTTGGAAGCTTTGTCTGTAGTTTCGAAGTCCAATTTGCCGCCAATGTAGCTGCTGCATGTGCTAAACAGAATCCTCACGTCTCGATCTGGAGGTTGTGCACGTATGGCTGGCGAAAGGATGCTGAGTAGATGGAAGGTGCTGAGATAGTTGATCATCCACTCGGCTTCCAGTCCATCCATTGTCTCCTGAGGCGTGCCGAAGTAAGGAGTCATCACATTGGCACACAAAATGACCATGTCCAGTCTCCTTGGAGGTGCGTTGTCTACCCATTTTGTGGCAAAGAGCCGTATTGAATGCAATGAAGATAGATCGACTTGCTCGGCATATATCAGCTCATTATTTGTAATTGTTCGCACATCTTCAATGTAGTCCACGAGGAAAGGGTCCGACGGGGCATGATAGGTCAGGAGGATGATCTGGGCGCCTCTCGTGGCCAGTTCTTGCACAACGGCGGCTCCTATGCCTGAAGTTCCTCCCTACAAACTGTGCGTTAGAACATATATGGAAGATTTAAGAGGCAACCCTCTTACCGTAACCATGACCACCTTCCCATGCATGAGTCGTTCTGATCGACATCTCGCTCCGCTGAAGTACAGTTTCAACAAAGCAATGATACCGACTAACGCTGCACCCTGAGCGACCGTCCAGATAAAGGGTATATTCGAGAGACCCCTGCCGAAGCCCTCCGCCAGCAGAGGAATAGGCATCGTTCTCTTGCGTTGTTTGGAAGTGCGGGAAATGGAGTGAAGTGAATTCAAATCAGGGCAGGACAGGCAGTACCGAGTACATTCGTAAATAACTTGAGACAAAACTCCGCCGAATCCGCCTATCGCAGGCGCCGGGTGCCTGAAACCCACCTGGCAATGACGCCACAACGCCAGATATTATTCCTCCTCAGATATCGCAAAGCCTCTGAACAACAGCACCAACAAAGGAATCTTCTAAAGGTTCTCTCAAGGGGTCATGGCGGACACAGATGAAGACTATTACATCCCGCCCCAGGATCAGCGCGTCTTTGGAGCTGGTATCAGACGCAAAAAGATCAACTTCGTCCCCGCATCCACTCCGGATTCACAGATATCTACAACCAAGCCATCAACCTCGACAAACGCCAGAGCCCGATATCTAGCCATTGTTTTACCGCAGGATACTAACAACCTTGAAAATACGGAACGAGATCTCGAGCCGGACCAGGCTCAAGGCATATGCGCAGTGTGCCAGCAACCCGTTGCGGCCATCGACGAACTGGCCACAAGTCATGAAGCCTCAATCGCGCATCAAGTGTGCCTGAAACATTCTTTCCCACCATCCGACCTTGACCGCGATCGCGTTGGTCTACGATATTTGTCGAGTTACGGATGGGATCCTGATTCTCGAAGAGGGTTAGGCGCAAAAGAAGAGGGGATCAGAATACCCATCAAAACGAAGGAGAAAAACGATACCGTGGGTTTGCGAGAGACGGTTGATGAGGAAGAAACGAATGTGCTGAAGAAGAAACACAACCCCAAGAAAGAGGAAAAAATTGTGAAATTGAACGCCAAAAGAGTCCGAATTATGGACGACGAGGCGAAGAAACGGGCAGAGAAGCTGAGACAGCTGTTCTACGGTCCAGACTTGGAGAAATACTTGGGACCCAATAGTTGACAATCCAACATAGCCGGCTTGAACCTGGCTCAAACCGTATATGGGAAGGGCTTGATCCTCTCTCGTGCAGTGACCAAGACGGGAGGACACGACTATACACAACATCTGCGGTTTCCCCTTCCTCCTCCACTCGACGCCACGCTAAGTCACCATCATACAAGCATGCGCTTCTAGTGCTTCTTGAAAAATCCGAGGTGTTTCTTCTCCTTATCTTTCTTCAACTTGTGCTGGCCACTATCACCAGACGGCGACTGGTAAGGTTGGGATGGTTTTGAGTACGGGGGACCTGTCCCCACACCAGGTCGTGTCCCGTTCTGTGGTCCTCTGCCACCAAGATTCATGTTTGCCATCGCGTCAGTCGGCGGCCGAACCTTTTCGGGTGGTCTGCCGTTTGCAGGTTGCTGAGGTCTTTGTTGTTGCTGAGCCTGTGGGGGAGGCTCTGTCATCCATGCTGGTAGCCGGGGGGCGGCTCGATCCATTGGCAGGTCAAGCTGCCGTCGCCCAGCACTGAGTTGACTGACTTGCCGCAAGAAGTTTTTCGGTGTTATCATGTGGGTTGTTGCGAGGAAAACTTCTTTGCTAGCCATCTGAGAGACTTCATAGCAGGCTCGTGCTTCGGCATAGGTCGCGCCGCCAGCAACGAACACAATGATGCGTTGGCGCGGTTTGTTGGATTGAGAGCGCGTTTGAGCCCATGTAGGCTTGCCTGTATTTCGGAGAGAAGTCTGAGAGACACTCATTTGGCTGTTTGGGTCATTGAGGTGTGGCTTGACAGGAGGGAATACATTAAGATCCAATGTACCCTGGCATTGTTCTTCGAGCATATACCTCAGCGCTGGCTCAAATCGTGACAGACTCACTTCCTCCATGTTGCTGACATCTCTGATCTTGGGTGGGAACAACGGCGTCGGAGTAGGCGTCACATCTTTCAACTGCTTTTCAACCCTTGCTCCAAGAGTTATCAGGTTATAAATGATTTCCCCATCCATCGGTGAGAGTTCGCCGTGACAACGCAGCTTTTCGATGTCTCCCCTCAAAATGCCATTCTTGTACAAGATGTATAAAATCAAAAGTCGAACTCGATCTTCATGGACGACACTGTCATCGTCAAGCAGTCTGACAACCTGATCTGCTAGATTCTTCGGTTTCTTGTTCTCCTCGTCGAGCCCTGTGGCAAGAGATTGCTCGACTGAAACAACCTCCAGGAGTTTGTGGTCTGCAAAGATTTTGGCGCATTTCTCGGCCATGTCAATATGGAGTGAAAAGGCTTCTTTACCTTCCTGGAATTCTGGGAGTCCCGCTAACATGTCCTTGATGGTGTTGATACTCGCCGGTTGTCCATCGTTGTCAGCAAATTGGGGGTTTTTGGCTTGGAATTTCCTGAATTCCTCGCTCAACTTGACCAGGAGATCTTTCATGTGCATGTGTCGGTGAACAACCCAGAGGTTATCTTTCTCTGTAATCTCCACATCTTTTTCTTCCTGATCGGGTTGACCTCGCCTAATAATGTTTCTGTATGTTATCTTGTCCTCATCGTCTCGAATCGGTAAGAGATCCATTGCCATGGCCTGATATGTCAACTCATGGACAAAGGGAGACATCAGATCCATGGATCTGTCTGTGATCAGTAGAACCGCTCGAGGCCGATTACCAGGGTTCTGGGGGGGAAAATCGTTCTGAGGATCACGGGCATAGTCGTCCAACGCACTCTGGACAAAGCTGGCGAGATGGTAGCATAGGACATCAGCAGCGTGTCTTTGATGCTCCCTAGGCTTGTAGAATCTGATAAGAGGGTATTCGCCTAGAGACACGCACATAGACACGAGTTTCTGGGTCACGCTGTCCAAGTGGTCCTTAACCAACGAGTCGCAAGCCGGGTGAAAGAGCACATGAAAACTCCATGGTTCGCGAAATGTGACGAGGTTGCATTCTCGCGGAAAATACTCGACGTTCAACGTTCGAGATTCGACAATCGACTGTGCTCGAGACTCTGAGCGGAACAGCTCTTCTCCATGATTCCTGGGTAGTTGGGAGGTCCAGATGAGGTGAGCACGGCGGTACCTCTTTCGGCTGAGATCAGCCTTGAGGCTTTCGACTATGTGTGGTAGAGGGGAAAGGAGGTAAATCGCATCGGTGTCGGGGAGGCTCTGCCTGCGGTCTTCGAGAAGTTCGATATTGGTTATGTTGGCGTTGAGTATGTCATCCTCTTTGCACACGTTGTACACAATTCGTTTGCTTTGCTCATCCAAAATCAAGACTTTCCAATCTCTGCCACTGGTAGCCCGAATCGTGCCTAGTATGATATTCCGCTGAATGTCGAGGATGGAGGTTGCCATGGCCGGCACAAGTATTCAGAGTGAGGAGTCTTGCTCACATACTCAAGAACATTGGATGACTCCAAGACTCTGCACGCACAGTTCATCAAAAGCGGAATAAGAAGTTCTGTTTCGTGTGTCCGTGCACCGACGGGCTTTGTGGTGTGGGATACTTTGCCGCAGGCTGCTGCGGTGACATTGGGCGGCACCCCAGCCTCGTCCAAAGGTGGGCTACCACGTGATAAGGCTGCACATGTCAATATGCCACCAACTTTTTTCGATGACGATGGTAGGGAGCGCTTCCTCTCCTACCAATTCTGTATAGTAGCGATTCGGCGAGGTCTACGAGGACAGAAAACCCATATCATAGTTATCTGCGCTGTCCTCCTAAAGTGTGCCTCCGACGTTGCTCAGATCTGCCGGGGCATGTACATTCCCTCTACTCGTCGAGCGCAATGCCTCTTCTGTTCGTTTCGAGCCTTCTTTGTACCAACGCCGAAACGATGTCCTGAAAATCCGCGCAGTTTCTCTGCCACCGCCAGGCGAACAGACCGAAGACACCATAAAGCCGCACCTACCGCAAGGTCTGTTTTCTCCGAACCTTCGAGGTCTCGCCAGCCAAGTCGGCGTCCGATCCCCAAAACATTTCAGATCTCACCCGATGCGAGCTCCAACCGCGTTCGCGTCAGTTTATCGAAGCTGAAGAAGGAGTTGGAGTCCACAAAAGTGACAACAGAATCAGAAGTCACACAACTGGCAGCGCTCGATCCTAGTGGGACATACTGGCCCGCATTCAGGCAACTGCTCGAAAACACACTCACAGCGCGCGGTGCCTCCGAGGCCGCAGATTTTGACGGATTACTATCTGATATCGGTCGCGCTCAGTTGGGTGACTGGCAGAATGAACTCCCGAGAGTGCTACACTTTGGCTTCATTGACTATGTCCTGTTTAGAAGGGCACAAGATGCCCCGCAGGAGCGTTCGGCACTCGACGATCTACAATTTCCTATAGAATGGTATACCAATGCTCGACAGGTGCAAAGAGATGTCCACCTGCACATTGGTCCTACCAATTCAGGGAAAACCTACAATGCTTTGAAACGTCTGGAAGAAAGTGGAGACGGATTTTACGCAGGCCCGCTACGGTTGCTAGCACACGAAGTGTACTCAAGGTTCAAAGCGAAGGGCGTCCCGTGTGACCTTATCACTGGAGACGACGTCAGATTAGAGGATGATCCCAATACAAAGCTACGCGCCTCGACTGTCGAAATGGTCGACATCTCCGCACGGTTTGAGGTTGCCGTTATTGACGAGGTGCAAATGATGGCTGACCAGGATCGGGGTTGGGCATGGACTCGAGCTTTCCTTGGTGCCAACGCAAAAGAAGTGCACATTTGCGGAGAAACTCGGGTGCTTCCCCTTGTTCGAGAGCTGACGGCATCCACGGGAGACATACTTCACGTGCATGAATACAAGAGGCTGAATCCGCTCAAGGTCATGACAAAGAGCCTGCGAGAAGATCTCAAGAACCTCCGCAAAGGTGACTGCATTGTGGCATTTTCGGTCGTCAACATTCATGCATTGAAAAAGCAGATCGAGTTGGACACAGGACGTCGTTGTGCCATTGTTTATGGTAGCCTCCCACCCGAAACTCGCGCACAACAGGCTGCGCTGTTCAACGACCCCAACAATGACTACGATTTTCTGGTAGCAAGTGATGCTATCGGCATGGGCTTGAATTTGTAAGTCGGCTAAATCGTGTACGAGGAAAGCAAACTGACGTCTGGCTCAGGAGCGTGAAACGCATTGTCTTCCACAGTGTTTCAAAATTCAATGGGACTTCTATTGTGCAGTTGTCAACCGCTCAAATCAAGCAAATCGGTGGTCGCGCTGGACGCTTCCGAAATGCGCATCAGGCTATGAATAACACCCCAGCCGCATCGGAATCTAACGTAGGTCTAGTCACGACTCTCAACGACGAAGATTTACCTCTTGTGCGAGCCGCAATGGAATCGGAGGCTGCCCCTATCAAAAGAGCAGGTATGCTTCCACCCGCTGAGGCAATGGAGGAACTCGAGGGTCGTTTGCCCAAGGGGATCCCCTTCGAATATATCCTGCGACGGTTGTGCGGAAAAGCTGCCACACATGAGCGATTTCGGGTATGCAGTATTCGAGACCAGAGTCGAATCTCTCGAGTAATCGAACCTGTCCGAGGTTTGACCATGACTCAACGCATCATGTTGACAGCTGCACCAGCTACTTCAGCCTCCCAAGCGATGGATGTGGTTATGCGAGCCTTTGCGAGATGCGTGGCAGAGCGACGACAGGTGACGATCGTTGACGTCCCTGAAGTTCAGCTTGAGGTTCTTGAGAAGCCTGTCTCAGGAGACCGAGCATATCTTGAAAGCCTAGAAGACCTTCACAAGTCGCTCGTCCTCTACCTCTGGCTCAGTTACAGATTCCTGGGCATCTTTAAGGACAGGGAAATGGCCGTGTACGCCAAAGAGTTGGCAGAAGACCGAATAAACACCTGTCTCCTTGAGTTTTCTGCCAACCCCGATCTGCGCAAGAGAGTGTTGTCATACAAAAAGAGGATGGCTCTTCCTCAAATCCAAACGGACGAAACTTCGACTACAGAACAAGAGTCTCCTTCGGAGCTACCAGAGGAATCTGATGCCCTTCCTGTGGGCTGGATCCGGGGTTCATCAGGCGTGGAGTTCGAGGATTCTCCGCCTCTACAGTCTTACAACGTCGCGCATGGATGAATTTCCAACACGCTATCGTTCGGCTGTCTCATGTTCTTGGGGAGAAATCGCATCCTGGCAAGGAGGCTTGATATACTCGATCAGGAGATGATGTCGAACCTTCTGAGAACACCCAGATGTTACAGGATTTGGTCGAGAAACCACTTTAAGATACAAAGGCCACGTCATGCACAGACAAGTGTGTGTATGTGTAGCAGTGGATGGCTTTTTATTGGGTCGCTATTGTGCTACCTTGTACCAATACCTCTTATTCGACCAATACCGATCCCCGTGCTTCATGGAAGAGACTCGAGGGCGAGCCAACCGTCAATGTACTTGCCATACTCATTGTTGAGTAGCCACTTTGTCAGCGGTTGACGGGTTTGATGCTGCCATTTCGCGAGCGAGCTGGTCCTCGGTCTTTTTGTTGCCATGCAGGATCAAACGGTTCAAGAAGCTCCCTGGCTTGCCTGTGTCATGTCCTTCTTTTTCTGCATCATCGGCCTCTTTGGTGACATAGTCCATGGTTTCTTCGTCGGCTGAATCATGCTCGTCAAAGTTGACTGGACACGAGGTTAGCAGCGGCGTATATGACACTGAAAGCATGGAGACCAGAGGGAGACAGTGAATGCTTGAGCTTTGTGTCAAGCCCTGTGGAAGTTTCACAGGCTGAGGGCGAGGAGACGGAAGTGCATACTCTCTTTGTCTTTGTGGCTAAGACGGCGCTTGATCTTTGCCCGAATGTTCTCCATTTCCGGTGATGACTATAATAACAGACTGGACTGGGGCGACGCTCTTTGCAATGCCAAAGGATTGTGAGGGAAGGACTCTGTTGTAGAAGGGTAATGGATATCTGGAGGAAAAAAAGGACGGATTGTAGATTCTGATGGCGGGGTGAAGGTACCTTTTTCTACTTACTTGAGCTTCAATTAGAGGGTCAAGGAGGGGTGATCTACTGGCATTGACACAGTGCAGGCACCGTCGTCACCATCCATCCACCATGTAATAATATGATATCCAAGGTCTCGACCTAAGAAAGACCCTGCCGTTCAACTGTCGACAAATCGAGCCTATTCGCCAGGTGCCACCAAGTGACCCAACAGAGCTGGGGCGGCCTGCGCCACCCAAGGTGCCGCCACCCAGATCGAGCCAACCCAAGCGAAGCGAGGTTTGTTTGATCCGCAGGCTGCATCCCGCTTCCGCTTCTCAAAAATTCCATGTCCATCTCCAACATCGAGAATACATCACCAAGGGCCGACAGCTGGCTGGACCAGGCCCGCCCTTCCACAAACAATTGCACAACCCTCTCGATCTAGGCTTGCCTTTGGCCAGCCATGGACGATTTCACCTCCCTCGAACTGCTGTCGCTCGTTTCCAAAGTTACCTCCGAACTACAAAACCACCTAGGAATTAACGACAAAACCCTCGCTGAGTTTGTCATCGACCAGCACGAAAAATGTGGAGGCAACCTGGAAAAGTTCAAGGAGGACTTAGCGGGCATGGGGGCGGAGTTTCCCAACAGCCTGGTCGAGAGCATCGATCGGTTGATCAAGGCAATGCATCCCAAGTACAAAAAGACCCAGAAACAATCCGCGCAGGCAAATGGCTCTTCCGACATGGACGAGCTAGATGCGATCGGTCGCAAAGCGAAAGTCTTTAAGGGGCTTGCTGTTCCAGATCGTGACCAGTCCTGGACCGACTCCGAGGATGATATCGCTGCACAGAAGGCAGGTCGGACAAAACACCTAGCACAGGACGATACCTTTGCACTTCTCGAAGGTCTTGCAGGAAAATCGAAGCCCGGTACGAATGGACATACCGAAAGAACCAGAAAGAGGAGTCGCAGTCCAGATCGGGATGACTATGCAAGGAACCGGGAACCAAGGCGCAAATACTGGTCTCGAAGTCCCAGCCCTCACGAGGAGAAAAGGTCACGAAGACATCAAGACCGTGATTATGAAGACAGGTCCGCCGGTCGTAGAGACCGCTACGATGAGAGGCAGAATGGCCACCACAAGAGCAGGAGACGCGACTACGACGAAGATGAAGATTTCCGAAGGCCGCCTCCTCGTGAAATCGATGAGCTCCCCGTTCTCTATAAAGTCTATGATGCAGTGATCAATGGGATCAAGGACTTTGGCGCATTTGCTAGTCTTCAAGGTGTCAAAGGCAATGCCAGCGGGCTTATTCACGTCTCTGCCATTCAGGAGGGCGCTAGGGTCAACCATCCCTCTGATCTTCTATCTCGTGGACAGCACGTAAAGGTCAAGGTTGTCAAGATGGAAAACAACAAAATCAGCTTGTCGATGAAGGAGGTTGATCAGGTTACCGGGCAAGATCTTGTTCCGTCAAGGAGAATAGCCTCCGGCGCTAACATGGAGAGTCTCAACGGTGCGTCGTCGGAAGACCGTTATGGAAATCTGGGCAGCACAGTCCCCGTCATCGAAGACAATTACACTTCAAAGTCGAGCAAATCCCGGAAGAGATTGACATCCCCCGAACGATGGGAAATCAAGCAACTCATCGCCTCAGGTGCAATATCGGCGCATGATTACCCTGATATTGACGAGGAATACAATGCAACCTTGAACGGAGATGACCAGTTTGAGGAGGAAGAAGACATCGATATTGAGGTCCGGGAAGAGGAGCCACCCTTCCTCGCAGGTCAAACCAAACTGTCCTTGGAACTGTCACCCATTCGAGTTGTGAAGGCTCCTGAAGGGTCACTCAACAGGGCAGCCCAAGCTGGTACAAACCTAGCTAAGGAGAGGAAAGATCTCAAGCAACAGGAAGCAGCGGAGCGGGCGGCAGAGGAGGCATCCAAAGTCGACCTCAACGCACAATGGCAAGATCCGATGATCAATCCTGAGCAGAGAAAATTCGCATCAGACCTGCGACAAGCCCAGCAACAATCGTCTCGAGCTATTGAAGCAGTGCCCGAATGGAAACGAGCCACCCAAGGTAAGAATCAGTCTTATGGCCGCCGGACAGACATGACCATCAAGCAGCAAAGGGAGTCACTTCCAGTCTTTCATTTTCGCAAACAGTTGCTCGAAGCTGTTGCTGCGAATCAGTTGCTTATTGTGGTTGGAGACACTGGTTCTGGCAAGACAACCCAGCTCACCCAGTACCTTGCTGAAGCCGGGTACGCTAACAACGGCATGATAGGCTGTACGCAGCCTCGGCGTGTCGCCGCCATGTCAGTCGCAAAGCGTGTGTCTGAGGAGGTCGGCTGCGAGTTGGGAAAAGAGGTCGGCTATACAATTCGTTTTGAGGATCGGACGTCGCCGGCCACCAAGATCAAATACATGACTGACGGAATGCTTCAGCGAGAGATCTTACTGGACCCAGACCTCAAGCGCTACAGCGTCATCATGCTGGACGAGGCACACGAGAGGACCATCGCCACGGACGTTTTGTTTGGGCTGCTCAAGAAAACGTTGAAGAGGCGACCGGACCTGAAGCTGATTGTCACATCCGCCACTCTCGACGCAGACAAGTTCTCCGAGTACTTCAACCAATGTCCCATATTCTCCATCCCCGGCCGAACATTCCCTGTTGAAATCATGTATTCCAGAGAACCGGAGGAAGACTACTTGGACGCGGCGTTGACTACTGTCATGCAAATCCATCTTACTGAACCACCCGGTGATATTCTTCTGTTCTTAACTGGACAGGAAGAGATTGACACCAGTTGTGAGGTTCTGTACGAAAGAATGAAGGCTTTAGGACCTGGTGTTCCTGAACTGGTCGTTCTGCCCGTCTACTCCGCGCTCCCCAGCGAAATGCAGAGCCGGATTTTTGAACCTGCGCCACCTGGTGGTCGAAAGGTCGTTATTGCTACGAACATTGCCGAAACATCAATCACCATCGACGGAATCTACTACGTAATAGATCCCGGCTTTGTGAAGCAGAACGCCTATGATCCCAAACTCGGAATGGATTCGCTGGTTGTGACCCCAATCTCTCAAGCACAGGCCAAACAGAGAGCTGGTCGAGCAGGTAGGACTGGTCCAGGCAAATGCTTCCGCCTATACACCGAAGCAGCCTACCAGTCTGAAATGTTACCTACCTCTATACCAGAGATCCAGCGCCAGAATCTCTCCAATACCATTCTGATGCTCAAAGCAATGGGCATCAATGATCTCTTGCATTTCGACTTTATGGACCCACCACCCACGAATACTATGTTGACAGCGCTGGAAGAACTTTACGCACTCTCCGCCCTCGATGATGAAGGTCTTCTCACACGACTCGGACGCAAAATGGCCGACTTTCCCATGGAGCCCTCCTTATCAAAAGCCCTAATAGCATCCGTGGATTTGGGTTGTTCGGAGGAGATGCTCACCATCGTGGCAATGCTCTCCGTGCAGACAGTGTTCTACCGCCCGAAGGAGAAGCAACAGCAAGCCGACCAGAAAAAGGCCAAGTTTCATGACCCCCACGGAGACCATCTTACACTACTAAACGTCTACAATGCATGGAAGCAGTCTCGGTTCAGCGATCCTTGGTGTTTCGAAAACTTTATTCAAAAGCGTCAAATAGCGCGAGCCCGGGACGTCCGCCAACAACTCGTCAATATCATGCAACGGTACAAGCATCAGATTGTTTCCTGTGGTCGCAATACGCTCAAGGTTCGACAAGCACTCTGCGCCGGGTTTTTCAGGAATTCAGCACGGAAGGATCCGCAGGAGGGTTATAAAACCCTTATTGAGGGGACACCCGTGTACATGCATCCTAGTTCTGCGTTGTTTGGAAAACCGGCTGAGCATGTCATCTTCCATACGCTGGTGCTGACGACCAAGGAGTACATGCACTGCGCGACTGTGATTGAGCCGAAGGTATGTGCCATATTTCCCTGATCCCCTTTCCACCAGTTTACTTCCCTGTCGGATTTTTTGACATTGTCCGATGCTGACTCTTGATTATAGTGGCTAGTTGAAGCTGCCCCGACGTTCTTCAAGGTCGCTCCCACGGATCGCCTCAGCAAGCGCAAGAAGGCGGAAAGGATTCAACCCTTGCACAATAAATTCGCCAGTGGAGATGATGATTGGCGGCTGAGCGCGCAGAGAAGGCAAGGTAAAGGAGGTGGCGGAGGTACCTGGGGTTGAACGAAGCAGTTTTGGAACGGGATTTCCAGTTGTTGGGTATGTTGACTCCGAGTCGATATTGCTGGATATTGTGCCCCAGGGGGAATCTTCTCGCTCAAGGGCGCGTGAATATGAGTTCAGAATAATAGAACTCAGCAGTACAAATCACAAAATCTCAACTGCAAGACTCGTATGTGTGCGTAGATGGGAATCATTTTTTCATGATGGTATACCTTGAGGACAACCACCTTTTCCTCTCTGCTGAGATGTTCATTCCGCCACCGCTCTAATATGTCCTTCTTTCCACCTTCATACTACCGGTATCATCCCAGCCTTTCTCTCGGGTTTCTCCTTGAAGATGTTCTTGACAGGTTTCAAGGTCGGAGGAGCGGCCACCACATCCTGTAAATTCGTCTGCCTGCCCAGTTGGCCTTCCTCACGCCGCTTCTTCTCCAGTATCTTCCAAGGGTCCGCGTCGTCGACGTCCCTCGCACCGCCGCCACTGCGCTTCTTGTTGGCCTTCTTCCCGCTTTTACCCAGTGTCGACACCTGCGTCGACGGATCGATCCCGGCGCCGAGCCACAGGACCTCGTCCTCCTCTTTCTTCTCCGCCAGCTCTTCCTCCTCTTCCTCCCGCCTCTCCTTCCGTCGCTGGTCTGTGGCGCGCCACTCACTCTGCATCCGCGCCAGTCTCTTGTTGTGTTTCGTGAGTGGGGTCTTGATCTTCTCCAGTCCTGGGATCGCGCTGAGGCGTGTCCGGTGTTTGGGGAGCGAGGTCAGGGGCAGGGATTGGTCCACCCGTCGCGAGTACGAGGCGAGGGACTCGCCAGGGAGGATCTTGGGGATGTTCGCCGCTTTTGTGGTCGTTGGCGCAGGGTCGGACTGCTCTGTCGAAGCCGCCGCTATGGCATCGTCCCCCGGCGTGTCAGGCTCCGACGCCGCCGAGTTGTTGGTCGGTCTTGATTTGTCCTCTTTCTTCTGCTTCTGCTTCTGTTTCTTCTTGGAGATATTCCCATCGTCCAAGCCCGAGGGTATCCTCTTCCCGCCTGGCTGGAAGGACATTAACCGCCTAAAAGCCTTTGGGGTGTCGTCCTCAAAGGCCGCCCTGTTCTGTCCATCCTGCTTCTTTTTCTGCTGCTTCCGGGCTTCTTGTTTGCGCTTCTTGTCCGCGTCCGACGTGAAGATGGACTCTTGCTTCTGGTGAACGGTCAGGGTCCGCGCCCGCGACGTGGGTGGTAGATCAAAGCTAGGCTCTTTGTAAATAACGAATTTCTGGGCCTTTTGAGTGGGCGGAGGGCAATACGTACTTTGAATCGTCGTCGGCGCGCTTGCGCTTGTGTTTGTGAGGCATTTTGAGGTTGTCGTTTTTTAAAAACCTGTACAACCTATATTGAACTGAATTTACGTTTGTATCTACCTGCGGCAAGGCATGATGGACGGAGGGAAAATTATTGGCGAGGCTGAGTGCGGAGACCGTCGAAGGAAAATTTACCCCGCACCGCAGCCTCGTATTCCGCCACACTTTACGTCTTGCGTGGTCTTTGACGTGTAGAACGATTCTTGAGGTTCTGGAGAGGCCAGTTAGCAAGTTGTCTTTCTTTTGACATTGACCGCTCTACTGGTTGTATAGTCTCTATTTTTCTATGCGACCCTAGGATCACCACATCAGTTGGTGAAGAGTCTGATGCCCCAGTCATGAATGTGGTCAATTGTCCTTCCCTTGCCGTTGGGAATTTCCAGCGCATCGAGGACTTGCATATCTTCTGACGACAGCTCCCTGACTGCGAGATTCGATTTGATTCGGGCTAGCAACGCCGGGAAAGTGTCAGCCATTCCCTATCGACCAATATTTGTGCGAGGGAAAATGTGCACACGAACCTTCTGTCTGGCTCTTTCCGAGAGGGACGGTGCCCCTCTGGACAGCCCAGCTCTGCAGCAACTGTCCGACGTCCATGCCGTTTTTCTCGGCCAGCTTCACGACTGTGGGGTCTTTGAGCAGTGTCTTTCCATCCGCTTTCTGGCCCGCGAACGGAGAGTAGCAGGTGACCAGGATGCCGTGCTCCTTCATGAAAGTGATGAGCTCGTTGTTTGGGAGCCATGGATGGACCTCGACCTGGTTGCAGGATATGGGCACGTCTTGCGCGTACGGCAAGAGTTCCTTGACTTCAGCGATGGAAAAGTTGGAGACGCCAACCGCTCGTGTCTTGCCCGTTGACACGAGTTTTTGCATCGCTTGCCACGTAGGGACGTAGCTGCCTTGCTGACCTGTTGCAATGGTCAACGACATCCGTCAATTATTGGCCATGGGACTGTGTGTCAATGTAACATACCGGCTTGAGCCGCGATATTGCTGGTGGTATGTTCCCAGTCAAACACTGCTTTATCGGTGCCTGGTTCCACCAAGATTCCTTTCTCCGTCTTGGAGACGTAGGCACGGCTATGCGCATTCTCAAGGGCGTCTCGCGATATCGGTTTGAATGCGACGGGCCAGTGCGCCAGGAACAAGTCGACATAGTCGAGGCCCATCCGTTTCAAGCACTGGTCCAGGCACAATTCCACATTCTCGGGCGCAGAGAAGTGTGGCCAGAATTTTGTCGTGATGAATATTTCGGATCTGGGGACTCCTGATTCTCGGATTGCCGCTCCAACTTCTTCATCGACCTTGGATTAGGAGTCAGTGCTGGATCGACCGTGAGGATTTTTTAAAAGGGTGGCATCATACACCATACATCCAAGCACAATCCAAATGTCTGTATCCCAGTTTCAGAGCCGTCAACGTAGCGGCTTTACACCACCCTGGATCACCTTTGCGGAGGTCAGACGCGAGGGACAAATATCGGGTTATATCCGAGACAAACCTCCACCCCAGATACCAAATCCCACGGACGGGATCTGAATAGTCTTCCCGCCTGCAACTTTTAAGGGGAAATCGACTGGGAGGGCCATATTTGAAGAGACTAGAGGATGTAATATACTCAAGTTTGTGGTTCTACCTCAGTTGATGGTACGCCAGGTGTGTTCAACGGCAAGATATTCCAGTAGAAGGTGCTATCTCAGATATTGCCAGCGCAGGCTCCGTACATCGGACGATTGACCAGTACGGTAGAATACAGCTTTGAGCCAATCAGAAGCGTAGCAGCTGCGATAGCGGGTATAACAGGTCAAAATCAGCCAAAAAGCATCGATTCTTCGGAAGGGCCATTTCAGGAACAAAACGTGATGTCAAAGGGCGTGAAGGAGCGAAAGGCCTAGGCACAAAATCTACTAATCAGGAAGAACATCAAAGGGTGTTTGCGATCCGAAAAGAAGACAAAGACATCTTCCATATCCCGGGTATATGGTATCGAACACCGGAAAAGGATGAATGTGAAAACGAAGACGTCCAATCGTAAGATGGTCAAACAGCACAAGGCTGTCATTCAGCCTTGCGCCGGCTGGGAATGAAGGACTGACGTAATGGAACCATCTGCGGTGAAGGGCAGCGACGGCTCGTTGACTTCGGGGAAATATCGGACAAAAGATGTTCCTCTTCGCATTCTGTGGCAGGTCTTTTTCATCCTCTTCTTCAACCCTGTAATTATTGTTTCAATGCTGCAGTCCACACACACACATTCACCGCATCTGGCTCAAATGTGGCCTTTGTCACCGGCTCCTCGGGATAATGACGTTGGCGTGCAATTTAGTCAGCCAACAGGGCCGCAAAACATCAACAGCCACCTCACGGATTAACGCGCAACATTTTCCCCAAGGCTGGCTAATCTTTAACGCGAGGCTATTGCCTGAATTTTTGTCCACAACCAGTGAGAGAGGCACATCCTATGAAGATGGACTCCTCTATCGTCAGACACGACGCGGTGATGATGATGGTGATGGAAGGTTCCGACGTAGGGGGAGCAAGGCGAGATCAGAAACGCACCACGTCTTCTGGAATAGATACCTGAGTGGCTCATTGAAAACGCTTCACTGTCCGATACAAAAGCCAAGTGATGTCCTGCCTCCACGGTCGGTCAGCTCTCCAATCCCACCAAGTCCATTGATAATCCTTCTTCAATAATATTCTCTGCCCAACATGATCGTCGCCGGACCTCATAACCTCTATACCCTTGCAGAGGGTGCTCCCCTCCCTCGAAACGACACCAGCGTCCAAGTCCGCAATAAGCAAGGTGGCGGTCTCGTCCTTCTTCAAGACACCCAGTTGATCGAGACACTTGCCCACTTCTCGCGCGAGAGGATCCCAGAAAGAGTCGTGCATGCCAAAGCAGCTGGTGCCCGGGGTTATTTCCAAGTCACCCATGACATCTCGGACATTACTGATGCAGACTTCCTCAATGGAATCGGCAAAAGGACAGAGGTCTTGACTCGAATCTCGACCGTCGGGCCCGAAGCTGGTTCCGCCGACACTATCCGTGACTTTCATGGTTGGGCTATCAAGTTCAAGACTGCAGAAGGGAACAATGACTGGGTGTTCAATAACCAACCCGTCTTCTTCGTTCGAGACCCCATCAAGTTCCCCTCGCTCAACCGCTCTCACAAGAGACATCCTGCTACGCACACCTCTGATGCAGACATGTTCTGGGACTTTCATGTCGGTTCCCCCGAGTCCATCCATGCCTTGATGTTCCTCTTCAGTGACCGCGGCACTCCTGCGTCTTTGCGCTCCATCAACGGTTACAGTGGTCACACCTACAAGTTTACGAAGAAGGATGGCTCCTACCACTATGTCAAAATCCACATCCACGCTGACGGAGGCATCAAGACCTTCACCAACGACGAAGCCATCAAAGTCGCTGGCGAGAGCCCTGACTTTTTGACCAATGATCTTTTCAACGAGATTGAAAAGGGTAACTATCCCTCTTACACCGTGTCCATTCAAACCATCCATCCTGCCGATGTAGCCATGTGTCCAGTCAACATTTTTGATATGACCAAGGTGTTGCCTCATGAGCAATATCCTCTCCGGCCCGTGGGCAAGCTAGTCTTTGACACCAATCCTACCAACTACTTCGCCGAGATTGAGCAGGCCGCTTTTACACCATCGAATATAGTCCCTGGTATTGAGCCCAGCGCCGATCCCATGCTGCAGGCGCGGATGTTCGCCTATCCCGACGCCGCCCGCTACCGACTCGGCGTCAACTACCAAATGCTACCCACTAATGCTGCCAAGGTGCCAATCTACGTCCCGACCGAGCGCGATGGTTTCATGAACTTCAGCACCAACTACGGTCCTGACCCGAACTACATCAACAGCTCCATTCATCCCACGGGCTTCCACACCGCAGGCGTATCAGAGTACAAGCCGACTGAGGAGTTTCTGAGTGGACCCGTCGTGTTCACTTCTGATGTGACCGACGACGACTTCAAGCAGGCCCGCGCCTTGTGGACCAAAGTCATGGCCAAGCAGGAGGGTGCGCAGGAGAACTTCATCTCCAACATCGCCGGCAACATTGCTGGCGTTAAGAGAGACTGGCTCCGCGAGAAGGTCTTTGGTAAGTGCCCTTTTCTACTTCCCACCCAAGCGTACACCTGATACAATGTCTAACGAATCCATTTCTTACAGAACTATTCCGTCGCGTAGATGAGTCCCTGGGCAAACGCATCGAGGAGGCTGTCAACAAGATTGTCAAGGCATGACTTTAATGGTGTTATGAACCCTGCAAGCAAACTTTGGCGTTGGGGGTATTTCTGGAGCGCTTCATCGCTACAGATCAACTGGGAATACTTTTATGCAGTAGTTCTTTTCATGAACAATGGAATCTGACTTTGTCTTCCATGGAGAGGAAAACAACCTAACCGTCATTGTTGACCATAGGCTCTGGTGTTCCCCGGCTCTACAGGTGACTTTTATTTGGCCCCATGATCTTCGCTCCACAGAAGCCGCCGTTCTAGTGTGTTTGGACGGAATGACCACAGAGACTGTAGATGTCTGGTGAGTGCGTTTATCCGACAAATGCGGCGCTTTTAAAGACCTTTATTAACTCGATCTAGAGTCTTGGCGCCCCTCATTCAAACAGCCCGACACCTCATTCTTGACTTAGTCGTGCAAATTCTTTCCACACGGAAGCTCTGCAGTCGGTGTGTTCCGGCACTGTGACTATGTTGTCTGTAAGAAATGCGTATCATGGCGTGTTGCCCTGCTGAAGGAAGTGGAGTAACGTGGCTCACGAAACCCTGAAACTCATTCCTAGATATTCATCAGATGGACTCATTGTCGCCGACCACTAACTACCTATCACCTTTGCTGAAGCCGAGTCCGTTACTTTCAAGAAAAAATGTGCAGCGTACGATGGTATATTTGTGCAATGATAGCATCCATCCATAGGTAGGTCCTGGAAGGAACGAGCCGTGCTGATTCGAAATTGCCCATTCTTCACTAAGTGATTTGACCGTGACACAAGACTTTCCCGGTCCCGGCAAGCATATCTCATCCAAGGAACGACCTGTTGTCCATATATCCTCACCCACTCAGGCCAAATTGAGAACTCAGCCGTTCGTCACTCGGATATCGACAAGTCCTTGGCGCGCTGCAACGCTACTGGCCAAGATATTCCGCGGTTGATCCCACATTCTTGGATCCCTCGGAGTGTGTACAGTATATCCGTATATGCTAGAGTGCCTTTTCTCACACTCACGCGGCCTCCTCGTCCGGCCTTGCCGTCATCCCCCTCTAGCGTCGTCCCCTTCGCCCGACTCCACATCTGCGCCAAGGACGAACGCCAGCGTCACAGCGGCGATGTTGACCGTGATCTGGAACTGGAGAAACTTGGCCACGGTGTCGTTGACGCTGCACCCCCACATTTGACAAAGAGCCGGCACACTGCAGAAAGAAGGCGGATGACGGTTCCCATACATTTGCGTCCCGAGTCGAACGGGTACATTTGCACACCATGATGGTTGGCACGCTCCACTGCACAGCTGGTCATTCCAAGATGAGTCTGTGCCATGCTCAGCAAGGCCACCTCGGTCTTGCTACCAATGAACGCCTTTTGGCCATCCTCCTCTCCCTCAAATGCCGTCGAGTTGACGACGATGGTCTGTAAGAGGAGACTTTGGAAGGGGGCGGACATCAGACCGAAGAGACATGCAAAAGAGAACGACGAGCCACTCTCGTAAGATTGCCAGAACTTCTGACTTTTGGCCCACGAGCCAGCAAACACAGTCATCCTGTTCTGGGTGAGCGTTCCCCGTCTTGTCCGAGCAGATGGTCGTCGCATTACCCATGGTCTCACACGCCCTGAGCACGCGGACGAGATTGTTCTCTTTCACCACATGTCTGGTTGCGAATGCGAGGGCCAAGGTCACGGCGAGAGCAAGGCCTTCGGGCACCGCCATGACAATGATGGTGATTGCCAGGATGAGAATGTCGAGAAACTCAGCCGCCTTTTCAGGGGCTGGATTCCCCGTCATTGCCAAAATAGTAAAATGGTTGAACGTTCCTCCAAAGGCATTATTTGCGACCAAACATTTCGGAACAGGTGTTCTGATCGCCACCGCATTTGTGCTGCTGTCTCCAAACTTCAAACAGTAATCTCCTCCATGAGAAGCCTAGTCGTGGCACGAGGAGCACATGTAGACTAGATAGAAAAGAGTCACTCGCTCATTTGTTTTAAGACTCATACCAGTGTCAGGGACTTGCGGCTGGTGGGTTAAAGGATATTTTTGACGAACTTGAAATGCGTAACTGAACAAGTGGCGTACCATGGCGGTTAGAAGGGGTTTTCAGGAGTCACCTCATACGATTAAGATTGGGAGGTGGAGAGGTGGTTCTAGGCGTCATATGGTGGAAATGGGAGGAAAGGTCTAATACGTAGGAATCGATCCGCTGTGAGGGAATTCAGGGAAGTTTTCTACTGCCCCCTACTGCTAGAGGTTTCGTTCAGCCGCCGGCATATATCTCAGGGCCGTCTAGATCCTCACACGACACCTATTTCCAGACCGGTTGGTAACATTTAGGGAAAGATATTCAGCAATGCATTAATCTGTCCTTTTTCGTCGTAATGATCAGCGCACTACCTGATGCAGAGGCCGGGCGAGCTCCAACGTCATCTCAGCACTGCGCTCCGACTCCTTGTTGATGAATGCCGGAGGCTCTCTCACAACACTCCCAATCTTGGGCGCAATCTCGATGATCGCGCCGGAGAGGGTGTTCGAGCCCAGCAGCCTCTCGACCTCGTCTAGCACAGTCTTCATCTCGATCAGCGGGACGCCGGCGGCCTCGATCTTGTCGAACGCCTCCGCGGTGTTCAGGCCCGTGCGGATCTTGTTGGGGCAGATGACGTTGATGAAGATCTTCTCCTCGTCGGCGAGGTAGGTGCCGAACGAGCGCACGAAGCCGACCTGGGCACTGTTGCGTGTGAGCCTCTCATATTTTGCTGGGTATTGATTATGGTGGGTGTGCTGCTCTTACTGTCGCGCTGCTGCGCACATGGGGACGCAAGGCATGCTGTACAACCCTGATACTGAACCGAGCACAATGACTGTGTGGTACGGTAAAACATGAGTATTTGGACCGTACTGATGGAGACCAATCCTTTCAGGAGCAGGAGACCATGATCTGATCTTCTGCGAGAGACTTACTCTTGCCGCGAAACCCAAGCTCATTCACCGCCTGCCGACGAAATTGCTGCAAGGCCAAGCTGATCGTGTACAGAAAGCCGTTCATGTTCACTTCAAACGCTCGAAGATCTGGCGGTTGAAAGCCCGTCGACGCTGGGTTATTGGGGAACGTCCTGGTCTCGCCGACACCCGCAATTGGGAAGATATAGTCGATCCGCTGGAAATGAGACACTGCCTTTTCAAATCCCTGACGCAGGGAGTCCCAGTCTGCAACGTCGACGACAACGGGCAACAGCACTGTCTCGTCTTTGTTCAAATTTTCGCTCAAGGATCGCAGGCCATCTTGGCTGATGTCCGCAACACATACTCTGATGCTGTTGCATGCAACGAGACTGGTTAGAGACCAAGATAAGGACCAAATCATCATCTGTTTTAAAACGCACCCTTTTTGAAGCAGCAGCTCTGTCACTGCGCGACCAAGGCCGCTTGCACCACCTGGTCACTGCTCAGCATGCAAAATCTGTGTAATTATTGCAGGGAAAAGAGGAATGTCTGAAATTGAACTCCATGCGTACCTGTAATGAATGCTGTCGCTGCTGCGCCATCCATAACGTGTCGCCGGCTGGCTTTTGTTCCACTTCTTCCTGATCGCTGACCACCAAATGATATTCCTAGTGTAGAGATGCAGTCACCGAGTCAACTTCCCCAGGCCTTGCTCTCTTCTCGAGATAACAGGACGTCATATGGTTAACTTTCACACATAATTGTCCAGAAAACACCACACGTTCTTCAGCGGTCTTCAGCAGTATGCTGGCTAGTAGAACACCACCCCGCCAACTGATGGGCCAAAGTGGGTCTGTGGAGCACCCGACTGACAAGCTAGACCTGATCGAACCGGATAGACTAGTGAGTGGAGTGGAGTAACCCGAACCGATACGGTTAGTATGCTTTGTCTCCACAAAGTGTCTTCCAGCGCAACAACTTTGCAAGGACCTCGTCGAGGCGTCGGCTGCGAAGAGAAAAGAGCAGATACTATCACTGTCAGCAATGACTGAGCTCCTCCCAGGCCGGTAAGAATGCCACGTCCCGATTGACCGGGACAATACAGTCTCCGTGCGAGGTATAGCTAAGTTCGCCTCTATTCTGAACATCGGTTCCAAGGAGGCCGAGGTGCGGAATGCCAACTGTGTATGGTCGCGCCACACGGTTTGGTTTGCTCTCGTTGTATTGCATTGCATTGCTGGTCCCGACTTGAAACTGCCGGTCAAAGTGGAATGTTCATTCATTCACTCTTTCACTCATTCACTTACTCATCCCTACCCAGTCTTTTCAGTGTCGAAGACTCACCTTGTGCCTCGGTGCATAATCACCAATTAATCCTCCCCCCCTGAAGGGCAAGTCGCCACATCTAGCCATAAGCACATCGAAATTGAGCAACTGGTCTTGCACTCGAGACATTCGTATTATCTCACTAGGGCACAACCAGAAAAACATGACCGCCAACAACCATTCTGCCGCTGACGCTGCCGACCAAGTCGACCCAGCCGCCAAAATCCTCCCGCCCAAATACCTCGCCCACGTCGTCCTGCGCACGGCCAATTTCCGGCCCATGGTGGACTTTTGGGCGACGTTCCTCGGCGGCTCCATCACGTACGGCAACGACAAGCTCGCGTTCATTACCTACGACGAGGAGCATCACAGGGTAGCGATTCTGAATTTGCCCGAGTCGGGGCCCAAAGACGCGACGAGTTCGGGGTTAGGTACGTACGAGACACTGAGCACCACGCACTTGACGTTTTGATACTTGATACTTTGTATATCGTCGTTGGTTATTGGGTCATGAGATGGAAATATTTTTTGTGTGTGTGTCCTGGTACAGGAATATTGTTCACATACGATCACGAGGCTCAACCCGCATCTTTTTGCCGAACAAGTATCCGCTCTTGTCGACTAGCTGACAAGGCCGACCCGCCAACAGAACACGTCGCCTTCGGATTCAGCACGATTGACGACCTCGCCCTGGCCTACACGCAACGCAAGGCCCGCGGCATCGTGCCCGGGTGGTGCGTCAACCACGGCCCCACGACGAGCCTGTACTACAAGGACCCGGACGGCAACAAGATCGAGATGCAGGTCGACAACTTCGCCACGGTGCAGGAGGCCACGGCCTTCTTCCACACGGACGAGTTCGCAGAGAACCCCATCGGCGTCGACTTTGACCCGGACGAGTTGGTCAGGCGGCTCCGCGACGGGGAGGACCGGAAGGAGATCCTGAAGAGGCCCAGGACAGGGCCGCGGTTGAATTATAAGCGGTATTAGGAAATTTCGTACCTCTAAAAGAAAGGGTAGAAATCCGTGAAATGGACAGGGCAGTGTCAGGATATACATGTGCAGAATTGCAAACTTGTTGATCTCGAAATGTCCATCCTAGTATAGTAGACGCCGAGAAACCGCGTTTGCTCGCTTCAGTCTAGGAGGGTGCAAGACGTTGGTTTCATCAATCAATCCGATTCATTACTTCGTTTTGTTCATTGATCATACATGAATTCCCAAGACATCTTCCGGCAGAGGCGGTAGTGACGTATCAGGCAACCACAAGAGCGAGTCCCCCCAACTTTCGAGTTCCATGTCCATCCGATTAAATATTGACATCGGCTGTGAGAGAGGAAGGTCGTGTTAGCTGAGAGCGGGATCAAAAGAAGCTGGGACAGTAAAAGGCAAGAAAAGGAAAGGGGAAACGTACATCTTCCGGTGAGGTCATATGCATCATCAGCCCATCAGTGACTGCTGCAGCACCGGCAGCACCACCAACTCCTGCCGATTTCACTGCTTCTGTGCCCGCTCCGTCTCCGACCCCTCGCATGGCCTTGGACCATGATCCGGTGGTTGTCCGCCGCGCGGTTTGTTGTCCAGCCTTCATGACCGTGAACCGAGCCAAGTTGACCACGTCCCTGGCGAACGGGAAGTGTAGATCCGCAGAGGCGAATTCGACATAGTTCATGTGGCCGGCGACCATGTCCATGAACTGGATGTCGGCGCCCACGGCCGGCCTGTCGGGGAATTTGAGGACGTGCGCAAAGAGCGCGATCAGCGCTGTCAACGGGAACACGTAAACCAGGCTTGGGAGAAGTCAACCTAAAATGCCCAAAATACTTCAAGAGGGGCTGCAGGGCGCGCTCACCATTTTGGAGTCGACGGAGTAATGGCAACATGGCGAAGATTCCGGACAATATTACGGGCCGCTTCGGCCACGACTTCGGTGCACTGGCTGATAAAGTCACGAGCTTCGTCGTAATGCGTCGCTTCAAAATGGATTGGCAGAGTGTTCCAGAAATTGACCATGACGGAGTTGATACTGATGGTACTTCCGTAGTATGAAAACAATAGATATAGAGTCTTCATGGGGTGGAGGTCGCGAGGAAATTCGTTGGTCGTGGTGTCGATCCTCACTGTGGTCGGAAGTGACTCATACCACTGGTCCAGGGTTGACTGCAGCGTCGTGAGGATCCTTTTCACCTCGTGAAAGCTTTGCTTGGACTTGCGTAGTCGTGTGATGGCTCGGGCGATGCGGCCGGATATCTGCGCATGCTTGACAACGTGGACAAAATAGTCCAAGTTCGTTGCATTGCCATCAATGGGTTTCTCGGGCAGTTGACAAGTGATGTCGTCGTCATCGATTGCCTGCACACAGCGTAATCACGTAGGTCAGAAAACATGTAAAGTCTTACACGATGTGCGCCGGTCTTGTCAGCTTACCAGCGGCCGTGCAGATCTATAGACGATGTGTCGTTCGTAGACGAACAACGACCACCATACATGGCTGCGCAGTTGTAGCGCCGTATCCGGTAAGTTCCAGGCTGTCGCGGGCCTCGTATGGAGGCCTTTGGACTCCGCCAGTTTCATGGCGTTGAGACATAGCATCCAGTCCAGCGCTGGGCAGCCAATGCATTCAACGTACATGCTCTGGTGTCATCAATCAGTGTCCTGCCCGGGGCGAGGAGAAGGTGTCCAACGCTTACCATTGCAGCAAGTGCCTGAATCGCCATCAAGCTCGTCCGGCAATAAAGCAATTTTGAATGAACCGAGAGAGCGTTTGTGAAGTATCCCCAACCCGGACCACGGGCGTAATGATAGTCGGCATAGGACTTCTTCCAGGACTGCACTCGCCAGCCTGCCGCGTAGATAATGTACCGCAACGCGTACCATGCTGGGTCCTGGTCCACCGTCGGCGTGTGCTCTTGTTGAAAATGGGCCCGTAATAGGTTTTCAAATTGTGGACGGTACACCAAGCCGATGCTGCCTTCGACTGATTCTTCAAAATATGCACAGGTGTATGCCCATGCGTCCGCCTCGCCCGGTTCTGGCTCCTTTGCTGTCGTGGTGAGATCTTCCAGCTTGAGTCGGTAGCATACATCGCTTGCTAGTTTTCTTGCCGTTTTTTCAAAATCGGTACTTCCTGTCCTGCGACAAACCCACTCTATTCCGGGCTTTGAGCAAATAGAAATGAATGACCCGAGCCCTGTCGGTGACGATTAGGCCACATTCCTCTTTCCGTCGAGGAAACTTCACAAAGACATACCGTGATACTCAAATGTCATCTGTGAGAGCTTGTTAGTAGTGTGCTCTACTGGAGCCTGTTTTTGGGGGCTGTTAACACACCTCCTCCTCTGGAGGTCGCATGGAGATGCCATCGTCTTCCAGTGTGCTGGAGAAACTGGACAGCGTTGGCGTTGAAGGAACTGGAGGATCATCACTGACTTGGGCGGATGACTCGCGCGGAATGTATTGTTGGTTGTCCACAGCACGGCCGTCGTCAACTGCGACGGAAGGCATAGGGGAATTCCTGCGATAGATGTTGGAACTCCAACTACCGTCGGGACGGATATCCTCTTGTTCGCTGCGCGAGATAAACGGCGACTGCTGAAATGTATGAGGTTCGTAAGCAACATTGGGAACTGAGACAGGTTCAACCACGGCTTCAGTTGGTCCGCGTGGTGGCATATCCTGAACCGACCCAATCAACGTCTCATCGGTATGATTGAAAAATGTCTCTAAGTGAGATAGTCTCTCCTCCATGACATTGAAATCGCCTTTCCGTGCGCCTGCTCTACGACGAGGACACGAGGTGTACAGACACTCTTGGTGAAAGTCCTACCATAATTAATACAAAACAGTGTTAGATCAGCCGCTGGAGCCATGATGGCTGGCTACTCGATTGACCTACCAGACAATTTGTGCATGGACGTCCGCCGTTACTTGCGATACATGAGTCGGGGTGATCTTAGCAGTAAAAAGAGGATGTCCATACCACTTGATCTTCTTTGCGCGACATGAATTGCAGGCCGTCGCACACCTTGCGCGACGTCCCAAGGAGCTCGACATTTTTGTTCTACTTGGACGATATTGTGCGATTAGATCGTGGATGATGACGGGAGTGAGTTATTGTCAGCCAGGTGGAGTGGATAGCAGGGTAGATTGAGAGTGGATGGTGGAGGCAGAGGAGAAACCATGAGGTCGAGGCACATGCAGTGGAGGCGCAGGCGCAGGCGGGAGGCGATGGCGGGGGCGGAGGCGAAGGTGAAAATGACGAGGTGCATCGACGCACATCAGGTCAGGTCAGGCGTTATGCGTTCCGGCCATGGAGACCCCACCATCTTCACCTACGAGCAGCACGGACTGACCTGGAGCCGTCCCGTACATGAGGGGGACACGGGGGACTCAGGGGCCACAGAGGTGACCGGGCACCTGGGTTGGCGCCTAGGTGCCCACCTGGAGGGGAGAGCCACTAATCACTAGGGACTGCCTTAAGCGTCTCTAGGCGGGGTCAATGCCTAGCGTTGCCTAGTGCGATGCTCTGATTAGCCCGTAGCCACACCCAGGCTGAGATTGACTTTTACTCGAGTCGACGCCATCGATCAGGACGGTGGGAGTCAAACCATGACCAAATCATAGTTTCGCCATTACAATGTCAATACGCAAATCTGCTCAGAGACCAGACGAGTACAAGCTCAAAACCTAGCCTTGCCGCAGTAGCAATTAGACTCTGACGCCGAGGCCATCCAATCTGTCGAGTAATACATTCACATGAAGGAGTTGGACATGATATCGAGAGCAGGATTCCCTAGTACGTCGCCGAAAGACGTGTCGTCCCCATCCGGCCATTGTAGCAGGGTTCCCCAAACTTCCTGGTCAGGATCCATGGTATGAAACAACTCGGGCTGTGTGGTTGAGCATGTTAGATAGACGACCATTAAATAATCAAAAAGCAAAGCGTAAAGAGCGGCAACCTTACGTTGTCAGATGGTGCTGCGTTATCAAACCGCACAGACTCTGCAGCTTGTGTGGCTTGGCCTTCGAGCTGGCTGGCGACATGACTCTGTGAGAAAGGTTCCTTGGTAGCGAACCCATCCCCTCTAGCCGCCCTCGCGACGGCTGAGCGTGCTAGGGTCGTGACCTCTCTGGCAAAAGGGAAGTCGAGATCTGCCGACGCGAAGCCGACATAGTCGAGGTGTCCGGTGACTGTGTCCATGAACTGAATATCGGCGGCGACTGTAGGTAGCTTCGGAAATTGAAGCACGTAGATGAACAAGGTGCTTAAAGCGACCAGAGGCCATTCATAGACCAGACTACCACGACATCGTTAGATGCATCTTCAATCAGAATCCTGGAAACGTACGCTTTGGGGCTGGAACGAGTAACATTGATATGTTGCAGACATCGAATGATATTCCGCGCCGCTTCGGCCACGATTTCCGTACTGTTCCAGACATGTTTGCGGAACCTATCCTTGTCGTACTCACCCGAGAGGGCAGGTACTTCATTCCAAGGACGAACCAGCATCGAATGCAGCAGGATCAGCCTGGCTTGATAGCCACAGTATAGGAACAGAGCCTTGTAGGGATGGATATCTGGAGGCAAGGAATGGGTAGCAGTATCAATCTTGACCGATGAAGGAAGTGACGAATACCAATCCCCAAGGGCCGAGTCCAATTGGGAGATGGAATCCACTATCTCCTGAAAGGTAGGAGTTGCCCTTTTCAACCTTTTCGTCATCCTCCAAATACGTCCAGAGATTTGGGCCAACGTGATAGAGCCGATAAAGTAGTCCAGGTCGGCATGATCGCCCCCTGGCTGATCGGTCGGTAATTGACATGTAATGTCATCATCGTCAATGGACTTGACCTCGTGTTAGTCGCGTTATACTTGCGCGGTGCTTGTCCCGGTCTTGCTGATCACTTACCAGTGGTCGCCCAGACATGAAAGCTGTATGTCGCTCATAGATATATATCGACCACCAAAGATGAGCTCGAGTGTGAATTGCTGATTGGTCCAGGTCCCACGCGAGTGCGGGCTCTCGGTGTAGACCTTTAGACTCTGCTAGCTTCATGCTGCTGACGCACAGCATATACTCTAGCGAGGGGTTACCAATGCCATCCACATACATACTCTAAAAGTTGGTCGTTAGTAGTCGCACGACAACAACAATATAAATGGGGAGGACTCTTACCATGGCAATGAGGGCTTGCACAGCCATAAGCCCCGTTCTGCAGTAGAGTAGTTGGGAATGGACTGAGAGAGCGTTCAGGAAATATTTCCAGCCGTCACCATCAGTGTAACAAAAGCTACCGCTCGTTGTATGCTGGGAGAGATGTCTCCAACCAAAGGCGTAGATGACGTTTCGCAGTGCATACCATGCCGGGTCCTCTTTCTCGGGAGGCGGTAGTGGCAGTTGACTGAAATGTGCCTTCAGATGGGCTTCAAACTCGGGACGGTGAACTAGGGCGTGCAGACCCTCCACGGTATCGTCAAAGTACGCTGCAACAATGGTCCATGCAGTGTTGGGGTCTGGTTCGGGCGCAAGTGCTGTCTTTTGAATGTCGAATGGGTCCAATTTCAGCATTCGGCAAAGATCTCGCACCAGCCTCTGGGCGGCCATTTCGAACCTCTGGTTTCCCGTCTTTTGACAAACCCACTCTACCGCCGACTTGGAGCAGATGGACAAGTACGAGCCGTGACCTGTGGCTACGGTCAGTACGTGGGAAGGGCGTGTTTAGCGAAACAAGGTTACCGTGGTATTCGTAACTCGTCTGCCACAATGTCAGCACCACAGATCTCAAACATGATAATCATATTCAAATATCTCACGTGTTCTTCTGGCGGCAATGGACAAGTGCCATCATCCTCCCCTTGATGATGCGCGTTGTCCAAGCTCGATACCGAGGGAACTTGGACAAAAGAGTTGCTGGTGGGTGGTGATATCACCATGCTCGAGGCCGAGATTGAGGTTTGATGTACATCTCCAGTAGATTCCAGCGATGGCTGGCAGCGCAGTATTGATTCTGGGCTTCGGTTTGGTATTGGGGAAAGAGCCTGTTGCCCCGAGATTTCAAGATGACGGTCGTCTGTTCTAGAAGAAGCGGAGTCTGAAAAAGTCGAGAGTGTTTTAACGAGTGGTTGCCTTGTGAGGTCTGACCGAGATCTGTTTGGTGCAACTTGTGTCGACACCGTCGTCTGATTTGGCAATAGACGCTCGACCCTGAAGAAACTGTCTTGAAGGGTTCCGATGCCCCGTTTTGAGCGGGCAGCTGCATGTCGAGAGCGGGCAGCAAATACGCATTCTTCCCGGTAGTCCTCGTGTCGGTCAGTTGGCGGCACATCTTGCTAACGTCCGGTCAACTTACAAGGCAGTTCGCGCATGGAGATCGACCATTGCTTGTGTAGGTCAGCGAGTTGCGATGCTGTAAGTCTGTATCAGGGGTATATAGCCTACCATCTTATCTTCTTCGCCCTACACGAAGTACAGGCGATGTGGCATCGAGGCCGGCGCGGTATTGTAGGTGGCTGCGATTCTTTGGCCATGAGAGCGGTAGAAACGGTAGTGCCTGGGACGCCAACAGTTTTACCACGCAAGTGCTGACTTGAACTCATGGTAGAAGGGTGGTGGTGAGCTAGGATTCCGCGTAATGCAGAGTGGAGACGGAGGAACGACTGTGGTTGTCGTTGTGGTTACGGAATAGTGTAGGCGTAACCAGTCGCATGGGATTGGGATGGGGATGCTGGAGGGGACGAATGAGTGTCTGTCCCGAGTCCGTGGTACTGTTCTGTACTATGACAAGATGCCAAGGCGCTAAATTATCTTGGCACATAAATTCCAGCCAAGCAGCCCACACTCCCCCGCTCCGCCCTAATTCATCCTCCCACAAGATCCTTCCTAGCATCTCGCGAGTCAGGTCTTGCACCCGTACGGCACAATGGGCTGCGGTATTAGCTTCTGGCAAGTCCTCCGTGACAGCATGACTAACATAGAGCATCAATGCAGAAGAAATGCGTGCGCCTGGGATGCAATTGTTTCGATGCGATATGGGGGAGCAATTTTGCGACTCACTGACCGACTACCCACCTCTATTGCTGTCCCTCGGCACTCGTGGCTCTTCTTTGGTGGCGCGCGAAACCCTCAGTATCACGAATACCATGATCCTCGCACCACTACGAGTATTTGCCCATTCCACTCATCATCCCTTGGAACCCATGATCATGTAACTCGTCATCCCCGTGAGACCAGTTACAAGCTGAGGTTCCTTGCGTCCGAATTGGGCATGTGGCCGGCTCCATCAGGAATAGCCAACCCCGGAATTTCCTCTGGCTCCGATCCCATGCTTGCTAGCGTGCTAACCTGCACAAAACACGGCACGAGAGGCCGTGTTTAAGTTTCTCCGCGCGTTCTGCCATGTGGGTCTTCTGGTATACTTCACACTATGTTCAATTGTACAAAGATGTATCGATCTTTTGCGAGCCCTTTGTCTGCCTGTCACAACTACTCACATGCTCCCAGACACAATGACTGAACCAGCAGCGCTACCGACAACTCCCACTCTGCAGGTGCCACCCAAGGACATCAGGACTTATGCCCAGATTTTGAATATTCCGCTCGATTTCGACCCCGATGCTCTCAAGGCGAAGTATGCCGAAGAAAAGCGGAAGCGAGATCACCATGGCGGCTTGTCGCAATACCAGTCCGTCAGAGATAGCGAGTTCCTAAAGTCGTATACGAAAGATCTGTACGCGGATGAGACCTTCACCCGTGATCCGGTTAAAGGAGTCTATGATGTCGTTATCGTCGGCGCGGGCCTTTCTGGAATTCAAGCTGTTCGCCATCTACACCAAAGAGGTATCACAAATGTCTGCGTGATTGAAAAGGGTCATGGCTTTGGGGGCACTTGGTGAGTTCCCCCGTGACGTCCATGGTCTATATGGCTATACTGATACTCGGTGTCAGGTATTGGAATCGTTATCCTGGGGTGCAGTGTGACATTGATTCATATATCTATCTGCCATTGCTAGAAGACCTGGACTATGTTCCAACACAGAAGTACGTTTATGGTCCCGAGATACGGAAATATGCCGAAGCACTGGCCAAAAAGTACGACATGGATTCGAAGACACTTTTCCAGACTGAGGCACTGGGGTTCTTCTACGACGAGGAAAGAAAGCTCTGGAAAGTCAAGACGAGTCGCAATGACGAGATCGAGGCACACTGGATTGTTCCCGCGCCAGGGCCTCTCCACGTGCCAAAATTTCCTGGCTTTGGAGGGATTGAATCCTTCAAAGGCAAACATTTCCACAGTTGCAGATGGGACTACAACTACTCGGGGGGAGATCCTGAGAATCCACAGCTAACTGGTCTCACCGATAAGCGAGTTGGGATCATCGGAACTGGAGCTACCGGCGTACAACTCGTGCCACGTATCGGCGAATGGGCTAAAGAACTATACGTCTTCCAGCGAACGCCCTCGTCAATTGATATCCGTGGGAACAAGCCGACAGATCCGGAATGGGCCAAAACCTTGCGCAAAGGCTGGCAGCGCCACAGGCAGGACAACTTCAGCACCTTGACAGTCGGCGGATACGTCGAGGAAGACGAAGTCAACGACGGGTGGACAGATGTCCTTCGAAACTTGCCCGGCTTCATGGCTGGAGATCAATCTGGAGACCCCGAGCTCCGGAAAGCACGGATGCAGATCGCCGACTTCAAGAAGATGGAGTCGATCCGGAAGCGAGTGGACAGCCTCGTGAAGGATCCTGAAACAGCGGCGAAGCTCAAGCCATGGTACAATCAATTCTGCAAACGGCCTTGCTTCCATGACGAGTACCTCCAGACATTCAATCGACCCAACGTCCACCTAGTGGATACTGAGGGTAAAGGTGTCGAAAGAGTCACGTCGAAAGGGCTTGTGGCAAATGGTCAAGAGTATGAGCTGGATTGCATAATCTATGCCACAGGCTTTGAGTGGGCCACTGATCTAAGCTCCCGTCTGGGAGCACCGATCAGAGGCCGTGGTGGCATCAGTCTGACAGACAAGTTTAAGGACGGCATTACCACGCTCCACGGGTGGGCGGTGCACGGATTTCCCAACATGGCCCTCCTCACCCATTTCCAAAGTGGTTCAACGCCTAACTGGACGCATAATATGACCGAAGCCTGCAATCACATCGCATACGTCATTGCCGAGAGCAAGAAGCGCAATCTCAAAGCTGTGGAGGTCGCCCAGGAAGCCGAGGACGCATGGGTCGCGCATTGCATGGACGTTGCTCGTGGCAGAGCCGAATTTCTGAGGGATTGCACTCCTGGATACTACAGTGACGAGGGGACCATTGACGACAAGCTGCTGAAATCTCAACCATACCTTGCCGGTGGTCCCACTTTCTTCAAGCTCATCGAGGAATGGAGGAAAGAGGGGCAGATGCGTGGTCTCGAACTGACTGCTGGTGATGCAAATGAGGAAAGGGCTCGACTGTGAACCAAAGTTTTTCTTTTAGCTCACTCTCCATTTGTCATTCTGAATAGCAATCTCTGATCTACGTACAAGACTATTCCAGAGGTGGATGGGCACGACGCCACAAAAGACAATGTTTATAGATTGTTCCAAGAGATGGTTGAACTTGGAAAAGCTGTACAAAGCTAACTCTCGTGATGGGATTCATCCACCAGATGGCTCATCCTCGATTCCTGCCAGACGCTTGAACTACTTTTGTCATGTTGTCCTTGTCGTAGCGTTGAAATCTCCTGGTCCGTGACTCGAGTCGTCACAACTGGCACCGAGTCCTTCCCCAGCAATCCGGTTCAATTAGAAGCCATATGTTCGGCGGCAACATACCCAAAAGTCATTGCTGGACCAATACTCGACCCTCCAGCAGGATACGTCCCTCGCCAGACCGAGTTGCTATCATTCCCTGCCGCATATAAGCCGTCAATGGGCTTTTCATCTTGTCCCATCACCCGTGAATACTCATCGGTTCGCAGGCCATACTGTGTGCTCACGTTGCCGGGGTACATAGGAACAGCATAAAAGGGGGCATGGTCGCAGGTCCCCAGATTCGGGTTCGGCTTGTTTGTAGCGTCGCCAAAGACGTTGTCGTAGACGCTGTCGCCTCGACCGAAGTCGGAGTCTTTGCCACGCGCTGCATTCTCGTTGCACCACTTGACCGTCTGCACGAGGTTGTCCTCGGGGATCCCCAGTTTCGCGGCGAGCTGGGGAATTGTGTTGGCCGAGATGAGATAGTTTTGAGAGAGGATCTTCCATTTCGGGTACGGGTCTGGCAATGCGAAGCCGATGCCGTACTTGCTGAGGAATCGCTTGTCCGCGATCATAAAGCACCGTGTCATCTTGGATGCGTGCATGTGCTGCACGAACTGATGGTATCCCACGCTCTCATTGATGAATCGCTGACCGTTGGTGTCTACAACGATTGACCCGGGCTTTGCGCGGTCATAGCCGAAATGGGGATACATGCGAATTGGACCGTGTCTAGGCTGAAGAATCGAGACAGGTGAGTATATCGCATTGTCAGGGCTCGGGTCCGGAAGAATCGCGCCTGCCGCTTGTGCCAGGCGAATGCCATCGCCCGTCACGGAAGACGGCGAGAGACAGTATTCGTGCGGAACAAAGGCTCGAGCCTCCTTTGCGCGACCAAAGCCTCCGCTAGCCAGCAGGACACCTTTGGCTGCGCGAACGCGAATTTCTCTGCCGTCCTTCGCAACGACCACGCCCTCCACCCGGCCACCATTCGTGACGAGTTCAGTCGCGGGAGAATTATTCCAAAGGTCGCCGCCACTTTGGGCTATTGTGTAGACGAGACTTCCAACGATGGCGTTTCCATTTGCGAGGAAACTCCCCTTGCCGTACCTCAACAAGTCCAGCATGTATCGCTGGAGCTTTGCGACGACACGAGCTAGATTTCTGGTGCTGGCCAACGGGCTGGCCAGGATAGGCATTTCGTCGAAGGCAACTTGCATTGATTCGAATGCCTTGAACCCCTGCAGAGCGTATCTTATATCCTTCAGCCGCCCTCCTAGCTTGCGACCGTCAAACGGCGAAGCGACCAGGGTTCGGCGCTCGGTGGCCCCGTTGAGAGAAGTATAATAGTCCGGGAGTGGGAGGGCGAAGAACTTGAGCGCTGTATTGTCGTCAATCCATTTCGCCATCCTAGGAGCATTGTCAAGAAAGCCGTTGATCGTGCGGTTGTCGTAGCGACTCCCAACAACTGCTCGGAGGTACGTTGTGGCCTTTTCTTTGCTGTCGGTGACCCCCAGGGTTTGCTGATGGTGATTGTTGGGCAACCAAGCGCCGCCTCCCGAGAAGCCAGTAGTTCCTCCGAAATACCTGGCCTTCTCCGTGACGAGGACCTTGAGGCCATGTTTCTTCGCAGCAGTAACGGCGGCCGTCAAGCCTGCCGCTCCTGACCCTACCACAACCACATCGTAAGAGGCATCGAACAAAGGCTTTGGCTTCAAGAGCCCAGATTAGCATAAGGTTCTGGAGCTTTCTAACATGCTAGAACCTTACAGCACTCCTTGCAGCTGTCGCTAGCATTCTCGATGAACCCCGTAGCATGACTGGTTGGAAATATACCATATACGACAGTACAGATGAGCTGAGGGGCGCGAGCAATGACGCCTTGTCAAATCGAGCTTGACGTGCAATCACTCTTACAGAGGACAGGTGACTTTGAAGACGTAACGCCAAAGTGAGATAATTAATCAAAGAAACAAGCATGAGGCCATGAAGATGGTTACAGCTACAAAGGATTCAGTCGCTCCCTTTCGATGCTCGAGGGGCTGTGTGCAAGAGTAAGAATGTGGGGGCTTGCCCGAAATCATAGAACCAGCGGTGCATTATCGCTAAGAAACAGCGGCTGTAAAGCATTCGTTGAGTAGTGGACTCCCCTGAATCACCTCCCCATGGGGAGCTGGGCAGTTTCGGGTCCGGTCCTCGTAGACGGAGTTGCTTTTCTGGATTTCGGCCATTCATCGTCAGACCACAGAAGTCAATATGGTTGACGGCTGAAGTCACTGGAAACTGGAAGTTTGCCAACCTATGCCAACAACAAGCTGTCAACATAGTGCCATGAAGGGAATCGCCGAGAGGGTTTTCCGAGCCACTAAGATCAGACTTCTGAAATTACAGTGTAAACACATCGGTCCGAGAAATAGCATTCATTATTTCTGCGCCGAAGCCTCCTCAATAGATTTGAAATGGTTCATCTCACTTCTCATGCGTTGTAATGCAATGTACGATGCTCCGCCAAAGGTAGGTTGATCACACAAGCGCCTACTCGCTTGGTACAGGTACGGATGAAAAACTATTGTGGGGCCTAGACATGCGTGGCAGCCAATAGGAAACTTACAAGGCTTCCACGGCTGTTTAGAGTTACTAATCCCTCTATTCCGGCCACATAAAGATTAGCGCTGTGGGTCTTCCGATCACAAAAGGTTAGACGAGCCTCGAACAGTTCCGGGGTCGTGGGCAGGTACAGCTTACCGGGGCCCGGGGAACCAGCTGCAATCTTCAGCCTAGCCCACAGGAACTATCGAGTACACGGGAAACCTACCCCGTACTCCTAATCCTGGGGTAATCTTGTGCCATCAAAAGGCAAGCGATGCCCGGGCTGGCTGTGTTTTGAGACTCACGCCACTAATGTCATTTTTTTTGGGACAGAGCACTCCAGGTTGACCATACTACGCTCAGCTAACTGCCTCATCAACTTCCAAAGCGTCAGCTGTCCACGATGACAGCCGACCAAGGTACCCATGGCGTGCCAGAAGGTATTGCCGGCCCTACAACGCAGGAGAAACCCGTGGCAGGGGTAGTGGACCATGTCGATGTGGTTGATAACGTCGACGTCGTCCAGGCTACTCACGTCGACGGGACCGTCGATCTCGTCGACAAGCGAGCAATTGGTGGTGATTTGAATGAGATGCCCCCAGGCTATTTCCGCAGTTGGCAATTCATTGGCACAGTCGCTGTATGGTCCATTCGGGGTATATTCATGATCTGCGGCAGAGTCACTGACAAAGTTCTTCACAGGCCGCCACGTTCATGAACATGGCTTCACAAGTGAGCTGGGTCATGCCTGCGAATACACTGTGCGTTGAGTCTTTGCTTTATCGACAATGCAGGGTCGTGGTCTGACTGACTGGTTACTAGCATGCTGATGGACCAAGATCTGGGTCCCTCGAAAAACATCAACTGGGTAGCAACGGCATGGACTCTGACTTACGGCCTGTCCGTTTTACTTTATGGTCGCTTGTCCGACATCTTCGGTCGCAAGTGGATCACCATCTGGTTGAATGTGTCTGGTGTCGTCGGCGCCATCGTGGGCGCCACAGCGCAATCGGTCGAAGCACTGATCGGGGCCAACATTTGCACCGGCATCTCCGCGGGAGCCCAGCTGTCGTCTCCCACGATTCTGGGAGAGATAGTCCCCAACCGCTATCGCACGCCTATTGTAGGCTTGGTGTTTTTCTTGACCTTCCCATGGGCGACGTTCGGTCCGCTCATCGCCCGTCTGTTCATTCTTCACACCGCAGCCACCTGGCGCTGGAGCTACTACATCGGCATCATCTTCTCCGGCCTGTCGACCGTGTTGCTGGTGCTTTGCTACAATCCGCCCAGATACACACAACTACATGTGCACGGCAAGTCCGAGTGGCGGCAGTTTCTCGAGCTCGACTGGGGTGGTCTATTCCTCTACAGCGCCGGCCTTGTCATTTTCCTTATAGGACTCTCGTGGGGTGGACAGGTCTACGATTGGTCAGATGCCCATGTGGTCAGCACGATCATCGTCGGGGGAATTTTGTTGATCCTGTTCGGACTATACGGTAAGTCTTTCTGGTTCTGTCCACCCTTTTACTGTTTGAAAATGGTTGCCTGATTGGCTGTTTATCAGAGCAATATGTGGTCAAAGGTCACGGCCTGATGCCACCCCGTCTGTTCAAGAACATCGGCTTCATCGCGGTCGTGACGACGTCGTCTGTCGGCGGCATGGTCTATTTCAGCATGACGGTCATGTGGCCCACTATTGTTGGCACCGTATTTACCAGCGACATCATCTCGATTGGATGGCAGTCGGCCGTGGTGGGAGGCGGTGTCATCTTCGGCCAGGTCTTCAGCGGCCTGTGCATGGCGGTGTTGCCCAAGCTCAAATACCAAGCGATCCTCTCGTCGACCCTTGCCGCAACCTTCACCGCAGCTCTCGCGAGTATCAGTCCGGCTAGGCACGCCTCGGCCATCGCATTTGGCGTGATTGCCACGTTCAGCGTCGGCTTCATCGACAACGTTGGATTCGCAGGAGTCTCACTCCTGGTCGAACCCTCAGACATCGGCCTGGCATGTGGCGTCCTGGGTTCCCTACGCACGATCGCAGGCTCGGTAGCCCAAGCACTGTACATCTCCATCTCCACCACCGAAATCACCAAGAACCTGCCTGCCTTGATCGCGCCCGCGGTCGTGCAAGCCGGCTTACCCCAGACGTCGCTCCCGGCACTCTTTGCAGGTCTCACGACGGGCGACTTCAGCGCCGTGCCAGGAGCCACTCCCGAGATCCTCGGAATCGCCGCCGAGCAGGCGAAACTGGCCTACGCCAAGAGCTTCCGCATGGTCTTCTTCGCGACGATCCCCTTCGGCGTCATCCTCATCGTCATGTCGTTCTGGGTCCCCAACATCGAAAAGTTCCTCCACAACAACGTCGCTAGGAAACTGCAATTTGGCACGAAACGGGGCCACGAAACGGATGAAAAGGTTCACGAGCAAGTCTAGGGGTGTGACTGGGCTCAAAATAGAGAGTTCAAGACTACCGCCCCTCGAGTGTTTCCTGTTTGAGAAACCAAAGTATAGGCAGCAGGGGATGGGGTATGTCGCTCCTCTCGACAGGTGGCTAAGTATCTTTAGTGACCTGAGGCCTTGTGGAGAGGCCCAAGTCGTGTGATTAGTTTAAATAGTATCAGGCTATTAATATGAAGTGTTGCATGATTTGCATGGCTCTTTTATCCTACCCACCGATTCGCCATGCCTAAGATTATATCGTCCAATATTTTTTGTGAAACGTGTCCGCAGAAGTCACAGAAGCTTATGCACATGGATGAAAGAATAAAAGCTTCCATCATCGTTCATGTGTGAGCTATAACCACCGAGGAGTTTGATCCTACAATTGCACCATTTGTTGCGCTGACTTATCGCCTGTAACACAGACTCGAGGGCACGACATGAGATTACAGATCCGATTCATCTATTGCGTACGAGGTATACTACAGCATGCAAGAGTCTAATTTTGCGGCGAAACCATCATGTCGTACAAGAAGGTGACCATCAACCTCTGCTGGAATGACATACGAATCTCGAGCTATGTATACTTCGCCAGTGCAACCCTCGTCCTCTGTCTAAGAGCAAGACCTCCGAAGGCTACGCCGTCAATGAAATTCATCATGGCAGCGCTCTGACAGAATCTGCAACTCTATATCTTGGCCAGAACCAGTTCCCCCTGGGCTTGTTTCTCGATCTCGTAGAAGCGCTCAAAGTATTTGAACGACTCCGGATTGGCCACGGCCCCGTTCGGTTTCGACTTGCCACGGGAGATGATCGCTTTGACTGCTTGCTCAATCTTCTTCCCATTGATCGTGTATGGGATGTCCGGCACTTGGAAAATATACTTTGGTACGTGTCTGGGTGTCCGAGCTGTGCGAATGGCGGTTGCGATGGTCGATTTCAGCCTCGGGGTCAATTTGTGACCTTTGGCCATCTTGACAAACAACACGACAACTTCATCCTGGTCATGTGGACGACGTTGAGCTACGCACAAAGAGTCCGCTATACCGGGGATCCTTTCCACGACCTCGTATATCTCCGCGGATCCGAATCGCACTCCAGACGGGTTGAGGACCCCGTCGCTATCCACAACGTGTCAGTCAGAACTGTAGGACCACGCCAAGTCAATGAATCGTCAGGCTCAGAAGAACTTACGATCTCCCCAGCATCAGGAACCCGTGAGTCTTGGGGTTCATTTGAATAAAGTCGCCTTGAAACCAAATTTTGTCTCCGTATCTTTCGAAATATGACGCGCGGTATCTCTCGAGAGTTTTCTCCCCCCAGAATGAAGGTTGACTGGGAAAAGGCATACGGCAGACGAGCTCCCCTGCTTGGCCTATTTGTTTGACAGAGACGGCATTCGTCGCTTCGGCATCAGCAATGTGTGTCGCCATACCTATCGTCTCACACTGGATTTCGCCAGAGTAGAGTGGAAGTGTCGGGTTTCCCGTCACCACTTTGCACAGTCAGTACTAGCGTGCTCACCAGATGTGATCCATGTGAAGGTTACTTACATGAGCCGGCGATGTCAGTACCGCCACTCGTTGACACGAGATGCACGTGTCGTGGGAATCCCACATCGTAGAACCATTCGCTGACTTCCGCGGTCAACGTGCTTCCTGTAGAAGTGACGCATTTTAGACAAGAAAGATCGATCATGTCCCCTGTGGTGCGTCAGCAGAATCGCTCATGTGATGCTAAAAGGTCTTGACGAACTGGGTTTGAGACCAGAATTTTTCAGCTGTGTCAGGAACCCAGCAGATGTCCCGAAATGCGTTATCCTCCATCCTCTCGGTCAGTAGTCATCGACAATGTGTATACCATGCACTGACCTGAGTCTCGATACCAACCGCAGAAGGACCAGTGGGTCCGGTTTCAGTGGCGATCCGTCATATATGACAGTCCGACCACCGTATCCGATCCCGCATATTACCTTTCCCCACATGATCCAACCTGTCTGCAAGAGCGCATGGTTAACAAGGTACTAACATCTGTCTTTGCAGTATGGCTGTAGGATTACCGTTGTGTACTGTAGGATGTTATCACCCGGCTGGACGTCGAAATGCAACACAGAATCCTTTCTCGACTGGAGTAGAAGCCCCTAAATCTTGTCAAACTGCGGGTTTCCACCCGGAGATGGACAGCTGCACTTACCGCAGCGCTGTGGACGATACACTTGGGTGGCCCTGTCTGGAAAGAGCTCAGTCACATATAAAAGCATATTGGTGTTATTCGTATGGGACTGACTAACCGTGCCTGATGAATACACAATAAAGCCCGGATGTGCGAACGGCAGCCGTTTGAAGTCCAAGGGTCTCCCTTTAGCCCGTTTGAGGAAGGTGTCGAGGGAGACCAATTTGAGATCCGGGTCCTCATGCACTTGCTGACTCCTCGGTATAACCACGCTATTCGTGAACTCGGGAGTCACGAGCATGGATTTGGCATACGCCCTGTTCTTTTCCCTCTGATCCAGAATTCGTTCGTTGTAGAGAACATCGCTCTCGACGAACAACAGCTTTGGTCGAATCTGGCGTACGCGGTCCAGGACACCCTCGACTCCCATGTCTGGGGAAGAAGTGGACCAAATGGCACCCATGGACAAGGTGGCTAGGCAGGCGACGACTGTCTCAAGTCGATTTGAGAGCACCCCAGCCACTCGGTCGCCTTGGACCACCCCGGACGACTTCATCGCGTCGGCCATCCTCGTCACCTGCGCGATGAGTTGCCCCCACGTTACATCTTGGACATCATTCCCGCCCTCTGTGCAAGTGTAGAGGACGACCTTGCGCGGATCGCGACCCGACAACAACATCTCTGTGAAATTGAGCTTGACCTCGGGAAACCAGATCGGGGGAGGCAGAAACCTCTCTCTATCCTGATACAGTCAGTTATCAATCCGACAAGACGCTGGAGTGGTATACTTCGCACTCTGGACGCCAGCGCGATAGTTGGGACAACGTCTCCCTTCAATCCCACGAAGACGAATGCATCGACCCAAAAGTCGTTGGCCGTCTCGACCGCAGTTGAGTATTTCCAGAGCTCTTGATAGTTCTTCAGATCGAGGCCATGTCGTTCGTTAACAAAGCGACGAAACTTGCTCAACATTGTCTTGGAAGGGTCGCGGGGCTGCCAGAGACAGCGGGGGTTGTGGTTGGACGCCATCGTCACTGCTACACAGGTCCGGTTGATTTCAATAACACTGTTTCTCAAAGAATTTCAGGTTCGAGTATCCCATCGTCGTCGCGACTTTCGCGCAGCATTTCATTCAACATCTGCCGGGCACACGTAACGTGACTTGTAGAGCGGACCAGCATGACCATTCCCCATTGCGGAATGCCACGGATACTAATTAGAGGGTCTACTCGGTACTGTGGCCTACCGGTCAAATCTGGTTTAGTTCTTGCAAGTAGAAGCTTGGGCCACATGATTGGTATTGAAATACCGAAATGATTCCACCCAGGGAGGAAGCCAGGCGATTGGTCCCGGTCCAGCGTCACGAGTTGATCCGTATCAAAACAGTCTAGTTCAAACCCAATCTCCACATATACTTTGTTACTTGTACGGTTTGTCAATGGATCTCCATCGCTTTGTCTCATTGTCATTGTGCTTGAGGAGTAACGAGAAGCTCGAAAAAGTCAAGCGATATCAACCCCATTGTTGTCTTTCTGTTAGTTCGGTAGAGATGGCAGACTTTGGAAAACTCATCAGGTTCAAGGATGCAAATGGGGACATCTACCAGGGCGAAGCGGAGGGGCTACCAGCAATCACCAAGAGTGGGCTCATCGGCTCTTCCGTGCCTGTCTATTCGGGAGAAAGTCCATGGGATCCCGACTTCAAACTTCTTCCGGAAACCAGAACAATCGCTGAGGTAGGTCCCTGTACTCTCGCGTCTGAAGCTCGCTGAATGGTTGTCACAGGTTCTTCCACCACTCGCGGACATACCAGTCATTTATTGCATTGGCATGAACTACAAGTCTCATGCTGGAGAAGCCGGGGCACGTCTCACATACACGAGTCTCGTCAGTCGGGCGAGGTGGCTAACACGTTGAAGAAACCGTTTACCCAGTACCCTCTGATCTTCACCAAGCTCCCAGGTAGTTATACGATGTCTATCGAGTGGTGTTGATAGAACTGACCTTGCGCTCAGGAGCAAAGGCCGGGGCATTCGACACAATCTCAGTCCATCCGGAGTGCATAGAGCTAGATTACGAGGTTTGAGATCCCCTAACAAATGACCCTCCAAAAATCATGTGGTTGACATGGTGTCAAAGGTCGAATTGACGGTCGTTATCGGAAAAGACTGCAAGAACATCACTGAAGAAGAAGATCCATTCGATTATATCTTGGGCTACACGGTTGGTAACGACGTATCTTCCAGATACTGGCAGAATGCCGCCCGTGGCAACGGTCAACCGGCCGTAGCAAAGTCCTTTGACAAATTTGCCCCTCTTGGACCGGTCATTTCGTCCAAGAGAATCATTCCGGATCCCAGGCAGCTCAGGGTAAAGACGCGAGTCAACGGGAAGGAGAGGCAGAACGCCACCACGGACGACTGGATCTTTGATCTTCCTCTTGTTCTTCGACATATTACCCGGGGTACGACCGTGGGCAAAGGGTCGGTCATCATGACTGGGACGCCCTCTGGTGTCGCCTTCTTCATGAAGCCCCAAGCATGGCTGAAAGACGGAGACGTTCTGGAGACTGAGATCGAAAACATTGGGGTCATGGAGAATACGATATTGTACGAACGAGAGCCGGATAAGAGACTCCAATTGCCGTAGAAGAGATGGACGGGATCAATTCTTAGCCGACTGTAGAGTATAGGTCAAGCATGTTGAAGCCTCGCCGACCGGGTGTTTGGCACCCAGTAGAACTCCTTGTTCCACCACCGGAGTCACTAATTCTCGCATGACCGGACTCGAATTCGGTGTATCTGGGTAGGCCAAGGACAAATGGGCCTAAATAGAAAGGTATCTACCGATCGGCAAGAACCTGACTGGTCCGAAACCTACCTGTACTGATTGCGGACCGAGCTGGACTAGCCTTGTTATGAGGAAACCCTCGGCCAGACCATCGCGTGGATGGTCCAAGTACGTTATTCCGAACCAGATTTGATCCGTCTCGTGAGGTCGACCGTCTCGTGAGCTCGGCAAAGTATCTGCTGCGCGAGTGACCAATGGTAGCAGTACGCATCGAAGACGCCTGCCATATACATTGACTCGATTTTCTGTGACTGTCGGTCTGCCGGTTACTGCCTTTGGAGTACCACCTGGATTTCCTTTGCACGTCCTCGCCCACCATGGTTGCCGACATCGCAGAACCGACGCACTTTCCGGTGATCATCATTGGAGGCGGCGCTTGTGGATTGACTCTGTCCAGCTTCCTCTCTGACTATGGCGTGCCGCATGTATTGTTCGAACGCCATGAAGCGACATCGTATCTGCCCAAGGTACGGCGGCTATACAGCCCTGTCCAATTCCACTGTACCCTTGTCTGACTATAGTTTCAGGCGCACTACATCAATCAGCGAACGATGGAGATCTACCGGCAGCACGGGCTATCCGAGGCCATCTACAAAGAAGCATCGCCACAGCAGAACATGTGCCAGATGCTGTGGCAGAGTTCCCTGGGAGGTGACGGGCCGTTTGACCAAAAGAAGTTTGGAAGCCTGCAATGCTTCGGTGGTTACGAGGGAACCGCTATGCATGAAACCTACAAGTAAGGATTCAAGATCTCAATTCGGGCTGGGGTCGCTAACTGGAGAGCAGAACGCAGTCACCCACGCTCCCGTGCAATTTGCCTCTGATCCGAACGGAGCCTATCCTTCGCCGGGTTGCCGAAGAGAGAAATCCACGAAACATCCGGTTTGGTCATACTGTCACGGAGATTCAAGATGACGGCCGGCAAGTCTTGGTCACAGTGGTGGACTCAAGAAATGTCACCACTCACTACCGTGCCGACTATCTCATTGGAGCAGATGGAGGCAAGACCGTTGGTCCACATATTGGGGCGGTGATGGAAGGCCGTAAACGCCTGCAAGACAAGGTCTCTGTGCATTTCAAGGCCGACCTGTCTAAGTATTGGGATGGTAAGTGTCAGACTTCCCCAAGACATACCCTCACTGCTGATCAAGGCCTTACATCTAGATCGGACCTTGATATGCCACTTCTTGAACCCCGAAGGCGGTACAATCACACACAGTGGTGCGCTCGTCGTCACCGGTCCGACATGGGGAAAGCACTCGGAAGAATGGTCGATTCATTTCGGTCATCGCATGGACGATCCGGAACGGTTCAACGAAGAAAGCCTGGTGCCACGACTGCGTGGCCTGCTGAGGATCCCAGATCTGGAGCTCGAGATACTGAACATCAGCCACTGGATCCAGGAGCGCGTTCTCTCGAGCAAATACCAAGAAGGCCGGCTATTCCTCGCAGGGGATGCAGCACATCGCCATCCCCCTACAACCGGTTTGGGCATGAACACAGCCGTGACAGATGCTCACAATCTTGCGTGGAAGCTTGCATTGGTGTGCAGCGGTCACTCCAGTCCTAAACTCTTGGATACATATTCCAGGGAGAGGAGACCTGTTGGCCAGAGAAACTGCGATTGGGTGAGTCAACGGCGTTTCTTGGTCTATACATATACAAATCACTGGCTGACTGACTCTCGATTGGAAAAGGCCGCCTTCACTACAGACAACAGAAGGGTTCTCGACGCGGCCATCGGCATGATCCCCGGCCAAATCGAAGCCAACGTGGCGAGATTCAAACGGCTGTTCGACGACTCGGAGATGGGCAAAACCGAACGAGCCCAGGTCCAACGCATCCTGCAAAGTCAAGACATCGAGTTCTCTGCCTCGGAAATTGAGCTGGGATACCGCTACGAGGACGGTGCCACCATTAGTGATGGCAGTCCTCCTCCAGCATCAGACCCTCTCGGTCAACGCTACATCCCCACGACGCGGCCCGGACATCGTCTGCCGCACGTCTGGTTGGCCAAGGGAGACGAAGCCGTGTCCACGCACGATCTGGTCGGAAGCTTGCCGAGATTTGTCTTGATCACGGACGAGCATGGTGGTGACTGGATCTCGGCGGTCACGAAGCTGCGTAGTTCTTCACTTGAGATTGTGGATGTCCAGATTCCGACTGACGACAAACAACCAGCCACGTCTTTCGAGTACAGGGACATGGAGAAGAGATGGAATAGTCTTCGTGGAATTGAGAACGGAGGGGCAATCTTGGTCAGGCCGGATAATTTTGTCGCGTGGCGATCGAGGGGCGCGAGTGTCGAGCAAGGCAGAGAATTGGTCGCTGCACTCGAGACTCTGCTGGGGAAGTCACTCTCATAGTTCCTTGGAAGTCAGTCACAGTAAGATTACACTATTAAAGTATTGCCAGCTTGTCGTCTTTCGCCAGCAGAGGTCTTCAGCTACCACCAACACCCATACCATAACTTTCTTTAGTAGTTGCTGGAACAACAAGACGGATAGCAACTTGAAAAGGCACGATTGTGCATCGAAAACGGCAGCATTAGGCAACACTATGCAAACTGGATATAAATTGCCTGATGTTCTATACTCGGGTAGGAAATCAGCCATCCACAACAGCCATGTCATCGCTCTATACTCAACGTATACCGATATAATTCCCTGTTATGGAAATGTATAACACACTTGTTCCGTCCATGAGGCCGAGCCGCTTGCCACCCTCTGCAGGCTTTGTGGTCGCGTTGTGTACCCCCACAAAAGGCATTCCTGCCCCTTCGAATCGGATGTTCGGTTACACTCCTCGATCCAGTCTCTCCCGAATCCCTGCGGGATGGGCGCTCTGAAGACACAAATACTATCTACCAGCGGAAGCACTCCTTGTCCGGACTCGGCTGGTTATTCTGAAATTACTGCAGTGCCGCTCTTCGCTCTGGATGATTCTCTTGGAATAAGACAACGCTACAACGCTGGCCTCTGGAGAGACTTATACGCCGGAAAAACATGTGGGCTGTTTCAAATAGCATACTCCTCTCGGCGGTGACGACAGGCCTGGTGAGCTAAAGCCATGAATTTGAGCATGCCGAACAGCTAGGCTGATGATCTATTCCTAGCTCTCCCATGCTATCTACAAGAGGCGCGAGCCAGACGTCGTGTAAGCCGTGACACACACCACATTCCTCGTAAGGAGGAGATAGGCTGATGTGGATAGCTCCTTTCTACGACAGTTTCTGCTGCTTGTCGCCGCTGCACTAGGATGGACGGCCTCCTCTCAGACAGCTTTCGATCCGCTGTCGATCATAGCAGCTACACTTCTCTTCGCCACGGTGAATCTGTTCACCCTTGGGTTGGTGCTTGCGTGCCTCTTCGTGACGACCATGTTGACTTAGGTTGTATGCAGACTGAGCATTTCCATCTACCGACTGTTCTTGCACCCTCTTCGAAAGTTTCCAGGTCCCTGGGCGGCGAAGTTGACCAAGCTGGAGGGAGTCTATTACGCATTGCCAGGTAAATTTCACGATCATATGCAGGAAATCCACGACAAGGTATCTCTCAACCGACTTTGCTCCCATATTGTGCGATCGGCTGATGCTGGAAACAGTACGGTGATGTGGTCAGAATTGGTCCCAATGAACTTTCCTTCCGCTCGGCCTCTGCCGTGAAACATTTGGTGGGAAAGGTCAACAAGGGCGCATACTTTGAAACCAGCGTCTATACAGAAGGCGAAGGGGTCCCAATCAATGCATTGGTCGATTTCGAGGAGCACAAGCAGCGGCGACGGCTCTGGGACTCGGCATTCAACCAGAAAAGCCTCAAGTCCTTTTCTCCCATGTTCAATCGCCTTCTCGACCGGTTGATTGGCGAACTCCACAAGTTCGAGGGTCTGTAGCCCAGTCTCTATGGATGAACCAAAGCTGATTGTCGCAGGCCAAACTGTCAACTTTGTAGACTGGTGTGACTACTATGCTTTCGACGTGATGGGCGAACTGGCCTTTGCAAAGGACTTTGGTCTGATCACGGGCGGTACGTTTTTTTCTCTTTTTTCCTGATAAGATGCTTCGCGCTGACCATGATGCAGAGGGGAATAGAGATTACTCGGGCTTCATCCGAAGCGGCCTCAAGATCTTCTTCGTCGTCTCCAACATACCATGGATCTCGCCTCTGGCCTACTACTTCCCCATATCGGAAGAGGTGAAGCAACAGTCTATCAAATTCCGCGAGCTGGGCTCCAAGCAGTACGACGAGAGAAGGCTGCAGGGCACCGAGCCTCATGATATCTTCTCGCATCTGATAGATTCTTATACCAAACATGCGCAAGTCTGGCACATTCTTCAGAATCGTTGCACAAGCTCACTCATGGCTGTGTAGGAAGAATGCAGAGGCTCATCTACGGGCGGACTCGCCGGTGCTCTTCATCGCTGGCAGCGACACGACATCCACAACGATGGCGTAAGCGTCGTGTGATATAGCGGAGGCGGTGTATCGCGCTGACTCGGTCATAGGTTTCTCTTCTACTTCGTTCTGCGGGACCGGAAGGTGTATAAGAGACTCCGCGACGAGATAGACCAAGCTTGGGACGGGAAATCTCCCTTGGAGGCTGGGATGCTGGGTATTACTCTTCGAGGGCTTGATTAACGTCCGTATACTGATTTGGATTTGCAGGTATCGAGACATGTCCGTATCTTCACGGGGCCATACAAGAAGCCCTGCGCCTGGTCCCTCCCGCTCCGAATGGAATGCAACGCCGCCTGATCCGGGACACTGAGATTGACGGCCATTTCATCCCCGCGGGGACACTGGTAAGTTGCCACGAGAAAGAGATCTCTGCTTCCAGAACCGCGAGCCTCTCCTTCTGGCACAGACACCGACACTGACACTGACACTGACACTGACCTCTCACACGACAGGTCTCAGTCAACGCCTGGGCCGCGCAGCGCCACGCCAAACATTTCACCAACCCTCTCGACTTCGTGCCTGAGCGCTGGATCGACTCGGAACGGGACAAGAAGTGGAACCACGTCCCCATGGCCTACATCCCCTTCGGCATCGGCAGCTACCTGTGCATAGGCCGCGCGCTGGCCATGCAGGAACTGCGACTCATAGCCGTCAAGCTGATGCGCGAGTTCGACCTCGAGCTGGTCCCGGACTTTGACCATGCCCGGTTCTGGGCCGACATTCGGAGCTGGCAGGCGATTTTTAAGCCAGCTCTTCCGGTTCGGTATAAGCGACGCAGCAGGACGGGGGGCACGGTGTAACTGGGTTTTCTAGTCTAGTCTGGTCTAGTCTAGTCTGGATCTGGTCTAAGCAGTCTGCATTGCGTTATGACATATTGCAATCAGTAACACGAATGATGTGGGTGTCCTCATACTTGTCTCATGGCCGGTTATGTCGCGGAGTGTCACTGTGCAAGCGAAACAGTAATAGCAATAGCAATGGCATCGATTCCCCATTCGGGACTCAGTGGGTCTCCTCGGACATACCTCGTACTAAGGCAATGCCCCCCCTCTCCCCACCAGGTGGACCACATCGAACCCGAGATTAACCACTCGTATCTGTACCGAGAAATACGGCCCGTAAAGAATCCACCTACATAACCACGGCCGACCCTTGTCATGAAACTCGTTGGTGTGGATTTCCCGAGCACATGGGGTTTAAGCGCGTCGATGGGGTGGATACCATGATACCGTGCAAGGATCTTGCCTCGACTGGACCATGCCGATTGACCACATGTTCATTACATTTTCTCAAAAATCGCCAAAGATTGGTATTGTTTTCCCCCTCGAGTACAGTACATCACCACCCTGTGAGCCTGTATAGAATAGGGACGACGAAATGCTCACCCTCGACCCAAACTCCGACAACCTGCCCAAGCGGTCGGAGCTGCCGTCCATCCCTGACGCTCCGGCCGGTGCGCTCTGGTTCTGGGGCAAAGACGATGAGGTGAGCGGCAGGAACATTGTTTGGCCTTGGTCGCATCATATCACACACAACGTGTGGACTTACTTCAAATTACTTGCTTACACGCACCACTTACTCGGCAGCTCGGCCGGCTGAACATGTTGACGCCACGGCGCACTGCGGCAGCTGCGGACCTCATCAAGACTGGGGAGGTTGTGAGCTTGAAGTATGAATGAAGCCGCGACGACGATATACATTGATAGCATGACAACTAACATGGTGCAGCTGGCCGATGACCCTCCCCAGTCCGACGCTGTTCGGCCGAGAACCATTCCACCACGAGATCAAAGGCAAACTGGGCTTCGCCAACGACGATGTCATGCACTTCAACACGCAGACGTCCTCACAGGTATGTTTTGTTCCGGTCATCAAAGCAGCAGTGAAAGGAGTGAGGTTGTTGTTAACGTGTGACCATCGTCTGCCCACAGTGGGACGGACTGCGTCACGTAAGTCAGCCCGTGGCCCTTTGTTTGCTGGCACTAGGACATGATGAGAATTGATTGATTGATACAGGTGAGCTTGACCGAGGGAGAAAAGAGGTTGTACTACAACAACGTAAGCATGTCCATGAGCTACGGCGAGGACACTAGGGCTCAGACCTTGTCAGACGACCCAGCATGATATCGAAACCAGTCCTCGACTTGGACTGCAAACTTGGGCCGACAAGGGTATTGGTGAGTGACTATCTCCTCGTGAAAGCGAGAAGAAAGCTAATGCTACTTCCCAGTTGGCCGCGGCGTCCTCATCGACTACTTCGAATTCACCGGCCGCAGCTACGATCCACACCAATCGCATCCCATCTCCGCGCAATCCATCCGCGCCTGCGCGCAGGCTCAGGGCATCGAGTTCCGCTACGGCGACATCCTGATCCTCCGCACCGGCTTCATCTGGAAATACAACAACCTCGACAGTCTCGGACGCGAACAGCTGGCCAAGATCCCCGGACACGAGCTGGGCACCCCGGGCGTCGAACAGACCGAGGAAATGCTCGATTTCCTGCACGACAACTACTTCAGCATCGTGGCGGCGGATAACCCGGGTTTCGAGGCGCTGCCGCAGCCCTCGTCGCTCAACCTCCATCTGATCCTGATCCCGCTGTGGGGTCTCGGGCTCGGGGAGCTGTTTGACCTGGAGAAACTGTCCGAGACGTGTAAGAGGCTGGGCCGGTACGAGTTTTTCTTCACGAGTTCGCCGCCAAACGTGCCAGGTATTGATCTCCCCTTCTTGCCTTTGGGGGGGGTTTTTTTTTTCTCTTTTTTTTTGGGCTCTCTCGCAAGGGAGCTAGCTGACAATGATGTTCCTTCTAGGTGGAGTGGGATCCTATCCGCATGCTCTGGCCATCTTTTAGGAGGCGAGGAGTATGAGTATACCAGTCCGGTAATAATATGTGGGGTGGAAAAAGCGTGATCTTTTTCCCAGTTTGTCCTGTAGATTGAGCAGGGACTATGCGATAGGACCAGCAAATGAGCGTATCGTCAGCAAGACACCTATATAAGACTATTGAGTTCAGCATGGTTCATATCCCAAGTCAACTGGTATATTCGAAGTCAGCATAAGGGGACTTGACAATGAACGGACAATCTTCCAGTATGCTGTGTGTCTCAATAGCTCTTATCATTTTTCTCTTTCCCTCTATCTCTCTCAAAAACTGCACCCTCCTTCTTCTAGTAAAGATTAGATGGTTCATCTCATCACCCTGGGATATCCAATCTACCCCACCATACTCAACTTCTGGTCATACTGCCTCGCCTTGTCCCTGATGTCCGCGACCGCGGCGGCAAAATCAATCCGGTCCGCCGACTTGCCATCGCCCATGTACTCGGCCGCGGCGTTGGCGTAGGGCAGGCCCTCGCGCAGAATGACGTCGGTCCCGCTACACTCGGCGACCTGGCCGGATAGGGAGGCGTCATTGATGAAGAGGTTGACGGCCTCGATGATCGTCGAGGTCGGCGTCTGCATGTCCTCGGGGATGGCGGCCAGGAGGGCCGTGTTGGCCAGTGGCGTGGGGACTAGGCCCGGGCAGATGCAGTTGACTGTGATGGGGTCGCCGAGGGTTTTTATACGCAGGCCGAGAGAGCGGACGAATCCGACAATCTGGTCTCATGTAGCGGTCTGTCAGTCATATTTGAGCCTTCACTAGCTGAGCCAGACGAGCAGGGTGGGAAGATAGCAAGGTGCTAGGCACAAAGACGTACCCCCGTTTTGGCACAGCCGTACAGCGGCGCCAGCGGTGTCGGATAGATGCCACCCTGGCTCGACGTGATGACGAGCCTGCCGCTGCGGTCTGGGTTCTTGCGAAAGAAGTGCAGAGCGAGATACGACGACCAGATGACGCCGTACAGGCACACGTCGACGGTCAAGACGTCCGGCTTGGGGGGAGCGCCGGTTGAAGCGTCCTCTGGAGCTGGGGCGCTAAAGTCGGCGCGATCCAGAATACCCTGTGTACTGCAGTTAATACCACTCTCTCCCATATGGGACCGCCCTAGACGGAATGGGATTGAAGTCTCATACCGCGTTTGCAAAAACTGTCAATCACGATCAACTCAGTTATCGAGTATCACATCGAGACCAGCGAAAACCTTCCCAACAAAAAGAAAACGGGCCCTGGTCAGAGCAAGAGAATAGTATAGGACATCATACCTAGATCAATCCGCCCCCATCTCTTCCATGCCTGTGCAAACGCGCTCGCTTGCTGCCCATAATCGACGACGTTTGCGCGGGTAAAGTGGACTTTCTGGCCCAGCTGGGCCTCGGCGTCATGGCCCATTTTGACGTCGAGGTCGACAATCTCGACGTTCCAGCCTTGACTGACCAAGTCTTGCACAACGCTCAATCCCATCCCCGAAGCTGGTCGCGTGGCCGAGTTTCTCGCCCGTGTTATCAAAGAGTACCACCGAGCATGCGTGCATGCTGCATGTAGGTATCAGGGGGAGTAGGAGAAAGGTACAGAGAAACTCACCTCCACCTGTGACGAGGGCGCATCTTGGAGACGACGTTGACATTCTGGCTTGAAGCGGCGTGGTTGTGGTTGTGGTTGTTGCTGTAGTTGCATTGTTTGTTTGGACTGCAAATTCTCGAACCACCGCAGCTTTTGTTTGGATTCTTTTGTCTCTCTGTAACTTTTCACAATTCCATCTCCATGCACAAATGACAGATCTGACTTTGGACCAATGACGGGTACTCTCAGATATGGATCGGCAAAAAAGAGGGCAGGGGGAGAAAAGACCACGGGGGCCATGACGCTCTGCGCAAGTACAACTGACTAGGCTATATCGGTTCGGGATCTCAGTGTGCCACATTAAGTACTCGGTAAGTGGCTTTGATTCCCTGCATATTAGCATACATACCCATCCCGTGCGGAGAAGAAATGCGACAAGTGACCACATCATGGTCGGCGCTATCAGACTCCAGTTTAAGGAGGATTTTGTCCAGGGAAGGTGGGGGCATCGCCATCACCATCGCCTTGACATGGTACGAGACATGGACGATGATCGGGGCAAAGAAACCGAAACTCTTGTCTCGGGCTTCGTCTGGTGGATGGTCATCAGTGAAGACACAGATTTCGTTCCGTTCCATGATAACTGAATTGGTGTTATACCCGACAGAGCCAATGCTTTTCACCAAGTGCAGCGTGCCGGAATCTTGCCATTCTAATAGTCTCCTGTTCATCACAGCCCTTGAGGACATGCAGTCCATGTACGTATCCCCAAGCTACATCGCCCACCTACGCCGTAAGCCCACCGTCGACGCTCATGGTCGCGCCCGTGATGAACGAGGCCGCGTCCGATAACAAAAACACATACATTTCCGCCAGCTCTTCCGGCTGGCCTATTCGCCTCATGGGGGTTTTCTCCTTGACGAACGCGAGGATGGTCGCTGGGACCTCGTCGCCTGCGTCCGCGGACTGTAGCAGAGTTTGCTGCATGCCTGTCTTTACGATTCCTGTCCCCTCCCCGAAAAGCCAGAGGGCAAGAAGCGTCAGCAAAGTGATTCAACGAAGCGTCCCTGAGTGAACCCATAGAACATGAAACATGGAATACGGCACGCGGAGGGAGTGAAGCGGGAAGAGCATCTTACCGGGCGCGACTGTATTCACGCGAATGCCCTGTTCGGCCCATTCAATCGCCCACGTCCTGGTGAAGCTGGCAACGGCGGCTTTAGAGGCATTGTACGCTGCAGTGAACGCGCCCGGCCTGATTGCGTTGGCACTGGTGGTACTGACGATGGAGCCCTTGGAGCCCTGCTTTCGAAACTGGTAGTAGGCCTCGGTGGCGCAGTTCCACACCCCGACGACATTGATCGCCAGCGTCCGCTGCAGAACCTCGTCGTCGTACGTGTTGGATTGGTGGGCGATGCCGGCATTCGGGACCATGCCGTCAAGACGGCCAAACCGCGCTACCGTGTCCTTGACCCATTTGTGGACGGCGTCTCTCGAAGACACGTCTACCACTGTATAGCTATACTCGGAACCAGATGTCGCTGCCGCGCTGAGACTGCTGGGAGCGTCTTTGGCCAGATCGGCGATGGCGACATTCGCGCCCACTTTGAGCAGTTTCTCTGCAACAGCGAGGCCAATACCCGACGCGCCGCCCGTCACGGCAATTACCTTGGCTTTCAATGATCCGTCCATGAAGTATGTGTGCTAGTGGTGGTTGGTATTCGGCTTATGATTGTCTAAAAGAGTATGTTGGGGACTGTCACTATTCAGAATCGTGTGCGCCGGGGGAGAGTACCACAGTTTCATTGGGCGACAGACAGTATTTATTCCCTTGCTTGAGCTGATTTGCTGGTCGATGGATAATGCCAGCCGTAACTTGGGAACATGGCCAGTCCGTGGATTACCGTTGGATTTTGTGCACCACACCAAGCTTATCTTTGTCCCGGCAGTGGAGACATGGGAGAATAGAAAGCCTAGAGTGCGCACCCGAAATTTGTGATTGACTCGACTTCCAAGAAACAACGGGAAGCATACCTGAGTGTCTGTCCAATGGGGTCCCGAACCCGTTTAGTTCAGGACTTTCCCCAAAGAGATCGGAATGACGAAAACTTAACTGCAAGTGGAATTTCTGTGGGTCCTTTTCCAACCCGTGGGGGGCCAATGAATACTCGGTACATGACCCAGTCGGCTTCGTTGAATTGAATGGATTTCCCCACAATGTTCCCCGGACCCCGGCTGCTAGGAGATGGCCACTGTCTGGTACGCAACATGTTGTCCCTCCCCGAGCCTTTCGAGCATAATTTCTTGTTCCATCCACCGCAGAGGGAGTTGACCTCTCTCTTGCCGAGTTTGCAACAAAGTTGGGTTGCCTGCTCCACCAGAGCCTTTGAAGCTGGGTATGCTTGGATAAGATTATAGGTTCACTGGGGTGAGTATCCCGGATCTGCGCCTTTTCTGGGAGAAGGGTTTTATCGGCCAACCTCAGGAGGGCTAAAAAGCCCTTAAGAATCTCACGGCTCCCTTGCAAGGTTGATCCCCTTGTGTCCTCCACTGTATACTTGGTACTTGTTGTCCCATCACTTTATTGCCCAAGATGGCCTTCTCAACAGCAGCGGCCGGGACCTGGCTTTCGGCCATCGGAATAGTCTTGATCAGCTTGGTGCTGATTCGAATCCTGAAGCTGATCGTCCACTACATCGAGGCCAGGAAGCTCGGCGTCTCCCTGATTGTGACGCCCGTCTCGTGGCAAGATCCGCTGTGGCTCATCTTCTGGCGGCGCTTCGCCTGGATCAGGAACCTCCCGTTCGGCGGATGGTTGGACTTCAGCTACATCAGTTGGTCCGTGAGCGCGTACTACCACCCTCACCAGAAGCTAGGCGATGCCTTTGCCGTGGTCAGGTCGGGCCGTAATGAGCTGTACGTGAACGACCCAACCGCGGTGCAAGAGATCATGTCGCGGTGGAAGATCTGGATCAAGCCGCCGGAGCAATACGACATTTTCAATCTCTTCGGGCCCAACGTGGTCAGCATCAACGGCGAGGACTGGCAGCGCCATCGCAAGATTGCGGCCGCCGTTTTCAAGGAATCCAACCACCGGCTCGTGTGGACCGAGGCGATGCGACAGTCCGGACAGATGTGCGAAGAGATGAAGCGCAGACAGGACACCACCAACGGCGAGCTGACTCTCAAAAACGTTGAGACTGATGTCGCCCTCGCGGCCCTCCATGTGCTGTCTGCGGTGGGCCTCGGCCAAAGCTACGACTTCGCCGGTGGCTTGAAGCACATTGTGCAGGACCAGCACCGGGTCTCGTACGCCGAGTCTCTGTCGTTCATCTTCCGCAACATCTTCCTCGTCTGGATCTTTCGACACGTCAAACTGCCCAGCTTCTTACTGCCCCAGAGCATCCAAAACGTCCATTTGAACCTCCACGAGTTCAGAGAGTACATTCGTGAGTCGATTGCCCGGTTCAACGCGCAGTCCGACGCCAAAGCCGACATTGTCAGCTCGCTCGTGCGCGCCAACGAAGCCGCCAAGCGAGAAAAAGTTGCCGGCCAGAAAGGGTTCTTCCTCAGTGACGAGGAGCTGTACGGCAATTTCTTCGTGTTGAACTTGGGAGGGTACGAGACCACCGCCGGTGCCCTGACATTCACCATTCCGTCTTTGGCACGGTACCAGGACGTGCAGGAATGGCTCAGGGAGGAAGTGGAAAGCGTCGTCGCAAAGACGGACAACTATGACGAAGCATTTCCTTTGCTTGTCAGGTGCTTGGCCACCATGGTGAGTAAACCCAGCCCTTTCCGAGTGTGTAATGAGTGATTTTGACTTGGGTTACTAGTACGAGACGTTGCGAATTCATGGACCCTTGCCCGACGATGCCCGATATTCCCTCGACACTCAAGTCCTGCAGGTCGGCGACAAAAAGATTGTCGTCCCGCCAAAGACATATGTGACCCCGAACATCTACGCCGTCCACACGGACCCACGGTACTGGGGACCCGATAGTATGGAGTGGAAGCCGTCGCGATGGATCACAAGGAACGCCGAGGGGAAAGAAGTGCTCGCCGACCCTCCCCAAGGAGCCCTGTTCGCGCCCTGGCTGGCCGGCCCTCGCATGTGCCCAGGCAAAAAGTTCAGCCAAGTTGAATTCGTTGCTGTGCTGGTTGGACTGTTGCGAAAGTACCGGGTAGGACTCAAGGTGCGTCCGGGCCAGACCAAGGAAGAAGCGCAGGACAACTTGTTGAGGGCGATCTACGACAAGGACATTGTGACGACTCCCGTTTTCAAGCGGCCGTACGACGCTAGCATTGTAATTGAGTATAGATAGTTGCTCTGGCGAGATATCGGTTTTTATGCTCCCGGGGGTCAACGAATAGTACATGAATATTCAGCTTGCAGGTGTCATGTGGGCCACGGACAAGGACCAATGACCGGACCCAAAACGCCCCAGGGAGTGGGGCGCAGCACTTATACAACGGAGCTTTTTTCAATGTCAACAAGTATTTCGAATAAATGTTTTTGATATATCGACGTCCTGAAGCTGTCATATACTTGTTTATCACCGGGTGCTGTCCCCGAGTTCGTCTGTGGTGTCTTCAAGCTATCTATCGCACGTAGATAATAGCAGTAATGGCCTCAGTGCCACCTGTCCCTCCCACAGACCTACCAAAAAACGAAAGTGAGTGGCGCTTTCACGACACCGGGTACCCAAGTGAATGGGTCGAGATGTATCGACCTGGTGGGTTTCATCCAATTAACCTGGGCGACACCTTCAAAAATGGACAGTACCGAGTCATCCGGAAACTAGGCTATGGTTCATTTTCAACTGTGTGGCTGGCAAGAGATACAGTTTTGGTGACAATCATTTGGGCTAAGAAGATGAAGACCTCATCTCTAAAATCACTTCTAGAAACTCACGCTATGTGGCTCTTAAGGTCATGGATGCCAAGTCATCGCACAACGCCGCCACTGAGCTCTCAATCCTAGACAGAATCAGCGAATGCCGCTCGAAAGATCCGCTGGCCCAGTACACCCTAACAAATCTGGATACATTCCATCACGCGGGACCCAATGGCACGCATATATGCCTAGTTTCAGAGCCCATGGGCCCGTCTGTCGCATCTTTGGCCGAAGAACTCACCCCTCTGGAAGAGTGGAAAGTGAACATCAGCTACCCAACGCCCATGGCCAAGCGGATTCTGCGACATGTGCTGCGAGGGCTCAAGGTTTTGCACGCTAATGGCATTGTCCATGCTGATTTGCAGCCGGGGAATCTCCTCGTTGCCATTTCAAATATTGATCAATTGAGCGAAGAGGTTTTACAACAAGTTGTGTCGGGCCACGGAAGGAACCCAGCACCTGAGGCCGTACAACGAATTGATGGGTTAGAGGATGAATGGGCTCCTCGATACCTATTTCTGAGCCAGTCGCTTGTCCAATACGCCAGAAGTGGGCCAGAACTGCAAGTTAAGATTTCAGATTTTGGCGCGGGTAAGAACTTCCCTTTTTGATCATCTGGTATTTATTGATCGAAGCTAAATTTTTCTTGGGGTTCAAGCGTTCTCGTCTCGAGAACCTCCTAGGACAAGGGTCACAGCCCTTGCTCTTAGATCTCCAGAACTGATTCTGGGTGGAAAGATCGGTTCAAGTATCGACATCTGGAGTTTTGGCTGTCTCATCTTTGAACTACTGACCGGAGTTTCGCTATTTTCTGTTGTGGTGTATTTCGAAGACCACCGAGAGACCACCGACGATGAGCATATACTCCAGATGCACGACATCCTAGAGCCGCTTCCGGATGTCTGGCTTCAAAAAACGTGGACGCGAGCGGGAAAATATTTCGGCCCGGGGCGGAAAAGGCTGGGTCCAATTCCCGATGGTCAAGACGAGCCGTATGTCGACGACCCTTTGGAGTTGCGATTCAAGGAGTATAAGCCAAAGGATATCGACGAGGAGGAGGCAGGTGTGATCACGTCGCTCATTCGAAGTATTCTGAGGTATGAGCCATCACAGAGACCGACGGCCGAGGAACTCTTGAAGCATTCTTGGTTTCATGAATGATGCTTGTCTTCTTCCAACTCCAGACTCGATTGGTTTCTCTCTGATAGAAAGAAAGAGGAAGGAAGCCAGACCACCCTCACTGTCGCCAAAGTCGACTGCATCAAGAATGACTGGTCGATAGAAAATGCCTCCTCGTTTCCAGACTCGACTTCCATGGTCGTTTTGTTTCAAGCACTGTAACTGTATTCTCTGCATGAAAAGCGTAGAAAGGCTCGTCGTCGTCACGCAAGACGTACCGAGTCCAGGGAAGCCAGTAGATGTCTTGATGTGGTCATCAAGTCGCAGTGTGCGTGCCGCGCAGGGAACTGTAGCCAAGGCAGTGAAAGTGAATGCTGGCGAAGTTCTCCCAAACCCCCCTCTTGGCTGGATACTCACGGTATTTACATGCCACACACAGAGACACAGGATCCGTGATATTCACCACCACAAGTGGGTCCAAAGTCCAACAACCCAAATTAAATACATATTAATTGGACTCACACAATTCCAGTAAACATTTGAAGAGGCATTATTGCCTATCTTCCACACACATTCTCTCTCTCCCTCCCTGGCCTCGACCTCGTCCATGTCGTATGCGCACTTTCACCTCCGCTTCTCCCCTTTCTTCTCTGCCCCTTCTACCCTCTCTCCTGCCCCCCCTGTGCCCTCGCCTCTTCTGCCCTCTTCTGCCCTCTCTTACATACAACAAAGCTCTGAGTCTCTATAGGCTGTGGGTACGCCGGTAACAATAGGCCCTTGGCCGTTACTTCATTCTCATACGTGCTCGCAGCCTTTACTTGTTGTATAGGACCTAGTGGTTTGGTCATTCTTTTTTGGAAGTTTTAAGCCCGTCCTCCCTCTTGGCAGAGTATATCTTGTAGATTTTGAATGGTGATCCAGTTCGAGACTGGGATAGTTCGCCTTGATTTTTTGCTCCGATTGAATTCGGTGTGCGGTCTGCATGCGGTAGGTGTGCCTGAGAATTCACTGTCGTTAGCAACACCTTGGCGAATATAGGGACAACGAAATGTGTAAATGTTTTCACCACACACGCGAACCCACACTCAGACAGCACCTCAACCAATTTTCTCTCATACCGTTTCATTCATCAGATTTCATCAACCGTCATTCTGAACCTTCTCCTTTACCCTCGCCACTTTCATCAGTTCTTCAAAGCTCAGTGAGAGTTCAACGTCTCCGTTCAAGCGCAGTGCGCGACTCAGGTTTCCTGGTTCTTGCATGCTCAAATCGGACTTTCATGCCTGATCCAGCCTGCGATTCAGCTCTTGATCATCAACTTCTAGCAGCGTTGAATTCTAGCCTGCGATTCAGCTTTCGATCATCAGAAACTCTGGTTAGCATTAAATTCCAACCTGCGATTCAACTCTCGATCCTCCAAAACTCCAGCCAGCGTTGAGTTGCAGTTTGCGATTCAGCTTTCGAAAACTTCAGCTGGAATTCCGGCCTTGAGTTCACTCAACCTCATCATCGCACCTCGCCCTCAGTCAAGACTCAACCTCATCTTCACATCTTCACATCTCAACCCAAGTCAAAATGTCCGGAACAACTTTTGACCTACCTATTGTGGGACAACGCAATGCAAAAGCCATACACACACAAGATGTCGAGATGTCTAATACTCCAGCAACTCCGATGAATAAATCAGCCGTGGAAATGACGAAGTTAGAGGTCAGACTTGTCCGGAACATGGACCTTGTTACAGACCCCGTCTTCCTTCCGGCTTCCAAATGCAGGTCGATGAAAAATCTCCTTGAAACATATGGCCTGAAACTGAAGAGGGTGAATTACCGCGCTTGGAACATGCTCCATGGGACATACATGGAAGCTACATTGCCAACGGTATTCCTTGGAAAGACAGTTGGGAAGGGTTCAAATTTGTGGGTGGCAGCACAGTGGAATCAACCAGGGACTTACTCTGGGTGGTTCAATCGCAATATTGAATCTGGACAAAACAGTGGCGCTAGTGTCAAGGTGGAAATCCATGTCACCATTGATTACGTGGCCGCTGGTCTCGCTGAGCACCTCGGGCGGATTGACGACCCGACCGAGGAGGAGCTTGAGAAGGAGCGCCTGGAGGAGGCGGAAAAGGAGAGAATCCCGGCCACCAAACGGCCATATAAGAGGGTGGAGTACCTCTTCGAGGAGTGGGACCTCGTCGAGAAGGAGCAGGAGGAACGTGGCATGTGGTTGCCAGCGATGACCCCCGGGGCCCGAAGGGAGCGATATGCCCCTAAGGGGAAGGAGTTCGATCCGGGGTCTCACCCCTGGTTCAAGGGGGAGACGGACACCGAAGCCAACTACTTCGAGGTCCAAGATGGGGATGACGACGACGAGGATGACGAGGAGGAGGTGGTGGTGGTGGAGGAGGAGGAAGAGGCGGACGAGGACGAGGATGAGGGAGACGCCATGGACATCGATGGCTGAGGTTGGAATAAGTTTGGTGAGGCCAAGAGGCCAAGAGCCTAGGGCGGGATGACGTCTGTGTGGAGTATGTGCCCTTGTTTTACTGAGAAATAGTAAAACGCCAGAGTCAACAGGACTCAACAGCAACGGTGCTTCCTACTGCCTATCCGCTCCTCGTTGTGACATACAAACTGCGTCTCGATAGCGACGTTCCACTCTGCGTGCCCAATACCCCGTTACTGGAACAGGCGCCGTCAACAATGAGGCCGCTCGCTGTGCCATCACAACAACAACATACATTGCACTAAGTCTGACACGCCGTGGACATCGCCTTGCGAACCTGTGACGGCGACCGGTTAACTTGTGAATGACGTCCCCAGACCGACTGGGCACTGATCCGCCGTCCTATCCATCGCTTTCTGCACGTGTGGACCTGGAGAGCCTTGTGTGTTGGACGTGCGCAAAGACCATCTGGGCCTTGAAGCAAGGCGGTAGCATGAAGAGGAGGTATCACCCGGAGTGAGCGCCATTGTTAAGAAAATCAAGAGAGGGAAAAGACAGACTATGTGGTATACAACACCTCTGCAGTGCGCAGGAGATGTAAGAGCAGGTCAAAGGGCGACTGGTACAGCTCGGAAGGAATGGGTCAGCTCGCCTGAATGACTGCGACCACAGATGCAGTGTCGACTGCGCGTTTCAAGTTTGAGCCTTTTGGGCCCGATGCTTGCAAAGAGATGATTGAATCGCCTGAACTACATGCAAAAGACCTAAGCAATTGGGAGGCTTCGCAAGAGAGTTTCGGAGCAGGGCAACAGGTTCGCCCGCTACCAGAGCCTCTTTTGACTCAATTCCCTCGAGAAGAGGACAGTCCTATTCCCCACGGACGGGCCCTCTCAAGGAATGCACAGTCTTCAGCCTAGTGGCGGTCGTTGATTTGCAACCTTTTCTGACCGAGACTTAGTAACAACGGAACCCCCAAACACCATGCTCAATGAAGCAATCGCTGCTGTGTTTGTACAAGTCTAGCTTAGACATTCTCCTTCGTAGGGGAGAGGGACGAAGAACAAGAAAGTGATCGTCAAGGAGACACCCCTGCCATAGCACCAGCTCCAACAGCTCCCAGGTTTTGCAGAGAATCACACGCCAGTCCCTAGCAGTAACTTCGCTGGACTCAGGCAAAGATCTCGCATTGGTTGACATATCTGCTTTTGAACGTGTTTGGAGGGTGTTCGAAACAATCCACCTGTCTTCCTCACTTCGCCTGCGGTGGAGGGTTGAAGGCCATAGTTGTAGGAGGTACATATCCTTCTCTCCTCGCCCCAGACCCTGTTGGTTTCCTCACCTGCTCTTCTCGAAATTTGACCTCCTTCTCATCCTGAGCGACCACACAGCAACAGCAGCAAATGCCCTTGACACAGTCCCCAGCAACGTTCCCGGCCTCGTTGCTCATGGTGTAGGTCTTCCGCACCCGCGTATGCTGGATTGCAGCCAGTATCCCATTCACGCCACAGAGAAGACCGAAAGCAATGCAAGACCCGTTGAGCGCCGTGTACCCCAGCATATTTGTCGGATCTTTCCTTTCGTCTCTCAATCCCAGCCGATATTGGGTCTTTCCATATACAATGCACGGGCAGAACAGCCCGGTTAGGCAGGTTGAAGGTTCGGCACAAGAGCAAAAACTATGCTGCCACGAGCCGCCTTTTATGGACTGTGGACTCGGAGTAAATACGTGGGCTGAGAAGTGAGCGGAATCGGCCGCAGGAGGAACGATGGCCATGTTGGTGCTGGCACGATTGGGTTTACGATTCGTCGGTGTCAAAGGATTCGTATCTGGCGCAATAGGCCCCGTGGGTTCGTTTTCGGGAATGGTCGATTTTTTCGCAGGTTCGGGAGGTTGTGGTAGAGAGGGTTTGGAATATTGTAAAGTCTGCGTTTGGGGTGGTTGATGTAGAGGTACGTGGGCAGGATACGGTTGTGAGGTGTAAGCGCCAGGTTGCTGAACGGCCTGCATGTATTGCTGTTGTGCAACCGCCGGATTGTGCAGATGATGCGGAACCACATCGTCTCTATAGACCTGTGGTTCCATACTCGGCATCGGAATCTGTCCTTGCGGCGGTTCTTGTTGTGCAACAGCCTGTGAAGGCGGTTGTGTTGAAATGATTGTCTGTCTTTTTGCTCCCACACGATTCTCCTCGTCTGCGGACGTGGTCATCCACGAAAACCGATTGTCGGCCGGTTGCTGAGGTGGCTGCAGAGAAGTGGGAGGACGGACTCGAGGATACTCGTAGGTTTTCATCTCGACGGGAGGTCGGGCAGCCCGCTGCCCGTGTTGCAGCACACCACCGTTGGGCTCGTTTGAAAGCGTACCGCAGTCAGCAATGACGTGGGAGGGGCGGCCTTACTGTTGTTCTGTTTAAGCAATCGACCGCTCTATCGTAGATTATACATGGAAACGCAGAAAGCTAAGGACGACGAGGATGAGGATAGAGATAAAGGGAGAGGACGGTCGGTCACCTTGAAGGATCTTAGCATTGCCTCACTCGGCGCCGGCGAGGGCGAGCCTGGGATGCAGGAGCCGCGTGCCATTTCGTTGCCATTGATCATCACTCAGTTGCTTGGGTCGATTGTCGTCGACGATTGGACTGCGAGGAGCGAGGCTTGACACTCGGCAAAACCTGGGCGCTTATGGGAAACACCAAAATTAGGAGGGGTGGACAACCTCGACAACCTCCGAGTGGTCTCCAGCGCGAATCGCGGTAATGCTTGGGGACTCTGGATGAAACAAGCGACACGAAAGCTCGTTGCCGCCAGCCAGAAGCTGCGTTGAAGCGCCGAAGAGCTGGTCGGGTGATGGAAACAAACTTTCACAGCAAGTTTTGTTGCCCGTCGCCTTGTCACTCTCCTGACGTTCTGCACTACGGCCACTTGGTGACTTGGAGCCGCCAACTGCCTTGACTTTCTCATCGCCCCAACAGTCCCATCTTCTCCTCTACGTGACAAGTTGTGACACACTCCACTGCCCTCCCCTTGCCCTTTGCGTGCGCCTCTACACGTACATACCGTCAGTGTCAGAACACCATCGGGTCCTCGGTTCCTGCGACACCGACACTCCTAAACTCTAATGCCGCAGGCAAGGCTGCATGGCTGCATGAACAAGAGAGGGAAATAAGACGCCTCTTCTGCTTCGCTGCACACCATGTACAGGCTAATGATTTCTGTTCTGGAAGAGTACAAGTCTGCAACCTGCCTGGTTTCTCGTTCGAGGGAACGGCGCCATGTCTGTCGTACCTAGATGGCTATATTGGTACCGTGCTTCTGGAACAAAGAGTCTCAAGCGGCTGGGCGTGGAAGTTACACCATTTTTAGCGCGGGAAACACGGACATGGGATTTTGTAAATTTCAAATATCTAGACCTGGCTGCCACAAATCTGGACTCCCTGGCCGTAAGTTCACGACGGGCAGTTCGGCCATGTGCAGCTTCGCACTGCCGTAGGGGCGCAGTTCGACCGGAAAGGCCCTTCCGGTGCAATTCCGCTGACCAGCCAATGGCGGATTTGGTGCATACCCGTCTTGAAGCTCCCACTCGATCTGGCAGGCTAAGGCCGAGATGCTGACAGGCGGCCGCTCCTCGTGCCAGATCGGATGTGGAAGCCAAGCATCGTATCGATTGGGATATTCATAGAACTTCAGAGTCGTGGCGTCTATGGCCAGATTCCAATAATCTCTTGGGAGGATCGACCAGTCATTTGCCTCGGGAGGGGCCTCCATTCCGGGGTAGTTGGCCGGACGCGAGGCAGTGTAGTCTCCAGCGATTAGCAGCGCATAGAGCAGAGCACCGTGATAGACGGAAACGGTGTCGTTGGCTCTAGATTCGACTCGAAGCTTTGCGCTGAACGAAACCTCGACACGGGTCCTTCCCGCTGATACAACCATCGTATGCAGGCCTGTGGCATTGTTCGGTGCGAGGGGGTGCCGTTTTCCCCGGTCGACCACCACAATGCTTGCATCTAGCATAGCCCAAGAAGGGACCCTGAAGGAAAACCGAAAAGCCTTTGTCGCCTTGATCTCATAGGAAAGGTAGTTGCTGAACGGGTAGTTTGTATCGCACCGAATCTGTACCTCATGCCGCCTCTTCAGCGTGGTGCGGACATGAGCCGGGCCTAGCAGAGCATGGACCAACCCGTCTTCGCCGTCCATCACAAACATGGCTGGAACAAACTTTGAATATCCCTGCATGTTGACAGTGCAGCACGGGTAGTTTGGTTCCGTTCCAAAAGTCTGGCCCAAGGGACCAACATTCCAAAACGGGGAGTCGTCAAGTTGATGACTGACGGGTTGGTTGGTTTGTGCGACGTATTGATGAGCCCACCAGTGGGGCATCAACATGACAGGCAAAGCATTGTAAGCAGCCAACTCTGACTTGTCTGCGAAGTCGCGGTCTCCCATCGCCTGATACAAATAGCTCAAAGAGAAAATCGATTCCACCACGCTGCAAAGCTCAGTACCTCGGGTCGGGCTCAGCCCCGCCTCACGCTCATCCCCAATGATGGCACCAGATGGAGTTCCGTGGTAGCGAAAAGTCCAGTTGACCCCGTTCCTGGTGGTGTTGATAAGGGCGTCATCTTGGACGAGTCGTCTCATCACACCCCCCCATTTCAGCCCTTGACCAGCGTTGACACCGTGGATATAGGGGAACAGGCTCTTGATGACATCTTCCGGGTAAGTATCTAGATCGCCTTTCAAGAAATGATCTTCGTGGAACCAATATGACCAGTCATAAGCCATCTCGTACATTTGAACCATGCAGTAATGGATAGCCTTTTCGTTGCCCATGGGGTATTTCTCGTAAAGCCACTGCAGGGCCAGCACCATGTCTGCCGCACGAGAGCGACCCCATTGTTCGTCGAACAGATCACCCGGTTTCCAGACGTAGCCCTGGTGGTGGTCCTGCAGCATGGAATACATGAGCCGAACGAAGCGGTGCATTGCCGGCAGTATCATGGTCTGGCCCAGCTCGGGCTCTGCGTCCACCAGCTGCATGAAGCCCAAGAAGAGGGGATATCTCGCCCAGAAATTCCGACGCGGCAGGTCCTCCTCCGGGCCCAGCCAGCCGTCTGCGTGTTGGTGCTCAACGACCCAATCCGTGACCTGCAGGACATGGTGTTTCAGCCGCGCATTGTCGGTTGTCCACGCCAATGGAATCAGCGCATTATAGGAGTAGGGCCATGCTTCATTCAACCCTAGCTAGCGATCAGTTGAGCTGAGGATGATGTAGGTTGATTTCGCGCATACATGAATACTCATGGTCGCCTCCGAGCCAAGGAGCATCTTTGACAGGGCGGTAAAACTCGTGCAAATGGCCCGGGAGACCATTGGCCATGAGGTCCATCTGTTGACCTAGCCATCCCACGGGCTTGATAGAACCGAGTGGGAGAGGCTCAAACCTCAACGGCAATACTGAATGGGTTAGCGGAGAAAATCTGCGCAGAGAGGAGAGCTTGTGACTCGTCCTACATGTAGTATTGTAAGTGTCGAATTGTGCGTTGAACCTTCGCGGATCATCTCGTGGGACGGGCACATTCCATGTGGATGACTCGGAGACGACGACATTTGGGTTTCTGGCTTCAACAACCGCTAATTGCGACAGTATCGAGTGTGAGATTACGAAGAGAAGATGTGATAGACATGAATGCAACATCGTTTACCCACAAGCCTGTGCCCGCACAGGCCAAATATTGAAGTTGAAGAGAAAGACCAGAAACAATGGGGAATCCTAGAGGGACATTTTTCTGCGCGCGTGTCTCGACAAGCTGATTGGATCTCCAGCCACATCGACCACCCTCGACTCCGCACAACCCAACCATCAGTCGCTTACCAGCCAACAGCGTTCTCTGACACACAACTACTCGGTAATTCAACGTGCATGATGCAAATGGGGAGCTCCTTTGAATCATCAGCAGCCACATATTGACTTCGCCTAAATAGGGTGACAGGTGATAACGATATCTGGTTTTCTTTTCGTCAAACCCTCATCTACCCAGGATCTTGCAGCCATGACGAAATCACAGCTAGGTTCTCTTCCACAGCGCCATCCCTATACATGATCCTCCCACCTCCCCGCCATGCTGTTGACCACTAACAAGCGCCCGAGAACCGTCGTTTTTCTTGATTAGCCTGTAGGACTCTCACATCTCCAGGCGCTCAAGTTCACAGAGCTCTTGTACGCATCGACCATCGAGGTGAATGCGGCATACAGACCCAGAATCATCGTCACAATACTACCCAAGTAGAAGATCAGGTCGAACAGATTCCACCACAGTTCCTTCTTGAACCCTCTCCACCATCTCTTGACGCCGCTGTCCAGGTGGTGAACGGTGCCAGTGGCTGGGTCAAATGTCTCACCCGGAAGCATGGCATCGCGCTGACACTTGAAGCCCAGCATCAAAAAAGGTGGGAACGTATATGTGAATTGCAAAATGCACCCTGCACCGACGAGGACGATCCACGTGTTGATTTGAGGGACGGATTGAGTGACAACCCAAGCGAGAGTCCAGTAGATGGGAACAAAGAAAACCCAGATCCATTTGCCTGTCTTGGATTCCAGCAGCGGGAAGTTGAGGAGATCACGACCCATATTGTTGTAGAGAACTTTGATGCCAATGTTGCCGTAAAGAACAGCGGCAATGAGACCGGTGATGAGACCGATAATGTTGCATGCCGTTTGCCAACCATAAGGCGAGACACCCTGGTACGAAACATTGTAGGCGTACTGCCCTTGCATGCAATAGGTGTAGATTCCGTAAACCATGTAGCAGGCATAGATGAGCAGATCTGCGCAGAGGAGGCCCTTCCAGAAATCCATAGGGCGACGCATCTCAGCCATAAGCTCCACAAACAGAGTGGCGCCACCAAAGGAGAAGACGGCATTCATCAGACCATTGACGTTGTCGACGATGCCGAGGCCGGGTGGAGCGGCGCCCGAAACTTGAACTGGTGTCGGGTTGTTGATATCAAAGTCAGGGTTTGACGCGGCGTAGAGTTTGTAATTTGGAGGAGAGTGAGCCATGACTCCCATGCTAGGAAACCGTCAGTCACGAACGAACCTCAACAGATGAGAAGATAAAACTCACGTTGCGAAAATGATGAACAAGTTGAGGAACACAGCCCAAGAAGCCAACCAGCCGAACCGCTGTAGGGTTCGAATCTGCCCAATGATACAGCCTGCGATCATACAGACCACCACGCAGACGATGAAGCACAATTGACCCTTGGACAGCTGGCTAATGGACTGGCCGCTGCTGAGGATGATGAGGGCGACATTGAGGAAGAATTGGAACGACTGCAGAAGGTTGCAGGTGTGGCGGAACCAGGGGCCGTACACGCGGAATGCGATGTCGCCATAGCCTTTCATCGGATAGCGGTCGCTGTCCATCTGGAGGTACATGCGCCAAAGCTGGTAGCCACTGTAACCAGCGAGGGCACCAAAGACCGTGAAGAGCGTAACACCGGGGCCAAGACCCATTTGAGAGAAGGCATACCCCGTACTGAAGGGACCGAGAATGTCGGTGGTAATGAGGTAGAAGACGGCACCCCTACACGTGCGGTTAGCAGGGGAAGGGTCCAAGTCAGTCAGGGTTGACAATACCAAGTAGCTGTTCTGGCTGCACGCGAAGCTTGAACCCATTCGTCATCAGATATGGTCATGGGCTCATACTTCCTATTCTCGACGACCGACTTTTCGTTGCCTGAATCCGTCTCGTGCCTCACGATTTGTCCCTCGCCTTGCGCGCTGATGGACAGCCTGGGTTGAGGAACAGACTCGCGACGGTTCTCGACTTGCTTACGAAGAATCTTCTCTTTGATGAAAGTCATCGTAGGTCCAGAGCCTTGGGTGAAGTCGCTTCCGGGACCGTACAAGCGATCTTCTTCTTGGCGAGTGATCTTTGCATAGTGAAGATACTCTTCGAAAGGAATGCTGGGGTCATGGAGCTTTGCTAAGACCCTTGTGGGGAAAGTGGTCGAGTCAAGCCCATGGGGACGCAGACGCTTGTCGTCCACCGCGCCGGGGCCAGAGATAGATCCAACTCCAGATGCCATATCCCTCGCCTTGAAGAAAGAGTTCGCTGCTAGATTGTGACAGTACTACCAAAGGGAGACAGTTGATGGAGGGAAGAGTGGACTGCAGAAAGCGAGGTGCCACTTAGTTTTATAGCAACTGTGCCCAGTGTCCTTCGCTTGGAGACAGAGATATCGGTAGTAAGGTCGTACTATTAGCTCATAGCGCAAACGCTGAACTCGCTCTGCGAGTACCTGAGCAATCTGCTCTGCGAATGATCGGAAGATGGTGTGACGCCACGAAGCCCCATGATCTTCGCGTTGTTCGGCGTCGTTCCACTGATTGACGATAGGGCAAACTCAGGTAATTGGTATATTCTAGAACGACCCCTGGCATGGATCAAGGGCCGAGTGTCCATTCTCATGGCGCCGGAGAGGAGAGACAACGTGAAATCTGAGATTGCAACGTCAACATGCGATCGCTGTTGGCTGCTTTGGATGGGTAGCACTGCCTTAGGAGAGGCAAGGTGGTGAGGCGACTGTGTGCTAACCTCATAAAAGAGTGTCCATTCGATTTAGCGGGACGCAGAGAAGGGTTTGGCTGTCAATCATGAGTTATGAAATCATACGACAACGCAAGACGCCGACGTGGTGGTGGTAGGCGTAACGCAATCAGGCAGGTAAAATTGATGTCGGGCGAAAAGCGCAAAGCCCTGTGGGAGGAAAGGATCCACACCGAAGGAGAACAGGACTGTTCCCAAGAGACGTCGCCAATTCCCAATTCGCGCTAGATTTGGGCGAGACAAGCGAGCGATAGCAGGGGTCTTGTTTGCTGGGGACAAGTTCAGCCGTTATCGATGCCATAATTGGAGTTGTGTCATTCCGTGGAGGCTCAGAATGTTGGCATCTCCGGCAGTGATCTGGTCAACTTGACGGCCATAGTGGCCAGTCTTTTCCATTGGTGATTATCACTGCACAGTCTTCTGCCAAATTTGCCTGCTCTTTGAGATTGTTCGATCATGCCCATTCGGGATGAAGACCCATCATCTTCACCCTCAGTGGTGCCACACCATTGGTTGAAGGTCCCGAACACCCCTTGCTGAAAGCAACTTTGGTGTCTTCAAGGTAGTAGAAGCAATTGCTAAGCTTCGCCTGAAAGCTTGTCCGCGCAATGCCCTGTGCAGCTGGCCCACATGGTCCTGTTACCCATTGCCACTGATCTGCTATCATTGAGTTTCGTGGTCGCGGGGGAAGATTCAAGAGTGGTTAAGCCTGGCAGGGCAGCCGACTGTTCTCTCCACTCTTGGCCACACTCACGGCAGCCAGTTTTGTGTGGCTGATCCCTTCTGCTTCTGCGGTGGTTCTAGTTTCGAGGGGAGACAGAGTTGCACTTTCAGGAAGGTGCCATTGGCTGTTAATTGGCCAGCTGATCTCGCTAAGTGTGGAATTGAGGTCCGTGACTATATTCAGTCCCTCGTACGGTTTGGGGAGTGGGGGAGGCCGTTGTGGTTGGTGCAGGCGCATGTTGAACGAGGTCGGGTTTGAGCGAGTCGACCGAGAACACGACAAGCTGGGACAAAGAGGGTCAGCATTTCGCGTGTTCTTTTGTCTGTGCAGCTAGCGAGCTCGGGATCCGAAGGTGACAATGCTACTGCTTGCACCACCGGGTACCTTGACTACGCCGGTTGGGCGTTTTCGGCAAGACGGCACGGGACCTGGTTTGTATTGGGGACATCAGACGACAATAGTATAGCAGGCTGTGTAAGTAGCAGAAATGTAGCAGACGGTGTTCCGAGCATATACAAGGACAGAATAAACACCCAGACTTTGCCAGGAGTCCAGAATCTTTACGGAGGATTGTAAAGCCCTTGACGTCCATACCATGAGAGAGTTGGGGAAGTTTGGCCAGTTTGGCGAACAAGGGGATGATCCCTTGGCACCAAAATACAAGTAAAATCTACCCCGAGTTTAGGCACGTGCGCCTTACCGAAGGATTGCCAAAATTTATGTCAATTTCCAAAAGCCACATCGAGATCGTACACTCGAAACTAATTTGAGAATATGTTGTCGATTCCAAAGCCAAACTCAACATTCCAATCGTACGGTATCTCGTAGAAATTGTCATCCAGTTTCTCCTGTTCGCCATCGCCCTCCACGGTTGGCCAGCTGTTCCGCCCAGGCGCCTCGTAATCAGGCTCGCTGGCGCGCTCGAAGATGAAAGTCGTGTACTCGTCTTTGATCGGCTGGAGGCGCTGCTGAAACTCCTGTGAGCACCGCGAGACTGCTGGCCAGCGTTCTGCCATGGTCGAGAACAACATGGGAAAGTATTCGAGGAAGTTTTCTATTTCTGTGAATGTGTAAGACTCGAAGATGGCGTCTTTGCAGGTTTCCAAGGTATAAAGAAAGACTATGGCCGAAGAAAAGGTGTGATAGCACGAATGAAAGACATATTTTGTGTGGCCGCCTGCCGAATTAGCTTGATCGTAATAGCCTGACGCAACACAAACAGCTGCTGCGAAAGCCTTGAGTAGATCCGGCCTAGATCGTGTTGGAATTCGTGGACAAGGTCCAAAAAGACAGACCAGAACGTAGTGATAGCCAATCTGAGCATAAAGAATGAGCTCGTCCCACTGCGACTTTTTCGAGTCATCCTGGCTGTCAGCAGCAGCAACATTGACTTCTTCCCGCCACGCCCTGATTTTGTCCTCCATTTCGCAAATCCAGGCTTCAAGTAAAAGTGGATCGTTTGAGAGGGTGGGGCTGCGGTACAGTACGTTCATGATCTCGCTTTCCAATCTTCTATAGGCCCATATGCGGCCGGAAATCATGAAATTCGGTGACTGGTCCGTCATATCGGAAAGAGCTGGTGATACGGCGAGGTCGCCAGGCCCATAAGGCAGAGCGGTGGTGATGATGTCGTTCGGGATTTTCGGGGCCCGTCGAACGCAGGCGGCGACGGCCACTTCCATCTCCCACGCACACCAAAAGACTCGACGTCGTAATTCCCGCTCTTGAGCGTTCAGTACACAATCAGATGGAGGTTCTTGGTGGAGACCCATGTCGATACATGCTTCACTTGCCAACCCGGTCAAGAGGGTCAGATTAGCCACGTCTGGGTTCAGAAACACGTATTGCGTAGCCAGCAGCAACGCCTGCAAACCAGACAAGTCGTTCGACCACATCTTAGGCACGTGTTGGACGGCAGTCTTGAACAAACCAGTTGCCAACGACTGAGCATGTGCCTGTTTGTGCCGTGCAGCTGTACTAAGGGAAATGGCCATGACCAGACTGACAATATAGGTATTGCAGGAAGAAGGTTCGGTAAGCAAAGATCGGTCAGCCACCGTTCGATGATAGACCGCATTGAAAGGTTCCTGGACGTCTGCTGGAAGGTAAATGGGATACTGAGGATTCACCCGGTTCGTATAGGTGTTGAGCAGGAATTCCGCCACTGTAAGGGTAATAGCTGATAATGGGAGGGTTGAGGATGGGCTCTGAATTGGCAAACTACTGTTATCTTGCATTTCGAAGAGCTCCAAACCCCTACGAGCTGTTGGGGGCTGCGTAGGTGTAAAGGTGCATCGGGGCACATGTAGATTTGTCTCTATGCCGATATAAGAGGGAGTGATTGCTTGCAAGACGGCACCAACCACCGTTGAACCTTGATGAAGATGTATCTTTCTTTGCCGTGGGACCATTTGAGAAGAAGTGGGGGTTTTGTTGGTAGATGATGCGGTCGACGGTGGAGTGTTGTCACTTTCGCGCTCAAGAGATGCGATGCAGCCTTCCAGATATCTGGCGATACTCTGCGGTACGGTAGATCCAGAGGAGCTCTCTCGCGTATCGCATGGTAAATTTGCCTCGAGACACTTGGAACACGTCGGCCGGATTGCATCGCACTGGTTATGCTCGTAAATTTAGATTTTCATGTGTTCTAGGGTTTGTCATTACCTTTATTTTCCTTTGGCGGCATCGCGTACATGCTGCCGTGCGCCTTTGGACCCTTCCTGTAGGTCTCATTGCGTCTTCATTGTAGTAGCGAACGACTCCTAGACCAAGGTTACGTTCGTTCAATCATGCGATGGTGTCTTGGAATGCAGAGGCTGCCACGGCAGTCCTTTGGTAAAACCTACAGATAAGACTGGTGGAAATTTAGCGCTAATCAGTACGTGAGGGAGTTACGTCATCTTTTGTGCATATTATATTATAGCGGCAAGGGTTCTGCTGAGCATTTAGTTGGTCAATCTCCAATGTCAACGGGGAAATCTCACGTGACGGACCGCACTAGTCATTTTTAGATGGCCCAAAGCGGCTTGTGTGAATGCTGTCGCTGGCCACCCTCTGTCTTCCCCATCTCTCTACTGTCAAGATAGTCTCTGGTCATAAGGTCAACTCTACCAACATGAGATGTTAAGATACATCAAATCCTGAGCGTTGTTGTCATTGAATCATGTTGACAGTCGGTGATACTCGATCAAGGACCATTATCTTCATCTCGACATGCAGGTTCAACGCGATGAGGACGAGATATCAGACGCCGTAAGATCAGATGATAGTTCCATGGCCGACCTACAAGCAATACTCAAGCTACTCCCGGCATGTCAACGGTGCCGCAAAAACAAAAAGCGATGTGATCTCCAACTGCCAGCATGCCAGAATTGCACAAAAGCGGAAGAAGAATGTTTTTTCCTGGACCTCATCACGAACGAAAGACTGCCACGACAGTATGTGTAGCTTATCCCAGTCTGGATTTGCATGCTGACCATCTCACAGATACGTTGCTTCCCTAGTTGACCATATCAAAGCCCTCAAAGCTAAAAGGGGCCATAAATCGAGCGGCGATGACGATGATACCGTGTCCGCGCACCTCGTGCCGGTACGAGGTATGTCAAGATACCTCGGCAGCCGCGCAGCTCTGGCAATACCTGCCCAGGCTCTCTCTGCCATTTCCCATCACGAACCCAGTCCCGCCTTAGAGCTTCCTGTCAACTTCACGAACGGTTCGTCCGTGAGCTCGGAGATGCACACGTTCTTGATGGAGAGATACTTCCATGTTATCCACAAGGTATATCCGGTTTTTGATTGGCCCTCGGAGTTTTTCATTGTCACATCGCAGACCTATGGCAGCAACCGATTCCTCTTGTACGTTCGCGCAATGGTTTATTCTATTGCATGCCATTGCCTGCCTAAGAATGACCTCAGGCTCGTGCTCCTTTCGGATGAACTATATCGACATGCAGTGGCACATGCTGAGGACGTCATGTCCCAAATCTCGGTAGAGGCTCTCCAGGCCGTTTTATTACTGGCTCTACGCTGTCTCTTCGATCCACGCAAAGGATCTTTGGGTCAAATGATTGCCTTCTCAAAGTCTTTGATGACGGAGTTGGCAAGTCGCGGGGTTCTGGAGAATTCTCCCTTGGAACTACCATTACGATGTATGCTATCCTGTCTCGATAACTTGGTTGGCTCGGCCCTGGATAGACCCTCAGGACGTCCAGAAATGGTGAGTGAAAACTCTATGAAGGCCTCGCAGTTGATTAAATCAAATAGGACATGTCACAAGCATTAGACCTATCGAATCAAACGGCCTTCTTGACCGCGCAATATCACGAGCAATGGAAGTATCGCAACAGCCGCACTACGGAAGTTCAAGACACAGCAGCATTCGATAAACCGGTCGATCAAAACTGGTCTCCAATCACCCAAACTGCGCGCTGCGAAACACGGTTTTTGGTAGATACAACTACAAAAAGTGCACTGGAGCTCCTGCACGAATACTGTCGTCCCAATACCATCTTTACGGTCTTCACTGCGCACTGGACTTACAAGGCATCGCTGTGGCTTTATCAGGAAGGGGGGCCCCAGATTTCCTGGTATCCTCTGGCCTTGAGGACGCTCGAGCGATGTTCGCTCAAATGGCCAGAATCGGGAGCGCTCATGGATTCTTTGGCTCGTATGTCGTCAGCAAGGTCCTATGCTGGAAATATTGATTGAAGTTTTGCTCAGTATTCCATATCAACGGACGAGGGCTATTAATCCATCTTGAACACGGGGTCGTCCCAGAAAGCGATTTTGCCCCTCAACTCAGGTGACGCCTTTATAGCAAGCTTTGCTATCACAGATCCCGGCTGGTGAGGCTCTACCAGTCTAGGGTGTAGGTACGCTTTGTACTCCTCCAACTCGTCGGCAGTCATTCCCGGAACTATTTCGTCAGCCAAAGCTTTCTTTAGACGCTGCATAGCACGTCGGATCGTACTCACATTCTCCGTGGATGAGTTTGTTGACAAGGGGTGTATTTACGATACCAGGATATACCGCGATGGCGGTGATATCAGGCTCTTCCAAAGTCAGCGCCTGGGCAAAAAAGTTGACTGCTGCTTTCGAAGCTCCGTAGGCTCCCCAGGCCTTCCAGCGTAGCTGCTCGCCGGCATCTGACGACGTAAAGATGACTCTCCCTTTGGATTTTCTCAGATGCGGGATTGCCACAGAAAGCTGGTCGAAGGGTTAGCCTCGGAGCACGGATTGTGCGACCTACACTGGACTTACCATGGAGATATGAGCTACAACGTTGACATTGAAGATCTTTGTCACTTCGGTCGATGTCATGTCGCATATTCGCTGGATTGGTGCCATGATCCCAGCGTTGAGGGCAATGGCATCAATCTTTGCCCAAGTCTTGATCGCGAGTTCCACAGCCTGCGAATTGACTTGGTCATTACTCACATCGCCGATCACGTACTGGAACTTGTCCTTTCCCAGCGTTGCCTGTCGTTGCCTCAACGGCTCCTCAGCCAGATCGACCACCACAAGTCTGGCATTCTCTCGCAGGAGCTGGTCAACAATTGCGGCACCGATACCAGCCACTCCACCTGTGACAATAACAACCGGATGTTGCGCCATAACGATGCACTGTACTTCACGTATCTTAGGTTTTAAGATTGAGTATAAACACTCTTTGATCCTTTTGTCTTCTTCCCCGCAAGCAAGACGAGAACTTGACCCCGGCTCGCCGGATTAACAGTGATACTCAGGGACAAGAAACCCGCACTTCGGACCACAAAAACGATGGTCGTTTGCAGACGTGATTGGTTGCCCATGTCTGAGAGACTATGCCGCCCAATCCGTCGCCTACCCCGTCGCTCAGTTCCGTCGCCTACTTCCGTCGCTCATTCCCGTCGCTCATTCCCGTTGCTGCTTCTAAACGCCTGATTCCATGCAAAAATAGTCTCCAGTTACAGAAAATGGCCACAAACCTCCCCAAACTACAATCAGTGGATTCCCCCCAGCTTTTTAGTCGAGAACCGATAGACTCCGGAAGAAGCTCAGTCGAACCGGGGGTTCCCAGAGGCATCGGGGGAGGGTCCCAATTTCGAGCCCTTATCTCGACGTAGTCGCCCATTCGAAATGCCATTTGTGGCGTTATTATTCAGGCTCCGCCCACCTGGCTTCAGACATCGTCGAGGTATATCTTGCTCCTTCTATCACCACTACTGAAACCCAGGCAGAGGCCTTTTACACAATCTCTACCAGGCCTACACTTTCGACATGTCTGACTTGCCAATCCCTGGAACCGTCCATCAGGTTGATCAGGCGGATCACATCCAAGGTGTCCGTCGCAGTCCGAAAAACCACGATATCATTCTCCTGCCTCAGCCATCAGATCATCCTGATGATCCTCTGAATTGGTCCAAGTGGCGCAAGCTCGTCAGCGTCTTGGGCTACAACATCTATACCCTGGGCGTGGTGCTCATGGTCTCGTGCTACACCCCGGCAAATCTACAGATCCAAGAGAAGACTGGCATCCCCGTTGCCGACATCAATACTGGAGTCGGCATCTATTTCCTCTTCATCGGCTATTCGAATCTTATTTGGCAATCGCTTGCCCTCAATTACGGTCGACGACCAGTCCTGTTGTTGTCGTTCCTGCTAGTCATCGTCCAAGCTCTTTGGCAGGCATGGTGCAAGAATACGGCACAATGGTATGCCAACCGCGTTCTCATGGGTATATCCGCCGGTCCAGTCGAGACACTCCTCGAGCTCATCGTGGCCGACTTACATTTCAGCCACGAGAGAGGCTTTTACATGAGCATCTACGTGTGGTTGCTGTTCAACGGGCCCTTTCTTGGCTGCATTCCAGCAGGCTTTGTTGCCGACTCTTTGGGTTGGCAATGGATCGAATACATTGTCTGCATCATCGGCGCCGGTCTGTTCGTTTGGCTGTTCTTCACCTTTGAGGAGACGGCCTTCTACCGGCCCGACGTCATCTCTGCGGAGAATCTAGACAGAGTAACGTCCAAAACTGCCGTCTACGATGCCGAGGCCAATGTTGCAAACCACCCCCCGAAAGGAGAAAAGGGTGGTGCACTTGACGCAACAGGAGCAGACACCATCAAGGCTCCGACGACCAGTGTTGACGCGACGCTTGACATTGTGGGCCAGCCGAAGCCGTACTGGAAACGACTGAGTTTTCTTCCTAGTCATGACGCAAGGAGAAAGAGCACGGTCTGGCGGAACTGTTATCTTTCCATCGCTCTGCTACGATTTCCCGCCGTCATCTACTCTGGTCTGCTGGTTGCATTGTCTCTCTCTTGGTTCAATGTTGTCAACGGGACTCTTCCGAGTATATTAGGTGCAGAGCCCTACAACTTCAGCGCCAACATTGTCGGCGTCTTCTACATTGCCGCTGTCATTGGAGTGGGATTTGGCAGCTACTTCTCCGGGCATTTGAGCGACAGACTGGCTGTTTTTATGGCACGCCGGAACAACGGCGTCTTTGAGCCGGAACATCGTCTGTGGGTGTTCCTCATCGCCCTGATTATACATCCATTCGGGTGCCTCCTGTTTGGCGTTGGCGCGGCTCACAACATCCACTGGGTCGGTCTCGCTTTCGGTCTGGGTATTTTCTGTGCCACTCTGCCCATGGGTTCCTCAGTGGCGTACAATTATGTCATTGACAGCTACAAAGAGGTCGCCGGTGAGGGTATGGTGTCGGTGATCTTGATTCGGAACACTATCGGTAAGTCACCAGGGGAGTCATGATGCGGGTTTCACTGACATGGTCATTATCAGGCTTCGGTTTCGCCTATGCGATTGTTCCCATGATCGACGACTTGGGCCTGCAGGGGGCCTTCATACTGCTCACTTTCCTGGGGCTATTCATCTGGTGCCTCACCTTCGTGATGATCATCTACGGCAGCAGATTTCGCAAGTATACGGCTCGAGCATACTGGAAACTGGTTGAAGAACAAGGTCTACGTGTTCATTGAGACGGGGCCACCCTGGGGGGCCAAGACATGGTGGGCATTTCCGGCTATCCAGTATAGCTAAGTAGCCCCAAGACTGCAAATCTCTCCCGGTGGTGAGTCGAGGAGATTTTTAGCAAGATGGTGCGGGGAGGAATTTTTTGATATTCTTGTGCAGCTTGATGGTAAAGTGGTTCCTTCAGTGGAAGAGATATATATATGTACACAATGACCCATCGTTATATCTATCCCTGTGGTGTGTAGCTAAAAGCATGCCTGCAGGGCACAGCTGAAGGGCCCTATTCGTGGACCGTCTGGCAGACGCTTGTAGGCGTTGTGAGGCACCAAAGTTCACTTTTTACTGATGATCCCTCGACGTGTCTCACACGGCAATAAGCCACGCGGCGAACATGAAGGTCGAGCCTTGTGACTCCATCAACAGTAAGATTACGGTTCGATTTTCGTGATATTTGAAAAGTCTCGAGTTAGGAGCGAGCATTCATTATTCAAAAGAAGTCATGTTGAAAGAGTCAAGGTAATGTCGTCGGACTGGCGATGAGCGATTTATGCGTCGAGTCGACAGAAAACTATTTGCCCTTCTGCCCGCCTTTCACCGTCGCACCTTGTATGTTACCAGCTTTAAACTCGTCCACCATCTGGTCCATCGTCACCCATTCGACGCCCTCATGCCCGTTGACAAATTCAATGAATCTCTCATGCATGAGCAAGACCTGCGGTTTCCCGCTGACCTGTGGATGGATACTGATAGGGAAGATGAAGGTGTCATACTCTCGATAACAAAATGAGAACTGATCTCTCCAGAGCTTTTCCAACGCCCACGGATCAACGTAGCCGTGGCTTGGTCCCTTGAACGAGAATTGGAAAGGGGGCCAGTCGTCCAGATGCCAATTTGCTGGAATCTCAACGACGCTCGAGTCTTTCCACGCACTCATCGGGACCATCCAAGTCTCCGCGTCCTTGCTCGTGTCGGTTTCCTTCCAGGGATCCGTGTTGATGTGTGGGAGATAGTACAGCTGGAAGTCGTGATGCATAAAGGAGTGATCATATTCAATACCAAACTCCTCCAAAAGCTTGACACACTCCCGAGACGTTGCCCAAGCAGGGGCTGTCCAGCCTCGCGGCTTCTTGCCCACGAAAGAGGTAAGTACATTGATCGAGCGTCTAAGAACATCCCGTTGCTGGTCTTCGGTCAGAGTAGACACGAATTCGTGAGTGTAACCGTGCAAGCCTCTAAAAAGATTGAGCAAAGAGTTAGATATCAAATCAAAATCGCCATGTACAATGCTCCACAGAGAAAAAACAAAAAAAAAAAAAATACGTACATTTCATGACCGGCATCTCTAACCTTGGCGATCTGTTCGGGGAAGCTTTCGATCGAGTGTGCTGGAACAAACCACGATGTCTTGATGTGATAGCGTTCCCAGAGCTTAAGAAGACGGTCAATGCCGACTGTTGCTCCGAAAACACCACGCGACACATCCGTTGGGTCCGCATGACTGCCGTCAATGGTATTGATCCTTGTTTTGGAGCTGAATTAGTTGTCGAACTGTGTGGTCCAGGAGTAGCCTTACCATCCACTGACCGCATCCACGTCGATGCCATACCCAATAAGGACTCGCTTCTTTCCCATGGTGGTCGATGTTGGAGTAAGTAGTGACCTGAAAACCCCTTGCTTTTAAAATTCACACCGAATCGACTAGACTACCGGAGCGGAAAGAGAGGCCTTGAATGATGGGAGGCGGCGGTTCTATACTTTATTCCTTTCCTTAAGGGGAACCCCCATGTATGGAGTTGCATGGAGTTCTTCTCCAGAATAGGACGCTAGGCGTCACGCTGAATAAGTCCGCCTTTGGTCTTTCCCACCATTGTGGAACCTCAACAACACGGAGGTGAGCGAAGTTAGCGTCGCCTAGATGCGCCAGGGGCGAATTCGCTCAAACCACGAATCACCATTTCTTCATTATGTGATTTGATTCAAAGTAGGTTTCTTTGTCGTTGATGATAGTCGCAGCATCCAACAAGCTATCTCTTCCCCGAGAATCGCCATTCTATCTCACACACACACACAGAGAAAGAGACACAGAGACAGGCGCGCGCGATGATAACCATCGACTGTAAAGGATCACCACACCAGGTAATTCTACCATGAGCTCGTCAGCCAGTCAAGATTTACTAACAGTTGGCTATTTTGAGATCGGCCGGCAACATGGCGAAGGAGCTCGACAGCAAATTAAAGGGTCTATTGCCTTTTATGCTGGACTATTTGAGTCCACGAGTCGGTTGAAGTGGGATGAAGTTCAGCAGCTGGCAGATCCTTTCGCGGCCACGATCCAGAAAAAGTGGCCTCCATTCTATGAAGAGATGCAAGGTGTGAGATGCCCTTGTTTCAAAATCTCTCAATCTCCCCCCTTTTGACACATGGCACAGGCGTGGCTGAAGGCTCGGGTTCTTCAGTACTCGACATTGTAGCCCTCAACATCCGCACGGAAATCGCCTTTGGACAGTTCAGCGACGGTTGTACCAGCTTAGCGTGGCATACCAGCGAATCGTCCTTTCTCGCACAGAATTGGGATGCAAGTATAATCTGATTTGGAAACTTGGACAAACCAGGCTGATATGAATTTGCAGTGGAAAGAAGCACAAAAGGAGAATCTCATAGTCTTGAAGATCCAGCAAGATGGGAAACCCGATATTCAGATGATCACGGAAGCAGGCATCATTGGCAAAATCGGATTCAACGAGAAGGGAGTTGGCGTCTGCTTAAACGCCATCAAGGCCAAAGGCATGGATATGAATCGTCTTCCGGTTCATTTGGCATTACGCCTGGCCCTCGAATGCAGCACAGCTTCGGAAGCCCTTCAAAAGCTGGAATTGTTTGGCGTCGCGTCCCCCGCCCATATTCTGGTGGCTGACCGTACTACTGCATTCGGGGTAGAATGTTCATCCACGACGATGGAGAAGCTCGTGGGCGACGGCCGAGGGAGACTGATTCACACAAATCATTACAAGTTGCAACACAACGGTGTAGTAGATGCTCAACTCCTAGAGGACTCGGAGCCTCGCGACACGCGGATGCTAGAGTTGACCGACACTTTGGCCAAACCAACATGGAATGGAATTTTCCAGGCCTTCCAAGATGAGGCCGATGCACCGTCATCAATCTGTCGAACACAGGTTCGGAAAAGCACACTCGCAACACTGTTCAACATCATTATGGATTTGAGAGCTGGCAGAGCTGAGATATGTCTTGGTCGACCAGTCGATATAGAGGAAAAGGTGTTGCTGTCATTCTAAAACACCATGTCTGTTTGTCACATCTTTTCAAAACTGTTGGCAGATGTATTGATGACAATGCCCATAGTCGACACAGTAGACGGAGAATCTCCCCAGACTTATCGGGGGGACCCACAGCAATGAATCAACGCGTGACAAAAGACCTTCTGCTGTCGGACGAGAACTGCCGAGTCCGTTCTGGCCATTCTCAAAGCATAAAAAGGCAAATAGACAACAACGGGTCCAGATTCGTGACCCCGCAGCAACAACACACATCACGACTCAACTTTGAAACGCACTGTCCGACAGGTAAAATCGGGAGCCTCGGAGGAAGGCGACCAGATCCCAGGCGATCAAGGTAGCTTGTTGTCGGCAATGCCGTGATTGGGTTTGAGTCGCTCGATCGGGATTGCTGGTCGGGGTAGAGATCCACTTCTCATATCATTGAATGGGAATGCATTGCCTTTTGCTCGATCCTGATATTTGTTCACAGGTGCGAAGGCCTTTCATTCATCAAGCAAGATTACAAGTGCCACAACTAGAACAACATCTTCAGTGATTATACTTGTTTTCAATCCCAGGACCTGCTATCCTACCAACCCTCCCAAGCATACCACAATGCTTCTCTCACTCCTCCCTTCTCTGTGCAGTATATTGGCACTCGTTCTACTGGTCGGGCCTTTGGTCAGCTACTGGTGGGATCGAAAGGGCCTGCGGAGGTTTCCCTCTCCATCCTTCGCCGCCTTCAGCTCACTATGGCGTGTCTGGCATAATCTCCGCCATCAACACTATTTGGCGGTCCACAAAGCCCATGAACAGTTGGGGACTCATGTACGAATTTCCCCAAATCACATTTCAGTGGCAAACCAACAAGCGGCCTACGACATCTATGGCCACGGTGCCAACATGATGAAAGAGGCCTTTTACGACTCCGGAGCTGGGGCACACCGGAACCTGGCCGATGCTCGCGACAAGATTGAGCATCAGACCAAACGGAAGATGCTTGCACACGCGTTTGCCCAGAAGACCATTGTCGGGCTCGAGCCTGTCTTGATTGACATGCTGCAGACTTTTGTCGGCGCAGTCGATGCCCATGTCCGGTCGGGCGAACCCATGAATATACGACTCTATTTCAACTATTTCACCATCGATCTTCTGGCCCTGATCTTGTTCAGCAAGCGTTTGGGATGCGTATCCCGTGGAAATGACTTGGTGGACGCAGAAACCACAGAGGGAGTCGTTTACAAAACTCCTTTTATCGAATCTTTGCACCACTCCCTCACCATCAACGTTGCGCTGGGTATGGAACCAGTGTTTCTCCCGTGGACGAGATGGCTGTTTCGACACCACCCGTACATGCGTGATGGTGTCAACTTTGAAAATATTATCCATCACAATGTCAAGGCGCGGCTTTCACAAGGTGTAACCCAGGACGACCTCTTCACCAGACTGTTGCAAGACAGCAAAGGGAACAAGTTGAACCTGTCCATGGGTGAACTTGTCGCCGAGTGCAGTGTCATGATGAACGCTGGCACCGAGACAACGACTGCGGCCATGACCAATACTGTTTTCCTCGTCTACACCCATCCTCGAGTCCTTGCGAAGCTGAGACAAGAATTGGATCCACTCTTCTCCGACAAAGGTCTTCCCAGTTACGAAAAGGTCTCCAGTTGTCCTTATTTAAGAGCTTGCACCGAGGAATCACTTCGAGTGCGACCTCCCAGCTCTATGGGCCTCCCTCGAGTTGTGCCCCAAGGAGGGCGGACGGTCGCCGGAGAATTCATCCCGGAGGGAACGACGGTATCCGTCCCAACGTACACACTCTTGCGTGATGGCTCCATTTTCGACAGGCCGTCCGAGTATATCCCCGAGCGCTGGCTCACCGACGACTCCGGGCTCAAGCGAGAAATGTTGAGGAGTCATCTCCCGTTCAGCACGGGCCCACGAGCCTGTATCGGACGCAACATTGCGTACTTTGAGCAGACCTTGGTGATCGCCGCACTGGTTCACCACTTTGACCTCGAAGTGCCAGAAAATTCCCAACTGGAAACTCAAGAACGATTCAACTCGAATCCCGGGAACCTCTTTGTTCATTGTAAACGACGTGACCTCAAGGTCTAAATGTGTATATAACGAGCGCCTTTTGAAATGAATGTCCATGGGCATGACATGATGACATATATGCAATGAGCAATGATATAGCTTTGTTCATTGTCTTTCTTAACCCGTGACCTCTTTTGAGAATTCTCTGACTTTAAAACTATCAATATTGGCCAGGATTATCACGTCTCGTTTTGCAACATGAGACATGGTGGTTGCACAGATCGGGTTGCCCGGCGAGAGATGATGAAGGCATTGAACTTTGAAAGGAATTCTGACCAGAGAAAAAGCCACAGCTTCAGACTTTTCGAAAGCCTTTATAAAACAAAGCGTCACATTTTGCACCTGCCAAGTAACCTCGAAAATAGACGGCATAGAGACTAAAATGAATTGTGAGGGTGACTCTTGACGTGGTGCCTACTGGAGAGCAGAGACCCTGCTAGAGAACAAGTTGAACAACTTCAAACTTGCTATAGATGCTGGTAATCTTCCTAGGCCATGATTCCGCGACCAATTCCTAGCCAACTCTGCCTCCGTCTGATGTTCTCAGAGCCCAGGCCAAGTTGTATCCGTCTCACCTTAGCACACAGACGGGCTAACGGAGACTCCGCCCTGATTTGTACAGAAGGCAAACGTGATGCTGGTGCTTCGGGCAGAAAGTTCAGTGGTACTCTTGGTGCATCCCCCAGCTCGAGCAGCTAGCTCAGGTGATCCCAGGAGGGATTTTCGCTCACAATATGGACCTTTGAAGCTGTGCCCGATGGCCGCCCCAAGTAAGGCGGACGGAACTGGAATGAAAGAAGGGTGACAAGACCGGGCGTTCTGGAGGACTTGAGATGGTGAGTATCTCTTCAGGGAGTCCTTGCTTCGATGAGGTCCTGAATACCCAGGTAAGAATAGGACTGAGGGTCACTCTCGCAAATGACGAAGCATCGTGGTCATGATCGAGGGAATAACGGTGGCAGGCGTATATTGGTCCCTGACTGCATCAGATGTCACATTTGAATAACACGCAGATTTTCGCCCCAGCCAAGCAAAAGCTGGTGAAAAGGAGTTGACAATGTCATGGTTCATGGTCAAAAGCAGGGGTACATATGGTGCCCTGCAGAGAGACCGAGGTTTCCTCTTCTGGCCCATATTTGAAGCTGGCAGCCGGCACTCTACCAGATGCGTAAACTATGTTACGCTGCTTTCATCGAAACCGGATTTTTGCTGGTAGGATCCCAGTATGGTGGGTCGCTATCTGATCAACCAATCAACAATGTCAGCTTTTCGATTCGATCGCGGAGCAGGCTGAGTGAATGCCAAGACGCTAACAGTTTGCGCCCTCATCACTGGTGAGAACAGGGCGGCATCACCCTACGCCGGATGCGGGGTGAGCCGCGAGTAGATTAATGTTTAGCAGATGGGCCAAGATCCGTCAGACATTTCACCATCTCCCGACCCTGTGCGGCCGCTCGACTGTACTGACGCGCACAACTTCGCTCAGCAGAAGTTCCTTGACTTCAGAGTCCCCCTAACTCCGCGTCCAACTTCCAAGATGAGACTGGAAATTCATACTAGACGGGCAATTGGAGATGGGCAGAAGTTCAGGAAGCCGATAACAGACAGTCGACCTCTCGTTGACGGTCTAGAATCCTCTTCTATATCACGGCGTGCGAGAGCGAGATTCCCATTCTCGACGAAAAAGTGAATATGCAGATGGCAAGGATTTCTCCCCCAGATACTCTCGGTTTGACACAAGAAGCAGCTAACCAATTCCATCCGGAACCCTCAGAGACTGCATCTATCAAGTTGAGAGCGCTTTGGCAAACACAAGATGGCTCTGAACGCCCCCGTATCCCGAAATCTGATGCTGCTGTCGAGAAACGGATGAGGCACGACCTCACCGGCGTCCAATTTGATAAACGTCACTTCGTCTCTCAAGACACATGGAGGCGGCACGAGCTCCAGGTCAGATCGGATCTGAGCCGTATCGCACGAACTCCGTAGAGGGAAGTTGTTCCATCATGAGGGGACAAAGAAGCCGAAACTGTGAAGGCGTCGTATGGGAAAGCAGTTCCATACGCTCTAGACCCTGGAAAGCGACCTTCTCTGTCGAAGCAGAAGAAACGGGCAAAAAACCTTGTAAGCGACGCCGGCTGTCGACTCTCTGAAGATTTCAGATAGGATTCGAAGAAGGTTGGAAAGTTGTCGAATGCTGCCACGGAAGTATTGTGGCGTTTATGCTTAATGCACCCAGGTAGTCACACTTACAAGCAGGATTAGGGAGAGGTCGCGAGCCTCAGGGAATATGGAATGCGTTGTGGTTTGATAGAGCCAGTGATGCTATTTTACATCATACTGGTTTTACCCATCTAGTGACCTCTACACTCATAAAGTCTCGTCTCGCTTACTAACAGCCCGCGCTCCTCTAAAGTGTTACGCCGTATAGTGGAGGGTTATACTGGCTGTCGTTAGATCCACACGAGATGTAGTAGCTACTCATCGATTGGAATCGTTAGTGTCCGTCTATCGCCAGGCAGTCCTTGACACCGTAAAATATTGCTTAGAACGAGATTTCTCGATTTATACCTCAAAAATGCCAAAAGTTGAGCCTTCTTGGTCACCAATTACGCCTGCAGGAGGTGCTTCAGAGTATTCTAATTGAGAGACCAGGCCTAGACTTTTTGTTTAGTTTATCCATGATACGGCACCAAGTGATCGAAAAGATGCAGCTATGTCAATGTCCCGTGAGTGCTTCGCCGCGATGACCCGGTACGTAGCATTGGCGTCTATTACCCATCTTTGCGGGCCATCGTCCCAGTACGAGATACTGACCCGATCGAGCGATATACGGGCCGTGACTGTTTCGCCTGGCCGCACAAAGACCTTATCCCAACCTTTCAACTCCCGAGGCGGACGCATCAAATTTGGCTTTGTGACCTGCGTCACGTAGAATTGTACGATCTCCTTTCCCGCCTGATCCCCGATATTAGTGACATCGACCAAGACATAAGCTCGTTTGGTCCCTCGTCGTCCCCACATGCCAACACGGACGAGCTTAAGCGGATGTTGGAATACTCGTAGGCCGTATAGGACAGGCCGGCACCGAAGGGGAACAGTGGTTCAATCTTCCTGTGATCGTAGTATCGGTACCCGGCAAAAATCCCCTCGCCGTATTGTACGCGGTCATTACCGCCGGGGAATTTATCGTACGAGGGGTTGTCCTCGATCCGACGGGGAAAGGTGATGGGCAGTTTCTCGCACGGGTTCAAATTTCCGAGTAGAACATCTGCAAGGCAATTACCCTGTTCTTGACCTAAATACCACGCCTGAACAATCGCCGGTACTTCGTTGATCCAAGGCATAGTAATTGGAGAGCTCGTTTGGTTGACAACGACTGTGTTTGGATTTGTGGCGACAACAGCGGCGATGAGGGTATCGGAATCCCGCGGTAATTGGAGTGTTTCCATATCACTTGTCTCCGTTTCCCAGTCTGCGTCTCGCCCGACGACAATAACAACAAAATCACTGGCCTGCGCCAGCTCAGTCGCTTCGTGCAATAGAGTTTGGTCGTCTGGGGGCTGTTCCAGGAAGCCTATTCGGCCGCCGTCCTGGACCTCTTCTCTTTCCAATTCGCCTGTGTAAGTGATCTGGTATGGTTTCGTTTCACGACTGATGGACTCCAAGACCAACTCGTAGGAAATGCCAGCTTCCATGTAGAACTCATCCCGCTCTTCAGGGGATCCATAACTCATGAAGAGTGACGACTTGGGCGACCACCAACGGCGTTGAATGTCGATGAGAGTTTGCCCATTGATAAGAAGCTTTCCTGGCCCGCACGATGACAAGGAGAACTGGTGGATGCCACTGGTCTTCGGCGTCACGATAGTTTTGGCTCGATAAGAGTAGCGTTCGCCCGTTGTGAGCTCCGGAGGCAAGCCGTCGTAGCAGATCAAGTAAGAGCTCGGCCTACTTTCTGTGAGGAGCGTTTCACCTTCGTGTGAAGTGTTGTTCCAGAACGAAATTGTGAAACCAGATGTACCCGTCTCTGGGTTCTTCATGACCGAGGGATCGATAAGTGGCAAATATCTGTGTGCGAGAATCTCTGGCGCTGCGACGACTTTGACTCCTGGGTGCAACTTGGCGGCCTCGATTCGGAATGACTCAACTGGTGTAGTCCTGTAGTGCGGTTCCAGGTTTGAGCTGCCTCCGCCGGTCGCAACGGAGCGTATGGCATTTGGACCGATGAATGCAACGGACTTGTCGGAGAGATCTTTCAGCGGCAGGAGAGCTTCTTTGTTCTTCAAGAGGACCATTGCTGCCAATATTCAGTATTTGAGTAGAGTGACCGGAAAGTACGTATATGGGAAGACAGGTATTACCTTCGGCGCCACAGTGGCGCAACACCTCCCTATGCTCTGGTAGATCTTCTGCTCGCTCAGTGCCCTCCTTCCAATCGGGAATGGCACTCTTCCCAGTCCTATAGAGCAGTTCGAGAATTCGTCTTGCTGATGCATCAATAAATGATTCTTCGATTAATCCTCTGCGAAATGCTTCGATGAGATGTTTACCACGCCTCCGCACTGGCCCTGGCATCTCTAGATCAAGTCCACCCACTGGTTATCAGCATGGTCAGAACCGGTGAGGTTGGGTGAGAGGGTTCCCTACCCTGCCTTCACGGACGGGACTATCGTGTTGGTACCGAACCAGTCGCTCATAACAGTTCCATCCCATCCCCATTCTCCGCGAAGGATAGCCTGCAGCAGCTGAGCGTGGGCGGAGCAAAAGGTACCGTTGATCTTGTTGTAAGCAGTCATCAAGGTCCAGGGGTTACTATCTCGAATAGCGATCTGGGATGGCTGGAGGTGAATCTCTCGTAATGCTCGATCTGGGATATACTCGTCGATGAAAAATTGTCGCGTTTCTTGGTCGTTAGCTGCAAAATGTTTGATACAGGCTCCAATGCCTGCGGCTTGAATCGTGTTGATATAAGTAGCGGCGAGTTTTCCGGTCAAGAAGGGGTCTTCACTGTATGCTTTAAAATTGCGCCCCCCGAGAGGAGTCGTGGGAAGACACACTTGCAACCACCCTTGTCAGCGAGAAAGTCACCAAAGTTCCCCCTCAAAGCGTGCGGACTCACCAGTTGGCCCGAGGAGGACGTCGACTTTGCTTTTCGCTTCGGCTACCAACACCTGGCTAACTTTTCGGATGACCGAATGATCCCACGTGGCGGCCAGTGCTACGCTGCACCGTTGTTAGCGGTCTGTTGGGCCCCAGAAAAAGGTGCCCTGTCATACCCTGTCGGTAAAGAAGCATCTTTGACGCCGTCCGCGAACAATCCTCCTCGCACACCCACTGGGCCGTCCGACGTTTTCATTTTGGAAATACCCAGGCGTGGAATGGCATTAGTGCGCCACGAGTCCGCTCCGGTGAGTAGAAGGACTTTTTCTTCCAACGTCAAACGCTTCAACATGCCGCGGGCATATGCTTTGGCCTCACTCACGCCGTCGGGCACGAGGATACGTGACCCGAGGGATGCATCCCCCTGAGCCTGGGCCTGAACCTGAACCTCAGCCATACTCGTTTTGGTCGATATTCCTGGGAAGAATTGGTTGTCTGATGGAGGGTTTATACCAACGATGTCGAAACTTGCCGAATGGACTTCGCCCTCTCTCGAAGAGAGGATTGGACAGCGTGCGTCCCGGGCTCGGGGACTCTCGGCTCGCCAGCCTCCCAATAGTAGAAGGACTTAGTCAGTCAGCTAGTGACATTGCCAATTACAAGACAAGATGTATGGGGTCTTTGAGCCACCTTGCCCGCTCCGACGACGCTATGCAAGCGCCCGCGAATGAGCGGACCGCCGACGCACTCTGTGGCAGAGATCCTCGCCCAGAGCAAAGAATCACGGCTCGGTCTCACACGCTCTCTCTTCCGACTCTACCTCGTTCTCATACCAGCTTGCCTCGTCGTCTGTGCCACCAATGGCTACGATGGTTCCGTTCTGAATGGACTCCAGGCCGTCGCCTCCTGGAAAGAGACTTTCAATCGTCCCCGCGGGGCGTTGCTCGGCATCATCTCTGCCTCGTATCCTCTCGGTGCCATCTGCTCAACCCCAATCTCTGCCCCAATCTCGGATCGATTTGGCCGACGCTGGTGTATTGCCATTGGTAGCGCGATCATGATCGCTGGTGTCGTCATCCAGACAGCAAGCAACACGATGGGGGTCTTCATCGGGGGACGAGTTGTGGTCGGGTTTGGCATCACCTTGGCCCTGGCTGCAGCGCCAGTCTTGATCTCTGAGCTTGCTCACCCGCGTCATCGAGTCCTCTTTACCTCGCTTTACAACACGAGCTTTTATCTGGGTTCTTTGCTGGCTGCTTGGGTCACGTTTGGCTCTTACCGCATGAACAGCATGTGGGCATGGCGACTACCCACGTTACTACACGCTCTGCCCGCCCTTGTTCAAATCATCTTTGTTTTTTTCCTTGACGAGAGCCCTCGTTGGCTTCTGTTCAAGGATAGAGCAGAGGACGCATATGCTATCCTTGTGAAACACCACGCCGACGGCAACCCTCATGACCCCTTGGACCAAGCGGAATTCTTCGAGATTGACCGAACCCTGCGCGCTGAGAAGGAAGTTGCAGCGGTCGGGCTCAAGCTTTTCTAGGAAACACGAGCGAATCGCAAACGATCGGTTGTGCTCATTTGTCTTGCGGTCTTTGGTCAGTGGTCAGGTGTCGGCCTGGTCTCCTATTACCTTGTCAAGATCCTCAACTCTATTGGAGTTACCACCCAACGAGAACAAACGTTGATCAACGGCGCTCTTAGCACCGTCAACTACGCTACTGGCTTGGCTGCAGCAATCATGACGACCAAAATTGGCCGCCGAAAAATGTTTATTGGCGGCGGCGTGGCCATGTGGCTGACGTTCACAAGCCTCGCCATCAGCATCGCGGTCTACAACGAGCAGCACTCCAAACCGGCAGGAAAATCAGCTCTTGGCTTCATTTTCATCTATTACACCGGCTACAACATTTGCCTCAATCCCCTTCTTTACCTCTATCCCACGGAGGTTCTTCCCTTCCGACTACGTGCGACGGGACTCAGTATTCTCGTCTTCTTCAACAAAGCAGCCCTCTTCTTCAACCAATTCGTGAACCCCATTGGAATGGATGATCTCGGTTGGAAATATTACTTCGTTTACGTCGGCTGGTTGCTGTTTGAGATTGCCGTCTTTTATTTCCTCTTTCCCGAAACCAAAGGTCACACCCTGGAGAATGCAGCGAAGGTGTTTGAGGATGACAGGGGTTTAAAACAGGATCCTGAAGCTTCTGCGTCAATTGACTATGCAACTACTGGCAAAGAGGAGGGTTCGTCCAAGCTGGTCGACGCGAGAGTTAGCACCCATGTCGAGAAATTGTGAATCAGAGCTGCCGAAGCTGAACGACTCAGCAAACCTCAGAAAAGCCGAGTCCTATTACCTGCTTGCTCGCCGGAGGATCGGCCTTCTAGGTCAATCGATCAATGCGTCGCAGTGCCACTTTCTTTCGGGTGTGTACTTGATGTATGCACTCCGCCCTGTCGAGGCCTTCCAGGAATTTCACCAGGCATCGGTGCTCTATCAAATCTACCTAAAACTGAGTCATTCTTCGGCAAAGACAACGCAAGTGAGAAAATTGGAGCAAAGAATGTACTGGAGCTGCTTCAAGTCCGAATGGTGTGTTCCTCGATTCCCTATTCTGGCGATTGATGTGACTGCACTGAAGGCTTCGCAGCGAGATCCTATTCGAGCTCCCACTGCCGGAATCTGGGATCGCCGATTTTGAATACCCTCATTTGTTCCCTTCGCCTCCTGAACCGGTCAACGTGGGCAGCTCCAGTCCAATGCTGGATGTATTCACCACCAGCCCGGTCTCTTCCTCATCCTTGCGTGCAACAGGGAACAGTACGCTGCAGCGAGAACATGAGCAGAGCTGGTTCTACTATTTGTCAGAGATAGCTCTGAGGAGAATTGGCAACCGAGTTTTAAATTCCTTCTACGGCGGTGAGCACAACCTCTGGGAAAACATGGATCTACAGTCCATGATCGACGTCGGTCAGGAATTCGTTGATCTCCTGTCTCAGTGGCATAACAGCCTTCCCGAGCTACTCACTTACGATCAGCATCATCTCAACAACATACCGGAGGAGGAGTTACCCTTCATGATTCGTACCCGCGTTCTTGGAATCAAGACTTTGATCTTCCGTCCATTCTTATTTTACGCCCCTCACCACCCCGAGCAGGCTCTGCAACAGCCAGTCATACAGCCGTATGTGCAGCAAGCGGTTGAATTGAGCATCCATGTCATTGAGAATAGCTCGGTTCGACACCGACACCATGGGACCTGGTACACCTGTCGAATGAGTATCAGCGCTGCACTATCACTTCTGGCAGCATCTCGAACCGATATTATAAGACTGCCCCAAGACTGGGAACTAGCCGTTCAACTCGCAATTGAGACTCTCTTGTACTGGGAGGCCGAAGCACCCGGTGATCTGAGAAAAGCACGAGGAATATTGGAAGATCTACTGGCACAGACTGTAGTTTCGCGCGGCGAATAATGTCAGTCCCATTCCGCAGTACGGCGGAAGAAAGCGCATTTAACATTCAAATAATTTTGGCGGATGCTGTCATAAAAGTTGGATTTTGTGATTCTACATAAACCGTCGAACAGTTCTCGAGGCTGTCTTTCCTTGGCACAAGCATTGTGCAAGGCCGCAAGAGGAACAGCAACTTGCAGCAAAGATGGTATCCTCCATGCCCCGTCATTGGCATAGTCTCTGGTGCCGTAGGTTGCCCAGGCGGCTAGGAGGAAGCCGACGTACCAGGCACAGTTATACAGTGCCGTGATGATGCCGCGATGCGTGGGATACGCAGTCTCTGTCGTTAAAACGGGAGCGGACCCAGCAACACAAGCTGATGTTCCCCCGATGAAGAGGCGTCCTATCACGAACATTGCGGGATTGATCGCTCCGGCCCGAAGGCCCGCGCCTAGTGCAAGTCAGAAATACCCAATGGCAGTGGTCTTCTTCCGACCAAAACGATTGCACTGCAAAGACATCCATCGGGGAATCTCGGGAAGTGCCAGATTCAGCCTAGCTCGCGACCATGTTCGCAAGGGTTGGGGAATACCTGGCAATGTATGGTGAGCCCATCTGTTTGTTCTACTTCTCAGTACATACTTCTCTTCTGTGTCCCCTTGCTAAATAATTGCAGCGAGAGAGACTTGTACTACACAAAAAACGTTTGCTAGGTTTCCGAAAGACAATGAATTCATCAGGCAATTCCAGTACACCACAAATACGATGGGGTATCATAGGTAACGCACTCTTCGAAGGCTTGCTCAGCATCTCTGGAGAAGGGTAGAATCTTTGCAGCGAAATATCCATCCTGCACATCCATCACTGTGTACGGTAGCTATCGCGAGGTCTATTGTGATCCTGACGTGGACGTTGCGTATATTGGCACAATCCACACATTTCATGAAGAAAACTGCCTCGATGCGATAGCTGCAGGCAAGAATGTTGTCTGCGAAAAGCCCTTCACAATCAACTCAAAAGAAGCGCGAGAAGTGATTGAAGCGGCAAAGGCACGGAACGTTTTCCTAATGGAAGCCATGTGGACACGTTTCACGCCTTTGGTGCACAGCTTGCGCAAGAAGCTCTTCGAAGAGAAAGTTATTGGAGATATTCAAAGGACTTTCTGCGACTTTGGCCTCGACATGAACATATCAAGTCTTGGCCCCGAGTCCAGGCTGAAAAACCCGAACTTGGGGGCCGGATGCTTACTAGACATTAGAATTTATTCCTTAACCTGGGGACTTCTGACCCTGGACCCAAAACTTGGTGACCAGCGAGAGACACCAATAGTGGTCAGTATTCAGAGTCTATCTGACAGAGTGGACCACAGCACCAGTATCTTGCTCAAGTACTATCCCAGTGGAAGGCACGGAATACTGACAGCTACCACTTTGGCTAAAAGCGGTCGCGAATTCTGTCGAATAGAGGGGAGCCAAGGACATGTGATTGTGGAAGGCCGCGTCGCGTCGGCACCAGAGTCGTTCACCGTGTCGCCAAAGAATACCACCTCTTCTGCAGTAGGAGATGCGAAAGCCGAGCGAGCCCAAAACGACCACCAGCGTTACACATTCGAGAAGCTCGGTCGCGGATTTTATTGGGAAGCAGACGCTGTAGCTATCGATATAGCTGCGGGGAGAACACAGAGTCAAGTCATGCCGCTCTCGGAGACCCTCAAGACCCATGAGATCATGGATGAGGTCAGGAGACAAGGAGGGGTGCAATATCCGCAAGATCAGTAGTGTCGCAGTTGCCACAGATGGTATATAATGACTTCGGATTGACAAAACCAAAACAACAATTATGATAAATGACCGAGGGACGGAATTTTGGTCTTCCTTCAAACCCCTTGTGCATTCTCAGGGGTCGCTCTTTGATTCACCCTTTCTTGATTGTACGTAGTCGACTTTCGGCTATTTTGCAAGGCAGATGCCTTCTGCCAAGGCCAAGACTAGTGGAATATTTTCTTCTTCGAACATTAGTCTCCGGCGTCGACTCTTCCCATACGTGAGAGGATCAGGTTGCCGTGTGTGTCGAATTGAGCCTGCTTGAACTTTCGTGAAGATAGCCTGCTTTCGAATACTCCGTCAAGTTGCCACGAAGTTCGGATCGCAGTCTCGGGAATGGTGAAGAATCTAAGGAGAAACAAAATGAGGGCGGCTCCGCCGAAAAGATATCCCATCTTCAGGCCGAGGTCTGTCCCATCCGGCTGGAAGAGTTCTGGAATGGCCCAGGACAAACCAAAGGAGACTAGGGCATTAACCAGGTTCACCAAGGCATTGGTCTTTGCCCGAAGACGGTTCCTAGGTATCTCGCCGTTGATAGCGAACGCTGTGGTCCCTACTGAGATTTTCTTAGTGAACGTGTCCTCAGAGACAAACTGCATAATGTTAGGGATGAGATTTCCCCCCATCTCCCCAGCCGAAAGAGTGAACTTTTCTGGAGACTGCTTGACCCAACAGGAGCGGGTTTGAAGTTGTATGTATAGTAGGCTCGCAATTAGCCCGATGCCCTGGTTTATTCTAGTTTCGACGAGATGTCGTTTGGGGATGCGGAATCTGAGACTCTTTATTCGACTCATCGGGCAGCGTTGTCGAAGAGCTGTCGAGTTTCGAGGTGCTGTCACGGATAGCTTGGGGGGTTTTGCTCGCATGTTGAGGTGTGGCTTCCATATTTGAATTGGAAATGAGAGACTCGTCATTTCCAGTTGCTTCTTGAGTACTGAGCTCTTTTCTTGATCGAGCCTCTAGACCGTTCTCTTGCTCACCAGCTCCAGCGCTGTGATCTTCACCGAGAGCAGCCCTTGCGCCCCTCCAAGATGCTTCTTTCACATACTGAAATTCTGCTTTCATATGTTGAACTTCTTTTTTTTTTCATATGTTTGACTTCTGTCGACAGCTGCTCTGGGAAAATTTTCAAGCTCGACCGTCCCTGCTCACGCAACTCGCTCCTGGACTGGTGGCCGCGCGAGGGCTCTTGGCGCTGCAGCCAGCTCTTGATCTGATTGAGACATTCCTCTTTGCCGTGAATCTCGATATGATTGAGGAGCTCCTCTACGATTTCGGAGCCATAAGGCTGGCCCCCACTGGTTGCATGTCCGGCGAGCCAAGACGGACTTTGGTTGAAGGACGACATGGCAAGGAGATTTTCTTGACTCAGTGAGCATCTATGACATTCGTCCTGTGGGTTTCATGCAATTCTTAAGGCTCGAGGAATGCGGGGTTTGAGCGGGCAGCCGCATGCTGCCTGATCCCACGCCTCGCCCGATCAAAGTGCGAGCCGCACATCGACGCCCAATCGTCCACGCAGGAGAATCTCGGGATTACTTCCCAATAGAGCCTCGGGAGTGCATGCATTGGCTGCCGGCAATGCTTTGGGCTCGGAATTCAGGGTTCTCCAGTATTCTGTCGGGCAGCATTTTCAGAGAAGAGCCCCCACGCCTCCAAAGCCTCCTTGCCAGCTTGCCGTCTTCTGCCTGGCCCGAGATCACATCGATTCCGACTCTGTGCAAATGATGCATTCGAATCGGATTCGTGTAACTATTCAATCGGGCGGCTCTGGTTGTCACAGTACAATGCCTCAGCCTCGCACCTCAGCCTCGCCGACGACCTTCGCCGCAGAGTCTGCGCGGTGATTGGCCAACTCAACTGCGCAGGGCAGTGAGAACACGACTGTTACATGGGGTAGTCGCTACATTAGTACTGCTGTCAGTCGGAGGTATGTAGAGAGTACTATATACAACGAGGTTGTCGTTAATCCATGCTTGTTCAAGCAGTTTCGATATGTATCTAACTGTTGTGGGCAGCTATCTGCAGGACAGTCGTCGCCAGAGTCGAACTACGACTCCACGGTGGGTGCACGGCGCTGGCAAATGAGTCGAGATTCAGGGATTCGTTAACTCGAAACGCTACCGAAAGCTGACATTTCCTGTTTAGAGTGATGGCATGGCCCGACACACTTTCAGGACGACTATCCCAGAAGTCCTCCGAACCTCGTATGATGCCTCTGCTCTGTGAGGGTGCCGCTGAGGGCCGTTTTCTTCTCAAAGTGCCCTAGTTCCAAAATTGCCAGTGAAATAGAATAACCTGCCTGCAACCTGCGTCGCCTTCCCTCGCCAGCTCGATGCTGTAGCAACGCCAGTGCTCCCGAGCTATTTGTGCCTCCGTCCGTGGTCGAGTCTGTTTCAAGAAGAGCCACAAGTCCTAGGAAGCCAGGGTTTTTCCCAACTTTCCAGCGCCGGTGGGCCCAAAATATACGTGTTCGACCTGTCTTGTTGTCAAACTAATATCGTAGGTCGGAGAGACCTGGATTTCAAAGGCTGCTATCGACGCGATGTATGGACCACGAAGCAGTACGTTACGACTTTCCCCTTTTGAGTTTTCGAGTCTGGATCCACCAGCAGAAGCACGACCTGGAATTTCAGTTGCTGCTGGAGCCCTGACGGAAGTTCCTGTCCAAGGGTAAGTCAAAAGTGTCCTGTGGCGAAAAATAAGCTGAAGCTGAAGAACATTAGCGGACTCACTTGATTCAGTCGTCACCTCGCTTCTTCACAGGTAGAGGTCCCTTCACTTTCCTCTTAGGTGCAGAAGATATAGATTGTCGGAGTCTAGGACCTTGGTTAGTCACAGGCTGGCTTCGTCTCGGTATAGAAGGGCCCGTCTCCGTCGCCTCACTCCTTCCGACGGCTCGGTCCAAGACTTGTGTTATCTTCTCGACGTCCTCTTTCTTTGACTGATGCTGCCGCTGTATTGCAAGATAATCCCACATCTTGGACTTCAAGTCAGGATTCCGACTGCAGATCCATCGCACGGCCGGCAAATTCTCATTTCCCAATAGCAATGCCCAATTAAGGTCGTACAGTTCGGGAGCGTGGAGACGTTGCCACGATTCCGGAAGTTTGCTAGGGAGTTCGAGTTCCTTCTTCCAGTTGTCCCCCACAGATTTTTCAGTCCTGCCGCGGGTGTCGTCTCTCATACCAGCGCGGTCATTAGCCATGGTGTTCTTCGAAGGCTTCCTATCCTCCAGAGCTTTGTCCAACTTCTGCATGACATCTTCGGCCTTGTCCCCCGCCGGGCTCTCGACACAGTCTTCACCTAGAGTGACTAGGTAGCTCTCCGCCGTCTCAAGCGGCGTCTTGTCGTGCACCATAACTGTCCCGACATAGCGGCACTTCAGGGCGGGGTTGCCTTCGGGGTTAGACAGTCCGTTTGAGAATACCAGGACAGCCTGGCTGCCATTACTCTCGCAGGGTTGCAGAAGCAAGCACCATTCCCATTTCTGGAGAGCCAATTCAACCTGGAGCGTTGCTTGGGCGTCATTCCCGACCATTGTGATGCTGTTGCGGGCGTTCTCATCTTTGAGCCGATGACAGCGCCATCTACCCTGGGCCATGCCATTTCCGTTGACTTGGAGCATTGATCGCTCTCGAGTCCCGATCGCGCTCGGCATTCCCGCGGATGCATCAAAGGGCAGATCATCCAATGTCGCAGGGCACCATGAGAAACCTGCCCCCCCATTCATGGTTGATTTGGCATGCAATAGGCATGTGTTAGGGATCCATTTTAGCTTCTTGATGATTTCCTGGACTCTGCTGCAGGGGTCGTCACTATTGTTCTCTGTGTCTTTCAATTTTGCCAAAAGAGCGGCGATGACCACGCGGTCAGACTGCCAGGAAGTAACCCGTTGGGAGAGGATGGCTAGCAGGTCGCCCACGTCCGAAACCTCTCGCTTCAATCGCCGGATCAGCTGGCTGGCAAGCCAGTGGCCCATTGAGGATGTCTTCGGGTCGGTGGCCAGCAAGTCGTCGAGATCCTTGATCGTTGGTTTTTGCTCGTCACCAGCAGGTTTGAGTAGGACCTTGACCTTTTTGGAGAGCGCCAGTTCCACCGCTGTCCAGCCGCGCGTGAACCAGGACGACAATACAAGTGCCAGGCAGGGGGTTCCGTCTTCACGCCAGGGAGTCTGCAGAAGGGATGCTTCGTGGATGATGGTGCAATGGGCTTTGGAATAATTCTCGTGCATTCTATTCATGGCCTTGTTGCGAGCCTTTTTGGTCACTGGCATCGACACGGCGTCCCACCATACAGCCTCGCAGCCCACATCCTTAGCAATGCCCATGAAATATTCGAATAGACACTTGTTCGTGCCATCACTCGAAACTCCCACGCCAGTTCCATCAGCCCAGACGTGGGAGATGGCGATGTATTTCACTTCCCAGTTCTCGGCCAATTTTCGATCTCTCTTCCAGGCAGTGGGTAAATTCTTCTCGACTGCGGCACAGAGCTCCTGTTCTTGTCCTGATTTTCTGTTCTGTTGCTGGTTCGATGTCCCGTTCTGTTCTTGTTCTGAGTTCTTGCTTTGTGCTTGTTTCGGCCTCCCAAAAGTTAGTTTTTCACAAGAAATTCCAGTGCAAGGAGGCTTATGCAACTGCTGTACATTCGTACTGTTCATCGCGGCTAGATAGCACGTCCCTGCAGTGCATTTGGGATGATCCGAACGCCTAAAATTGTCTTCGTTTTTTTTGAGAATTTCAACAATATGCGGAATATCGCACTTCTTGCGAGGGCAAGCGTTGACCATGTTCCAAAACCATCGCTTGCATATTCCGAGAGTATCGACCGTAGTAAGAGCCTTTCCAACAGCGTCATTGGTTAAATGAGACGGGAGAAAGTCATGATTCCATTGGGTTTGGCTGGGGCTGACATCGCTTTCGTACTGGATAATCAGGGCCATCCAGTAGATGACATTGATGACTTCGCCAACAATTTCTGACCTTTCCTCAAGGCCACTGTATTCGAAGCCCTCCGACATGATTCTGTTGCTGCTGTGGGGCAGGGCTGCATGGTTGTACAAAAGCTTGCAGCACTCACGCACGATATCGATGCCGTACATTGTGGCTGCAAGACTGTCGGACGCAGGACGGCGATGAAACGCCTCGCACGACATCAATACGATGGCCCACTCTCTGAATTGTGGCCATGCCCTGCAACTAGGTGCAGTCCTGAGGCACTGTTCTCTCAGCTCCCGGCACCTCTGGTAGGTACAGTCGATGATATTCATCCTCTCGCAAAGCTCGAGGAGAGCCTGGAGAAATGTTCCTTTGTATTCACCCTCGACAACCAGAGGATGTCTGAGTGTAGAATTGCTGCATTCAGAAGCATTTGGAGATCTCTCCAAATTTAGGAGGGGCTGCGTTTTATGATTTGTGTCGGAGGTAGGTTCTGAGTCTTCGCGCCACGGAGCATTCGGGAGACGGTTGCTTTTGTCCTTTCGCATCGCATCCCAGAACGCGTATGCTTCGCGACATGAGTGTTCCGTCATTTGGTTCACGGGTATGGTGTGACAAACCACGGTCTAGCAGACTGAATTTAGTGGATTGACGAGGCTAGAGCGAGGGTAAAATTAGTGATAAGAATGGGATATCTTCGTTAGACAGGTAAGTTGAGAACCGGGTTGAACTGCAACGAGAGCAAAGAAAGGGCGTGGGAAGTGACAAAATAGATTGACCTGCTGCTCCTACGCGGGTGAAGCCTTTGGGTCTGCTTATAAGAAGAGGTTCGCGCTTCCCCTAACATGCACAGAGCCCTTGTGTCCTCACTTTTGCCTTGTGGGCTGACTCAAGGTTGACTCGTAGCCCGAGCATTTTGCACTTTAGAGGCTCCAGGGCCGCCAAATCCTTAACCGGTGTGGCTGCCTGAGGCTAGCAAGGCTCATAACAGAAGTCCTGAGGGGCGCTTATCGACGGGCCTTCACGTAATTTGTCCAAACGGGAAAGCCGGGGACACATTCACCCAGAGGCAGACAGGATCCCTACGTGAATGCCTGCACCTCGTCCAAAGAGGAACAGACGTCTGTTCAATAGGCTTTCGCCACGTTATCTGGTATCCGAGGGAGGGGCGCAAAGTACAACCACCAGGCAAGTGACGCCAGGTTGATATATTTGCACAGCAATGATACGAGCCAATGAGAGACGACAGGCACTCTAGTTAGATACAGCATCCCTCAAGAGCCGCAGTGTTTACAGTGAAACTCCTCTCTCCATTCCTTCCACGACGATCGTCCTCCTTTTCAACCTCCTCACTTCTGCTACCTCCGGCTATAAGCCTCTCAACCTAGGCACGGAATCATACAGCGTCAAAGGACTAAACCCAGTACCAGGATGCGTTCAGACGTTGTGGAGGCGTCACGGGCCATTTTACGAAGAACCGACTGGGCAAAAGCACTGGCAGGAATCCTTCCATTGTCGACGCTTATTGATTTTGTGGATATTCCCCAGCATTTTCATGTCTTTCAACTGACAGGCTCCGCGCCCTTCTGGAGTTGGCCCATCACTCCGGCCAACAGTCGCGTTCTACTCTCCGATACGTATCTAGAGAAGCTTTGCTACCTCGATCGCGCCACCGGGAGCCACAGTCTTGTGTGTCTGGATGGCCGGTATGGGGACGAGTACCCGCTTGTCAATTCCAACACTGTGAAGCTCTGCCTATCCTCCTCGGCCGGCCTCCACACCAAGATTACAAACCCTAGCGACAACATGAACGATGCAGACAATCGCGTCCAGAGACTCACCGTTATCCACGTTCTCCGATCCTGGGAGAACCCTGCGGCGACGCGAACCGGACTAGGCCGCATTCTTTCTGGCAATCATGGCGGCACCTATGGGCTTGTCTCAACAATGGGATGGCTCCTTTGGGCCACGACCACGACCGCAGCGTGCATTCTAGAGTATTACATCGCCCTGGCGTCTCTCATTGCGGTTCCCTTAACAGGGTATGTGACGTGGCTCATCCATGGCCGGCGACCGCGTCGACTCCTCAAAAATTGCCAGAGTAGCACAAACCGCCTGGTTGTTGTGACTCCGCACATGAATGCTACGGACTGGATGGTCTTCTTCGGCGAGAAGCATACGATAAATTCTCTCCTGAACCTGCCGTTGGAGCCCGAGTCAGATGTGAGGAATTTGGGGCCATTCCCGGTTCTGAGAGCGCTCCTAAGGATTCTGGTCCTTGCACAGTGGGCTTTGGCCCTAGGCGCTGCGTCTGTCCAAGATTGGTCGGCCTACTTCATAACCTTTTGGGCCGCGGTTTGCATGGTGTCTCAATCCTACCTGCTCCGCCCCCATCTGCTCATAGGAGACTGGATGAAGCGTCATCTAAGGATGGAGATGCGAAAATACTCCACAGAGGTGAGCAGCCGGGTGGCGCTGCTCAATACCATCATGGCACTGAACCCAGATACTTTCACGAGGGCCACGGCCGAGAACGTAGATACTCCCAAAGAGTTCGATACAGATGGACTATCCTGGATTGACCCGATTCTCAAGCCTACCGCGCTCAGAACTAAGTGGGAAAAGGCAACACTTGCGGCAATGAATTCGAGAGGAGAGGTGCCTGGAGATGATTGGAAGCAAAAACACCGCGGAGTGTATGGAGAACGCGGAATTTGGGAGGGGATTCAGGTGGCGAATTTGATCAGGGATAAGGCCAAGCTGCCGGGACTTCAGGTGCCAGGTTGCGATAAAAGCATTGACAGTGACCCAGAGGAGGCCGCGGAATGAGCTTGCTCCTGATAGCCAACCTCGTCAAAGACATTCGGCTGAAAATAAAGACGTGGTAGCCCTCCGGCACAACGTGGGCTCTGCCAGTATAGATAGCACAGACTATTGCGGGGTGGAAGGACGATTCTTCGGGGATTTTATACAAATATATAAAATGTCAAAGTGGCGTAAGCACTACAGAACCTTGTAATTAATTTCCGCGAAGACCGACCGCACCTATTGGTACACTTCTAGGTACACTGATGGTACGCCCTAGGAACACTTATATTGGAATGGAGGTCCGGATTCGGTCGATGAGATCGCTGAGACTCAACCGAAGCTGGCGTTCCCTTTGACGTGCAACTTCGTTGACTTCAAGGTCTTCGAGACTCGGTGAGACTTTAGCTGTGCTAGACGGCCCAGCAAGAATGCAGAGAGATAGCGGTGGCTGTGCGGTCTGGATGTAAACGAGGACATGTACTTCAACAGGGTTCAACGGTGAATAACATGTTCGGATTCGACGTACTTTGGACTTCCGTTTATAGTACGGCAGGCATACACGTTAGACGGGAAGAGCCATGGCCAACTTATCGGGAGGCATATACAATTTTACAAGGGTAAACTGGATGGAGCGTAACACCGTGTACTTCTGAATGGGTGTTATACTAAAGTGATGAATACTCTCGTGGCGCCGCTTATGAACTCGCCCGAGTAGCACTGTGCCACTCCCAGTCTGCGGCAAGTGCGGATCCGGCCAGTCTCGTTGCCCTTCACGAGGAGGCAATGCGCAAACCCAGCGCCACAGTTGGCCTGGTGGCCGCAGTCCTTATTGCCACAGCCGACCTGGGCAATGAACAATGCCTGCACGCCGTCCATGTCGTCCGGATCATATGCGGGATCGTCCCAGAAGGCATGGGGCAAGAGAAAGGCGCCTCGTGAATGATTGTTTTCCAGCAGCAAGTGACGCTGCTCGGGCTGGAAGCCTGCGAGGTCTCGGAGCGGCTTCACCATGGCGTTCAGCACCAGTCGCTGCGACGGATTGAGACCCAATATGTTGTCCGAGTTGCTCTCGCAGCAATGCTGGCTCTTCTTGCCCGGCATCGAGTATGCGTGGACCATGGCATCGAGATGACTAATAGTAATTTGATCGCTAGTGAACTGGCGTGAGGCTCTTAGCCAGAGGTATCAACTCGTACGTCGGTGGGCCATGGTGGTAGGGATAACGGTTATCGTATAGTGATAACAACAACAGTATAGAAGGTCTTGATCAGGTCGATTCCATAACTTGATAGATAACTGTCCTCAACTCCTTGATTGAGTCGCTTGCTGTCCTAACTGATTGATCCTCTTGAGGGATCTCTGAGAAGGAAAAAGAGAAACTCAGACCTAATGCCTGAGATCCCACCAACCAACGATCAGGAGTGTCATCCTGTACATTGTACAGGTAATTTCCACAAATCACGTTCCAGCCTGCAATTCTCCCCATTACATTATATCGAAGATTAGGCGACAACGAGTCGTCCAATAGCACGACTGAAGTAGGAACGCAGTAGGTAGTATCGTCCCCGTTGTCCTCGAAATCGATTCGGGCCCTAAGGGGGCTAAGCACTGATCAAGAGACAGGCGTGTGCACCCTTTCCATCATAGAATTTAGTCTAGAGCCACGTCCTCATAACGCGGTCTTCAACGAGAAGTCACACGTCCTGATAACTCCGCTAGTGTAGGTGATGTTATTACGGTCTATAGCCCAAGACGAAGCCGCAAATACGACGTAGAAAGTGCCGGTCGTGGGCACAGCTGCTCAGACGTCAAAGGAGGTCGGCGTATCATTCGGTAGGTATAGGAAGGACGGAAAGGAAGGACGGAAAGGATGGACAAAAAGAGGAGAGGAAATAGGTTAGTAAGCTCATCGGCGATTGGGATCCATTGGATTGGAGTCGGAGAATCTGTACAGCCGGGGTCGTTGTCTGCATCAGGTTAAGTCAGTTACTCGAGTGTCGAATTGTTGAGTGGCTAAGCGTACTTTGCGAAAGCTGAGAGAGGAGGGGGGAAGGCGACCGCGTTCGGGGCTTATAGGAGAGGATCATAACTCGCGAAAATCCCCGGGGGGGGTTCCTTTCGCAATATATCCGCTGGCCTCTTCTTGAGCGGAGAATCGTGCTGTACAAGGCTTTAAAGAGTAGACTCGGCGACGTTGCTTTTGACACGGCCCGTATTTTCATTAGACACACTTAGAGCCTCGGTAGGCGCCGTGACGGCAGACTCGAAGGGGCCAATTACAGCCATTATCGTGAATCTCCACCGAGGTGAGCGAGGTTGGGCTTTGCACAGCCCGCGCCGAAGGTGAGTATAGGGCGGCATCACCCTAGGCCGGAAGCAGGGTGAGGCGGGAGCACTTTTTACTCATCTTGGCACTCCGGGAAAGGCTGCACCTTGCCATTCCCCCCACCCTTCAAGCTGCGGAAATCATCTCATCTGCTTCCCTCAAGCACCATCAATCCGTTTTGTGGACTCACCATTTAGTGAAACTCTTGATGCAATAATGTCTTGCTCTCTGTGTCATAACTCCTTTCAATTGAACAGGTGAAAATGTCAATTCTAAGACGCTTTTTTGCCCGTACACCAGCTGGCCCGCAGCGGTCGTTCGTGGCCCAAGTGATCACAATCGGTGTCACATGTGTTGCAGCATATTCATCATGGGCCCTGGTCGCACATCATTGGATCACATGCGCTGTATGTTGGTCTATTCCCTCCCCATGAGATTTACTTATGTCCGAGTCTTCGCTAAGCTGTGTTTGGCCAAAAGCCCTCTGAAGGTCCTTCGATGTACCCATCCATGCCCAGCAGCCTCTCCTACAACATATATTCACGAAGGTACAAGCGGGGAAAGAACATCAAGGCGGGAGATGTGGTGGTCTTTGAGAGCCCCATATTCCTCCGTGGCATAGCCTGCAAACGTGTTATTGGTATGCCCGGGGATTATGTCGTCCGCGACCCCTATCTATCTCCCACGGTGGGCGGAGCTCCGATCCCGGGTTTATACGAAGGCGATGCAGTACGGGAAGAGCCTGTCATGATACAGGTTCCGGAGGGCCATGTGTGGGTAGCCGGCGACAATTTGTCTTACAGCAGAGATTCTCGATTCTATGGCCCACTACCCATGGCTTTAATTACAGGCAAGACCTTGTATGTTGGCGATGGATATTTCAATTGGACGTCTTTCCGCAAACCGCAACTTCAACCAGTCCCCATTTCTGATAATACATTACAAGGATCCGTGGCAGGTGAAGCCCACCTAGGAGACACCCAAGCTACCTGAGAATACTAGACCTGAGCGTCTGAAACAAAATGCATGTCAAAAGCCAAAGAGAACGCAGAGTCTTATGGGATGCGGCGAGCAGCCGTTGGTATTGTACAGCAGGTGCTGGGAAGAGTACAGCTCAGCTATCTCATCCCCTCATCCTAGACGTATTACGCCTTTGATACGGCAGAGGCCCAACCTTCTTCCTCTTATACTCCACATCCGCACCGTCGATGCCTGCTCTCTGCATAATGGCAGCCGCACTTTCATCCCATTGTGTCCGGAACAACGAAGCACTAATGGGACTGAGCATGTGACGACTCATCATACTGCGTACTGTGAATCCATCACGCTGGATCTTTTTCCTGGCAACCTCAAGATCAATCGGGATGTCGTCTTTTTGTTGCAAAATGATGATGGACAACCGATGATATGGACTGCCTTTCTGCGCGTAGGGTGGCAGCCATGGTAGAAGGACCTGGGAAGTCGGAGACAGGGTTGCCAGATCTATCGTGGCCTGTGTTGGTGAGATGATGACGTTGCATGCAAGATAGTGGCATCGGGAGTCAAAGGAGTCGGTCTCAACATTTGGCACATCTGGGTCGACAATGGCGATGGTGACCATCTTTTCGCCTCGCTCATAGGATTGTAGGGTCAAACGACAGGGGCTTTCGCTTATGTGCGACTCCACGAACTCGCCCGGTTGTACAATTCTGTTTCCAAACACTATCTTGACATCCAGAACAGGATCCACGTTTGGAATGACGTCTGGCACAACATTCATCTGTGTAATCCGTTGAACGAGGACTTTCCGCGGATACTCTCGCCACTTCCGTTCAGCCAGATGTCTGTAGATAGGTTTGCTCAGGTCACCTGAGAATGTTAGCAGGTATCAGCTGCTCTCAACATGTCTGCATACCTTTGCCATCTTCGAATCTCCTCTTCACATTGGGATCGTTGATGTCAGCCAAAATCTTGAGCTTCTCCAGCTCTGCGAGCATGCTGTTCAGCCTCCTTTGTTTGTAAACTTCCCCCCCGGGAAAGGTGCTTGGGTCGACATCCCGGAGACGAGCGATGCGAGCCCTCTCTGTCTCTATCTTTTTGAGTTTCTCAGCTCGGTCGGCAATGAGAATTTTGCGAGCTTCTTGGAAACATTGGTACGGCAATTCGTCGAAGGGAATACCAGGAGATTGCGCGAGTGCGGCGCGGCGTCTTCGAGATCCGACGGGAAATTGACCAGCTCTCAACAGCTTCCGTTCAAGTCGAGGAGCATGAACAGTAGCTGGATCGGGATTATGATAATAGGAGGGCTTCTGCGCTTGGACTTCTTGACAGGTCGAGCTTGTCGATGTGAAGGTTCGGAGAGCGGCTCTGGTTAACGGCACCTCAACCGTGAACGACCTCAGCGAATGCAGTAACAGCAAGCTAGGGGCCCTAGAAGGTGCCATGGTCGACAGGTTGGGCTTGAAACCTGCGCCGGTTGCAGATGCGGATTCGTGAAGAGCAACAACACGGGCCTCTCGATTGACTCCGAAAAATTGTTGGAAAGGGAATTTCGGAGGAGCAAACGCCCTAGGCTGCGTAGAAGCCGTCACGTGCTCAACAGGTACATGAACAGCCTGGCACGGGGCGTGGTGCACGTGCTTGACCAAGCTGCTCGTCCTCCCTGCGCCAACCACCAACAACCTTGCGGCCTCCTCTGCCAAACGAGATACTACTACGAGGTAGGTATACTTGCAACTACCACATCCCGACCGAAACAAGGCGCCCAGCGTATCTCCTCGCACATTCTTCCCGAATTTTTGGATCGGCCATTTGCCAGCCCTGCCAAGCTTCTCTGTAAGCATTATGCTAAGCATTGACGGCTTTGCTAGCGATCGAATCCACCCAATCCAAAGCCCAAGCGAAGCACGATCATAATCCACCAGGATCGTTCTAGGTAAAAGCCTCAGATCAGATAAGGATCTCCGGTACTCTTTTCATGGCATCGAGCATGCTTCATCTCCAACCAGGCGCATGCGTTTTATTACCGACTTTGCCAATTTCGACCGATGCGGCGCCCGTCGAGAATCCTACCACTACCAATTGATCGCGCTGAGTCATAGTAAACCTCCGTCTAACTTCGCCGAGTGCGGCCCGCGGACGTTGAAATTTCTTATGTAAACACTGACGGCTGAGCTTCGTTCCCAGTCTGCGTTTAAGCCTTCTTTCTACTCTTCGTCCTCGGAGCAGTAACAATGTCAGAAGTGGACAACGATCGCTCACAGACGATGCCTCAGGAAGAGGGCAAAAAGGGAGCTGCAAACATTACCGGTGATGCCGGCCCTGACGCCCAAGTTGCGCAGCCCAAACCGAGTATGTTGAAGAAAATATGGGCGAAATTGGGTCTCGATATTCCCACAGTTCTCTTGATGCTCAAGTAAGACCTTTCCGCTCGTTGTCGTCTCACAGCTAAATGGACACAGGGGAGGACTGCCTCCAGCCATTGCACTCGCAGCGTAAGTATTAGGGCTTCTTTCTAGACCGTCGCTCATATTTCCAGTTACCAGAGTGATGAGTGGGCGAAACAGTACTCGACCCTGGGATATCTAATCGCAATCACGTCTTTTTTGTCTCTCCCAATCCTCCCGCGGGCAAAATTTGTCCAGTCCATGGCAATATCCATCATCACGGTCTGCTTTGCTGCCGCCGTTTCCCTGCTGTCGATACAATGCGCTGTTGCTGCACGTCAACGAGGAGTCCACCCCCCCAGCTCTACAACCACTGGTTCCTCTGGGAGTAAGCAAAGTCTGCAATACAGTTCGGCAGCCAATGTTACGGCCTGCGTCTGGCTGTTCTTCTGGCTATGGTTTGCAAATTCGATGCGGGCAGCCCGTCCCCAACTCTTCATCGTATCCATTCAATTCACCATCTTCGTGGTTGTCGCCTCTACTTATACTCCGACATTTCCGAATATGGCAGCTGGGATGAGCTTTGTGGATCGACTGTTGAAGGTGTTTTTGACTGGATATGCTTTGGCCACTGCTGTGTCACTGCTCGTAATACCATTTTCCTCGAGGCTGATCGCGAAAAAACAAATTGCCGGCGTTCTTGGCTTGATGAAAGCCTCTCTGTCCATACACACAGCCTATCTGCACGGTATCACCACTTCTCAGACAGGCAGCCCAGGGCTCTTGGACGAGAATGGGAACCCGTTGCCGCTACATGCGAATCCCGAAGCCCGGGTGTCCATGAAGTCTGCCGAAGAAGCAGCTCAGAAGTTGAAGGCAACAATCCAAAAAGCTAGTCAACTTTTTGGGCAGTTAAAGCTTGAGATTGGGTTTGCTAAGAAAGAAATCGGATGGGGTAAGTTGAAACCAGAAGACTTCGGTCAAATCTGGGAAAGATTGCAGCACATCCTCCTTCCAGTGGCTGGCTTGTCAACCTTTGTGGATATCCTTCAATCGGTGAAACGCCACAAGGCCGAAGGAGAAAATTTGATTTCCGACCTGGACGCCATTGAGGCTATCAGACGGCTCGAGGCGGAGGAATGGCATGAAGTTGTCGTCATGTCACGCGTTCCATTCTGGAAAATGAAGACCACTCTGATAGACGGCCTGAATCACGTTGCCTATGTGCTGGAACTCACGCCTCGACCAAAGAGTCCCGAGAAAGATATCGAGACCTCCGCAGGTACATCTCCAGCGCCAGGAGATCCTGCCTTTTGTGAGTACCTGAAGGAACAGATGGCCATTTTCCAAGCCCATCGGCAAGAAACAATGCAAAAGTGGTGTGAGAAAAAGGGTATAGAAGTGCCCGCGAGATTCTGGGAAGATGCATCCTCTCAATACAATTTCACAGACGCAAGCTCTGTCCACGAGACCGTTCGACAAAAGCAGAACCACCAACAACTATATCTGATCCTCTATCTCGAGTATCTCCTATTCGCAGTCTGTCAGGCCGTGTTGGCTTTTGTTCTATTTGCGGACTCGAAGGTGCGGGATGGCACCATGAGGAAGAACAGGCTGATATTTCCTGGTTGGAGACGGATTCGCAAACTGATGGAGAATGCATTCAAGCAAATGGACGCTAGCGAAGGGTTGCAAGACGGACCAGCGTCGGGTATCTACATCTGGGTCGGAGACTCTCTCCAGAGACACAAGGACCCAGAACACCTACCGCCGACGAACTTGTATCAGCGAGTGACAGACCGTCTGAGGATCATCCCTAAGTTTCTCGCATCTGATGCCGCGCAATTTGGCTTCAGGGCGGCAACTGCGAGTATCAGCCTGGCAATTATCGGCTACATCCGCCAAACCCACAGCTTTTATCTGGCCCAGCGTGGAATCTGGGCTGTGATCATGGTCGCTATCAGCATGGGTGCGCATGCCGGAGCCGGTGTCCAAGGATTCCTTCTCCGCATCCTGGGCACTGCCATTTCCATGGTCATTTCGATTACGGTGTGGTATATGGGTGACCAGAAACCCGCAGCTGTCATTCCGCTGATCTATCTGGTCTTCGTCTGTGGCATTTATGTGATACTAAAACACCCCAAACAACTCATCACGGCCGTCATCTCCATTGTCACCACCATTTTGATTATCGGATATGAGCTCCAAGATAAGAAGGTTGGCACAGAGGTGCTCAGCAGCAATGGACAAGCGTTCTATCACGTCTACCTGCTTGCTCCATATCGTCTAGTCAGCGTTGTGGCAGGTTTGACCGTCGCTTTCTTCTGGACCTACTTCCCGTATCCCGTCACCACGCACGCCACTCTCCGTAAAGACCTTGGCTCAACACTATATCTGATGGCAAACTTCTACTCTTGCATGCATTCCACCGTCGAACTCTGTCTTCGAACCAGGCCCGATCTCGCTATTGACAAGAAAAACGACCCCAAGCGCAAGCTGGACAAGGCCCGCCGCCGGGTATTCGACAAACTGATGGTTATGATGAATCGGCTCCGCGAACACAGCCAGTTCATCAAGTACGAACCAACATTTGGCGGGAAATTTCCCAAGGAGACTTACGACGAGTTGATTGTACACATGCAATCCCTCTTCAACTATATGGCGCTCACTGCATACTCGACCACGGCGTTCTCTCACGACGGCCCGGAATCCGAGTGGCTGAAGGATTTCAAGCGGCTCACCGAGAAATCGACAATCACCTCGCACGCGCTCACCTCGACCCTGTGCCTCGTCTCGGCCAGTGTCACAAACGCCCAGCCACTCCCGCCGTACATCAGCGTCACGCGGCCCATTGACATCGCCGGCCAACTAGCCATGATCGACCCAGGCATTCTGAGCATCAAGCACATCAACGAACCGTGCTACGCAGCGTTCGCCGTCCTGGAGATTGCAAGCATCCTCATTATGCAGGAAATGGTCGCCGTGCTTGCCAAGGTCCGCGACCTGGTCGGCGAGGTCGACTTCTCAGTGCACTTTGGTCCGTCTGGCTCCGTATCCCAGAGCGACTCAACCTTGGGCCAAAGGAAGGACCTAGCTAACGGTGACGAGGCTGGGGGAAAAGGCAAGGTTGATTGATTCGACCTTTTCTCCCTTAGGATTCAAAACACGAGGATACGCGTCGGGAAGTTGGTATCTTGTGAATGTAGACTTGGGTCTCCTTTTCTTCAGACCAAGTTTGGGTTGTGGTGGATTCCATTCAGCGATCATGTTATGCCATGCCATGCCATGCTACATGTATGTCTCAAAAGCTTCTTCACGGCGCATGTGTGCGCATCTCACTTTCGCCTTCTATAGCATCAACCCATGTGATTTACAGGCTACTGGGTAGACAAGCTATCCTGGAGGATACGTGTGTATGTGTATGTCTCTGTCTCTGTCTATTTGTCTGTCCCGACCCGTCTATTTCCAATCAAACGGTGCATTTCAAACTCGAAAATGGCATACCCCCTGGAGCACCACGTGTTTACGTACCTAGATATGTACGCATGTAAGTGTATGTATATGTATGTACACAACGACCCAGAACCATTTTTGATCCAGTCGCAATGATATCGATATAAGGACGGATCAAGCCTGTGACCAGTGCCCAATGACCAATGAACCAGTCAACGCACCAGAATCGGAATCGGAATCAGACCCGGATGCTGCTTTTACATGTATACATGCATGCATACATACACTGACACACATCTTGCGGTTTTTTTCTTCTTCTTGCTCTTCTTCTTCGTATCGCTATTGATATTGCTACTGCTATCGCTATGCTATTGCTATTGCACAATCCCAGCCTCAAACAGACAAGGTCCCTACCTCCCTGCCTACCTGCCGGCCTAGCATAGCCTAGCCTGGGTATCTTTCAAGAAATGCGCAAAGCATGACGCCGACAAATCAATAGCCATAACGCCAGCGCTCGAGGTCCAGGTCGAAGTCGAGGTCGAGATCGAGGTGGCCTCAGCGCACCCACCCGTCAATGGACCAGGCTTTCAATGCTTTTGAGCGTGACTCGCATCGCGGGATGGGACGCGGGCTAATGCTTTTCTGCCACCAACATATCCTCAAAGTCCAGAGGGGAAAAAAAAAACATCAGGTTCCCTTCAATGACGCGGTAGAACTACGCCCTCGGAAGAGAGGTGCGCGGGGGATAAAACCAGTATATTGTACAAATGGCTGGTTTTTGTTTTGGTCCAGGCAGTGATATAACACCGTGGACGACCAGACCATCAGCAAAGCCAAGCCAAGCATCATCACGTCTTGACCACTCGGAGTCCTCCGTCATACATCAGCTTTTCTCATTTGAACATACTCTCAAAATCAAAATCCATGTTCTCCATATTCTCCATGTTATCAATGTTATCCATGCTGTCCAGATCGGTCAAACCGTCATTGCCCAACGCGACATTGTCGTCGAAGTTCATGGCATTCGCGTTCAGGAAATCATCAAACTCATTAGGACCTAATGCGGGGAGCCCAAAGTCGTTAACATTGACATCGGCTGGCGGCTGGTGCTGGATCTGTGCATTGTTGATGTTATTGTCGGCACCCATGGGCCCTCCAATACCTCCCATACCACCTGTGGCGCCCACATTTGCGGCTAGAGGTAGTCCATTGACTGTAGATCCGGTGATGCCAAAGTTGGAGTCGTCGCCCGTTTGATTCGCATATGATTCGAGGCCAGGTAGAAGGGAGCTCAGTGAAGCGTCTTGTTGTATATTGAGGTGCGAAGGGTCTGCGCCAAACCCATCGCCCAGATTGTCGAGGTCAAAGTTCATGTCATTGTTGTTGCCGCCCATCATGTCCGCTGATGGCTCACCAAACATTGATTCGAAGTTGAAAGCCTCGCTGGCCTCGGCCGGAGTGTCTTGCGGAGTCGGCTTGGGAAACTCCTCCGTGGTTGTCTGTGTCATTGTACTCTCGGGTTGCTGCGCCGACTCGGGAGGCTTCTCCTGAGGTCTGGAAGCTGGTACGACAGCTGGCTGCGATGCCTTGATATCTGTGGACACGGAGACTTTGGGTTTATCGGGTGGTTTGGGTGTGGGGTTCTTCTCTGCTGACGAAGAAAGAGGTTGCGCCGTGTTGGTATTTGCCGTCACAGCTGGAGGAGGAGCCGGTTTCTGCGCCGGAGAAGGTTGTTGGGCCTTTGGCTGCGCTTGCACCGGACTCTCAGGCTCTTGTGTCTTTATGCGCTTGGGGGCATTTTCGCCGTCTGCAGGTTGCGCCGCCTCTTGTGCTTCTCTAGTCTCGTCGCGTTTCCTTTTCGCGCTTGCGGCACTATCTTCTCTTGCTTTGGCCTCACGCCGGGCTTTGTTCAGGGCCAATTGACGCTCAAGGTACCATTTTGCATCAAGGATCTGAACCTCACAGTCATCCAAGGCGTCCTGGAATTTTTTGGCTGTTTCGGCGAGCACTGCTTTTGTTGACTGCGCGTAGTTCAAAGGGTCTTTCATGGCATAGGCAATGCGGGTCACGGAACCCATAAACATGCCTTCGACGGTCTTTACCGGGTCGTAGGGGGGTTTAGCTGTCGCCATGGTGCCACAGCACAGCACAGCACAGCGACAGCGATTTCGCGGTAGGGAGCAGGGAGTCGCGAATGGGGGGGATTGTAAAGAGAAAATGCGCGCATTCACTAGAGTCAGGGACGAAGAGTCGCCATTATTGTGTCAAACGAAAGGAGATGTGTCAAAACCAAGTCCAGCTTTTGAGTGCAAACGTTTTCCTGTTGTTTCCTTCTGCGAATGATAGGACGGAGCCAGAAGAAGTTGATCTGGACCCGTGGGTCAGCGCCAGTCGCGACTTTGGAGGTGATCGCATTCGGAAAAGAGCCTCCGCAGCGTCACTAGCCCACAGGCCACGAAGCCCCAACCAGAGGCCTCGAGGAGCTTTGAGTTTGTAGGTGGGGGAGCTAAACCAACGCCTAAGCTGGCAAGCTGGGCGGCATGCAGTAGTAACCGTCGAAGCCGTCAAGCCCGTGCAAGCCTAAACCTGAGAGGACCCTCCTTTACGGGCAAAGATCGCGGGCACTCACCCCCCAACTGCGGGTGGGTGATGGTCATTCATCCTCACTCTGGTCAGTCAGCAGAGTCCGCAGCCAGGCTCACAGTGACGAAGTGCGATCCTCAAGCTACCGCCACCCACCACCAAGTGAATCTTATTATTTCGTCCATCTGCATCTCTTCCCACCCTCTCGTTCCTCCTTCGATATCCATCCCCATCTCACAGTATCCTTTCTTCTCATCTTCTCTTCCATTACTTGTCGTCGTTCTTCCTTCTAGTCGTCGATTGGCATTTGTGCATTGCAAGTTGGGCGTTGGGAAAAGATCTCGAGCGATTTCTTATCTCTCCTTTTCCTATCGTCTCTCTCCAGTCCCATCAGCTACATTACTTTTACTGTGTGGGCTGCGCTGTGTTGCTCTGCTCTTCCCACCCCCAGTTCTCCTGCTCTTACTACTACTACTACTACTACTACTACTACTACTACTACTACTACTACTACTACTACTTGTCAAACATCATCAGTTACTCCTCCCAGCCGCCTGACACTCGTCTCGGCGCGACCTCTTTTGCGGCCATCTTACCTATCACGCTTTCGAGTCCTTCCTCTCCTCCTTTCCATCTCCCTCTCCTTCGACTCTGTCGCGCTGCTCTCCTGGACTTGGTTGGCTTGTCACCTTGATAGCGAATTTGTCTCGACGTTTTCCAAGCGAAATTTCCTTTTACCTGCCCTCGATCCACTCGTCGCTGTTACGCCCCCCCGCAATCTTCCTCTCTCCAAGTACACTGGGCTACGAAAAAAATCCAAAGACACCTTGACGAGCTTCCATCTATCTACCTTACCGAACTCGCAATCCTCTGTTCTCGTTCGAGTCATTTCCGCCTGGTGCGCACTTTTGTACTCTTGATCTCTTGGAGTTGTCAGCCAGTTTACTTTGCTCAATATGACGGAAAACATTCCTCCTGCCACTTTGCCGCCACCACCTTCGACCGCTGGCGCTCCAGGCTACGATGGCGCCCCTGGCAGCAACGGACACACTGCCACTACCAGCATGGGCCCTCCGGCGTTGCCTCCGGTGGTCATTCCGCAAAACAATAATACTGTCGCGGCTCCCGTTACCCCCGGATCCGCCTTGTCTCCTTCCTCGGGCGGCGTCGTTCGACGAGCTGCACCAGAACCGAACAAGAGGGCGCTTTATGTGGGCGGCCTCGATCCTCGAGTTACCGAGGATGTTCTGAAGCAAATCTTCGAGACTACCGGCCATGTGGTCAGCGTCAAGATCATCCCAGACAAAAATGTGAGTTCCGTTTCCGACTGCACTACTCTTGCTCCTACTCACACAGTGGTTGTAGTTCAATTCGAAAGGCTTCAACTATGGCTTTGTCGAGTACGATGACCCGGGCGCAGCGGAACGCGCCATGACCACCTTGAATGGACGACGGGTACATCAAGCGGAGATCCGGGTCAACTGGGCGTACCAATCCAACGCGTCGAACAAGGAGGATACCTCGAATCATTTTCATATCTTCGTGGGCGACCTGAGTAACGAGGTTAACGACGAAGTTCTACTCCAGGCGTTTTCTGCTTTTGGCTCGGTTTCCGAGGCCCGTGTGATGTGGGACATGAAGACTGGTCGTTCTCGTGGCTACGGGTTTGTTGCTTTTCGCGAAAGAGCTGATGCTGAGAAGGCGCTCGCGTCTATGGATGGAGAATGGCTGGGTAGCCGTGCGATTCGTTGCAATTGGGCCAACCAGAAGGGTCAGCCGTCTATTTCTCAGCAGCAAGCCATGGCCGCAATGGGTATGACGCCTACAACGCCCTTCGGACACCATCATTTCCCGACACAAGGCATTCAGTCGTACGAAATGGTCGTCAACCAGACTCCGACCTGGCAAACGACGTGCTATGTTGGCAATCTGACGCCATACACGACCCAGGCAGATCTCATCCCCTTGTTCCAGAATTTTGGGTACGTGGTGGAAACTCGGTTTCAGTCTGACCGGGGTTTTGCTTTTGTCAAAATGGATTCCCACGAGAATGCGGCAATGGCCATTTGTCAATTGTCGGGTTACAATGTCAATGGCCGACCGTTGAAATGCTCGGTAAGCCATGGGCAGGAAAACCCCCTTTGCTTCGGATGGTCGCTAACTTGCATCAGTGGGGTAAGGACCGTCCTCCTACTGGTCAATTCGATACGTACTCGCCACAGACCTCGATTGGGTCTGCATCCACTCCCGGTGGCTATAATCCAGCCTCCCCATATTTTTCTCAATATGGTGGTCCTGGACCCATCACTCCTCAAGGTATGTCTGACGTCTAAGTTGTCGTCTGCCAAACTGATAATGTCCTAGGTCCAAGCCCGGGTGGTCGTGGTGCTTGGGATTCGAGCCATCTGGCAAGCCCCTACACTGCATCTCCGCAATCTGCGTTTGGCCAAGTCCCTCCATCAGCGGGGGGCTATGGACGTGGTCAGACAACTCCGGGAGGAATGTTCCAACAGCCACCACCTTCATTTGGCAGCAATTACCCAGGATACCAGGCATAGCTTACGCGAGACGGGAGGTATTCTTCGTTGTGCGAGATAGAGGACCAGGACAGGTTGATCGTCGGAAGGGGCACCGTGTTTTTCTTTATCTAGTGCTCCTTTTAAGGTGGCCTTTCCGCTTGAACTGGGTTCGAAGGGCCGGCCCTTTTAGCGCCTTAGCCATTGACGCCACTTCTCATTGTGCCCTCTTTCTGGTGATCTCTTCGCCGGCTGGTTTCTTGCGAGCGCTGTCGACCTGGACCTTTTCCGGAAGAGCCTGATGATGCTACCGTTTACAGGTCTTTGGACATTGATTGCGGTAACACAGCGCTTTGCTTCTCCTCGTCTCCGGCGGTCACCTGCGAGCGACTTACTGTTCAAGCATGTGTGAGTTATGAATATCCAGGCGTTGCTCTGCGACTTTGGGGTGTCGGGAGGATGGTATTAAGCACTAGTTGAAGGGGTGGATGTTCCGGGTGCAGCATGGCCCGCGTCAGTGTAGGGAGCACTTCCAGAGGTTGTAGATGAAGGTCAGCTATCAGCAGGATACCCCGGTCGGATATGACAATTAATGAACATGGACAGTTTTGAATTTCATTCAATCGTACCAGATTAGATCTTGCCCAAACACGAATCCTCGAAGGATGGCTGCTTTTTTACGATGCCGCATGTTCCGCCGCTGAGAGCTTCCGATAACAAAGGCCTTATATTATTCCTAAAGGGAGGTTTTGAGTTCCCAAGGCTATCGGTAACAAAGACCAGTGCATTGTGGGTGATTAGTCCTCGAGGGAACGTTGACAAAGCGCGGCGCGATCGATTGATCGATTGATCGACCGATTGACGAGTAAGAGGTAGTAGTGGACGGACCTCTCTGATTGCCTGGCTGCTTGGCTGCTTGGCTCGCACTGGACTGGATAGCTGGCCTCGTGGGCTTCCTGGGCACCTGGATTCTCTGGAAGGATCAAATACCCACTCGTGTATCAGTTCGTCTACCTATACCTCCCTGTCTGTAATCCCCCACGCGTAATCAGTTATCTACATAGGTAGTGTTCCCATGTAGTTTCTTGCGTGCGTGTCGTTTCCTCTTAGTCTCGATCGATCGATAGGATCATGCAAAGTATCTCCTTATATCTATTCCTATTTCCATTCCTCTTCCCAGTTTCTGATGTCTTCGCGGCAGAAAGGGTAGGGTAGTGGGCATCTAGCGACTGAGTCATTGGTAGCCATCTAGTCCCCACTCAGCATGGGTGGAGGTTCATCACACAAGTACCGAGCACTTGTACTTTGTACAAGTCCAGCCTTCTGGGCGTCATCCGTTAGTCTCTCCCACGATGATGACAAGGGCTTTCCTCGTGCATGGTTCCTACGAGTACCGACTACTGTGGTTCATCACTTGCTGACCCGGTTCGCTGGGTAGAGTAACCTTGTACTTGTAGGTACGATCAAATGTGGGAAAGGGTTCTTTTGCTTACTTTACCTACGTACGTGGTCAGCCATAACTACTCGTGCTTTGCCTTGCCCTCATTGGCCATTTGCTCCGCATCGGGCTAGCTCGTACTAATTACCCTTATATTATTGGTTGATTTGAAGTTGCTCTTTATTGGATGCTAGGTGGCTTTCCTCCTGAATGGGACGTGCTCTGGGACAAGTACGAGGTACGTCCTGAGCCATCAATCGTCTCTCTAGGTTTGTAAAACACTAACGGGAGGATGTATGTGAAGGGGCTTGCGCGCACAGAATGAAGAATGGAACACATAATCGTATGTTGAGAGAGGGTTACCGTTGCTCTTGAGTATGGACGGTATGCTCCGTTAGAGCTGTGAGGCGTGCAGTGAGAGGCAAGGGAACGTGAATGCATGGACAGTTATACTTGGTATACCAAGAACGTTTTACTACATGTACTCGATATGGCGGAGCAACGATGAAAGGCATGTGAAGCGGATATAAAAGCGAAGGCCGGGGTTAAATATCCACGTGACCGTCGAGCACGCTTCCCGCATCTTTCTCCGCCAAGCCTCTGCAGAAACGCGACCCGCAACCCGCTGACTGCGACTCGCGAATCAATCACGCGTTGTCCCTTCATCGGCTTCGCAACAATGTACCCGTGTAGAGTGCTCCTTCCACACGTACAGTGTCAATGACATCCCCTTGTCTTCTATATTGTGTACAATCCTTGGCCGCTCTCCCTCCTTGCTTTTCATGCAACTCTGCTCTTCGAGCCGCATCCTGCGTTCGCCGGCCCGTGCCTTGAGATCTCCAAAGTCCTTTGTCAATGCTATCATGCTTGCCCGGGCAGCTGACAGACATGCATCCTCGGCATCCAACGAGAAAAAGCAGTCTCCCCTGCCGTTCAGTTCCTCCGCCGCCAATGCCCCCCGAGAGCCATCGGCGGGCCTATTGAAGCGGAAGTTGGATCGATCCTTGAGCACCTCGAGCAATCTGAGCTCTCTCCATCAGCAACCATGGGCCGATGAAAACACCCCTCCCAGCTTCGTTGACCTCACCGATAACGACGAAGGACAGCACGACGTGCGATACCCCAACCTTCGTCCTATAGATGCCGTCTCTTATCCTTCACTACCGCCAATTCCAAAGGGTTCTCCAGTTGCGCCTGCAAGTAGCGCCGAAGTTCCATGGTCGTCCTCCCCCGTGCATCATTACGAAAACCCGGCTGCCCAAAGAGCGCTAAGAGATATACCGGAACCACGGCCGGCTGGCCCCAATAAGAAAAGAGCACTTCCCGCGTCATTTACGTCTCAGGTCCCAGGTGCATCCCGGGATGGAGAAAGCACAGTACAGGGCGAGCGTTCCGGCAGATTCGATAGCTTTACGTCAAAACACTTCCAGAATGCGAGCAGCCGGGACAAAGCATCGCTAGCGATGTCGGATATGTTACAGAAGTCGACATTTGCCCGTCATCGAACAAATACCTCACTTTCCAGGTCATCCTCTGACCGCACGGCTCTGTCGACGACCCCCAAGCCAACTGAAACTGGTCCTGCGGCGTTTGACAGAGTGTCGGAACCTTTCTTGAGTGACGAGCAAAAGGCTGTAGTGAAGGCAGTCATGGATGAAGGGAAGAGCGTCTTCTTCACCGGGTCTGCTGGTACTGGAAAATCGGTTCTTATGAGGGCAATAATTTCCAAGTTGAAGCACAAGTACCGGAAGGACCCTGATCGCATCGCAGTCACAGCTTCGACCGGCTTAGCATCGTGCATCTTGGAAGGACAGACGCTGCATAGTTGGTCCGGAATCGGGTTGGGAAAAGAACCTGCGCCTGAACTAGTCAAGAAGATCAAACGCAATCAGAAATCAAGACAGAAATGGCTCCGAACCAAGGTTCTAATCATTGACGAAGTGTCCATGGTTGACGGTCAACTTTTTGACAAACTCGAACAAGTGGCACGCACTATTCGAAACAATGGCCGACCATTCGGTGGTATTCAGTTGGTTGTCACTGGCGACTTTTTTCAGCTTCCTCCTGTACCTGACAAGAATACTTCAGCCAAATTTGTCTTTGAGGCAGTGACGTGGAACACCTGTATCCAACATACCATCTTGTTGACCCATGTCTTTCGTCAGAAGGACGAACAATTCGCAAGGATGCTCAACGAAATGCGTCTGGGCAAGATGAGTCCTGCCACTATTCGAGAGTTCAAGTCACTTTCGAGGCCCCTGGATTTTCGTGATGAGCTCGAGGCAACTGAGCTGTAAGATTTCCCCTCCGATGGCATACCAGCCAGCTAACACTGCATAGATACCCTCGTCGCGAGGAAGTGGAAAACGCCAACCAGAATCGTATGCGAAAACTGTCTGGTCAAATGATGACTTTCACCGCCGTTGACTCGGGCACCGCTGAACCTAACACGCGAAAGGCGTTGCTGAATAACTTTATCGCTCCTGAGATACTGGAGCTGAAGAAAGGGGCGCAGGTTATGCTGATCAAGAACATTGATCAGCAACTCGTCAATGGATCCCTTGGAATTGTCCAGTCCTTCATGGATGAAGGCACGTTCTTCACCTACAAGGATGACGAACCTACATTTCTCCTAGCACACGAGCCTGATGACGGAGAAGATGAGAGCGACATAAAGGCGGCACGTGAGAAGATCCGCGAAGCTAGGTTGAAGAACTCGACCACGGGTGGCGAGCCTAGAATGCTGTGGCCCATGGTGAGATTCAACCTGCCTGATGGGACGTCGAGGAGTATGCTTTGCTCGCCGGATGAGTGGAAGACCGAATCCCAGAATGGCGAAGTTCTTGCGAAACGAGTTCAAGTGCCTCTCATCCTAGCTTGGGCGTTGTCCATTCACAAAGCTCAAGGTCAGACACTCAGCCGAGTCAAGGTGGACCTCGGGAAAGTTTTCGAGAAAGGCCAAGCCTATGTCGCATTGAGCCGAGCAAGGACAAAGGAAGGCTTGCAGGTACTTCGATTCGACGAGCGGAAAGTCATGGTTCATCAGAAGGTGTTGCAGTTTTATTCCAAGCTATCCGGTCATGAGACACTGGAGAAGAAGGAAGTCAAGAAAGTCCTGGCCGAGGAGGATGACTTCGGAGACGACTATACCTTGGAGGAAATGCTCGAGGCCGAGAAGCAAATGCTGAAGGCGGGCGCGATGTAGCGACATGGATCAGTCTATGTGGACTGGCGCCTGCATGTGGGGAGCGTGCTGAGAACATCTTATTGAGACTCCAAGGAGCACCAAAGTGACATGAACTAGTCTGTCAGATATCAAATATGAAACACAGTCTATGATGAACTCGGCTGGTAGTGAGTGCCTTGGGTTCAGCCCTGAATGGTCGTGTGCACCGATGACGAAAGAGGAAACTTCAAACTTTATCGACTTTTCCCGCGAAGCCAGGAACCAAGTTGAATTGACTTGACCAAGTCGCTCTCACCCAGCACTCATTCTTGATCCCTTGCGGGTTGAACTTGAAAATCTCCTCGGAATTTTTACTCATCTCGTCTCGACCTCATCTCGAGCAGCATGAACATATAGAAACCGTTTGCCCCTGTATATCTGCCACACTCGCTCCTCATTCACCATGGCGTCCGACTTTGTTGGCTACACCATTCTGGTCACGCTACAGAATCCCCCGCAGGCTCAGATACAGGGCGTCGTGGCCGACGTCGTCAATCAAAAGCTCATCCTTCAGAATGGTAGGCTCCTTTCTCCGTTCCAGCTCACATTGCTAACCTGGTATGTAGTACTCCTTTGGAATGGCCAACGACTCGCATCCTATGCCATTGACTCCTCCGCTATTGCAGATCTGGAAGTGTCCCCTTCGCAACCGACCCTCATTGAAGAGGAGGAATTGCCTACACCAGTCGCCTCTGCTCAACCGCAGATTCCCAAAATCCCCCGAGTCCTTCAACAGCAGCAGCAAAATGCACCCGCCTTCGTCGACCCCGCCATCATAAGCTACACGAAACCGCCGGCCAAACTTGGGCTATTACCAGCAGTCGTTCAGCAGCCGCAGCCAGTGTCTCCGATCATGATCGCCGACGGGATCGTGAGCAACCCGCCGGCGCACAGAGCACGGAACGGCAACGTAGGCTATAGCTCTGTGTCCAGTATCGCCACGGCAGTCCCCAGGAAGACGGAGAAAAGAAACACACCTGCCAGTGCCACCCTTACAGAGCCGTTTGATGCATTGAATCTGGAGAGCAACGTTGCTGCTGCTGCTAAGCCAGCACCAGTGGCAACAAGCGAAAAGAAGGCACAATACACACCGTCACAAACGGGGCCGGGGATTATTGACATGAAGGATGTCAACCATGGTCCGCTCAAGGGTCAGAAGAAAGCAGGAAAAGGTAAAGGTTGGCGACAGACTCCATTTATCGAGGAGGTACCACGACAGCCCAGAAAGAAAGCCCAGAGGGGTCGGAAAGCCGTGGACGAGATCAACGGTTGGGCTACAGAAGATGCCACAGACATCCAAGATATGGGCGACTTTGACTTCGAAACCAATCTTTCCAAATTTGACAAGCGACGAGTCTTTGACGATATCCGGCAAGCAGACACCACCGCGGAAGCCGACCGACTAGTGAGCTTCAATCGTAGAGCACGGCCTGGTACCAACGGAGGCCGAAACCTGCACTTCACCGAAAATGTTCTGGACAAGCCAGATGGAAAGGACAAAGATCGATGGAAGAGTGAAGCTGGGGAAACTGAAGACGAGTCATTGGGGGGAGAGGGTCATTACAGCAGCGGGCGAGGCTCCAAGAGGGCTGGCTCTCGTAAGCCCCTTGGTTCAAGGAAGGGCAGTGTCATACCTCCACACCTTGACCGAACAGAATCGCCACGTCCTCTGGGTCGAATGCAGACCTCATCGCCCCTCAATGGGTCCGTGTCCGGCAACCGTGGTAGCTTCAAACTTCTCAACAACAAACCGTGCCATTGTCTCTCACCACTGCAGATGCTCGAAATAGAGCAACTCTGCACTTCAGAACTGGGCCTCACGGAAGACATGCTGTCGGAGAATGCCGGACGGAGTATAGCCATGGCGTTGCTCAAGATCCCCGACGTCAGAAGTGTGCTGTTCCTAGTGGGCAATCACAAGTCTGGTGCTAGAGCCATCGCCGCAGCCAGGCATCTGCGGAATAGAAGGCTGCGAGTGACCATTGTCATCCTTGGGGGTGAGCGTGAAGAACTGCTCCTGGAGGTGATGAGGAAACAACTCGGCATTTACAAGAAGGGACAAGGGTACGTGGATCGCTGGGATGAATATCAGACCAAAGCTAGCGCAGGCGGCCCTACCCCCGACGTGATTGTTGATGCTCTGCTTGGAGTGCACGTCACATTTGAAGAGCTACGGACGGACGACCAAGCCACTGTCCTGGAGATGATCCGCTGGGCCAATCGCAGCTCTCTCGTCCTCTCCATCGATGTGCCAAGCGGGTTATCTGCCACGTCGGGGCTGTTGACGGAAGTTGATGGACAGCCACTGGTTATGAACAGTACGCACATCGTCAGTCTAGGGGCGCCGAAGACGGGCTTGCTCTATGGAATGTCCCATGATGGAGTCACAGAGCCTACCTGGCAGGTGTGGGTAGCAGATATCGGCATCACAGCAGCGGCGTGGCAGAAGCATGGATCTCGAAGAAAACACGGAACCGACTTTGGCACGGAATGGGTGATCGCCGTCAAGTACGTCTCGGGCTTACCAGCTTGACTTGATACGGAGTGACGGAGTCCGTTTTTCCATTGAAAAAGGGGGTGCTGAAGAAGTTATTTCTTGTCTGGAATTATTTTTGCTGCTGCGTTCAAGCGATCGATTCACCGAACAAAAAGCATTACATATACGAAGACCTTTCAGCCATGGGGTGCAAGGATCTGGTTCTGGTTGCAGTTGCTTTTGCAGTTGCTTTTGTTACCATACTTACATACCTCTCGCTGGGTACATAGCCAGTCGTCTCCCGGAAAAATTGATACCCTTTCTTTCTCACGTACTTCGTCACTGTGAACTGAGCAGATTTATCAATCGATCAATCAGTCGATCATTCTCTGTTGGGTTTTGGATTGGCGACTCATTAATGGATAGAGAATCGCGAAAACGAGAAGAAGACCGCGTCGAGTATACGCTTGGAACAGCCTTGTAGGGGGAAGTGGACGAGGGAATACATTCATATGTATATAGATAGAAAGATAGGTACACACAACGGAACAAGGGACGAGGCGAGACAAGAGGTGGAAATGTCATATGCAACCCTCCAACACCTATCGTTGCCAGGAGTCTGGTAGACCTAGTGGTCGCCTTTGTTCGGGGATCAGACGACACCAGCCTGCCTTGTATACTAGCAGATTCCGGACCGATTTCTTGATTCTCATTATTGTGACCCTTCTCCCCGTACAGCGTATAGCGTATAGCGTATAGCGTACTCTCCTTCTCTTTCACGACTTTTTCTCCTGCTAGAGAACCAACGGTTGCATGAAACCCAACCAAACGAGGACGAAACCCGAACGCTCCAAAAACCCAGACAAATTGAGCAGCAGCAGCAGCGCCGATTCCAGACACCAAAAACTTCGTTACATCACGACGTGGATGGATACCCCATGTCCTTCATCCCTTGGTACCACATCTCCTTGAACCGACCATGGGCTGTCCTGTGCGACTTGTCCGTCGTGGCGCGGATGTAGTAGCTCAGCATGACGTTGCACCTCAACTCGTTGGTTTCGTAAAAGTTGACCACCCAGCCCTTGCCGTCGCTCGCGTCCAACGCTTTGACGTCGCGTGGCTCGGCGATCCGGATGGTGAACCGACCGTAAATGGTCACGCCTGAGCCTGGGTTGGTGAGCGCCTCCATGCCGTCCTTGGTGCGTCGGATCGCGCTGTAATATGTCAGGTCTGTGCTGTAGCCCGGAATCACGTTGAGCTTGTCCGTGATGGCGTAATGCTGGAAGTCCTCGGCCGCATAGTCGGCGTCGAGGTCGACCTTGAAATCCTTGCACATTGCCTTGTGGTCGACGGCTTTGGGATCCGAGGCGGGAATGTTGACCACCTTGTTGACAAGCGGATTCAGCTGGGCCATCAGGATCGGATCCGTGCACATCTTGAGCGCCAGTTCGTAGCCGGCGTCGAGTACATCTTGTGGAGACTTTCCCTCTGGCGGAGCGGGCAGGACCAGATCGGTAATCCAGCCAGACTTGAAGGATGTTTGCATGAAAGCCATGATTCGATCAACGATTCAATCTTCAACTGCACGAATCTGTATGGTATCCCGTAGAATGCCCGCAGGACAGGACTCTGTATGCAGTGAGGTAATAATATAGCCGTCCCCAATGCAAGTCTGGACCGAGCAAGCGGAGCCCGAACCACCACAAACAAATCAGGCGAGATCGGAATGCCACCAAGTGTTTGCGCCGGGTTGTCCGTACAACCATCTGTCGCCCTCGCAGGCTGCGGATATTAGTACGACACAGGTAGACAAAGACCAAGGATGAACTGCAACGAGAACTGCAGTACACGAGTGTCGTCGTCGTGCGGGATTTCAGTCAAGTTGAGGTGATGAAGTAACAGTAAGCGTCGGAGGACCGATGAAAAGTAGTGGCAGCCCCCAAAGAAATCATCGACCACAGATCGACCAACCGACTTTAGCCCCTCCAGGATGAATACGAGTCTGAGGAGCGTAGTTGACTAGGCCTCGTTGAGACAAAGGGACATGGTATAGGTAGGCAAGCAGAAGAAGGCAGGAGGATGCCGTAAGTAATGTTCCGTGCCTAGTTCATTATCAGCGTGATTACCAGCATGAATACCACCAGCTGGTGCCAACTTCTCGAAGCAGGTTACGGCTGTCAAGCTGGTGTGGGTTGTGGGCTTTTGGGCTTTCAGCCGCAGATGGAGCCGCGGAGACTTGGAAGCAGAACCGAAGTGCTTATGTCTCTTTATTATCTCGGCTCGTCGTTGGTTAGGCCAAGCAAAGTTAGCATTGGGGGGCGTAAAAGTGAGATGGGAGTGGGATGGAAAAGTGAAGTTGTGAGACGAACGACAAGCTGCGAGATTCACCACCACAGCGCAGCGCAGCTCAGCTCAGCGCAGTCTCGACCATCTTCCTTCATCCTTCTCTCTATCACCACTTCGTCTTTGTCTTCGAATCTACTTCCCTCACGTTTCCTCTCCCGCTGCCTCCCCTTCATGAGGCTATTACATATTGATGTGGACTAACATTTCTCTACTTCACTACTATTGCTGCTACCGCCAACGGTCAGTCACCCAACTGCGTACCGCAGCTATCGGTGCCTTACAACGCCAAACAATGACTTCTTTGACTGCCTTACACAAGGCTTTCCCCCGCAAACCAACAAGGCAGATGGCTCTTCGGTTTCCTCTTTCACTCGAGAGTCGCGTCTTTGTTTGTTTGCTTGCTTGAATTTGTTGTCGAGACACAGCTGCCTATCCTACACTGCCCTAGTTGCGCGCCCCTGGGTTGATCCTCCGACTACTTATATCTCAAGAACGCCCACCACCAGCATGGGAGGGCATACCATTGCATCATCGTTGGCAAGTCATCAAAGTCAGCACAAGACTCAAATCAACATTGGCTCTGCCAACTCGGCCATTGGCACAAAATGACTCCAAACACAACCGAAAAACTTCCCTTGACATTCGGCATTGAGATTGAACACGTCTTTGGTATCAACAAAGATGCCGTCGAGACGAACCCAGCCTTCACATGGATGTTTCCACAGTACTGTACCATTCGCCCAGACTCTCCTAATCCCCCGGATTTCGATCCAACGTCGGACACGTATAGAAGCTTTCTGCAAGCGGTCAGTATTCTACGAAGTAGGGGCGCGAGGCTCAGAGTTGAGCTCGAGCCAGGAATGGAGGATGCAACCTTCGAGGGGTTTTCTCAATGGACCATGGGGCAAGACAGATCGGTGAGATTGCCCAGTGACGTCGACGAGCTTCGCAAGTGGTCCGGGGGAACGATCAAAACCTGGAGGGGTTGGGAATTCGTAGGGTTGGAGCTCATTTCTCCTGCCCTCAAGGTTCCTGAGTACGACTCCAATGGCAGCTTTCAACCCCATGGGCTCACTGACGTCTCAACCTACCTCAGACTCCTGACGGAAACCCGACCCGAGGGTACACCTTACTTCTTCTTGTCTGACCCAGAAGCTGCCGGAATTCACGTCCATATAGGTCTGCAACCTCAGCCTGAGGGTCAGATGGGCATCCCCTTGAACTTTCTGCGCCACCTCGCCTTCATCTGCCTCGCTTTTGAGGATACCATAACATTATTCCACCACCCTCAACGCCATGCAATCAGTCAGACTTATTCGCGTGGCTATATCGGTAGCAACCGCTTCTTGGGAAGGCTTTCCGATACGTTTCCTAGGCATACATGCACTAAGGGACCCGTGTTCTCGCCTGAAGATGCGTTCCTTCGGATTTTCCGAGCCACCGAAAATGAAGAACTGGTCGAGTTACTAACAACGATACCCTCCGGAAACCCTGGGCACTACCGGTACTTGGTTCGCGAATGCTTTGTCAACTTCTGCAATTGCTTCGATTTCGGCCACGCGGATGACAAGCGGACTGTCGAGTTCCGACAGCACCATGGTACGCTGGAGTTTGAAGACATTTCCCAGTGGGTGTTTTTGGTCAGTAGCCTGGCACGAGCCGCTGAGCGAAAGGCGAACGAGGTATCTCCACCCGATGGCACTTGGCCACCGTCATTTGCGCACAAAATTCTCTCTGCGAGTTCGGGTACGGTAGCCCAGCCGCTGAGAACTGGAGTTTTGGATACTCCTACTAACGCACTTTGGCAGGATACTCTGTCGAACCCCGATACTCGGGCTGATGTCCTTCGGGAGGCTTCCAAGTACGAGAGTTTGTTCCAAATCGATAAGAAGAGATCGCTCAAGGAGCTCTTTGATCTGCTGGAGCTACCTATTGCGCATCGTAGGTACTGGTACCAGCGAGCCAAGAAATTCTGGGCCGAATGGTATGTGGGCTGGCAAGGCACAGGGACATGCTTGGGTGACTACTGCCCACATGAAGGCTTGAGGGACAACGAGGGTTGGGCCCCTGGTGAATTGGCTGTTCCACCCTGGGATGTCGCTGATCCCCATCCTTCTGGTGCCTCCTCATCTGCTCCAGTTGTCAGATCTGCTGATCAACCCACAGATGTTGAGATGTCCTATGGGATTCCTCTCGTATCGACTTCTGCCCCTACCGCAGAAGCTCCATCGGCATCGCACGCTTCTCGCCCGAATATCATGACCATCTCGAACGTCATGAACTACCCGGCACCCCCCATGAACGACCTTCTACCGCCCCTGAATTACCCTCTAACCCCTATGAACTATCCGGCACTTCCCTTGAACTACCCTGCCCCTCCCATGAACAACCCCCTACCCCCACTGAACAATCTAGCACTCCCCCATGAACCCCCCTCCCAACCCCCTGAACATCCTTCCATTCCCCATGGACTTCCCTCCACTCACCTTGGTTTGGCGTGAAGAGCCCTTGAACCCCCCTCCAGGTCCCATGGGCTACCCTGAACCTCCCAGCGAGGACCCCGAACTCCCTTGAGCTTGTGCGACATGACGCGCCTCAGGGGCAAAAGGTAGATCGGCGTGACAAAAAGGCGAGTTTGCTGATACAGAATACGCAGATTGGGGCGTAGGAAGGAGAATTTGGGCTTTCAGAGGAAGAAGAGCTTGATGAGGTGTGTGGCTTGGCTCGGCTGGATATCTGATCAAAATCGACAAAGTAGGTCAAGGTAGATCAAGATGGGTTAACACGGATTGTTTCGGATTAGCGCATTGATTCCTGGCATTTCGAGTCAAGTAAGTAAGTCGATTCTGTATATCCTGGGCGTTCCCACGTAGAAGAGAACACCGTAGAGATCACCACGAATCAAAATTTCCAAAGCCGCCTCCTCCGCCTTTTGTCTTTTTCCGCACGGGCTGCTCCGGCTCGTCGTCAATGACCTCGACGATCTCGTCCTCGTCATTGTCCTGGCCGTGCCTCGACAGTGACGCCTTGAGGTATTTCCCGACCTGTCCGGCCCCGCCGCCGGATTCCACGGTGCCGTCGTCACGTATCCTCTTACCGGTCCACGTGGTGCGGTCCTCGTCCACACCGAGACTCCCTGGGTCTGTTACCGCGGCTTTCCGGTCCGACTTCTCCTTCTCGCTCCGCTCGGCCTGGTTCTTCTGCTTCCAGAACTCGTCAAACGGGTCGATCAGCACCGTGGCCTCGACGATCTTGATCTCCTCGGTGGGCCGGTCGGTGCTGTCCACGGGGGCGTTTTCCAGCCGCTTGAGCGTCTCCATCGAGTCGCCTCCGTCCTCGGCGTCCTCGGCGACACGTCCAAAGATGGTGTGTTTGTGGTCCAGGTGGCTGGCGGGCCGGTAGGTGATGAAGAACTGCGAACTGTTGGTGTTCTTGCCCTTGTTCGCCATGCTCAGCACGCCTCGCTTGTCGTGCTTGAGCGGGCCTTCGAGCTCGTCGTTGAAGTTTTTGCCCCAGATGCTGGTCCCGCCCCTGCCGCTCCCCGTCGGATCGCCCGACTGGATCATGAAGTTGCGGATGTTGCGGTGGAAAATGATGCCGTCGTAATATCCCTTTTGCGCCAGCTTGACAAAGTTCCACACCGCTTTCGGCGCATATTCGGGGTTGAGTTCTAATGTCAGGGGCCCGAGGGTGGTGGTTAACCGGACGTAGCCCTTGTGTTTGACGCGTCGGGGTTTAAGGATATATTCTTCGTCTGTCATTGTTGCGAGCGCGTTTGACGTGTGCGGTGTGAGACCAGTGGAGGTGAAAGACGCGGCGGCCTGACCGGTTGTGTGCCGCGTTGCATTGTAGGGTATTGTTTTGGACGACTGGGATGTTGAGCTGGTCTTATTGACCGAGTTGATCGACGTTGCCGCCGATAAGGATTTACTGTTCTGTCCGGCAGCATTTGCTCGCTCGGCTCTGGCTTTCGCAACCGCTTCTTTCGCTTTCATGATCTTTAGATCCGCAGCACTACCCAAGCTTGCGGTATTGATCGACGCTTCCTCTTTGGGAATTCCCGAATCTTCGCCATCTTTCAGGTACTTGAACGAGGTGAGGTTGCGTGACTCCAGGTTCTGCGGATCTTGCAGGGTGATCAAATCTTTCCTGGTGAACTCCTCGTCCGAGACCAAATCGCGCCACATCTTGGGTTTTATATTCAGCCGCTCGACCGTGTCATACGCGAAGACATTGGCCGATTCTCCGTGGCGCACCGCGACGATGTGCGTGTTGTCCGTGAAGACCTTGAACGTGACGGGGTCGACATACTCGTCGCTGTCGTTCTTCGCAAAGTTCAGCTTTATGAGATCTTGCTGCTTCAAGGGCTTTCCGTTCGTCGGGTTCGTGTCGTGTTTCAGCAGCCACCGTAGGATGTTCTCATGGTCGAATATGATGCCTTCGGCGGTGCAGACAGGCGTGGTGAAGGGCTGCAGACTCAGCGCGCAAAAGTTGAAGGGTAGCCGTTTGAAGGCGGCGTGGTGGGAGGTGTCAGCGCGCACACCAGCGCCGGCGCTGGCTGAGTAGGCATCGGACGAGGCCCATTCGGAGTGAGTGATCTGGTGTGAGGGTTTGTTAGTGGACAACCAAAAGCACCGTGGAATTGCGGAGGGTCGCGCTCATACGTAGAGTTTGTCGGTTCCTGGAAAAGCTCGTCAGCAGGCTGAGTCGAGCAAGGGGAGGCGATCTGACCTTTTCCCATGTTCTGTCTTCTTTCTCATAAACAATCGCAAGGTTAGAGCGGAGTTGTTGGAAGGTCGTACATTTTTGGAATTTGGCGGAGTCGAGGCTGCGCTGCGGAGAAATAAAAATGTCGTCGCCTCCAACCACGAAACCTCGAAATCGCATGACAACCGCTCTGCCTATTGGCCCACAGCCGCGCCCTCTTATAAGCTTTGGGAACAGAGTCAAGGGATTGTTCAACACAATTATCTTTATTCTAGTCTATCATTCTTTTGTCTAGATTTATCGTCTCCACCTCGACTGCAAAGATCTTGCAGGAGTATAAAAGGGCACTATCTCGGGATACCCAGGTATCTGAGATAGTCCGCTGGCCCAGGAGTCTTCCAGATGTCTTTTTCAGCTTCAATGGCCACCCACACAAGTCCCAGCATCGCCGCAGAGTTCGCACCCGCTCCTCTCTCAAGGCCACTGTGCCGACGAGGAATCAGGCACATCCACTCTCTCACCAGGATCACATTGTAATCGGTGCCCCCACCGGCTTCTGCGTGGCTGTGACGAACTCTTGCGACAAGTTTTCCGTAGGCTTGGATAAGGGTATTTGCATCACAGTGCGTTGGCAACCGAAGAACAAAGTGTTTGTGAGGCACGGTCGGGATATCATCCGTGATGTTAACTGTCGACTCAGCCACGTTTGGAAAGAGCTGGAATCCCAACTCTTGCTCATCGGGATACGGCCAGAATTGTAGATGCTTATGCCCCTGACTAGACCCAGACTCGAAGCCACAGTTGTATATCATCATATACCGCTGCTTGAAGTGTTGCAAGATTGCCCAGGCGGCCGACAAGTCGCTGAAATCAAGGTCATCGGACTGAGGGGCAAAATGCCTCGTAATGACCAGCAGACTCGGTCTGTAAACACTGAATTTGTTCAAGATCAGAAGATGCGATGGCCCGACCTCAGAAAGGATCTCTTCCGGCTTGGGATTGAGAAAGGGATTGTGCCCCTTTCCTGTCTTGCGTTCAGGCGCATCTGATGGCGTGATCGGCTTGCGGCGCAGGTGTGGCACAAATCGAAAACTGAGCTGCGGTCGTCAGATCACCAGCAGCTTTGGGAGAGGAAGTCTCGCATGGCTTGCTAGTTTCTGTTTTGTTGTCCAGCCGAGGCCGAGCCATGTCACCGACTTACTTTGAACCCCTGGTCCTCCACGGTCTCGGCCGTCGAAGGCTCATAGATCAGGTGTCCTTTGGCCACTTGATCGTCGAATTTGGCAAGTGATTGTGCTTCAAGGTCTTGTGGGAGTTCTGAGGAGGTTGATAGCCCAGTGTCCCCTCCATTTTCTTTATGGCTGTCTTTGTCCATTCTTGGGTCTTCTTTCTGTTTGGTTTATACAGAGAAATAATGTTCATCTCAATGGGACTGAATACAGAAGACGCCAAGAATGCTTCGCCGTATAAAAATGACTATTCCCAATGTGGACAAGTCTTGGAGCTTCCCTGCAGGTCATTCGAGGCCATTTTATTTTTTTGGTCTGCGTCCGCATTGAGTCTGCCACTTTGCTCCCTGCACTTGTACCACCTTTCCATCTTTGCGCGCTGCAGGTTTGGGATTTCTCTTCCTTCGTTTCTTCCATTCTTCTCTTCTCCGGCGTCGCGATGGCCTTCTCTCGCTCGGTCGTTTCACTCCTGCGCACTTCCCGATACATTGCATCCCCCGCTCGAGGTGTCAACCCCGTCAACAGAGTCTTTGGCCATGATAGATTTGCCGCCAGAGCATATGCCACAGTCTTCGAGCGGACCAAGCCCCATGTGAATGTTGGTAAGTAGCAAGTGCTTGCCCTGCGTTCCGGGGTGGTATCTCACAGGTTTCTCAGGTACGATCGGTCACGTCGATCATGGAAAGGTAAACCTCCCTGCCTGCAACTATCGAATTCATCGGCTTATCATCGCCCCAGACTACTCTCACAGCAGCTATCACAAAAAGACAGGCGGACAAAGGCCTAGCACAGTTTCTTGACTATGGCAAGATTGACAAAGCTCCGGAAGAGCGAAAACGTGGTATCACCATCGCAACGGCGCACATTGAATACGAGACAAACAACCGACATTACTCTCACGTCGACTGTCCCGGTCACGCTGATTACATCAAGAACATGATTACGGGTGCTGCTCTTATGGATGGTGCTGTCGTGGTGGTTGCCGCTGGTGACGGTCAGATGTATGATACCCGCCATGCTCGAATAACACATGCATGAGATTGACTTTTCGCACAGGCCACAAACCCGAGAACATCTCCTACTAGCCCGTCAGGTCGGTGTCCAAAAACTAGTGGTATTCGTCAACAAGGTCGACACTGTCGAGGACCCTGAAATGTTGGAACTGGTCGAAATGGAAATGCGCGAGCTCCTGTCCTCATATGGCTTCGATGGAGACAACACACCTATCATCTTTGGCTCTGCTCTTTGCGCCCTCGAAGGTACCAGGCCGGAAATCGGAGTCGAGAGGATTGATGCTTTGATGGAGGCTGTCGATAGCTGGATCCCAACCCCTGTCCGAGACACTGAAAAGCCCTTCCTGATGTCAGTTGAAGAAGTCTTCTCCATTGCTGGAAGAGGAACTGTCGCCTCGGGTCGTGTGCTGCGAGGCGTGCTGAAGAAGGATAGCGAGGTTGAGATTGTGGGTGGTCGTGAAGAGGTTATCAAGACCAAGGTTACAGATATCGAGACCTTCAAGAAGTCCTGCGATGAATCAAGAGCTGGTGACAACTCGGGTCTTCTCCTTCGCGGTGTCAAAAGAGAAGATGTCAAGCGTGGAATGGTGGTTGCGGTTCCAGGTTCTGCCAAGGCGCATCAAGAAGCGCTTGTGTCACTCTACATTTTGACAGAAGAAGAAGGAGGCAGAAAAACCGGCTTCACCGAGAACTACAAGCCGCAAGTCTTCATTCGGACCGCAGATGAGGCGGCACAGCTCAAGTTCCCAGAGGGTACCGAAGATCCCACCAGGATGGTCATGCCAGGAGACAACCTTGAGATGGTCCTCAAGACACATCATCCCGTGGTGATGGAGGCTGGTGAACGATTCAACATGCGAGAAGGTGGACGGACTGTGGCCACCGGCCTTATCACCAGAATCCTCAAGTAAGCCGGGTGACCATTGGACCACGTGCAGAGGGGAACAAGAGGTGGGCTACGCTGGCACCGACGCCTCGGAAGCTTTGTATCAAAATGTGCCATGTCTTCACCGTGTCATAATTTGGGATGTGTTTTGTGAGGGATTTCGGGTCCCGGAATAGGGCGATCATGACTGTGGAGCATTGTAACATTGAGGGAGTCCGAGCTGGGAAGGAAGAAGCTTGCATATACCAACCTCTCTACTTCAATTCAAAAGTGTTTAAACATGCCACCATTTGGATGAAGGGGTTGTTTACACCTAGGTATTCGCTTCTACAGCCTCGCTCATGATGACCTGCGTTCATTTCCAGGATAATCACTTCATATCACTTCCTCCACAACCATGGCTAGATTACACTCAGACGCACGAGCCATGGGATAGATCTCGATAGTACAGACCATGTCGACCAGCGAAGCCACTTATTTACTTGTCGTCTTACTTCCGCGGCTCAAGAGAAGTGAGAGTTAAGGGCAAGGGGTTGTTCGGACTCGTCACGTATACCTACCATTTCTACCCTCTTGCGCTCTTCCCCTTCTGTATGGTGTACTCATACATGCGATTGCAATATTGAGGAGGTCGAACGGGGCATCGCAAAGAATAGGGTTAGTGGTTTGGATAGGGGAAGGTCTTTTTAAAGTAGGGATGAGAATGTACCGAGTCAAATTTGGTTGCACGCACGGTTCCACTCGGTGTATGTGTCCTTCTACGCGCGCCATTGTACTGTGTCGATGTCTACAACTTTGTGACATGGAACGGGATGTTAGGGCTTGAATATCAGGTACAGAAATATGTGTGTATAGCAAACACTTTTGGTTTTGATGGTGAGCTGGGAAATAATGTGATGGAAACTCCTGGTACATGAGACACCATACCCGCACCGAGAAGAGCACAATTCATGCCATCGTGCATACTCGTCTGGACGCCATACCAACCAGTGGATCACTTCGAACACCGTCGAATTCAGATTCAGATTTGCGGAACTTGCTGCGTCGCGCAATGGATCCCGCCGCCCGTCCTCGGCAACATGTTGATGAGCACCTGGACCACTTTCCTGTCGGGGAACAACTTCTTGAACAACTCAAAAGCCGCCATGTCCTGTCTTTCCTGCCCGAATTTGGGCATAATAACCCCTCCGTTCACGACGAGGTAGTTTGCATACGATCCGATGACCTCGTTATGCTGATCGGGCGGTCCCAGGAGTGTGATGTCAGGTTCCTCGCAGTCATACACCATTAATGATCGACCCTTAGCGTCCCTTGCCGATGTGAGGATAGAGCGGGCAGATTGGTAGACGTCGACCGCTGTGGGATGAGCATCCGGCCCGGGCTTGCTGAGAAGCACGACACCAGGGGACGTGAAGCGTGCCAGCGCGTCGATGTGGTAATCTGTAATGTCGTAGTCCTTGACGCCGGGGATCCAGATGAAATGCGTGACTCCGAGCTTTTCCGTCAGCTCAGCTTCGGCATCAGATCTGGAGAACCCAGGATTTCGGTTGTTGTTGACGATGCAGCTCTCTGTACCGAGGAATGTGCCCTCGCCATCGTGCTCAATGCCACCTCCCTCAAGGGTGAGTTTGGAAGATACCGAGACTTCATTCGCGTGCGCAGCAATTTGGGAAGCAACCCTCTCATCGCCAATGGCGGGGAGTTTACCACCCCAGTAGTTGAAATTGAAACCGACAGCCGCTCTTTTGCCCGTAGCCATGTCCTGCACGAAGACTGGCCCACTGTCGCGGATCCAGAGTTCACTCACCGTTGCTGGCTTGACCAAGACGTTGTTGCTGACCATGGATTCTGCCTGTGGAATGAGCTCCTCACGAGCGTAGAGGTGCACTGGCTCGAAGTGGGAGATGGTATTTGCGATGCTGGTCACTTCGGACTGTAGAGCTTCCAGATGCTCTGTGCTTTCTGCTGACTCTCTGCTGGGGAAAGCCATCAGGGTGTGCGAGTGGCGCGCGCTTTCCACTGGCATGCGAAAGCGACCATGATGGGCGTCGTCGGGCATGCTCGAGACTTGTCTTGTAGCTGATACTCTTCGGGGTATTATTGTCGTCGCTTCGTAAGACCTGGATACCTTATGATAGAGAGGTATTGGTTTGCCCTGAATTACTCTGCGACCCAGACAAGATATATTTCGAATAAAATGCCATGTCGACGTGGGTAGCATATCGATAACGCAGATGCGACAGAGCGCAAACTGACGCCATTGGCACGTTGGAAGGCAAGTTGTTTACTGGATGGCAAGGTCGCTGATATTTCACCTCCATGGGGCAGCGCCGGAAAGACCTTCTGAAAGAGGCTAGAGAAGTGGAGAATAAATGTTCCGCTTTGGCCCCACACTTCAAAAGACTGTCATGACGGCTGTGGACATCAACGCTGTCTTGCTCTTGCATCAGGTATGGCGCGTTCATATCAAGTAGCAAAGAGGAGAATGGAGGAGGCCACAGGGCAACCAATATCGAAGAAGTAACCGAAGGGTACCTTCTCGTGTTGAGTTGGACGCTGTAAAATCTTTGTTATTCCTTCAGTCCTATAATTTCCACGTCTGATAAGCTCGATATTTCTGCCGTACCACTGCTCTACCACCAACCGATATGTCCTTCCACGATAGCATTGTCGACGCCACCATCGCCGACTTGTCACAAGCTCTATGCCACGGAAAGTTGACTTCAGTTGACCTGGTTGCCAAGTATCTGCATCGCATCAGTGCATATGACTGCAGAACCACCACCCTCAACTCAATTCCACTCATCAACGAGAATGTTTTCGAAGAAGCAGCCGCGGCAGACGACCGACGTGCTGCTGGTCAAGCACATGGTCCCCTTGAAGGACTTCCTTTCACGGTCAAGGACAGCTACAAGGTTCGCGGGATGACTGTGGCTAGTGGCTCGGAGGCCTTTGAGAACCTCGTTGCCGATGAGGATGCATTCACTGTGCGAGCTCTGCGAGACGCGGGGGCTGTCCTGATGGGCAGGACAAACATGTGTCCTATGGCATACGGCGGAATGCTTCGTGGTGTTTATGGTCGAGCAGAGAGTCCGTACAACAAGGACTACCTAGCGGCCGCGTTTGGATCCGGCTCTTCCAATGGGAGTGGTGTCTCTGTTGCAGCATCGTTTGCCGCCTTCGGTATGGGCGAAGAAACGGTGTCGTCCGGCCGCTCTCCCGCTTCAAATAACGCCTTAGTAGCTTACACTCCATCGCGAGGACTCATATCAATCCGCGGCAACTGGCCACTGTATCCAACCTGCGATGTTGTTGTTCCTCATACACGCAGCATGGGCGATATGTTCGTTCTAATGAATGTGCTTACCAGACAGGACCCAGAGACCGTAGGAGATTTCTGGAGAGATCAACCATTTTTACAGCTTCCAGCGTCGTCAGGGTCTGACATTTCGAAGCCTTCGATCACTACCAAGGACCCGGGATGTCTCAATGGAAAGCGGATTGCAGTCCCCCAAATTTACATCAAGCAGCAAGACGGCGGACCGTTGATATCCCAAGCCATCGAGCCTCTATGGCATCAGGCACAGGTCGACCTTGAAGCCGCGGGTGCGACTGTCGAGATAATCCCAGATCTCCCAGTGCTACGTATATACGAACAAATGCTTCGCAAGCCCGAAGGTGACGACACATCACCCTCTCTTCCATATCTGCCGGATGACTGGAACAGCACTGAGAGGGGGCTTTTGATCGCTCATGCCTGGGAAGACTTCCTGCAGAACAACCACGACCCGCACATCCAGTCATTGACACAGGTAGAACCAATCAAGATCTTCCCTCACATGCCACGCGATAATCCTCAAGTCAAGTTTACCGAACCAGCCAATGCTGTCCACTGGGGAAAGTTGGCAGGCTACGTTGCCAATCGACCCCCTACTAGCAGACCAGGCAAGAGCGCCATCTACGACGTTCCACATCTTGAGAGTGCCGTGCGAGCTCTCGAACAAATCCGAACCCGTTTCTTCGAGGATTGGATGTCGACCCATGACTATGACTTTGTCGCCTTCCCCGCTGCAGGCGATGTTGCCCGCGCCGACGCGGACATTGACGACAAGAGTGCCCAGCACGCCTGGACGGATGGGGTCAAATACAGTCATGGCAACAGAGCGTTGCGACACTTGGGAATCCCTAGCGTGACGGTGCCAATGGGAATCCTTGCGGACTCGAGGATGCCCATGGGTTTGACGTTGTTGGGTCGGGCTTACCATGATCATGACTTGCTGCAGGCCGGTTATGCATATGAACAGCAAAGCAAGAAACGAGTCGTGCCGCCACTGACGCCAGCATTACCGTCGGATGTGATCCCAACACAGAGACAGGTGTTGTCCAAAGCGAGGCCAAACCTGACAATAACAAGATGCAACGCCAGTCCAGGTCAAGATGGCGATCTGTCCGTTTCGATCGAGGGGTCACTCTCTGCGGTAGGGGGATCGGGTGAAGCTTTCAAACCTATCCTGGAGATCTACATCGACGGTCAGCTTGTTCCCCCATCATCGATCACGATTCAACCACCAACCATCGGAGATGGGGATTCGCACGTTTCAAACTTCGTCTGCGAACACCAGGCACTTCGACCACCAATAACAGACGACCGCAATCGCGTAGTCGGCAAGATCGCCAGAGACAGTACAATGGTCATGATTCTCGCGCGAAATGGACAAGACAGCCGGCAATCGGGGTATGTGAAGCTGCTACACTGACGAGCGGAGGACGTGATAGGCAGAGGATGGTGGTTCTGCTGGTAAATAATGATCTATCAAGCTGTGTTCGATGCTGGGCCGATACTGAGCCACTTCGGATTGCATACAAGAGAGTGACGTTGGAGAGAAGACAGAAAACAAGGTACGACAGAGGCGTTCGCGACCAGATATCTAGGAAACACACTGCTCTCGCTCGTCTGATGGAGGACGCTGGGAGACTGGAAATGCTCATTACGATTCATCCCGACTTGCTATTCCTTCACGGTAAATCAACCAACAGCGCTTTGATTCCCAAACATATCACAAGTACCCAGGAAACACCTTTCAACCCAATCATCTCAGATCCTAGATTGTTGAATACTCTTGAACGCAACCCTGCCATCCTTAACCTCGAGGACATTGACCGGTACCCGGACCTTGACCGTTTCCTCACCAGGCAAGTTCATAGGAGCCGAGAATCCCGCAACATAGGACACTGCCGTCTTGCAAGTCGGGCAGAACCATCTGTCTCTTGAAGGGGGTTCGGCGGAGGTGAAGCTGCGGGTGATTGCCGACGGGTCGACTTCACGAACGCAGACATTGCAGAACTGGTGGTCGCAAGGGCGGACGCTACACCGGGAGGTTTGTCAGTAAAGGCCCAATCGACAGGGGTCCGTTTGATGGCTTCCTTACACGCAGTCACACAGTCTGATCCCGCACTTGCACCGGGTCGGCTGTGATGGATCAAGCGACGGCTCGCTCTGCACATCTTTTTGCTGATCCATGGCCGAGACGGACTTGACGTTGTCAAAGTTTCCCCCGTCAACGCGATTCTCGGGCTGCTCTTCCACGACGAAGAATGCACCGCCCTCTTCGATGTAACCCATCGCATCAATCGGCGGCGGTGGGGGCACGACGTGGGTGACGGCCTCGCAGGATGCCGGGTCCAGGATGTGGACATGGACCAGCCTTGCAGCTTCGGTGTTCCAGATGGACGCTGGATTGTGGTCCCGATATATGTCTTGGACTGTAGGCAAGAAGGAAGAAATGAGCCACTATCATGTCCCAGAATTGTACCAGGGCGGCCATCACCGGGGATTTGATTAGTCTTCATGGGTCTCCTTGAAGGATACACTCACCGAGCTTTCCACCAGCGGCCAGTCCCATCGCCTTGAGGTCTTTGGTCGTGATGGTGGGTTTGGACTCTGCTGCATTCATTTGGGGTTCTCTCGACATGTCCTGATAAGTAGCAGCTCCCACGAACTCGCCAGCGTAGAAACCTTCGTCAGCGGCCGCAGAGGCTTGACCTGCCATCGATAGGCTTTCACCGCGGGTATAGGCGGAGGACATGGCCATGGCTGGCTCTAGTGCAAGTGCTGCAGTTCCATTTCCGACACCGATGCGGTCGACAGATTGATATACGCTCTCACGAAGGAGATTACTGTACGAACTCATTTCTCCCCACTCGTACTTGCGTTCTGACAGCATAGATTTGATTCTATCCTTTCTCAGAGCAGCTCTGTATTCTGGTACGAATACCTGACCTGACATTAACGACATTACCATGACTGAAAACAAAAGATACTCACGGGGCAGTCCTCGTCCTCGTGTGCTCCTCCAACCATATCTGCCAGCGTTGCTGGGACGTATTCGACAGCCTTCTCTGGGTACAGCCTGATGGTGTTGCCAACTCCGAGCCCCAACTGGCGTGGCGTGCTGTGTTCGTCGAGTCGCCCGTATTCCAGGTCTGAGGCACTTATATCTCCAGTCGAGTCTTTAGCCCAGGTCCGTAATCTCTCCTGGAAGGCCGGGATGATCTCGATCTGCAGGCCTCCGTGCTTCTCTTCCCCCGTCTTTTGGCCCTCGACAGTGTATCCAGAACCCACTGAGAATGGTTGATTAGATGAGATCCATCCACGCCTCGGGACTGAGCAGAGACGGTAGGGGGAAACTTACATGGCATGGCGACAAACTGTCTCACAATCCCGGGAGCGACACAGATCCCATCGAGCCACTCCTGGCCCGGGACGACGACATAGTCTTGAACCCCTGGTCCATCGGCCGAGACGTCCTTTTCTTGGTCCATCTTCTCCCCAGAGACGGCATTGATACGTCCCACGGAGAATCTCAGAGCGTACCGCGTGCCGATTCGTGCTTCCAGGCTTATCCAAAGTGCCTCTCGCTGCCACATGGGCATGAAAACTCCACCTGCCTGCACAATCGCGCTGGGCAACTTGTCGGCATATCCCTCAACGCTGTAGAGGGGAAAGGCTCCCAGCGACCCAGGCAGCTGGTGAAGCTTCTCGTCATCTGGCATTCTGACCGTCCGGTGAAACGTGATCTCCAGCCCCCGCGAGTCCTTGAGGCTGTCGATCTTCATGCCATACAGGTTCGAACTATTCTCGTCGACGTTGAACTGCATCGCCTGGCCGAAGTGGCGATTGGTATACGCAATGAGTCTGTCATCAATGTGGATGGACTTGCTGGGTTCAGGAGGCAAGTCATCCTGGACCACGGTGATTTGCTCGAATTCTTGGAACTGGGGCTTGACGCGGCCAGGTTTCCACTTCTCTCCATTGCGAGAGAGTGAGTCGGGAAGAGTATAGCCCAGCTCTACCACCTGGTCAGGCCTTTTCTTTGCGTACAATGCAGTAGAGGTCTGGAAGAACAACTGACCTTTTAATTTAGTCCACAGCTCTGACACTGGGAGATCGCCCGGCAGGAGAATGGTTTCTTCTGATTCTGGAATGGGCACATCGTCATCTTTCTTAGAGATTGACAGCTCTGGTGCGTCGTCCAGAGCGCGTCTGAGGCCTTGGATGCGAAGACGCACTTCACTCCCTGTGGATTCAGGCGATTTGCCATGTTCACTCGTGGCCATGATCTGCTGCCAACTGTCTGCTAAGCCTCGCGTGTGTCTGTTAGAAAAGAATAGAACAGCCAGACAGACAAGAATTGATGTTTCCAAGGAACCATTTCCATATTATAAGGCTGGACAGAAGGCAGCCACTTTATTGTCCAAGCGCCCAGGATCTCTCGCTTTTCCAACTCAGCCTCACCGGTTAGAGGGATTGGCACTGGAAAGGTTTCCCATGTCTGCCTATCGAGCGCTCTAACCATCCTTGTAACCATCCGTGCCATCCTTGTAGGGGCCAATCGCCAGCTCGATTGATCATGCAAGCCAAGTCAAAAAGGCAACACTGGATGAAGAAACACAAGTCAGGCCCCTCGTCCAACACACCATCCCCTCCCTCTTGGTCTTTATCGTGAGACACACGAGGAGACCCTTTTCCTGTCCATTGAAATCTTCCCTTCCATGTTTCATTCATGGCACATACACACATTCCAACTCAGCCTGACGGGCCGACTTCAACTTCAGCTTCAACTTCACCTTCACAGCGGCAATGTCCTTCGGCTTCAGCATCGGTGACATAATCCTGCTCGGGCAACTGTCCTACAAGCTCTACGACACTGTGACCACCGGCCGACGGAATGCCAGTCGTGAGCTGCAGGAGCTGGGAGACGTGCTGTTCGGGTTGAATTGTGCCCTGGATCATCTGCGCCATGTGGCCGGGGACATTTCAAAGGCCGCTTCGACGTCTCTATCCAACGACAGCCATGGACGGGAAATGCAACAGGCCCTGGATCAAATGGTGCAGAATTGCGCCGTCACCTTGAATGACTTGGACAGTGTGACCAAGAAGTACCGCGATGGGGCCATGGTGTCGGAGAACAACGAGAACAACGAGGGTGTCGAGTCCGGCGCTGGTTCTGGCTCTAGGAGAGGCCAGAAAAGAAGGCAGGTCCTCAAAAACGCCATCGCGTCAAATTGGGCAAAGATCAGATGGGATATCGACAAGGACTCGTTGAAGGCATATCGCGACAAACTACAAGCGCACATCAATGCTATCAATCTGGTCCTGAGTACCTTTCACTGGTAAGGTTGTCCCCTGGGATCGCCCTCCACTTCCCCTTTCCCCCGTTCTTGAAGGCTGGAACGGGTTATCAATGGCTCAAAGACTGACGGTCGATCGGGACAGGTCAGCAACTGAAAAGATACATGCCCATAACAAAGTGCAGGCCGAGAAGATACAACAATATCACGACGACATGGTCAAGTCGAATTCCTCCCTCGCACTTTTCGTCGAAGAGATGCATTCAATGATGCTGGAGCCAACACGAACAACACCTCATTCGGCTCGGATGGACGTCGAGAACTCCTTTGGTGGTCCCAGTGGCCTTGCGGCGGAACCACCACCACCAACTGTGGGACCTAAGAGTGTTTCTTCACCAGTGATCCGATCTGTGGCCGCTCACCGTGTTCCATTCGGCTTGTCCGGCACGATATCGACCTTCGCAGGCATGGCAACTTCTTCCATACCTCCTGTTGTCCCCCGACACACGCCTAGCCTCTATTTCAGGGCCATGCCAGCAGTCGATGCAGGAACAACAGCACCTCCCCCGGTCATTAGACATCGGATACCGCCGAAACCTCGAAGAGAACTTCCCCCGGAGATCGTGGCAATCAACATCAAGCGCCAAACCCAAGGTGCAAAGGCACTGGCAGATCTCAAGCAGAGTCTCGCTCCAAAACCTCAACCGTCCTTCCTCAAGCCAGTCGTCCCAACCGTCCCCCAACTGTCGGAGGGCCTGGAGTACATCTTCAGCCCATTGCCTCGCAGCACCAGCCGACAACTGGAAGCCGTCCGACGGATGCGCATCAGAGAGCTCGAGTTGTGGATCCAGTCGCTCGACCACCTGATCAGCTCTTCTGCCATGTCTTACACGCCATCTACTAACAAGGCTCCAGTGACCGTCTCTGACCAATGCACTGACTTGGTCGGACTGCTGGCCGAGATGAACAAGGCAATCGAGTCGTCGAGTGAGAATATGAGGGACATGGTCTACGAGGGGTTTTCGGCGGCGCGCGTCGACCATGTCCTGGATAAGGTGTTGGCCTGGACAAAGTCTATAAGGGTCCAGAAGGAGGTCGAAGAGTTTCTGGAAGAGCGGTCGGACTGGCGAGGCACGCACTGATGATACTCCTCATCACGGTTCGTGCTGTAATTTCTTGTGGTTTTGGCTTTCTTTAGCATACCCCCGTGTACTTATGTGACAGAGCGCCAGGATGGAATCTAATGGCTATAAGAATATGTGTTGGAAGTCTTTCGGACAGTGTCTAGTAGCCGGATCTATGTTTCGGTAGAGAGCGATTCTTTACCGAAACAACATATAGCGATATGCAATATGTCAATGTATGCGAGGCTGTAGACAAGGCTGTGTGGAAGCAGAGGGATATGGAGGGAGAGCAGCATGTATTTCTGCCATTCCCTCAACAAACATTAGCGGTAAACTCGTGGTGAGTCGACAGAAGCCGGTTCACTGCCAAACTGCCTAGCACCAACTGGACAATCTGGGCAATTTCTTGGTTTTTTTCTTGGTCTCGAGATACACGGCAGTTGTTACAAGACCACAATCCCCATTACATAATGCATTCCTACATCCCTGGTACCCAAGTACCTACTGATCGGCTATTTCTTTTTCTGCGAGATCCTGTACATATATGCCTCGTATGTATGTATGTACTTTATGGGGAACACGCGACATACTCGGTCCACTCATATCCCATATACCATATACAGGTTTTCACTCAACTCGCTTCGCATCTAGCCTCGGAATCCACATCTTCGACTTGAGAATCAGAATATCTATCACGTCTCCATTGATGATTTGTGTCTCCCTCGGAAAATAACATACATCTCGATAGATCCAATATCATCGCCCAAACCCCGCACGCACACACACACGCGCACACACACACACACACACGCACCAACCCGAAATAACAGTAATGGAAGGTCGCTGCCAATGCGGCACCGTGCGCTTTCGCACGCCCACGGAAAAGCCCATCAAGTGGTACATCTGCCACTGCCACGAGTGCCGCCGCCAGAGCGCCAGCGCGTTTGGCATCTCGGCCATCTTCCCGCACTTTGATCTGCTTTCCCAGGTTTCCGCTGCGGGGGACGAGTCTGCGTCCAATTCGGCGCTTGAGAGAGACAACGACAACGACGGCAAGGATGGTGGCGCGGATGCGGACTCTCCAGTCATCGGTGTCTACGAGCATTCGCGCACGACGTCCGGCCGGGCCAAAAAGTGCTACTACTGCAAAAAGTGCGGGACGCGCATCATGAACGTCAGCGTCGCGCCTACCGGCAGTTTGGGCTACGTCGCCGTCAAGGGCGGGTGTCTCGAGGGCATCGACGGCGACATCTTCACCGGCGCGACGCACATCTGGACGAAGAGCGCGTTGGTCCCCATTCCTGAGGGCGCAGAGGCGTACCCCGAGGAGCCGCCGCCGAGGGCCTAGCAGAAGGGCAGGAGGAGGGATGTGAATGAGACAAGGTACGGGGAGGTTGATGACTCGAGAAATGAAATGCGCGAGTGGAATCAAGCGGGACGGGTCTTTTCTGGTTGCATGATGGTCCGTGTGGTCTGCGAAATCCTCTTTGCTCGTTCTAGCACACTGTCATGTCAACAATCGAGCACTGCACGCACGCTGGGACACCAGTCCAAGAGGCAAGTCTGTGTGTAATAGTGATGGATTTGCTCCATTCCAGAGCTGTCTTCACTCCTTGTCATCGTGACTTTTGAGACTGCTGTATATGGCATGTGTCATACAAAACGTCGTAGGCCTTTGTACAATAATAATAGTAGTAGTAGTAGTGAGGTTGTGATATGGTGTGGTGTGGTGTCGCAGCTCCTTGCCCTGTCTGCCTCCATCTCGCCAACTGGCCGTGAACCACCAGTGCTAGGTCTATTTTCAACGCACACCTTGCCCAGTGTCAATAATCCACCTCGTTTATTTGTTTAGTGGCTTTAACTCGTCGATGCCAGCACGCCTGCGGTCTCAGCGAGCGACCCATCCGCAACCGCTTCACGCTCTGCTCTCCGTCGTCTCTTTTCGATTATAATCTGTTTCCGCTGTTGAAGGAGCTTGACTTGTCTATCTTCGACGCCCGTCAACCAATAACCAAAGGATCCCCCGATGCTCGCGAATAGTGGGTACACCCATAACGTGCCGCGTTGAAAGAATGGTCTCATCTCTATGCCGAGTTGGACGAAGCGTGTGGCGATGCCTGGTAGAAATTGTTAAAAACGACACCCAAAGGGCATGTTAGGCAAGGTATAAGGGGGGGATAGGTGTTTACCGAAACCGGCCCAGAACAGGATCTTGTGAACCATGATTGTGTATGTTTCGCGCCTTGGGCGCGTTGGAGCAGTGTCAGCAAACTATCACTGGAGCAGGAATAAAGCTGGCGCAGTAGTTGGGAATGGCTATCGCAAGGCAGGATTGTGAAATGAGGTTGTCGTCGCGATGTTAGAGAGCTCGGAGATTGGAGAGCAGCTCAGGTGAACAGACCCTTTTACGGCAACTTTTTGGATGCCAAGTTAAAAGTGCGCTTGACTAGTTTTGTACTCGACCGTACTACAGTGCATGATCACGTGCCAAAGGTCCTGCTCAACCACGTTGCTTGCTGGTAAGGCTGAATTCAAACAAAATATAAGGAACGTATTAGGGTTTGCTCTTTGCTATATCGCTACATTTTATCATATATCGATACACACCCTCGTTAGACTCGTACTCACAGGTTCCTCTCTAGATGATGGCGTGTAGGAGGGGAAGCTGCCCGGACTTGACCGACCACTCAAGGAAGAAAGATAAACCGAGATTCCACTTGGGGCCGGGTGTATCCTGGGGTTGCATTGAGGATCTGCTGACAACTACGGAGTATTGACAACACAACGGAAACCACAATGAAAAGGGAGAGAAACCTCCATCCTCCAGGGACTTGAGACTATGTGAGAGAGAGAGAGCAATCGCATATTTAAACCTATCCCGAGTACAAACGGTTTGGGACTGGAAATTCTAGACTCGGCGCTCACCTACCTTTTGCTTACTAGGGACTGCCAAGACATAAGACAATTTCCCACTCGCTCATTGGCTTCTTGGGTTGCTGTTCCTGATCAATGGGCGGGTTGGCTGCCGTTGACTAAGCAAGGACAAGCTGAGACTAGATCCGAGGGGTTCGCCTATGAAACTGCGCCCCAGGCATCGAAGCCTAAAAAATAGCCTCCGCTTCTGCCCATCAGCACAGCACCCTCCATCATTATCCATCAGACCATGGAAAAATCAATGAATCCTTCTGTGTCTGTATCTCACACACACCATCTTCTCGACGTCCCGCCATGGATGCCATTGACAGAAGATTCGACCGTCTTTCTGTGACAAGGATACCACCATCCTGATCAACTCGCGTCTGAAATGACTTGACGCCAACTGCGCACCCGCAATCTCCCATTCGCCGCCCGTCCTTCCGGTGTCCCGCTGCCAAACTTCTTCACCCTCGCTGTCACGATGAAGGTCCACCTTCGCATTCGTGAACAGCTATGTCTGATCATCGGCCTCACGAGTCTGTTGTCACTGACCATACTGACCGTGTCGATCTGGGTTCAGATTGTGGATCGTCTCAACAACGCGAAATGGGAAACTCTCTCGGTCACGGCGAACTTGAAGGCCACTCAAGTTGCCCAGGACATCAGTTTACTAGGCACATCCGTACAGTCCATCGCCACCCGGAATATTCTCCAGTCCCTACTCCGGGATTACAACAATGGCAACGACACTCAGGACCTGTACGATGCCATGCAGGTAGGTTAATGACAAAGGTCGTCGGCCTCCACCATCAAAAGTACTGACCTCGACCTAGAACAACCTTGTGGATGCGTTGTCTGGCGGGACCGACGATGCAGTTCTCCTTCAAGCTGCTGTATTTCCTCGCCGGCCCCGGTCCGATGGAGGTGATGGTGCACTCACTGGCGCAACTGGGAGGGGAGCCGCCAGCAAGGTCGTGCTCCCTTTTTCTTATCAAAATCGGTCTGCAGTCCTTTTAGGCGAAGGTAGCGCTGGGTACCCGCCCCAGCTCTACCCTAACCTCACTTATGGCGATGAGCCATCAGATAACAACTTTGTCTTCTACGAGGGCAAGATGCTGGACAACAACTCGACGCTGTTTCTCGGCCCGCTCGCCCTTCAAAGCAACACCTCGCTCATCTCATTCACAGTGCCCATCAACAACAACACCAGTCGTATCGATGTACTTGGGTGGCTCACTGTTGTGGTTGACGGAAAAGCGCTTTATAACATTGTCGAGTCTCCGGTTGGACTAGGTAAGACGGGAGAGGTTGTGATTATTGGTCCTGATCGCCCCGACAACCTCTATGCCGAGAACATCACTGGTCGCTCAGAACCTGCGAATTCCAATATTCCCACACGGTTTGTCCTACCGCCTCACGGTGATCGCCACCCTTTACGTGCCAAGGATCCTTACCTTCCTTTCCCTATGAAAGCCTACCCAGCTGTGCTGCGGGCTTGGTGCGTCAAAACTGGGGAGCTCAATAATGCGGGAGCGATGATGTCTACGCACAATGAGGAAAACCAGAAGATATCCGCCGGCTTTGCCAAGGTCTCTTCTGACATTGTTAATTGGGTGGTTGTCTTCGGACAGGCACACAGTGAAGTCGTCGCTCCCATCAATCACCTACGGAATACAGTGCTAGCCTGTATTTTCAGCGTGGTCGGTGCAGTCATCCTTGTTACCTTGTGAGTGCTGCAAAACCAGATGTCCTCGCATGTACTGATCCTCTCGCAGTCCGCTTGCCCATTTTGCTGTCAGGCCTATCATTGCTCTCAGAACTGCGGCCGAGAATTCCGTGACTACGTATGAAGCTTACGATCCCTCCGAGAAATCGTCCGACACGGATAGCGACAATGCTTTGATGAAGCCCGACCTCATGCAGGAAAAGGGGATGAATCACACTCTTTGCAAAAGGTCCGCAAGAAAGAAGACCTTCGTTCGACCAGTGCGAGTATTTAAGATCCCTGAGCGCGTGCCCGAACACAACCATGTTGTCCATGACGAGTTGACGGATTTGACCCGTACTTTCAACGAAATGGCCGACGAGTTGACGATCCAGTACGGAAGACTTGAGCACCGAGTAAAGAAAAGAACTGCAGAACTGGAACAAAGCCGAAATGCCGCTGAAGCTGCCAACGAAAGCAAGACCTTGTTCATCGCAAACGTTTCTCATGAACTCCGCACACCATTGAACGGTATTATTGGCATGTGTGCAATCGCCATGCAAGAGGAAGACGTCGGCAGCATCCGACAGTCTCTGAAGATCATCTACAAGTCTTCCGATCTGCTGTTACACCTCCTCAACGACCTACTGACTTTCAGCCGCAGTTCCTTTGGACAAAACTTTGCCATTGAAGAAGACACGTTTCGACTTTCGGATGTTGGCTCACAACTTGTATCCATTTTTGAGAAGCAGGCGCGTGAAGCTGATATCAGTTTGAGAGTGGTCTTCATTGGCACAGAACCAACCGCAACCGGAGATACTGATCAAGACGACCCCGAGGATGTCATTCTTGCTAGACATGATATGGCTGGCGCTATTGCGAAACCGAAGACGAGTATTCTGGCCAAAGCACCTGCCGATCTTGGGCCTTTGAGGGAAATAGGGTTAAGAGGGGACAAGAATCGGATACTGCAAATTCTGATGAGTAAGTGCGGATTTCGCGTTGCTCTCTTCAGTTGGCTTCTTAGGCCGTCCCTAAGCGTTTCGCAAGCTCTTGTTTTGATCATGTCCCCTAACTGGTGCGCAGATCTCGTAAGCAACGCGCTGAAGTTCACGGCCGCCAAAGGGGTCGTCGAAGTGCGAATACGATGCAGAGGATTTGTGGAACCCGAAGCCATGCCTCATGTCGCATATACAAACACTACAGTCGGCCAAGCAACGCCTTCAAAGGCACTGCAGCGACGAGATACTGAATACGCCCCGCCAAAGTCATCGATGAAGGGCTTATTGTTCGATTTTGAGGTCGAAGATACGGGTTCGGGTATACCGGAGCATTTACAACAAGACATCTTCAAACCCTTCGTCCAAGGCGACTTGGCTTTGAGCAAGAAGCATGGTGGTGTCGGCCTTGGGCTAGCCATATGTTCGCAGCTGGCAGGTATGATGGGCGGCACCATCACCCTGAAGAGTACTGTCGACATTGGAAGTACGTTCACCCTTTCTTTACCATTGCGTTACACGAAAGAGGCCGTGCCCTCCGTGTCCGACTCCCTCGCGCGACCCAAACCAGGAAGTGTATCCAGCAGCATACAATTTGAAAGCTTCAGTACGAAATCTCGCAGGTCAAGAGAACCACGACAACCTATCCGATCAAGACAGACTTCGCTGTATTCGACACAGGACAAAGACTCCCAACTGGATGTGCCCCGTCTTGTGGGTTTCTCTCAGCCGTATCTGATAGATGGCAACGTGAGCTCAGAAAGAGTGGATACGGTTGCTCAACCGACAAAACAAGAAAAAAAGCAGAACGTCCCCCCTCCAAACAACCGGCTCGCATCAATCATGTCTGTTAAGACACCGGATGAGGCGAATGACCCGGCACCAATGAAACTAGGAGAGCAAGTGAAGACTACAGATAACATCGAGATAAAGGCACCAGCGCCACCTTCAGGGACTGCTGCCGAAATCTCTTCTCTCAAAGTTCTTGTCGCAGAAGATAATCCGGTCAACCAACAAGTGATCCTCAAATTACTTAAGCTGGAAAAGGTGGACGATGTAACACTGGCGGAGGACGGGGAGGAAGCTTTCAGCGTGGTGCAAAAGTCATACTCTGAAGTGGGCAGCGAGAATGAAAATCCACGGCGTTTCTCACTAGTTCTCATGGATATCCAAATGCCGCGCATGGACGGCATCGAATCCACAAAGAAGATGCGGGAACTAGGATTTGATGCTCCGATCCTCGCACTGACAGCATTTGATCATGAAATCAATCGGACAGCTTGTCGCGAAGCGGGCATGAATGGCTTCCTTCCCAAGCCCATCAAACGGACCGCTTTGAGGAAGATACTTGAACAGTACAGGACTCCGAAAGAAGGAAGCACGGATGTCCAACAAAACGACCAGCGAAAAGATGGCGAATGAATCTGGAAGAGGACTACGGACCTTCACCAAGAGCGTGAGGGCACAATTCCATGAAGGGTCGAATTGCCCAATGGCATGTGATTCACAGAGAGGCCTCGATGCGGTGATAAATTTGGACTGATTGTTCAGTCAGAACGCCGAACGCAGTGGGAGAGGGAAACCCCTACGTCTAAGGGCGGCGTTCAAGGGGAGGCCGAGAACAGAGCACTGGAATCTACCTCAAACCGATACGACTGAAATGTGCTCAAGCACTGGGGAAAGGCGTAAAATCAACCGTGGCTGGAATAGGCCTTGGAAAAGCACTAAGATGCACTTCATTAGTGAGAGGGCGCATGTGTCTGATGCATCAAAGAGGATTGTTTTCAAAGCTGGATACACAGCTCCAGCACCACAACTGGAAGGGAACCGGAAGAGCACGAGCTCTTGTCTTTGGGTTAGGCTAGGCGCTGTGCGGGAGCTGGTGGCGCATCATCAGCAAGGATATTAAAACGGTGGACTGTAATCGTCAGTTCGGATGGACTAAAAGCATGCTATATGTGTTGCTAAGTAGATAAAGGGTTGATATCTAGCTGTACAGAGAGAGATTTCTGAGGTCGAATTGGACACTTGCCGGATAAATCGTCAAAAAGTGCGCTTCAACGTTCAATGCTTGGCGGTAGGAAAGGGTCCTTTGCACGTGACTTGCACCCAAACGCGCAACTTGCGCGTTAAACTTCAAACCCAGGGATTTCGACTCTGACTTCAAACATCATCAGAAATTTTCTCTCGAGTTTGGTGCAAATCGCCTCGTCGTCGCCAACATGGCTGACATGGTCATGGCAGACGCTCCTGCTGTCGAGTCCTCAATCCCCTTCTCACTACGCCCTCGATTCAAGATCTCCGATCTCCCTCTGGTCAAGGAACAGCGATCCACCATTGATGCGCTTCTGCTCAAGTTCAAGAAAAAAGGCGGCTACGATAGTCTCCGCAAGCAAGTATGGGCCTCGTACAACACGTCGGATGCGAAGACCGCGCTCACTGATCAAATTCATGCCATCGCGGAGGCCGAGATTGAAAAAGACCCCAATCTACTCAGTCGGGAACGGGGCAAGGCAGCCACATTGATCCAAGGCGCTGTGGACCGCAGCGGCATCTACCAGGATGTCGAGTCCAGGATCGACCAGGAAATTGCGAAACACCTGAGCACCGTGCTCGACGCGGTGCGTGAGATCCGCAGGGAAGATGTCGGGCCCGAGGTCGCGGCGGAAGAGGAGCAGCGGGGCGGCAAGACCGATGAACAATACCAGGCCGACACTCAGAATCGGGCTGCGGAAAGAGAGAAGAACAGGGCGCGGATGGAGCAGCTGTTGCGTGAGACGGCGGAGCTCAAGGCCAAGATCAAGCTGGAAGAGGAGCGAAAGCGGAAGAAAGAAGAGGCGAAACGTGAGGAAGAGGAAAAGAAGAAACGTGAAGCCGAGGCGGAAGAGCGGCGGCTCGAGCGCGAAAAGAGACGAAAGGAAGAAGAGGAGCGTGAAGCCGAACGGGTCAAGGCCAGGGACGAGAGACACAGAAAGCGTGAAGAAGAGAGACGAGAACGATATGCCCGGTACGAGAAGGAACGCGACAGAGAGAGAGACCGCGATCGTGATCGTGACCGTGACCGTGAACGGGAGCGGGAACGCGACAAAGATCGTGACCACGAACGAACGAGCCGGAAGAGCACTGATCGGCGAGATTCGCTCGCACCATCAACCACTGCCAAAGATGTCCCCACCGACGAAAAGGATTTGGAAGCCACCGCTCTCGAGCTACTGCTGAGCGAAGGCAAACAAATGGCGGAGAAGTCCAAGCAGAGACACGAGTATATTTTCGACAAGTCCGAAGCGCACAGCAGCCTGCGCAAACATGTCACATCGGATCGACATTCTCACCGCCGAGACAAATCTAGAGAAAGCTACAAACGGGAGCCTGATCGCCGAGACAGATCTCGAGAGAGCTACAAGCGAGAGCCTGACCGCGGAGATAAGTCGCGAGAAAGCCACAAACGGGAGCCTGACCGGCGAGAGAGATCCCGAGAAAGCCACAAACGAGAGCCTGATCGCCGAAGCAGATCCCGCGACAGAAAATCGCTAATTCCGGAGAAAGACAAGCCAGAACCATCTCGCCCTCAGGAACCCAGCAAAGACCGCGAGGAAGGTGAGGCCCGAAGCCAACGCGATTCACCATCTCCCAAAGAAGAGAAACGTGTCGTCCGGGAAAGAAGACCTCGCTCAGCATCGCCAGTGGGTATAGACCGCTATGTGCCTGGAGGCGGGGTCCATCGTACTGAAGAAGAGCGGGAACGTGATCGACAAAGACGTCGCACCCGCGATCTGGACAGAGATCATGAACGGGAGCCGCGGAGAAAGTACGATAGCCATCGCAGTGATAAGGATCGAGATGAAGAGGGAGATCGGGAGCGTGATCGCACAGTTGCAGACCGGGAACGCGATCGTACCGTTGGAGATCGTGATCGAGACCGCGAGCGTAATCGGTCGAAGGAAAGAGAGAGGGACAAAGACAGAGAGAGGGACAGAGATAGGGATCGGGATCGAGATCGCGACCGAGACCAGAACCGAGACCGCGACCGCGATCGTGACCGAGATAGGTATCGGGAGAGGGAACGCGATCGAGAAGCCGACCGACCTCGCGACCGAGACAGGGAGCGCGATAGAGAGCGAGACCGTGACCGCGAGCGGGATCGAGAGCGAGATCGGGAACGGGAGCGCGACCGTGACAGGGATCGTGATCGTGATCGTGATCGAGAGAGGGAGCGTGAAAGAGATCGGTCAAGAGACCGGGACCGACGAGATCGAAGTCGGCGTCGTGATGATCGACGAGATGAACGAAAGGATGACCGCCGCGATGATCGACGCGACGACCGACGCGACGACCGACGTGATGACCGGAGACGCGAAAGTGACAGAAACGATCGCCGAGATCGCGATCCGGTACCGATTGACCGCTATGTTCCAGGTCGGTAATTGAGAAGCAGACCTTGTTTCTCAGACAACTGTCAAGGCTCGTACACGGACGGGTTGTCTGACGGTTGATCCGTGCAAAACTGGTGCTTGGGCTGGGGCTTGGGCTTGAGCGTTTATCTGAGATTGTCGACCTGGGAATTGCAGAGTGTGCAGGTCCATCTTCTCCGCATGTCTCCGGTAGTTGAAGTCGGCGCTTGATCTGGGTCTGAGGTCGGGCGACAAGCCGGCGAGGATGGCACGTTCCATCAACATGATACTTGTCAGATTATCACCTTTCTTGGTCCATATTGAGATGTGTGTGAAATATTGCCGGGGCGAAAAGGACATTCCGAGGATATGGTCACGTTCTATCCAACGAGATCACTAAGAGATGAAACGATCAAGTTGGGATTTAGACATACCTCGGGCAATGGCGGCCTGCAATTCTCCACCACAGCACAGCAAACATATCTCCTCCCAACACCTGACATCTTTTCCCGCTTCTGGGCGAACCCGAAGCAGCCAGCGCCCGCCTCTGCGATTCTCCTCGTCTTCCCACAACGGCTGGACTCCGGAGCGAAAAATATGAATGCTGTCTTTTTGCTTGATCTGCGACCAGGGCAGGTTGTTGAAAATGCGGTAGAAGGTGCCAATGTCGGCCACCGAATCAACCAACATGGTCAATCGATATGCATCGGGTGACTGTTGGTTGGTAGGCTGGAGGTGAGATTTGGAGTGCCAAACCGACCAGCGGTACTGGAATGGCAGGGGACGGAGTTTTGCTATGACTTGTTTATGCAGAGAAGAGGAGCGGCGTGGCAACGAGGGCCGAAGACTGTCGATGGCATTGCTGGTGGCAGGAGTTACAGGTGAAGAGGTGCCTTGAGAAACAGTTGCTGTCATTGGGAACGGCATGGCTGTGAGGAAGAAGCTTGAGAGATGCTAGGAGCAGTGGTAGAACAACAAGCGGGTTCAAACGACCGTTGTCTCAAGCGAGCAATATCAGCGGTTAGCTTGCAAGGAGTAGAATATTAGGAGAATCGAGAATAGTGGAAGACGCAAAATGGAAAAATGCAAAAATCCCTTTTTCATCGATCCGTCAGAAAGTTCAGTGCAGTCCAAAAATATATACAGTTCAAGTGGCGATTGACAAATGATGGCCGGGAATGGTTTTCTTCCCCCTTCCCTTGTCCATGCGACCTACCTACCTAGGTACCTACCTACCTGGATACGGAGTATGTATGTACTGTAATTATGTATGCAAATACCCCAGAAAAGTAGAATCCCTTGTCTTGCGATTTGCTGGTCCGCTCTGCTTTGCTTGATGACCCCACTCCGGTGAATGGCCCCATATCCATGCCCATGGTCGTGTACGTGTACGTGTACGTGCTCTGGTACTAGTACTGGGACTGGTCATCATGCATACATAGATCTAAAGGAGAACAGAAGAATAGAAACATACGTAAGTACGTGTGTCGACCGGCTCGGGGACCTGAGTACCAAGCAGGACATAGGACACTGGGAACAGGGCAGCGGGTAGCGGGTAGCGGATGGCGAACCATCGGGGGTTAGAGGTACCTCAGTGGGTTAGAGCGAAGCTGGGAGTCGGTGTCGTCGTCATCTGATATGCATAACCGAGCGGAAGTCAAGTCACAGACCGGGTTGAGAAGAGAGCCAGTGGAGGTCGGGGCGAGAGAGAAAGGGAGAGAGATAGGTTGTGGGTTTGTCGTTTACGCGCCGGAACGGTGGATTCGATGGAGGTGTGTGTGTGTGCTGTTGGGAGGGTGTTTTCGACATCTTGAAACATCATCCAGGGGCCGGGTGGTGTGTGGGCAAACAAACACATTTGTCGAGGTTTCAAGTACCACGTTGCAAGCCACTCTTCAGTTTTACGCGCCTGGTGGGGTGGTTGTGGATGTTGAGTGTTCGTACACAGTGCTGGCTACTCGGCCATACCTGGGTACCTAGAGAGAATGTCTTGCCAACTGGATATTCACGGGTAGGTAGGATAGGTATGCAAGACTACGGGCTTTTCTGATTCGAGATCCAATGACAGAGTTTTAGAGCAGTGGTACCAGATGTACGTGGGACATACTTGTTTGTACAGAGGACCTCCGAATAGGTGGTGACTGTGACCAGTCGTAGTGGACAAAGATGAGACATGGGTTCGTTCATTGGACGAGGCTGCGGCGGTTAGGAGAGTGAGTGGGCGCTTAGAGAGGTTGCACAGCACAACGCAACGCAACTCAACAGAAGACAACATAGCATCGCATCGTATGGCACAGTAGCACTGCCCCATCGTTCTCTCAACAGATGAAAAGGTGTGCTGTTCGAGTACAGAGATGAAATAGGAGGAATGACGATAGAACCGGACAAAGATGAGGCGAAGTGAGGTGAGGTCAAGGTTAATGCGACTCGCCAAGTTCTATGCTCCGCCGTATACGAGATGCTTGGTACTGTGGAGTATATGCCCCGAAGAGCACGTCTCATCACTCAATCACACATCCATTCGGGTGCCAACTTGTTTCCTGGCGCTTAAGCACGTTGCAAGAAACACCCGAACCGCCATCATCACTAACAGTCTACGCAACTGCTGTGCATGAACGACTCGTCCATGATCCGCTCTGCAACCTGAAAACGTTTCAGATCTCTCAAGGAAACCGCCCATCGTGTGGCCACCCTGCTCATCACCACTGTGTGTTAGCGCCCACGACTACTGCCCCGGCAGCTCGACCAAATATCCACCTATCCAACCTCCATTCGTCTGCAAAGTTGATCCCATTCGTCCCATGTCATACTTTGCGCTGTTAGTTGTTTCTATTTCTGAAATCAAGGTGAGGTCCGGCCTGTCTCGTGGGTACAGAGCAGCCACTTGTGACCATTCTGGAGGGTATCCTTTTACTTGTCATGGAGTATATCTCCCAACGGGTTTCTTCGGGTCAGGATCGCATTGTTACTGCTTGGCCAGCTGCCATGTTACCTTGGACTAAGTTGAGGTACAGACGTCAGCTTGTGTGTGGCCTATATACCCTGTCAAGGGAAAAGAGGACTTCGCGGTGTCCAGACCTATCATATAGACCTTGGTATACTGGACTGTTTGCAGAGAGATATAGCATAGCCTGGAGATACTTTTGCTCTCCAAATATTAGCGTGATCGTGCTGTGGACTACCTCTGATTCTGGCCTTGACTCTTCGTTCTTCGCACTTGATGTTGTAATATGCCGTTGAACGATGCCACGGAATCCGCCGTGGTGTGAAATCACTCTATGGACGTCCAGAGCCGAGTGTCCCTCTTTTCTTTTTGCCATGCACGATATGCTCGTTGGATTATTTCCAGAGATGAATGCTATATGCATTCGTTCAGTTGCCTGCTTGGTTTTATCATCACTAAACCTGCAGCGGCATGGTTCACGATGGATCGGCGCGCCAAGAGCCCTGAATTTCCGTCTTTTGAAATCAAATCAAACCAGCATCAGCATCTGAATCGTCCAATTGATAGAGGATATTGCAGAGATATCATCACATTCTCCTCGCAAGAAAATATCACCACATTGTCTAGACTGTAGCAATCATGCCAGACCAGAAAGACAGTCGACCGGCAAAGCAACGGCGAATCCACGGAACGCCACTGCTTGATCAAACTAGTCCGATCGAGGATGACGAAGACTCTTCAAGTTCATCGTCGTCCTCTTCTGTACGCTTACCGACTTCTCGACTTGCGCATCGATTACTAAAACACACCAATCCACCACCTATAGAGAGATGTTCCAGCGACGGCCCAAGCGGAGACGAGGAGGGCGAAGACGAAACGACGTCATCTTCAGATTCCGAGGATTCCGATAGCGAAGAGTCGTCAGAGGAAGAGGAGCAGGACAGCGGGGACGAGGACGAGGACGAAAATGAGGGTGTCGAGGATCATCTCGATGCCAGCGACTCAGGAGTGCCGCAATTCACCACGTTACCTGCTCCAGCTTCGGACCTCAAGTCTCGTTTGCAGAGTTTCCTGCCACAACTACGGCAAGCAAATGCGGAACTCGACAACGCTGGAGGAGTGGTTGACAGAAGAATTGACCATGTATCGGACGAGGAGGAGCATTACATCGAGATGGAAGTGGGTCTCGGCGTGCTGTCTGAGGAGAAGAGCGATGCCACCCAAATACGGCTTCCCCATTCACTTCCTGGCGAAGGAGAGGACGAATCGGACCATGACGAGATCAAAGACGGACCCGAGGACTCGCAAAACGGCGTGTCGCGATTGCTGGGCACGAACGGGACAAAAGGGACCAAGCGGAAAATCGAGGAGCTATGATAATGCGCAGCATTTTGTGTTGAGGTAGAGTTTGGACGGTGTCTGGAGTATGGCGTTTGGCGTAGAGGGCTTTAGGGAGCAGGTAGAGAGTGTCGCTGATGCCTATTATCGCCTAATAGCACTTATAGGCATCCTGCTAAGTTGTGGGGGGGCGCAGGGTCCAAGGACTCCGTGAGGTGCAGGCGGACAACCAAAAACTCCCCGGGCGCGGCAACGTCATTGTTTGGATCTAACCCGAAACTGTCATCCAAACCCACGCGGGTCTGACCGAGCCAGCAACCCCCCAGATCACCACAGCAAACCTAGCGCCCCCCCATTAGCTCACCGTTATTTCATGTATGTTTCCCTCCACTGCAGATATCGCGCCGTCATCAAAGAGTGCATTCTTCTTCTCGACCGGACTTCGACAATGGTGCCGCCCTCACGCACATATCCTCATGACGCACGATCAAAAACACCTACACACTCGACCGCCTCGAGTCCCTCTCTCAGGTCCAAGACACCTGTGAGTGTTCCGTTGACACCGACCAACAGCACCATGAATCCCGGTGGCAATGTCAAGGTCGTCGTCAGAGTCAGGGCGTTTCTTCCCCGCGGTAAGGAGACTATGACCTCTCAGTCAGTTACTGCTAATCACTGTACGGTAGAAATCGACCGAGGCGCAAGATGTCTGATTGAGATGAACCCTCGCACGCAGTCGACGAAGCTGCTGGTTCCGCCTTCGTCCGACCCTGCAAACGCAAGAGCACAGACGAGAAAAGTAGTCGAGGAGAAGTTGTTCACGTTTGACAATTCTTTCTGGTCGCACAATACACGGGACGAACACTATGCCACACAAGAGGACGTCTACAATTGCTTGGGAGAGGAGTTTCTGGACCACAACTTTGAAGGTTACCACACGTGCATCTTTGCATACGGCCAGACGGGTTCGGGCAAGAGTTATACCATGATGGGCACCCCGGAGCAGCCCGGGTTGATCCCACGAACCTGCGAGGATTTGTTCCAACGCATCGAGTCCAACGAGAGCGCCAACATCAGCTACAGTGTTCGAGTGTCATACTTTGAAGTCTACAACGAACATGTGCGAGATCTGTTCCAGCCCCGGACCGAACCGCCGCAGTACCTCAAAATCCGCGAATCTCCTACCGAAGGGCCTTATGTCAAGGACTTGACGGAAATCCAGGTCAAGAATTACGGCGAGATCCTCAAGTACATGCGCATGGGCGACAGCTCCCGGACCACGGCTTCAACTAAAATGAATGACACGTCTTCCCGGTCACATGCCGTCTTCACCATCATGCTCAAACAAATCCACCACGACTACCGAACAGACGAGACCACCGAAAGATTGGCTCGAATCAGACTGGTGGATTTGGCCGGATCAGAGCGTGCCAAAGCCACCGAGGCCACAGGGCAGAGGCTTCGAGAAGGTGGAAACATCAACAAGTCACTGACCACCCTAGGCAGAGTGATTGCGGCGCTCGCCGATCCCAAACATGGTCGAACACAGCACGCAAAACGGGGCAATCGCGACATTGTGCCGTACCGTGACTCGATTCTGACGTGGTTGCTGAAGGATTCGCTGGGAGGAAATTCGAAGACTGCCATGATTGCTTGCATAGCCCCGTCAGACTACGACGAGACCTTGTCGACCCTCCGATATGCTGATCAGGCCAAACATATCCGCACCAAGGCTATCATCAACCAAGACCATGTCTCGTCGGCTGAGAAAGACGCCCAGATCAACGAAATGCAGGAGACGATCCGTGCGCTGAGATGGACGCTGAGCCAGCAGCAACAAAATGGTAGTGCCTCTGTAATGAAGGCTGTGCAAGAGACGGCCGAGGCTCAGTCGGAGAAGATTCGTGAATTTACGACCAAGTACGAAAACATGCTGCAGATCATGGAAGAGAAGCTGGCAATCTCAGAGTCCAAGGTGCGACAACTCGAGGAAGAGAAGGAGGCCTTGAGCATTCACTTGAAGCTCGTGCTGGACGAGCTCAAGAACCCGATCGTCATCAACAAGGAAGAAACCGAAACCGAATCGGTCTACGAGAGGTCGAGGGCGCCGACGCCGGACATGATCTATGAGGATGACACGGCTTCTAGTGACGAAGTGGACACGGAGTCCGAGGTAGACGACGACGCCGCCGAGATGCAGGCCGAGATGGAAGCGCTGATCTCGGACTTGGGGATGTTCAAGAAGAAGATTGCTGCGGACCACGAGATGTTTGGCATTGACGTCGCCGCCTGAGTAGGGAGACGTTGGACGAAAGTGAATGGTTTGGGTTTGTTGGTTAGCGAGGCGTTGGTTGGTCTTTGAAACAGCCCCATCAGAGAGCCATGGTTTGCGAGGACTTGGTGCAGAATGCCACAATGGAAACTCGTACACTTACTTGGTAGTGAGTTCACGAATAGAGTCTATTACCCCCGAGACGAAATGCACGGTCGGTTAGCTGTCTTGTACATCAATGACTCTTTTCAAGACCATCTCATCCTAACAGACACACACACTCACACAGTGATACATACATGCTAAGTCAAACCCTGGTAACAAAACATGTCCACAAAGCGAGCCACCTCCTTCAAATCCGCCACCCACCAAACGACCACTCTCTTATTGTCTCCTCCTAGACATGCCTCGCCGCCGCCGCCTCCTCCTCCTCCTTCTTGTCGGCCCGACTCACTGCGACGACGAATCTTGCTCCACTCGCCTAAATCGAGCCTCCGCACCTCGACGCCAACTCTCTCCAGCGTCTCTTGCAGTTCGCGCTGGCCACTACCCAAGGGCTCGTCGCGGACACAGACGCCCACGTCGGCAGAGACGAGGCAATCCAAGTCGGTGGGCGAGTCGCCGACGTAGACGACTGTGTCCCGTCCACTTTGACCTTGGTCTTCGGTCCAGTGTAGGCGTTGGAGACGTTGTAGTGCGGCGCGTTTGTCGGCGCTGGTGTGGATTCCGGCACCACCAGCAGGTGCGGCTGTCGTTGAATAGTGCCCGTCGTAAGGTGAGCGGGGGAGGAGGTTGTTGGCGAGGATGGGGAGCGAGTTTACTACCGTGGTTTGGATTTGGGTTTGGGTTTGGATCTCCGGGGAGTTGTCGTTCTGTAGGTCTCCTGTCTCTGTAATTGCTGTGGTGGTTGCCGCTGATAGACATGCTCTTATAAACGCGGCGCTCCAATTGACGCTGATGATGGCGATGGATGGAGAACTCGCCACCGCCGGCACAGGCACACCCTCATCACGCCCATCGTGATTATGACATGCACCTGCACCTGGCCTTGCACCTAGACTTGCAGCAGTAAGAACGTCCCACCACCCCTCCCTTAGCCGTACCTCGCCATTCCGAGCCGCCGCCTCCGCCTCCCTCCAAACATCCCCTTCCGTGACATTGGCAAAGATCCCCGCGTCCACCACCCTCTGGACACTCCGCACCTCGACGCCCCTCAGACTAGCCAGCCAGGCACTCTCGAGGGGTATCGTGTGCCGGTCCTGCCTGGGGGGTCGATACGCGTCCTGATGGCGCGTGTAGTCCGCCATGTAGGCCTGGACGATCTGGTCCCATGACGGGGGCGGCGGCACCCGGTGCTTGTTAGTTTTGTAGCCGATGGCCGCGACGACGTGGAGGGTGTCGCGTATGGTGAGGGTGCCGTCCCAGTCGAGGACGATGCGGATTCGGGGCCTCGATGCCATCGTTTTCATGGTCCTCGGCCTCGTCACACTCGTGGAAAACGTGGATGGTGACAACGACAGCGGATTGGTGCGTAGCAGGTATCGCGTCAGATGGGTCGGGGAGAAGCGCATGCCATCCCTCCTCCTACCAGTATCCTCTTTAGCGGGAGATTTTTAAAGTGACGTTGTCTTGTTGTCCATATGATATGCTTAGGTTGCTCCCTGACCTTTGGGCTTCGAGGGCAGTTGGATGGATGGGTGGATGAATGAACGAGGGACGAGGCTCGCTGTAGCTTCGACGACCAGTCTTGGCGATGCAGATCGTCATTGCACACCTCTGCACACCTTTTATATCTTCGTGTCTTATTAACCAGGTCTACCCTATTTGCGATATTCCAAGGAGTCGATGTCAAGAACTGGCTTGAAAGCACCACAATTTTAGAGTTGCACCAGCGCGAAAATGCACGGATAGACACACCTCCCCCGCTACAATAAATATTTATGGGGGAAGACTCAAACAAGGGACCCAAAACATTCACACACGGACATTATAATCCACCCCCCCCCCCCCCCAACTCCACCCCTTTTCACTATAGTTGCAGCCAGCCTATCACTCGTGCGAAATGCCCTTGAACACCTGTTGCGCCGAGCCGAAAAGGTCTCTTTCTGCAAGCAAGAAAGGCTATATATATAGATAGATAAAGCGAGACCAGTTACTTTGAAAAGCGTCACTCCATACTCAGACACATGAGCTTGACAAACCACTGCTCTTCCGTGATCGACTCTGAACACATGTCCTTGAAATTCTGCAGCGCGACTGGATCGATGACGACCGCGTCGTCTTTGTCGCTCCCACTTTTGCTCCCGCTGTCGTCGTCATCGTCGCTGTACCCACCGCCCTCGAGCACCCCGGGCCCGAATCCATGGGCACGCCCGAGATCCTTTTGCGTGAGGCTGGTCCCGTTCACGATCCACCCTGTATACTGCGGAAAGGCGCTTTTCGGCGGCGTCTGCGGGCCCAGGTCGCCCTGTCGCACGCCGCCGCTGATGCTGGTCGGGTGCTTGGTGCTGCCCTCGACGCAGTAGGGCGAGTCAATCACGTTGCCGTCGCGGTTCGAAAACGCCAGCTCGGCCACCCGGTTCCACAGCGCCGTGTCGTCCACGATCATCTCGGGCGTGTACCAGATCCGGCAGTCGGCAGCCTCGTACGCGAAGTGGAGCGGGATGTTGTGCGGCTCGCCCATGCGGTAGGCGTTGAAGCCGTTGACGCGGAGGCCTGTTCCAAAGCGCTCGGCGGGGCCGAGGTTCCAGTCCTCGAACTGCTCGTCCGCGGACTTTGGGTTCGCCGTGATTTGTTCCGTGTAAGCTTCGACCAGATACGCCAGGAAGTCGTATGAGAAGAGCCGGCTGCCTCGGACGCCGCCGATGGTCTGCATGGGCCCGCTCTGTGGCCGCCCACCGACGACGATGCTCATGACGCGGAACTCGTTCTTCAAGTGCTCGACGAAAATCGAACATGCAGACGCACAGTACCTGTGACAGCGCTGTCAGTCACAATATCTGCCAATAGAGGATAACATGGAGGGCAAGCACGGAAGAGGTCCGTTGCTTGCAAAGAAGAGAAACACGTCGAGAACTACTTACCCATCGGTCAAGATGATGATGTTTTCTGCCGCGAAAGGCCGCTCGGCCCGAGGATCGGCTTGAGTGATGTTCAGATCCGAATGGTCAATCATCGAGTATTCGTTGTTGGTATAGTTTTCCTGAAAGTACGAGGTGAAATAGCCCGGTCCCTCGCGGTAAGGGCCGTAGAACTGGTCGGCGCTGTCAAACGACTTGACACTCGGCGACATGACCGTCTGATAAGCCCACGGTGAGTTCCAGTACTCGGCGTAGATTTCTTCCTCGTCGAGGCCCGTGTTGGGGTTGGCGTCCTGGGCAATATCCGTCTGCTCGCTGAAGTAGTCGACGAGGGCTTTCTGCGCGCCGTTGGCTCTCAGGCTGGATTTGGTGTCGGGCGGCGTGTCGGGAAACAGCTGCACCATTGTCTCGAGGCACAAACGGACGGATCCACCTCCGTTCGTCCGCAGGTCGATGATGAGATGTTCTTTGCCGTTCTCTTTCGCCGACGCCAGGATCTCTTGCAGGATCTCCTGCGAGTTGACGTCCGAACCACCGTCGTCGTCGGGCGAAAAGCTGGTGATGGTCAGGACAGCAACATCATCCGGGAGATCGCCGCCCCAGTACCCCGTAAAGGCACCGGCGTCGTCGGATATCACAGCAGGTACGGGCGACTGTCGCTTTACTTTTCGTTTCACCTGTGCAGACTCGCCAGAGTCGTCAGACTCGTCGCTGAGATCAACCGTCTGGAAAAACATGTTGTACATGGTTTCCCCATCGACGATGTCCGAAAAATTATTGGTTCCCCAGTCAAAGTAGTTTTGGTACGCTCTGATCGAGCCGTTTTGAAACGTCAAGTTTGTGTCCGTTCCGGGGTAGAATTCCGGACTCCCGAAAAACCCGTAGGGATACAGCAGGCCGTTGTATAAAGCGTCTGGATCTTGGGATGTGCCGGTCAGTGATTCCGTCTGCAGAAATTCCTGAACGTCGAGACCATTGATCTTTGTGATGGCTGAGTAGTCCCCGCCAGTTCGGACCCGTAGCTGACCATCGTCGTCAAACTCGTATCGATCGCCAAAAAGATAGACCGATGGATATTCTATTCCATCTTCGGACAGGGACACCAAGTAAGTGATGGTGGGGAACCGGTGGAAAGTCAGTGCCTTCATTATTGGACCTTTGGTCATCAAGTGGTCGTCCTTTCCCAGCAGTGACATGGTATGCAGATCAACTTGCAGGTCATACTCGCTCGAGTACTCATTGTTCATGACCTTCTGTCCAATTTGATCCAGGGTGTCGAGGATGTCGACAGGTGGGAAAAGCCATCCGGTGGTAGGCGCCGCCAAGTAGTCGAGAGTACTTTGCATCTCGAGATAGCCTCGAAGGCCATTGATCAATGCTGCCGCATCTCCCTGAACCACAGGCACCGAGTTGAGGCATTCATACGCCACCTCTGGACTGAGCAGGTCCGGTGAGCCGTCACCTAACAATTGCCTTTAGCAGCGAATCTGACGCGACTTGAGAGGGGTGATATACCATAGTTGACAGCATCGAATATGGCGGCAACATGTTCGCAAGGATGGCTATAGCCGGTTTCTGATCGGGCAACAGCGCCGAATGCTCGCCCCGCCCAGAAGATCTGAGTCGTGACCCATAACAGGAGAGACATTACATAAGAACAAGCTGGAGATTGTCGCATCTCAACAGGTACATTGGCTATCAATCTCTCTCACTCTCTCTCTTGCTCTTTTCTTTTCTATCCGGGACAGGATTCTTTGCGAGTAACAAAGGAGATCCTGGACGATAAAATGAAAAGGACTTACTTTCGAGAGGAAAAACATCAAACACCAAGCAAAAAGTGCTGAGGCGGATATTTTTTGTCTCCTGTCAGCCCAAGGCCTGGCCAGGGCAAAGATCCTGAAGGATGGGGCCAATACGCCCGACTCGTGCTCGCTTGAAATATGTAGTCATGCCGTAAATGAAAGCCAAGAAGGTCCGCCTCGAGGTTAACTCAGCCGTAAATTGACGAGGGCCTAGCGAACAGGCTCCTTTCAGCGACCTCCGGGGCTCATCGAAGACATCGTATATTGACCGGCGCCGGCGCTGGGCATCGCCAGTCTAGACGCCCACTTGGGCGTTTTCATAATCGGCTGAAAGTGTGGTGGTGTGGCCTTCTGTCACGGGGGACGGCAAGAGACGAGCTGAAACATTGTTCGTATTGAGCGCCAGTAGAGCGGAAGGCCGTCGTTTGCCAAGACCAGCGCCAAGACCAGAGCGGAGAACTTCCTCCACCCGTTTTAGAAATCTCGACCAAACTCGACTCAGCCCAGGGGCCACGAGGGATCAAAGGCTACCTGCTGATTTCTTCACAAGTTGGTCTTGGCAGAGCAATAAAGACAACGAAGCTAATGGCTAAATTGACACTCGTATAGTTGAGCCATGGAAACAACTCAATCAATCATTTCTAGATGCCCAATTCCTCTACGTTCCACTGCTAGGTAGTTGGACGAAGGTGTGATCGCACATCCGTCTATGGAAAAGCCCAGAGATAGGCACACTGTCAAGCTCATATCTGACCCTCACATTTATGTTCAAGCTGCAAACAGTGCCGCAAGCACCCCCGCCAAAAGCCCAGCTTCTGCAACCATCGACCTCATCGTGGGAGAGGCAGCAGAGGACATGGATGGCGATGTTGCCTGGGTTGCAGAGGAAGATGGCTGCGATGAAGACGGCGTAGGTGATGCTGAGCTCCCGATACCCTCCATGGTGTCGAAGGTAGGATCATCTGCGTACTGAGCAGAAACACCCGATGAGTTGCTGCAGGCCGATTGCGGTGTCCCTGTCCCCGCGACAAAATTCACATGCATGCACTAAAGTGTAAGGACCATCAGATGAGACAATTCTCCATTCATCCAGTGCACGAACTCGCCATTCAAAATATTGTAAGAAGGAACTCCCATACCTGGTAGTGCACACCGTCTTCCGCATCCTGGACGACTTGGAGCAACCCAGCCGATCCCACCCAGGAAGGCGGTACTGTGAGGGCGGGCTGGCAGAAACTATTCAGGCCGAACTCTTCAACAGTTGGAATCAGGACCGTCCAGTTCGGTGCCGATAGCGACGTGCCTAGCAAAGCACGGTAGGCGAAATATGACTGCGCATGAAGGCTTGTCAGACCGACGGCGTCGCCTCCGACGTGGAAATCTGTGATGTTGTCGGAGCTCGAGGGGCTGAAACCGCCACAGGGCGACTGGTCTTCATTGTTGATGTTGTTCCCCAGTGGTGGCGGCGTTAGAATGATGAAGTGAGAAGCACAAAGGGGCGACAATATGATCGTTAGGAGTGAGGTAACTTTGAGTGTCCTCATGGCTGCTTTTTGACGAGGGGTTTTGATGAAGGAGCACACTTCGAGCAGGTAAGAGGAAGTGAAAGAGAAAGAGTAGACAGTGAAGGGGGGAGACGACTGCAGTTTTCGACAGTAGCCATGGTATCGAGACACATGGAGGCCTGCATTGGTTTCCGAATAACCGTGGTGCTGGTCTCTTGTGGAAGGGTTGGTGTTTACGAAAACTTGCTCACTTCTCGGTCAACTTCCGGCTTGGTGCTAGCCTCGCAGACTAGCTTCGTTGACGACCACAGCGAATGCTTTGATGATAGGCTCAACGACCCATGTGGCTTGCAAACAGACAAGGGAGCGTCAAGTCTTCGAGTTGACAAGCTTCGAGATGGAGTCGCGAAATGAGCTTGAGCAAGATAAGCATGTCGCCCATAAATGCTTCGCATCCTCTCGGGGGGCTGCAACACAGCAGTTTCTCTTCGACAGAATTCAACCTCGATTGAAACCCCTTTGATTCTGGCAATATGCAGCCTTTTGTCTCCTGTCTTGCGTTCGCGACCTTCATTTCGCTGGTGTCTGCTCACACCCAAATCTGGTATCCCGAGTGGCGGGCAGACTCCTTCGACCTTCCCTTTTCACAGCGGATATACCCCTGTACGTGACTCGATTCTGTCAGCAGTCGCTTGATACTTACATAGACGTCTTGGAACTTCAGGTGCCGGCATATCTGATAATGCCACGACGCCTCGCACAGAGTGGCCCCTGACTGGAGGCTCTCTCAATGTCACTCTCCACGACGCCGCCGCCTACATCTTCATCAATCTCGGTTTCGGGGCCAACTCGTCCGACTTTAACATCACGCTGTTCTCTGCCCCCCTCAACGAGACAGGACCCGGCAACCTCTGCTTCCCCAAGCTAACATTACCGTCTGGCCTTCCAATCCAGGAGGGGACACAGGCGTCCATCCAGTTTGCCACTGCTGGCCATAATGGCGAAGGCCTGTACAATGTAGGTGATGACATTTGTCGCGTCCATCGACCTCTGCTGATCGTTTCCAAACCAGTGCGCTGACATCACCTTTACCAACAATGCCACTTTGTTGCCCTCGGACCAGTGTCAGAACAGCTCTACTGTGAGCGTTACGACCCTTGGCTCTTGTCCAGTCCTCGCGACGAACTCTAGCTCTGAGCCCAGCTCTACCTCAGCGTCGAGCTCATCGGCGGCGGGTATCTTTGCTCCTTCGGCATTGATAGTGCTTTTGGGAAGTCTGTTTGTTGTCGTGTGGTAGCCTCTCATGCTGGCACAACTCCCCAAGGGAAGAAATGGACGGGTTGGTGGAGAAGGCCAGTATGACACAGACAGATGTGAAGACGGTTGGAACAAACAGATGCACGCGCAGAGAAAGAGAGATGGCCACATTCGCAGATGAAGGGCTGTTGAACCGACATGTTGGCTGACCGGCGAGCATTGAGAATCGACAGAGATGATGAATATCTAGTGATAGAGCTGTGAGTAGTGAAATGCCTTGCCACCATTATTGTTGCCTTTGCCTGCGGGAAGCTATTTCTTATGCCGCCAACAACACCCACATCTTATGATTGATCAAGCCACTCGTCGCGGCTGAGTAAATCTCCTCTTTAAACAAGACACAATACTCGGTATACACAGTATTCCGGCCCCACTTTTGTGGAGTATAACCCCCCACGGAATAACCGAGGTTGAGTGGGGGCGATGGGCTTGCCGCGGGTTACGCTCGATATCATGTTCCTTTTTCGGAGACGCATTGGCAGCAAGGACTGTAGGTAGTAGTACACCACTCAAACAATCATTGCTTCCCCCGTGCCATATCTTGCTAACACGCGTGCTCTCATCGGAAGTGGTGTTCCTGACCCACTCCATGATCGAGAACGTCTGACAAAAAAAAAAGCCTTGGTCGATCCCTTTCAGGCGAGGAGCCTCGTCGAATCCCCGCTGTGGCGGTCATAGAAGAACGAACGACATTGTTCTGGTCCCTCTACCACTCACGTCCAAATACTGTAGACGAGCATGGGCCCCTCGAGTCAGACCCCAGCCTCCAAGCCCTCAACCACCAGCGACTTCCGGTTCATCTCGACCAAGCCCGTCAAGAGACGGGCCGCACAGGCTTGTATCCAATGCCGCCACCGCAAAGTCCGCTGTGACTACATCTTCCGCCGTCCGTCGTCTTGTACCAACTGTCGCCTGGACGGGAACGTCTGCGAGGTGCCAAAGAACAACCGTCGCAAGTGAGTGTGTGTCTTGCCTTTTGTGTCAGGATCTCTCAGCTTAAGCTCCAGTCTCAGATCCCATCTTCGCGATGAATTCTCCAAAGTCACGACGGCCAACCTCCTGGCGCCGGAAGCCGCTGCGACGACACAATGGCACGATGATCCGTCGCCGCCAGGCGATCCGGCACCTGAGCTTCAAGATGCCGCCCCTGAGAGAGGTGTGATACCCTTAGTCAAAGGTCGCTCGCTACTCTTTCCCCCACTAATCGATCTTTGTCAGACACCGTGAATGAGCTGATGCCGGAGCCCGAGATGGGCATTGAACTAAACAATGAATCCATGATGTGGAAAAGCCTGTCAATCCCGCTGGACCCAACCTCTCAAAAAGACCAGCCTTGCGAGTCTGAGGACGCACCAAAGATTGTCCTCCCGCCGTATCTTCGCCCGGTGCCCGGCCATATTTCCAACGAAGACCTCGTCTACCTCGAGAAAAAGAAAGCCTTTGAGATCCCCGCCACCATCCAACGCAACGAGCTGATTCGGTGTTACATCCAGTACGTCCACCCTCTTTCGCCCATCATCGACCTGCGCGACTTCCTGCGCGCCATCGACCGAAATGACCCCAGCGACCCCATCAGCCTGATGTTGCTCCAGGCGGTCATGTTCGCGGGCACCACGTTCATCGACATGACCTACGTCACGGGCTACGAAGACCGACACGCGTACCAAAAGGCGTATTTCCAAAAGGTCAAGACGCTGTACGACCTCGACTACGAGGAGGACCGCGTCACCATCGTCCAGTGTGTCCTTCTGATGACGAACTGGTACGAGAGACCCAACTACCCCAAAGACATATGGCACTGGGTCGGCATCGCCGTGGCCGACGCCAGATCCATCGGGCTCAACTACGAGCCCCAAGCCGGCGCCGGGACCGTCCAGGAGAAGCGCCTCTGGAAGCGGATATGGTGGAGCTGCTACACGCGCGACCGGCTGGTCTCGGCCGGGATGCGGAGGACGATGAGGATCCGCGAAGAAGAGTGCCAGCTCTCGATGCTCGACCTGGCCGACTTTGAAGCGTGCACCTCCCTTTCCGACTTTGAACACATGATCGGGACCGCGTGCGCCGTCGGCGAGGGAGCCACCCACGCGAATCTGGTGCGGCTGTACGTCGCGCTGATCGAGCTCTGCAAGATCATCGCCGATGTTTTGACATTGCAGTACGAGGAGCCGTCGCAGAAGATCAAGGGCACTCACGAAGCCACGTCGAAGCTGATCCCCAAGCCGCGGGCCAGTGCGTCGGAAGTGGAAATGCGCGATCGAGACCTTGAAGCGTGGTACGCAGGGCTGCCCGGGGAGATACGGTATTCATTCCCGGAGACACCTGAAGACAGGAAACCCGTCAGCGACCGTCTCGTCTACCTGCACAGCACCGTGGTGGCCAGTGTGTATTTGGGCATCTCCAGCGCGCTGTACCGACCGCAGTGTTGGACCCCCGTCACGGAGCACCCGACGGAGATCCGCAAAAAGGCCATGGTCAAGGTCTACGGCGCGGCGTGCAAGGTGGCGCAGCTGTACCGAGACGTCGTCGCCCGCAACATGATCGACAGCGTGCCCAACACGAGCGTCGCCGTCCTGCTGCCTGCCTGTGTCGTCCTCCACGCCGATGCCAGCCGCATCACCTCGCCGACGCGGAATCGGTCACGCCACCTCCTCGAGGAGTGTATCCAGGTCCTCCAGCATCTCAGCCACACCTTCGCCTCGGCCCGCTTTGCCCTCTGGCTGGCCTCGCAGATGATGCAGAAGATGAATCTGTCCACCCACGTCTCGACATGTCAGCCCGAACCTCGTCCCTCTGACCCGAACGCAGATCAGTCCACGGTGCACCCAGCGCCGCCACAGGACCCGCCACCCGCGACTGCTTGTCACCCGCTGCTGGGACCTCCGTTGAGCTTCGAACCCAGTCTTCCACAAGAAGAACCGACTCTCATCCCAGGGGAGATGATACCAGACGGCGCCAACTTGCCGGTGCTAGAAGAGCAAGGCGATGACATGGACCACAGTGATGACTTCTTGGTGAATGGCATGTTCTCGCTTCAGGACATCGAGCACCACATGAACCGTGTGTGGTGGGACCCTATGGTGAATTTTTAGGCCACCAATTTCCTGGCCGGACGGGAAGCAGCTGTTGGATATAAAATAGAGACATGAGTGGACTGGGACTGGTACACAGAATTTATGACCTTTACGTCGACAAACAGTAGAGGAAAGATGGGAAAGATGAAAGGTGGGATTTGGTTGATCAACAAAAGCAATTAAAATAAGTCCAGACAGAACGAAAGGCACCACATAATTTCGTCTACATACCATATTTGTTGTATTCTGTTATCTTGTATTTCGGACATCGACAGTGCTCCGTCTCGACGATTTATTCAGGGTCGAAAATACCCTCAATCCCAAAGAATGGGTCCTGACCTCCAAATTCAAGTGCCGACCCGAACAGGTCCCACGGGCTCAGGGTACCGTGGATCATCGGCGCTTGATCAGGCATAACTCCATCCATAAAGGTAGGTGTGTCAAGCGAACTACCATTCGTGTATTGTGGGCGATTGAGGCCTGCAGCACGGGTTGGCGACGTAGCATTCTCCTTACTAGTCGCTGGCGCAGACGAAGCTCTGACTGCTTGAACAGCAGGCACAATAAGCCTCGCTATGTCGTTGGCGGCCTCGTTGACTTGTCCAAGTTCAGGTAGAATGGCCAGACAAGTGTCCAAGTGCTTCAAGGCTGCTTCACGTATAGGCCCTTCGGTTGACCTGGCGTCTAGGAGATGGACAAACACAGCGGTACAAATCGTAGCCACGCAGGTCGGTGGGAGTGAACCAGTCAGCTGTTGCTCGTGCAAAGTCTCGTGAATGATAGTGATCTCGTGGGCAGCTTGCCTGATCGACCTGGTATGGCCCTGGGCATCCAGGGCCTCGATATCGTCGAACCAATCGTCCCCGATCTGTGAGGACTTTGGCCAGTTGGTAGCTGACGCCTCACTCCTGTGTAGCATTACCACGGCCATAAGCTGTGTCAGAAGTAATGTCGACATGGTCATCTGCAACGACCTATCTGCACCTTCGAACAAATTCAAAGCCGCATCATACGATGTCAGTTCCATGGGGAGCTGAAGACGCCAATCTTTGAGCTCTGATTCAAGCTGCCAAATTCTTGCGTTCCGACTCTTTGGGCCGTTCGCGACATCGTCATTGGAAGAGGACAGTTTTAGAATTTGGTAAATAACCAATGCGAGCTTTGCCTTCTCGATGTATGCCATTTCGAGTCGCCGTTGTATCCACGGATCTCTCCGAAGCTTTCCAGTTTCTGGTAGATGCGAATAATGACTGAGAGAAGAAGTGTTCCCGAATATGTCATGTTGAGGTAGGGGGCTGCGGTAGAGTGATATTCGCGGCGGCCTTCCCAGTGCCAGGCAGATGTCGCACTCTCTCAGGATCAGAGTCCACCAGATCCTCTGGCGCAATACTTGGTCCTTTTTGGGAAGATTCGTATTGCTTCCAGGCTTGTCAATCCTCAGAGTACACGCCTCACTGATCGCAACGCCCATCCAATAAAACGGATCCCTAGAGTGCTCATAGCTCGCCCAGCTACTCAGGAGGATGGATGCCTGGCATGTCACCAGACGGTCCGTCTCGACGTCCATATCAAATAAGACCTAAATGCAGCATTAGGTTCCACGGTCAGAATGGGGCTTATTGTGAGATGCGAACCTTGGCTCTGGTGTAACACTGTTTTCTCGCAGCAACTTTAGACTCAAAACCGTGGCTGAGGATTGTCTGTACATCCACAGCGGCCAAGCCAGCACATATAACAGCATGATATAGGAGGGGAGATATCTTCTTCTCCACATCCCCAAAAACAGCGGCAACAAATTCGTCGAGGTCAATGACCGGGACCAATGGATGAATGAACTCTGCGTATCTGCGCATGATAGCTTTGCCTAAATCCGCAGACAGAAATGTGAAGCATCCACGTGCTTGTAAGTATCGCAAATCGTCCTGGTCCAGGTGTGATGGAAGAAATTTGATAAATCGAGGAAGACGCGACCTTGGAAGAGTTTCAGCTGTGTCAGTGGCACGATTGGGGGAAGTGGTTGGCGAGGTCTGAGCAGCATATTCGAGCTCGACAGACATTCCACTTGATAAAACTGTTCCGTGACCACTGTCTAGAGACTTTCTCTCATCGTCCCCAAATATGTCATGGTAGACGCCTGTAGAAATCTGACCCGCATTTGGATCTGTCGGAGCAAGACTTATCGGTGCCGTCAGAGGCATGCTGGATGTGCTATATACTACTCTGTTCTCAGGTTAGCCAGGAGTTCTCATCTATGGAAAGAATGATACATTACCTGCGGCGATTGTTCTGTGGCAACTCGCAGACTATGCCATCTAGTCGACAGTTTGTACATGATCCAGGTGACTTCAGCACATAGTCGCAACGGACTTTTCGCTTCCGGCACTGAGTACATGCTTGGGAGGCTCTCTTTTTCACAGGCTTGGTTCGGACAAATCGGCCATCTGTAGGAGCCTTGTTGTTAGAAGCCATCGAGTGGGACAATATAGAAAGGCCGATAGATGAGCGGGAAATTTCCGAGAGACGCTCAAAGTCGCGTTGGGCTGTCGTACAGAAAAGAGGAGCTATAATTAATGGCGATAGTGACCGTCAGAGGTGGACAGCGGAAGGTGACGAGTGTACCTAGGCATTTATCGAACCATTCGCCCTGCCCAGGATTGGTAAGTCATGGTCTCGGCGCACATGATGGTGTTTCGCTGCAGAGAGCGAATCCCTTCCCCGTCGTGGGGAACCTGCCCGTGGGCAACCACCCTCATGCTCGGTCTGGGGGACGAGAAGGGTCTGTTACCGCGGTTAACTGCCTCGGGATCGACGCGCACGTCACTTCAAAGACACCAAGCAGAGTTCAAGGTTTTGTGTTCAGCCTAGTGTCTCTTTGGGGCTCGTTTAATCGGCGGAGGATTTCCTTTTCCTGCCCTGGCCAATGAGGTTGATCGGCTTGCGCAGCCTTACGCGAGGTTGAGGCTGTAACTGCGTTCTTGGCTCCCAGAGTCAGACAGACAATGTTGACCGTCAAGTATATCATTGCCGCCAAGATTGTGATTGAGGTCCAAGGACCGATGAGGGCGTGACAATGAAGGACATTGGCACAAGCCAAATACTTAACCACTCGGGAGCAGGCGGGAGCGCAGTAAGAACCAACAGACCACCATCCACTTCGCAGGAGCAGGAAAGACACGAGACCGGCTGCGCAGATTGCATAGATTTTAGTCATGTCCATTTTGATCGCAGCATAACTTGGGTCGGGAAGGACGGTGGGAAAATGATTTGATCAAATAATGATGGCAGAGTAGCGGGAGAGCGTTCAGAGGGATTCGTGCTCGCAAGACTGATCAAGAAGACCACGAACATGTCGGCGCAGCAACCAGGCAATGAAACAGTACTTATGCCGCCGGCTTTGGTGGTGCCCGCACGATCCACGCCTCCTTCCGTTCAAATCATCTCCTCATTGGACAAATTTGGGCCGTACTCGCCATATCTATACGATCTCCTTGTGGTGAACGACGCCAGCTCGGCCAGTATTTCCAGATCTTTCGTTCGCCATACATGTTGAAATAGTGCGTGCTGCGGAATCTTAGCATTGACGAACTGGTTTTGTACTTATCCTGACCTCCTCCAACTACCTCACGGATCTCGCAGAAGTGGTTGTCGTCAGAAATTTGACGGGGGTGGAGCTCAAGGGCCAACGATTGAAATTTTAATGTCAATGGTACCGTCATCTCTGGCATTCTTCTGCATCAGATTCATCGCGATGTGGCGCACAGCCCTCACGTCCCCGGTGTCGGAGCTGAACGCCATCGTGCAAAATTCCTGGTTTGTTGTGTTGGATGAGTGTACGAAAAGAAGTCGACCATCTTGCGAGGCTCACCCAGGACGACATCCCCCTCCGGTCTCAAGAGTACGTTCGAGCACGTCAAGGAACCATGTCGCAAGCCAATCGAGGACAAGTAGCTGAGGCCTTGCAGAATCTGAGGTGGTCAGCGACTATCGTTGCAACGACTCAAGAAGAGGGGCCCAGATTCAGCGGAGATTCTGAGTTCACGGTATCTTACCTGGAAGATTTTTGGGAACCCCCTTCGGGGTTTGGACTATGGCATTTCACTAACCTCCGGGTCATTGCAATGTCAAGCGTGGATGGTGCCTTGTCAGTATTTGTCCGACAGATGAAGAGGATACTGTATTTGTTGTCTGGAGATCTTTTGCTGTGGAGGGGAGAACCGGTAAGTATCGCTTCTGATCACGAGGGTACTGAGGACGTCGAAGGACAGGACGATTCTTCCAAACAAAACGAAGAAGGCTGCCTCTTTGTTCTTCTATTGCACCCCTTGCCAAATCCGACTCTTGCGAAATGGACATCTCAGATCACGAGGCATCCATATGCCCTTTAATCCTTGTCCATACCCTCACTATTTGACAACTTCTCTACAGCCTAGCGTTTAACGATCACCGTCAATGGGGGCGCACCCTATGTAAGTCGTTGTCGCAAAGTTTGGCCACCCTACCATTGCTGCATCTGCCGTTTGAACAGGGCGACGTAGCTTTCCCTCCTCCGTCGCAAGACCTGTAGTCATCACTACCGGAGTGGTGCCTCGGCCACTACAAGCCGAGCAATTTGGCGCATTTGGCTTGACAGTTCGTCCTGTTCCGCTGCAGGTTCCGCAGAGCATGGTGACGTTCTTCGAAGCATCTTGAGAACCTCCGCAAACTCTGCAGATTATTTTCGAGATGTTACAAATGGTTAACTGAGTCCGGGCTGGATTCTGGCGATTGAAGATTTTGCGTTCAAAGCGACCGTTCTCTAGGACTTATACTCGAGCTATGCGTCGGTTTCCTGAGAAATGACTATACTTACCCCGGAGCATGTTGACATTTCGAGACACGAAGGAGCACAATAGCAGCGCGACACGTGCTCATGTCGAATTAATGTAACGTTAGCATGACGGCTATAGTTTCAAACGCTAGGCCAACCGCCCTAACGGCTGTCCGAACGCTTCGTGCGTTTCAAGCACCGAGTGATAGACCTCACGTCCAATTATGCTTCCGACCGCTCCACGACAGAAGCCTCCAATACGGCGCTTCTGAAGGACTTCAAAGACAAGATCGCGAGGCATCAAAGCATCTCTCCACCTATATCTACGATGCGATTGACGCCCATGCAAGAGTAGGTATATATGTCAAGGGCGTCTAACCAATCTATACTTTTCCAATCGAACCTGATCCGATTCGTCGACAAATTTGGTAATTAACATTCCGCATGGGTGTTTCCCAGTATGCCAAGAAACTTTGTGGCCCTATTGTCCGCTTCTATGTGATGTCACATGTGACCTGGTCTCGGAGCGCTTAAGTTCTGGCCGCAGCCCCAAAAGTACATGAAGCCGCCCATTCTTTTCTCCCTCATCTCGAGCAACCATAGCACGACGAGACACTGCGACCGCTCAGAAGACCAGAAGACAGTCTCTGAAGCCGTCACACCAAGGTCATTTATTCTCTTCCTCCCTCAGTAATCAACTGACCAGCAAAGGGAAACGCCGTCAAAACATCAAGAACAGACAACAGCTAAACCCTCTTCGACGGAGCACTCGTTTGGACCGCTTGAATGAGGTTCCTCAGAATCAAGCAGAAGCCAGCTAGTAGCCTCTACCATCTCCAGTCAGCGACGTTAAACGTCTTTATATAAGCCGCTAACACCATTGTGTGACGGAAGACTGACTCAATATAGGGTGCGAATCCCCCCCCTACCAACCTCGTATCGAAGCCTCCAAAGCGGAAACGAGATACTGAACAGCTATTATACCCGGCCTCTACAAAACGGCGACGAACATTTTGTCCTAGACCCTCTATTCATGACGTGGATTCTATAATATATTAGACGGAGACATACCACTAGCCGCCAGGACACTTCAACGAAAGTGACGAAATGAGCCACTTATTGGCGAGAAAGAAATCCACCGCCTCCCTTCGCCGAAAGAGATCGGATAGCGAGTCTAGGGCACCTAGCTCAACCACACTAAGTGACTAGAAGGCTAGGGAGGAGAAGAGTACTCCTTATAAGGACGTACGTTATGAAGCTCTACTCGCGGCAAAAGGGAGTTTCATGGATATATCAGACCTTGATGTCGACGATAAAAGTAAGACTCTTATTCGAGGGCTACTAGAGAAAGCGCAGCCTATATCAAAGGACTCGCTATTTCGTGAGGACCTATTTAACTCAACTTTCCGTAGGATACGGAATAGAAATAAAACCCGGGTTATCCGAGACATTTCTAAGTTGATCGTGCCCTCGGTAGAAATCTTTGCAACATACGGTGCCGCTACGCTTAATTACTTGATTAAAAGCACTAACGAAGGCTAGAACAATTCTATTCCTATCACTAAAACACGACCTTAACTAGACTATTCCGTGGGCTTTCGACGAGAAGCTTTTACCGAGACTCAACTTCAGAGACTTCAGCCATTCGTTAGCGAGCTCACCGATAACTCCTTCTTCATAGGTACGTAGTATATATACTTCCCCTTCTTCTCAAGCGAAGTGAATTACGGTACGGCCGCGCTCGACGTCGTAGATCGACAGAACGCGCATAGTATAACCCTCGCCGTTCGAGGAGTCATGGAACTGTTCCGGCTCGTGAAGCGCGAGCAAGAGCTTCATCGGGAGATCCTCGCCTTTTCCATTTCGTATGATTATCGCTCAGTGAGGATTTATAGCCACTACCCTATGATCGAGGGTAAAAAGACTACGTTCTACCGGCACCCTATTCGTACGTTCGACTTTACAGAACAGGATGGTAAAGAGAAGTGGACGGCGTATAAGTTTACTAAGAGTGTCTACGATACCTGGATGCCTATTCACTTTATAAGGCTTTACGCGGTAATCGATGTAATACTACCCGATATATATTTTGAAGTCTCCGAAGATTCGGAGCTATAGTTTCCGTCCTCATCTGGACTTTCACAGGGTCTGGAAAGCTATCACGTTTCAGAGCCAGGGGCTATAGATGACGAGGATCTGAGCCGCCTCGATTCCCAGGTAGTGACACTCGAAACTTCTGTCACCCAAATATCAGAACAGGCGACATTCAAGAAACCCAAAAAGAGATGAAACCACTGATCAGGGAATACCTAGACAATACCTGCGGGAGCTTACAATGGCAGGAGAAGCAACAGACAGTAATTGTTTCCAACAAGACACGCAGGGCGTCCCAAAAAGCCACGGAGAGGAGCTTTCGCGGTGCTCCAAAAAACGTGTTCCCCGTCGTCTTGAACTCTCAATACCAGAGAGAATTAATCCGCGCTCCATGTCCTTATAGAAGTTGATTGAGCTACAGTACCACGAAACATTGGCACAAGTGTTCATTGCGAATGAAGGCGGTAGCTCGGCGATTGTGAAAACTTGCGGCTGGGGATAGGTTTACTGGTGTGCTGTCACATAGGAGTCGTCGTTACTCTCCCTGGAACCCATCGATCGGCGCAGAGTGGCGGAAAAGATACCAGGTACGAAGCTAGCTCTTCGTGCCAGGAAATGGTACCATACACTGATACATTTTGTTCGTCACAGAGCCAACCCGAACCATTTTTATTTACTCTGTTCGGAAAACGACAGCCTTTCCTAGAGACAGCTGTCCATCGGGCGCTAGACTGGGCAGTCCAGCGCGGAAGTTCGAATGACTGTGCAAGGATATCTTGTAATTCTGTATATTATAGTGATCGTGACACAAATGGTGGGTCACTTCGAGGCTGATATTTTCCTTGTTGGTGTATCCAAAAAGGGGGATATGGTGTCATTGGTATTCCCGCCAATGGGTTTAGTATTTCTACTACGAACGGAGTACCAATGAGGCGGGAGCTCGTACTCGTTGACAAGGGAAAGCCTGTTACTGTAGTGGCTTACAATACGGGAGCTAATGTTGCCGGGAACTTGCAACTGTACGTGATTGACTGCGTTGGCACAGCTATACATATTACCTTGAAAGCCCTAGGGATTTGGTACTCCCTGCGCCGGGGCCAAGACTGATTATCTATTTCTCAGGTCGACCTCTACGCTGATACTGCAAGTCTTGCTCAGATAATCCGGGCCCACACCCATTTTAAGCAGTTCGACCATACCTTGGCTTGCTGATTGGCCGGGACCGATATTGAGGACTGATCTCCATGTCCGAAGAGGTAGCATTTGGGAACACCGGTGGTTCAGTCATCTCATACAAGGCAGCTGGCTCTCAGCATTATCATCAGTATCAGAAGAATCGTGCAAAAGGAACGACGTCGTTGGTGAAGTCTGTCATAGTTGGTTGGATTTGGCACTCCTGGTTTGGAACTCACGTGGCAGGGGTAGCGAAGGGGGTGGAGTCGCATTTTGTGCGCCCCAACTGCACCCACTGACTGCACAGACCATAATGACTCAGTTGCACCACCATCACCACCCATAACAACATTTGTTCTCCTCTCCCTGCTGAATGTTATTCTTTGGGCACTTCCAGGGACCAGTCTCTAAATCCGTCCGAGAGTCTGTAGCCCAGTAGCCTGTCGGCAATGGTTGATTCAAAGTCAGCTGCACTCAGCGCGGCCACCAGTCTAAATCCAGAGGCAGCCTCTTTTACCATGCCCGCCAACAATGGAGAGACCACTCTCAATGGTACCACCCAAAGTCTTCAGCCGGCGGCGATGAATGGGAATGACCAGACGAAAGATTCCAAAAAATCCAAGGCGCGGCCCGAAAGTGCACCTCGAACTACCACAGAACAAAACGTGGCCGAAGCAGGAGCAGGAGCCAAATTGACTGGCGCGCAGTTGAAAAAACAGAAGGCGGCTGAAAAGGCGGCAAGAAGAGCCGAAAAGGTTGCTGAAAAGGGAGCACAAGCCGTAGCCCAGGCACAAGGGCAGACCGCAGCGTCAGGAGCAAAATCAGAAACGCAAAGACGACCATCAACAACGAAGAGAGAAAGTGACACGGGTCCACATCATAAACGGACACCCTCAGGCAAGGCTTTACCTATCCGCGGTGCGATCCAACAACAGCAACAACCGCCTCATGGCTCCACGGTGCCGGAGAAAGAGAAGCGCCAGGACCTCAAACGCGTGTCAATGTTCTCTCACCTGTACCCAAAGGAAAAGAAAGCCACGTTGTCCGGAGCTGGTCGAGAAATACATCCCGCTGTGATATCGCTAGGATTACAGCTCCGTGACTTTGTGATCTGCGGCGGCAATGCACGTTGTGTAGCGACTCTTCTTGCTTTCAAAAAGGTTATCCAAACATATACCACTCCTGCAGGTGTGGCGCTCTCTCGACATCTACTCACCCATCTCAATCACCAGATTGCATATCTACGCAATGCGCGTCCATTGAGCATGAGCCAGGGGAACAGCATCCGATGGCTGAAGAACTTGATCTCCACGCAACCGGTTGAGGCTACCGATAGCGAAGCTAAACAAAGTATATGTCGTGCCATCGACTTGTTCATCCGCGAGAGGATCACGCTAGCCGATGAGGTGATTGCCCGAGAAGCCAGTTCGCGGATTCAAGACGGAGACGTGATTTTGACATACGGGAAGAGCAGTATCGTTGAGAAAACACTCCTCACTGCGCATCAGCAGGGAAAGAATTTCCAAATCATTGTCGTCGACTCGAGACCTATGTTCGAAGGCAAAAACCATGCCCAAAGCCTCATACGTGCAGGTCTCCAGGTCCACTATACTCTCCTATCTGGTCTAGCAGATGTGCTTGATAACCGATCCCAATCTGTCACCAAATGCTTCTTGGGTGCTTCCGCGATGCTAGGCAACGGAAAGCTGCTCTCTCGTGCAGGGTCCGCCATCGTTGCTATGATGGCTAAGGAATCGACCAAGAATAAAAGCCGGAACGTCCCTGTTATTGTCTTGTGCGAGACTGTCAAATTTACAGCGAAGGCTGCGCTCGACAGTATCATTATGAATGAATTGGGCGAGCCAGATGCTTTGGTGGAAAGTGCCGAAGCGGAGGTCTTGTCGTCAACCAAGCCAGCTACAGAAGCCAGTGTTGCAGGAAAAGGCGCCAACAAGAAGTCGAATCAGCAAAAGGACAAGAAGGATGAAGACGATGGGGATGAGAAGAGCGGCTCGTCGAATACTCGGGGGTTGGAGGATTGGAGGGATCAACCAAATCTGTTCCTACTGAATCTTATGTACGATGTAACACCGGCGGAATTCCTGGATCTTGTGGTGTGTGAACTGGGCAGTCTGCCGCCTCAGGCTGTGCCGGTGGTGAACGGTGTGCATGGGGACGACCAAACGCTGGCTTAATGGGTGCGGAGGAAGATTTCTTCTCCCTTTTCAGGGTTTCTGTGTGAATACGACGAAACACTTGGTAATGAGAGCATGACGGTCCTCGAAACTCAGACCAGTCCTGTCCTTCATATAGCACGGCAACGGATGAATGTGATCCCTCTGATATCAAAAATCCAGCAATGCAACCAAGCCCAAACTTGGCGATTCGTAGCTTCATAAACACCTCGATCCAACGACGGGAATTACGGCAAGGATCACCAATAGGAAAGGTCATGACAATGGACGGCGAAGAGAAAGAAGTTGGCAGAGAATTGACATACACGAGTCTGTTTTCCGCCGTCTAGCGCATACTGCTACTACATACGTATGTACGTAGCCTTCTTTTTCCGCAGAATCCCACAGCAAAAAGGAAAGCCATAGTCATGACTCCGTTGAGGGGCACACAAAAAACCACTTGTCGTCGCCTTTTTTTTAATATCTCCAGCTGGAAGATTCTCATCCATTCCGCACTCTTGCTTCAGGATGCGGTCCTCGTTCCAGCATGTTCATCTCCTCCGACTCCTGCTCTCCAACCACCCACTGTGCTCTCCCACCATGTTGCAAGTATTCACCGAACCCCGTTCCGTTCGTTGAGGTCCGTCATATTGATTGATTTCAATCCAGTCAATAAATTCCGCTGTCGTTGACGTAGGATTTACCGGTGCTGTTCGTGGAGAGTTCCCCATGTCAGCCAAACGTTCTAGAGGATTCATTGTCGCAGGACGACTCGTAGTCCTCTCCCGCACGCTTGTAACGTACCTTGATGAAACCGATGTCTTGGCTCTTTTCCCGGAAGCACTGACGGCAGATGTTGAGGCCATATTTGCGGATCAGACCGGCTTTGTGGGTGCAAACGCGGCTGCGAAACACGGACAAGTCAGCATATCACCTTCTCTTGTGTATAGCATATTCTCGAAAAAGTCCTCGCTGGGGTATCGGTCGCATTGAGCTCGGAGGCCTCGCTCTGTGAACTGGAACTCCTCCTCGCCTGGCGATCCAATATCCTCCGACAATAACATTCACTTAAACGAACACGCCTCGTCGAATCCAGCTTCCGAATCCACCTCTTCTCAAAAGGCACCACAAGGCACCAAACCGCACAAATCTTCTTGTTGGGGTTGTAGGGCGAGTGGAAAACACGTACCAGCCGCGAGCACCCTTGCCGAAGGTTCGGGGTCGGGAGTACCACACACTTTCGTGAGACATGGTTGCGGTTTTCTTTTCGCGGAGCGTCGAAGAAGGGAGTTATTCGTCGGGGCTTCTAGACGAGAAAAATGTAAGAAATTGTCAGAACTTTTCTCGTAGGTGTACAGAACTCGAGGCAGGGGTGATCAGTCTTCTCGACCGTGCGATGATCGGAGGGTCTGAATAAATTCGAGTGCAGGGAGACTTACCGTTCAAGCTGGCTGCAACTGGTGGTTTGGCGTATTGCAAGTACCCTGCGAATGTGGAAGTTGTAAAGTTCTCGATCGCAATTCAGAATGTGGGTTCCACAACGCCAAGATAATTTGCGTCACGTGAAATGAAATGGCGAGGTCGATGTTGATTGGTCAATTGACAGCATTGCTTCTTGCCCAGCACTCAAATATCGGGAGGCCATCCTAAAGCAAACATGATATATCTTTGTTCACATTGTGCGACCCAATGCCAACATCTTCTTGTCTATTGGAGCAGGAACTAGGCGCCGTGAAGCTAACAATCGTGGCTGGAGAGCGAGCCCCTCCAAGAGAACATACAAGTATGCCAGTCAAACTTGACGCTATTGCACCTCCGCACTGACTGCAGCATTTCCCTGTGCGATGCGTCCTGATTTGGCGACCAACATGGGTGGTACCTGTTCATTGGTCCTGTTTCTCCAGCGTCGATGACTCTCTGCATGGCAGCTCGGCACTAATTAGGACCTATGGAGAAGATGCTCCTCTCAGGTCAACCTACGTCCATCACATGAGCCGAGTGATACATGTTCCTATGAACTTCAAAAATCAAAACGTCTGTAGCCTTTTAAATCCGCTACATCAGCACAATTATCATGCCAGGCCTCAGAGTCGCTTTCACGGGTGGCTCAGGCAAAGTAGGTCGGCATGTGATCAAAGAGCTCCTTCGGTATGGCCACCAAGTCATCAACCTTGATCTCGTCGACCTTGCATCTTCGTCCAAGGACTTCCCCGAGCTGCAGGATGTTCACACCACAAAATGCGACCTCACCGACAGCGGCCAGGTATTTAGCAGCCTCGTCACGCACATGAAATTGGGCGAGCCGTTCCCCGCAGAAGCACCTCGACCTCCTGACGCGGTAATCCACTTTGCTGGGATCAATAAGCCGATGATTGTCTCTGACGGGGAGACATTTCGGATAAATACTATGGGCACCCACAATGTGGTCGAAGCGGCTTGTAAGCTGGGAATCAAGAAGATCATCATTGCGAGCAGTATCGCCGTCTATGGCGTGTCATTTGGTCAAGGTAATTTGGAGTATGCTTCATTTCCCGTCACAGAGGATGCGGACTGCAATCCAACGGACCCCTATGCGCTGTCGAAATTGTGCGGCGAACGGATTGCGAGGGGCTACGCTACGAAATTTGGCACGGATATCTACTGCCTGAGAATAGGGAGGGTGTTTGAACCGGATGGATACGATAGCGATATGTTCGAGGGCTACGTCCAGGAGCCGGAGAAGTGGTTTCAACATGGCTGGTCCTACACCGATGCGAGAGACCTGGGCCAAATGTGCCACCGCGGGCTTGTGACATCCGGTCTCGGCTTTCAAATCTTCAACGCCGTCAACGACACCATCACCAACTTCACCGACGATGCAGGCCGACTCCTGAGGCGTTGGTATCCGCACGTTCCGCATACGAGAGTGGTGGCTGGGAAAGAAGCCCCCATTACCAACGAGAAGCTTCGGCGACTGTTGGGCTTTGAAGAGGAACATGATTGGAGAGGGTAGCTCTGAGTAGAGCAGGCCTGCTGCTGGCCTTGGGTCGCTTGCATGGTCTAGTTCGGAGATTCGCTGAGGATTATCCTCGAAGAGCAGCGGTCACAGAGCAAGCAATCTACTCTCGCACGTCAATTGAGCATCCTTTCCCAGACCATTTGTTTGTGGTCTCACGAGTTTGTAGTCCTTGTTCCACTCCCGAAAACGACAGAAGTCAGCAGTCACACTGTCGCTTAGCAATCGACTATTTGTACGAGTATTCAACTATCAAAACATCAGAGTAGGAACCTGCCAGTCTTGCGAAAGACAGCCAAAGACTACCCTATCACATGGGATGGAGCAGTAGCAATGTCAAATGTCAATGTCAATATCATTAAAAGGTTATCCAACAGATGTTAAACGCCCGCAAAAAAAGTCCGACGCTGCCATACATGTTCATAAACCAATCCCAGCGGCCCTTCCGTTGGTACAAGTAAGTTTCCATATCCAATGCAGATGAATCACGGTGTACAATTACATGGTTTCCCAGAGTAGAATGTCCCGAGTCGGATGTGAGAGATCGGGGTGTTTTGTTTCCCCTACAAGCCCCTGGCACAGCCGTCGGCGATGTGGATGTGCAGGGGACCCCTACACGTGTAGTTCCTCGGGAAGGCGTCTGCAATCCACCAGATCTGCCAGCTGTGGATGGCGGCGAGGGCGCCCGCATTGTCCTCGCACGCGTAGAAGAAGTTGCGGCCGTGGTTCTGCAGCGCGCCGTTCCAGTTGAAGCTGAACTCGTTGGTGCGGACGCCCGCGGGCGGCGAGCCGTGCGGCGTGCTGAAGCCCACGGGCCGCGACTGTCGCGGCACCACGTACATCTGCTGCCAGCCGGTCGGGCTGGCGTGGATGGACTGGAAGGTGAGGGTGTCGACGCCGTTGCGGCCCCCAGAGACGATCAGCGGCTCCGAGTAGGACTGGTACTTGATCTGGCCGATGTAGGCGGAGCTGTTGGCGTAGAACAGGCTGTAGGACTGGAGGTCGTTCATGTTGAAGCGACCACCCCCGATGGCGAGGTCATAGACCGCCGCGTCGCGGGGCTCAATGTCGCTGGTTTCGGAAGTTTCGATGGGCGCGGCCATGGTGAGGCCGAGAAGGGTGGCTGCCGCGGCGAGAACGATGGTTGGTTTCATTGCGAACGATTGGCGAGGGTTGTTAACGAAGTGGTCACTGGAGGTATTCTCAGTGTAGAGCTGGACTATGTGGGTAAATCTTGTGGAATGTATTGTGTATGCGGAGAGCATGGACATGGTGTCTGGGTACAACACAACTTTATATGCAAGTACGATGAAACAAGCTGCGTGATATGCATAAGCTGATCTGCTGACAAGCACTGACCTGACCTTTTTCAGCATGTGAGCTAGAGAATGGAAGATCTAAAACATGGGGAATCAGAGTATTGGGATTTAACCAGAGGATCCTTGAAGCAGGGTTTGCCCTAGGCGAAGTATTCCCGCTTTGGCGAGAAGTGACTTGTCCGACATCGTGCAATGACCTCTCACAGCGCAGCAAGTACTTGAAAAGGTACTTGGTAGACGGGTAAAGGGATGATGGTATGAGGTGTTGGAGAAGAGCCGTGGCTGAGCACTGTTCGATCATACCGGCATAACACCACACAGCCTTGTCTCAAGATCAAGTGCTTTTTGGGGGCGAGTACTACGGGTGGAATTTCTCCAAGTCATCATGGCCATTCAGAGTAACCATATTCCAAAGGTGTAGAATGAGAGATGGGAAGAAAGAAAATGGAATTCATACTCGGGATCGACAGGAGCTTTTTCTTGTGCTGAAAATCTCTCAGAGCAACCAATTCGGAGGTGAGTGAGTCGTGATGCGGCACAAGCCGCGAGGAAGTCGGCGGAAGCTGTGGACCGAATTGCGGGGATCACTAGTCTCTTTTAGGGAGGCTAGTCTGTTATAGGAAAGGTGCAAGATGGCACAGCACAAAAGTCGCGCCATAATCGAACCACTTGCTCTCCATCTTCCAATAAGACTCCTCCATTTCTTTTTTCTTGACAGCATACCAAGTCATCGTACGTGGTGCGACTGTCTACACGTTAACTTGTACGAGTAATGGGTGCATTGCCCCTTCACAACACCCGAAATCATGTCCTTGGGCTGCTGTCTCGGGGCCATGTCCTCCAGCCACCCGCACTGGTGTCCTGCGTTGATTTGTACTTGGCTTACACTTGGCCTTTTACCACATTATCGTGAAGATCACGCGACCTACAAGTAGGACATTTTCCCAAGAACCTCAAAGCCTTGGGCTTTTCCTCGCACGGTACTCTTAATGGCCTAGATCTCACATGATCCCACTACTTCTTCTCGTTTGCTAGTCAACCTTCAACCGAGCTTCTCAACGTACACTATTACGCCAAAAGCACTTTACTTTTTAGTCTGCTATTATTCCAGCCCATTCAGCACATTCTCGAGAGGCCACAGCTCAAGTTTACTATATCATAGTCACAAAGGCTAAGTGTCGACTTCAAGATGGACACAACAGTCGATGTAAGATCAATTGGGAAGATGATCCATGCTGGATGCAAGCACCATCATTGTCGAAAGCACGCCAGTGGTCTAGTGCCTGAGTCTGCACAACTACCAACCATTACAACAAAGGTAGGAGAGGAATGGCCTCCAGAGTTCTTGCACTGTGGGACATGGCCACCTCCTCAGCAAGCGTCTGAATCAGAGTCCGACATCAACATAGCCGTGAAGCCCAAAACCAAGGCATCCAAGCAGAAAGCGCCTGTCAAGGTATATCCAGACAATATACCAGACATAGATGGGGACGGTAGCGACAGCGACTCTAACTCCGACGAAACAAGCGACGACCTGGCCGATACTCCTGTCGAGCCAGTGGCGGTGGATTCAACGGAGCTGTCGGACGCAATAGACACGTTAAAAGTCGCCACGGACGATGCCGCTACATCCGGAGATCAAAGCGGAAATGATAAGAGTATGTTACAGCTGTTGTTGCCTCGAGTTCCTCTCATCGCTTACACATCATTGTTACAGGAATAACCAACGTCATCCATGCTCTAGTGAAGGCTCCATACTCGGTGCTCAAGCTCGTCGCCAGACACGGCAACGGCGACGGCAGCCCTCGGAGGGGCAACGACACCAGCAAATCCCCGCGGAAATCGCTCTTTGACCATGAGATCGTGGCGGAGAGCCAGGCTCGTGTGGAGATTGCCGACTATCTGGACAGCCTCATCGACCATGGCGACTACGAAGAAGGCTATGGCTGCGTGTGGCCGCTCGAAGAGTACCGCCGCACGGGATGGGCCAAGGAGATGATCGCCGCGTACCCGGGGGAGTGTGCCGAGTTTGTACGCAGGGTGCATCAGGAGTGCCACGTTCGACAACAACGCGAACCGGAACCAGATTGTCTGTAATTGACAGTACCATTATGACATTGGGATGTGCAACCAGCCCAGGAGCGAACTTTGAAATTGTACATACATAGCGATCGCTCGACGTGGACGGGATGGGTCCGACATATGGAAATATCTCGGGGTGGTCTACAGTTACGCTTGTACACTCACGCAGTCTCGCGGATATTGCGAATGACTTATGAATCTTGATTATGCTTCACGACTGGAGACGCGCATACGGTGGGAAACCAGACTTACGGAGAGGGCTGAACGATCAAGGCAGGTAGAGTCCTCAGAATCAATCGATCCTATTGTTATCCAACTCTCGAATGCTACTGCACTTCGAATGGCAACCATAATTCCGGCCAGTGGTATGTGGTTATTAAGTAGCAAGGCTGAGCAAGGCTGTCGGTGGAGGGGTCGAGTTGAGGAACCACTAGCCTGTCACGCCTCTCAAATCAATTAAGGTCCAGCTATTAATTAATTAGACTTGCGCGCCTACCCCACGCTTTTTGTTTACTCGTGCGCAGCCATTTTGCCCAAACGTCTCCAGGAATTAAATTCCCTGTCTTGTCCCCATCCCCATCTTCCATTCTTCACCTTACAATCTAGTCCTTCTCTTACGCTTCAATTATTGGTCATTGAGCAGGACAACTGCATCATGGTTCGTCCCCGTTCCCCCCGAATCCGCGTCTCTCCCCCTGCCCAACCTTGACGTCAGTCCAAAGAAGGCGTTCGGCATTGCTAACATCCATGTGAAACTTGCTTTGTAGTCACGCGACTCCTCCGCAACGTACGTACACCTCCGCGCCTCGCGGCTCGCCGACGTGTTCGAAGAGTTCTGCCGCCCGCCGGCGTCGACGGTGTTTGCGCTATCCACGCCGCTCATGGCGCAGAACCAGGGGTCTTCGGGCGGAGGGGGCCCAGGAGGGGGCAACAAAGCGCTCCCCATGTCAGGCAACATCGGGGACGGTAGCGGCATGACCGCCCTGCCGGGCCACTACCTCCCGTTCGAGGAGATCACGCTGCCCCCGCACCTCATGCCCATCAACCCAGAAGACGAGGACGACGTGGTCCCGGACATGCACGCCGCCTTTGGCATTAACCGCGCCCTGAACCAGAACCTGGTCTCCGCCGCCATCGTCCCGGGTTCCGCGGCAGCTGCGGTCGCGGCAGTCGGCATGGGCGCGGGCAGTGGAGCGGTGGGCGCAGACGGTGCGACGACGGGTGAAGCCAGCCAGGCGGGTGCTACGAGAGATCCCATGTGGAGAGATCTGGGGTTGAATGCGTTGGTGGCCGATGCGCCGAGGAACGGGATTTCTGCTGTAGGCATGGAAGGCGTGGGACGCAGAAGAGAAGGGAAGAGGATAGGTCTATTGCTTTTACGGTGATGAATAGGGGAAGAAGAATAAATTTCCAAGGACTGTGCAACGTCGATGCATGCTCTGGGGTGAATGATGGTCATGAGAAACACGACAGGCGTTATGTGATAGCCATGGGGTGGCATTGATAGGAGGCAGCCCATCCAACAAAACCTCCATGGAGCAGAACGAGATACGGCCACACCACTATATTCTTACGACATCAACCCTCCCTCGTTCAAAGACATTATGAGCCACGGCCCTGGCCGACTTTTCCTCCTCAGACAATATGCGCGGATGCAGTGATATCTGCGAGTACGTCCCTGCGGCCTTGCGCTTGGACAGTTGTCCGGGGTTGATTACCATGACGCTGTCAACGACCTACAGCACCCACATTGTTAGCTCGTTCGAAGTTGTTCGAAATTCACGACACGGGCACAAACTGTTTTGGACGTACCTTGACAGAAGCCGTCAACATGCTCGGTAGAATGAGCACATCGGGCTTGACCTGCATCCATTCACCAAGCTTGAGATATCCCACATCCAAACACGCGCCGGTCGCCTTCACGACACCGTTGCTGGAGAGTTTATCCCTGGACATGGGCGGGTAGAGAGGGAAGAAATGCCGCTGGTCGATCAGATACCCGGGCAGTCTGGTCAGGAGATCTTGCCCCGGGCCGTGAGACAATTGCTCCCGACTGAGCTCGTACAGGATGTCTTGGGACGACACGCCAAAGACAACCTCGTTTAGTGAAATGAAAGAAGGATTCGGAAGCATCGTGACTTGCTTGGGTAGCGCGAGGTCTTTCTTCGTTAGTCGTTCTTGTGGCCAGCTGACGTGTTTGCTCATCAAGTCGCGCGTGCTTGGGATCATGACCACCGTGATGCCAGGGACCGCGGAACATAGACGCTGTAGAGGCGTGGAGATCCACAGTCGGAAGAGCGTGGCCAGTGTGGCTTCTTGGTCCAGACCTCGCACGTCTGGCAGGTCGAAGTCGCCCGATGCCAGCATTGGGTGCTCAATGTCGAGAAACGGTCCAGTCAGTATGAGAGCGTCGGCCATCAACTCCTCGGCTTTCTCGCACAGGGCCTGGAACGGTTCGTAGTCGAGGTTGTCTTCGGCCGTGTACGGACCTGACGCGATCATGACATTGAGTGGGAGGGAGCTGGAGTCCTCCGACACTTCGAGGCGCTCGTTGATGGCCTCGATGTTGGTCGGCAGTGAGGAGGGCATGGGGAGCTTTGGCACCGTAATCACCTCCTTGACCGTGAAGTAAAGCCCAGACGCGTTTGTGCCTCGCAATGCGACGATCTGGCCCGGGAAGAACTGGTACGATGACAACCCGTCCACTTTCAGAGGCACGCGAAGGCCCGCGCCCATTCGTCTGGACATCTCCAGCACGAGTGACGCCGAGTTCAGCTTGCCATCGGCCGTGTCGCACGCGATCCTTCCCACCGCGACGATCTCGCTTGTCCGCTGCGCCGCGGCATTCCCAAACGCCGAGTCTTCCAGGTTGTGGGCTTTTTGGACGAGGGCCAGGAAATCGTCGATCCGCTCATCCAGCACCTCCGACGACTCCCGCAGGCGCATCGCCATGGGTTTATACTGAAACTTTTTATATTCCGTCCCAGAGACGAGGCGCAGTCGCGCTTGAGAGAAGGGCGCAATTGGCGCTTCGGCTGCCGAGAGGTGCTCGTTCAATGTCTCGATAACTTGTCCTGCGTTCGGCCGTTCTGAGAATGGTACGCCTCTGTCCCACGTTAGTATCAGACAAAAACAGCTGAAACGGGTAGCATACGCAGATGCATCGAGCTTCCCGGCCTTGCCTGGCGTTCTGTTCGTGGTCTCCGGACGGCTGACTTTCCTCGGTACCGGCGAGTCGAAATCTGCTTTTCTCTTGACACTTCCGTTTCGTCGCGAGATCGCATTGGGAGTGAGCTCGTCCAGCCTGTTTTATGTCCCAGTGTATTAGCGTCACAATCTCTCTCCCTCCCCTCTGACCAGAGGAAAGGAGCTGTCAGAGCAACATACATCCCAAAGACGTCCGAAGTCCCCCCCGCCCTCGGCGTAGCGTGGACGAGACTTTTCCTTTCAGACTTGACCGCAGACTTCGGCGCCGTCTGCTGGTTGCGCTCGCCCCTCTCGACCGAGTCCTGAACGTCCTTTGCAAACATGCGCGCCGTCTCCAGGTCCAGCTTCGTCTCCTCGCTCCCCATCTTCAGGCAGTACACCTCCCATTTTATAAACAGCTCGTCCGGCCCGATAGAGTGCACGCGTAGTATCGACTCCAGCACGCCGAGGATGTCTGGGGAGAGGCCGTTCCCCGCGGGGTCGAAGACCGCGTTGAGGTTCTCCTTCATGGCCGTCATCGTGAGAACAACGGAGGAGAAGTTTCTTGGTCGCGGTGAGCCCAGAAAATTTCCACTTTCGTGAGAGGTGGAAGCTTTGTTCGTTTCGTTTCGGCGACAACTATGGATGTAGGTACAGAAAGAGTCGGATAAATCCAATGGTGAACGCGATCCGAGGGACGCGTTAAGTGTTGCCAAGATTTGGCGTTCGTACTAACCCTTTTTTGGATTTGCAGATGTACGTACGCCGTTACACTTCGAACAAGTGTCAGTGTACATGAGTGTGTTAGCATGTACCCAGCAAGGGATCTGATTTACAATGAACCAGCACGGAACCTGGAGCACATATGACAGGAAACTCGCAGTTCAAATCTGATCTAAGAATGGGAAAACGTATCTGCTATTATTGAGCTACGGCCATGCTGTCATCCCAAATGCCGTGGGTCGTAAAGCAGTCGAGCTCGTCTATTACTGTGTTCATCGTGGCTGACATTTCCATGCTTCTTCCTGTGCCCGACTGGATTGCAGGTCGTTGCGCTCAAGTCTCTGCCGTTAGCCGTGGAATCAAAGCACAATACCGAAGACTCCGTATGCGACGCCAGGCTTGTCCTCGTACTTTGTGGTATCCCTGTATCCCTAAGTGCCCCCGAACTCTCGGTGGCATTATTCAAGGCCTAGACAACCCAACGCCTTCTCCATCCCGATCCCGTTCTCTTCGCTGAGGCATTGGCTCATCATACGTCATCTGTAAGCCGCTTTGTGCAGGACCGATCATCGTGCGCCGTAAATCTTCTCGGCAGTGACATGGCCATCCGCAGATCTGTCCTACTCCTCGGGACCGTCCACAAGCAGATAGTTTAAGATGTCACTAAGACTCAGCACTCCTTTCAGGTAGTTCTGCTCGTCCACTACCATCAACCGATGGACCCTGGACTTCTTGATCGTTTCGAAAATGGTATCTAACCCGTCTTCGAGCGAGCAGCAATAAATGCCTGGGTGGTTGGGCGAGCGGCAACTGAGAGCCTTGCCCACGGTCCAGGTCAAATTGCCGTAGTCGCCGGATTTGAGGATCTCAATCACGTCAACGGCTTCGAAGACGTTCAGCAACATGCCTGCCATCGTTCAGTCAGCGCAAATATGGCTATCGGATGTGAGTAGTGATAACTTACCCTCCGTTGTGACAACGGGCACACTACTGATGTTCTTGGTGACCATCTCATCGACCACATCCAATACCGTAGTGTCCATGCTACACCTCACGATGCCTGTATATGTGCCTAGTTTTATCATCTCGAGGGGCTTTCTCAACATATCCGTTTCCTTGACGTTCATGGAGATGAATTTCAGGATACGATATTGGGTGATGACTGAAGTGACCATTGTCCGTTGTGTGTCGCTGTCATAACTGACTAAAGGTATTCGGCGAGCGCGCGAGACAAGTTGTTTGCGCAGGGCATCGTAGAGGATAGCTTCGGGAGAGGCGGAGACGGTTTCGGGAGGCTTGACATTAAGGACTTTCTCGACATCTTGTAGAGCGTGAGTCTTTGGTTGGAGTAGTTACTCTTGAATTCAGGACATGGCCTTACCTTTTAGATCGCTGAGTAGCAGTTTATCCACATCTTTCAGTTTGTCAGCGTGGACATTGTAGTACCTGACGACATTGAGGTAGTCATTGACGGTCAATAGACCAGCGTATGTGGAAGTGTTCGAGTCCCATAGCGGCGCAGAGACGATACCTAATACACAAATATCAGCATGAGTTCCTTCCGTCAGACTTTCTCTTGGAGGTTGAGGAGGACATACCACACTGGACCATGATCTGTAAGCTCTCCTTGACCGTGAGACCAACATCTAGCTCAATCAGACGAAAGCTCAAGGGTAGCACATCGTAGCATTTGCGCGCTCGAAGGAAGTCCCGTATTGCCTGCAAGCCGGCTCTTTCATCTCGGTCTATCGGGCGTTCTGATCTCTGAGGGGCAGGTGGAGGGATATTACGAGGAACAGCTTTGGGGCGCAAGAGGTCTGATGGCCGGACAAAGGTGGCCTCGTGGGCGCCATAATTAGCGGCACCGGAAGGAGGGGGAGGAGAAGGGCTGCTATTCTGGATATGCGGGTGGTGTTCATGGTGGTGGTGATGAGAATGGTGATGGTAAGGACCGGTCGGTTGACCGTTTGGCGGGGTAGTGCGCGAATGCGAAGGCGACTGGGTCACCTCTGTGTCGTCTGCCATCGTGACCTGTCAAACCGCATCGTTTTGTGCTCTTCTGGCGATCACAAACTCTGCTTTCGCGGGTGGTTTTCGATGATGTGTGGTCGAGTGTGCAGTAGACGGAGGATGAGGAGGAGTGGAGAAAAAGGGTGGGCTTGTCACACGAGAAGATCCTGCAGGACAGAACAAGTCGAGGATGGCAAAGCTGAAAAAGATGGTCGCTAAACTCGTTACACAAGGCGTTAGAAGGATGGATTGGTGGTGAAGAATCCCTGATTTCTCGGGCCAACTGACAGACCTCTATGTGCGCAACAGACAATGAACCTGCGACATGCACATCATATCCCGTCTTCCCGCCCTTGGGGGCTCACGATTAAGGGCTGCCGACCGGAGCGGTAGTCCGGACAAGGCGGGGAGAATACTGTGTTGGTACAATGGAGGGGCAGAGAGGCTGAAGATTTCGATTATTATTCGGTTGGTGATCCGGCGGTGCCTGTGGATAGGCATATCCGCCCACCAAAAATAGCATGTGATTCCCCATTTCCCCCTACTGCAAGTAATTTGTACGTGTCCCGCGCAGTAGTCACAAGACAGTATACCTGTTCCTATCATCAAACTCCCGTCCCTGATACTATTCCAAGGCCACTCTAGAGAATGCGGGCGTACCCATGTGGCCAATCAATGCGAATAAGATACGTTGCCTCTCTCACGCAGACGATTGCTCTGCCTCCTTCTCCCGTTCGGCCAGCGACTTCTCGTCCCCTCCCTTGAGATATCCCTCATATTCACCAATTCGCTTGCCTCCTTCCTCCCATCGACGCCGGTACTCTGCCCTCCTCCACTCGCACAACTCATTGAGAGCCGGCCAATAGACGTCGTGGTCGTATTCGAACTCGACATGTCCCCCGCTTTCCTTGAGCAGCTGCTCACGTGGCACATGCAGTCCCATATCTTCGTTGAACTTGATCTTCTCTCTTGTCAACGGGTCAATGAATGGCGTGATCAGCTTGAAGAAGCCCCAGATGTAGAATGGCAGATTGGTGACGAGGGCGCGGCCGAGTCTCTCGGGGTAGTGATTCTGAAGGATGTGCAAGGTCTGCTTGCCCTGAGAAAGTGTCGCGCCTTGTCCAGATTTTGTCTCTGCAAAATTGATCAGCAGAGCGAGAGTCTCTTGCCCGGCTGGCATTAAATCAATAGCACGCTCCAGCATGAAGACCAAATGCTGGATTTGCCGGTCACTCCGCTCGGTGTTCTGTTTGGATGGGCGCAGGTATTGACACGTCCGGCCCTGAATATCCCATCCCAGAATAACCTGCTTTCCTGTCGCATTCTCAATGGAGATGTACTCCTTTGTGTGTTTCTCCAAGCCATACTCGCGTCGCCAGATCAAAGTATTTTTCAGCCTTGTTTCTGCTTGTGCCACGTTCCAGCTTGTAGCCCTCAGATAGCGGAGCAAGCATTCTCTTGTCAGGAACATGCGCTCTGAGTCGGTTAGGGGTGTCGTATTCGAGCCCTTTGCAGACGTCTCTGGGATCTCAGTCCAGGCGGACACGATCTTGAGAAGGCTTGCATACTTGTTCTCATGTTCTATTTCCAATGCTGGTCGAGAAGCGGGCTTAGAGGTCTCTAGAGGTTCGGCCAGTGGTGTCTTGATCACACCTTCAGCTGCGGTGCGCGGGAGGTTTAATGTCTTTGCCGGAGGGGGTGCAGGGAGTTCAGTCGTGGGTTCGACATCGGGACGCTTTTCTATCGTAACGTCATTCGCTGCAACGGCAGACTCGTTGATTTGTTGGGTTTGATCTGGAGGCTGTACTGTGGTCTGCGTGGTGGTCGGGGTGTTGCTGTCTTCAAGCTTCACTTGATGAATATTGGATGCAAGATCGACTGCGGCCTTTTCAGGATCAGTTGGCCCGCTGGGCATCGAGGGATTGTTCGCTACTTCAGCAGCCATTGCGACGCTGTGAAAAGAGGGAAAGACTCCGAGGAAAAGGATCTACTTGACCCTGGGGCACGTTTGGTTCACATTCTGAACGGGATTGAAATTCCAGAATAATAATTAATGGTTGGGGAAGTCGGTCAAGCTGGATCGGAAGCCCCTGTTGCCGGCCAGCCTGATCAAGCCACTTTCAACTATACCGCATTTATACAGGCGACCAAATATTAGGGGCATGGGCTACCAAAAATTGGAAATATCACTCGGGTTGCTCTAGTTTGATTTCTAGGTCTATGGAGCTACGGTTTGTAGCTTGTAGCTTGTAGTGTCGGGCACCCGCCATGCACAGCATCCTTCACCAGGTCAAAAAAAGGGCGTAAGGCAGTTTGTTGCTTAAAAACACTGGCTCCCGAATGGTCGAACGATTGTGTCGTCAGCACCTCCTGAGGATCTTATTGTAATTTATGCCATGTTCTCCATATGTGTCGCTTCTCAGATCTTGAGCTCCTTAGCGTCTGCTGGAGGTTGAGCCGCATCGTTCTGAGTGAGCTTGCGCCATTTCAGCCGAAGGAGTCGCTTGACGCCCTGCCACTCAGTTGGAGACTCTGGTCCTAGCATAATGTAGTCATGCCCGTCCTCCTCAAACATATCTGCACACCGGATTTGAAGCGTGTTGATCCAGTTGGGGTGAACGCTGATTTGGGCGTGGTGGACAATCTTTTGTTGCTTGCTATGTTCTTCGTCGAGATAGAATGGACCGCAGTACGCGATGGTCTTCATTGCTGCATTGGCCAGTTCTTGAGTAGTGCCGTCCTTCCAGTCATGGTCGAAGGATTCGAGGTCTGCCTCTTGTAGCAATGCTGCCATGTAGCCGTCCTTACTGTACATGATTTGACCTTTGCACTCTTTGCCCATTGGGTAGACGATGTCTTGCGGGTCCTCAAGATTGATGGCGACGTACGACACCAGGCCCCAGGTGCCAATGACGCGAGACCGGAATGATGGCATAGCGGTAGGTGATGGGGAGTCACTTCTATCAGACATGATTCTGGTAGAATTTGTGGTTCAAGGAATGAAGTTTTGTTCCTGGTCAGATGAAATGAAAGGGTGATTGTGGACTCATCAAGTATTGGATATGGAAGTTTAGTTGGCGGACATTAAATGAACGCAAAGATGTAATATAAGCGGAGGATAGAAGCGGCAGGAACTAGACCATAGCGGAGGAAAGAGCTTCCCGGACTTACCCAGGACCATGACTGCCATAGCATTCACTTGTCTATCACGCAGGTTCAGCAGGATGGGTATCCGACAGACAACCGGTGACACTGGACATGACACCTACAGAAGCGTGATTCCAAGGACAGTTAAGACCCAAGTGCACTGGAATAACGGTGCTGTTCCAGTAACAAAGCTGCTTCGGCACGAATTCTTGCCACCAGGCGTTACCATGTTGGTAGTCATGAGCGATGACAATTCACAAAGAAAGTGAAAATGAGATGAGAGAAACAAGAGACATTGATACTGCACATATTTAATTACCCGTAGTCATGCCGACGACAGATCGAGTTACGTAGTGACCGAGTAAAATTATCTACTCCGCCGTACTACAACATCATGCTGCATTTCTCTGTTCGAAGGTGTGTATGGATTCTAGCACCAGAGCAGGTCTCCGGTTTACAGGCAATCTTCCCAGTCTTGAGGTGGTATTGATTCTTGACGCGTTCTCACACATCGCCATACCTGAAGCTCCGCTCTCAAGATGCCGCCACCAATGCCTAACCCCGCGAAGCGGATGACTGCAAACCCTGCGCGACCCGTTGCAAGGTATCGTCCCGGCAAACCAATTGCGGAGGAAGAATCGTCTGACGAGGATGAAGAATCAGAGGAAGAGCAGCAGCAACCACCGCCACCCCAGAGGAAGCCGCCGACCACGAGACCACGGCCGCCTACCACTCAGCCACCTCGACAAGAGGAAAGCGACGAGGATGATGAGGAAGGCTTTGTTACAGAAGAGGAAGAGGATGATAATGCTGCGATTACAAAACATGTGCAACCGCCGCCTAAGGATACAGCACCTTCCACCAGACAGGCTCCGATAAGGCCGGAATCTACAAGAGAAGAATCTGCGGAAGACGAGGAATCAGAAGAAGAGGAGTCCTCAGAGGACGAGGAAGAGGAGGAAACCTCGTCCGAAGAAGAACAGCCTCGGCGAAAATTCCAGCGCCCAACATTTATCAAGAAATCGGATCGGAAACCTTCCACACAAGTCTCTGATGCCCGTCCTGAAGCATCTGCAACCCCAGACCCGGAAGTAGACGTCCAAACCCGGCGTCTCGCCCAAGCTGAACTTCTAATAAAAGACAAACTCGAACGTGATGCCCTTGCCCGCGCCCAGGGCAAAAAGGCATGGGACGACGATGACGAGATCCTGCCGGAATCCATGGTGGACGACACTGACGGTCTCGATCCTGCCGCTGAATACGCAGCCTGGAAACTTCGGGAACTGAAGCGCCTGAAGCGCGACCGGGAGGCACTGATTGCACGGGAAAAGGAGCTTGAAGAGATCGAACGGCGGCGCAATCTGACTGCGGAGGAGCGGGAGAAGGAAGACCAAGCATATCTGGAAAGACAGAAACAGGAGCGTGAAGAGGGTCGTTCCGAGGCCACGTTTCTGGCACGATACCACCATAAAGGCGCATTTTTCCAGGGTGACGAGACGGCCGAGTTGCTCAAGAGGAGAGATATCATGGGTGCCAGGTTCGAGGATCAGGTTACCGACAAATCTACTTTGCCCGAGTACATGCGGCTGCGGGACATGACGAAACTAGGGAAGAAGGGAAGAACAAGATACACTGATCTCAAAGGTGAGGATACTGGCCGCTTTGGGGATGAGGTGAAGAGATGGAAGGGCAGTGGTGGTGCAGGACCAAAACCCGGGTCAGGGGCATTTGACACGAGAGGCCTGGATGAGCGGTTTTTGCCCGATGATGATCGAGGGGGTGGGAGAAACGGCCCTACTGGCGCAAATGCAAGTGCTGTTGCGCCCCGACGTGACGACATGGAGAGAAACAGAGACTCGTATCGAGACTCGTACCGGTCTCGAGACAGTGGTCGTGATCAGCGGGACGACAGAGACTGGAACAGAGACCGACGGAAACGCTCATATTCGCGGTCGCGATTGGGCTCTCGCTCCCGGTCCCGCTCTCCTCGACGGCGGAAGAGGGAACATTCGTACGAGCGGGACTCGAGAGATCACGGACCCTACAACCACCGACGAGACAACCGTGCGAAGGTCTGAATAGCGATCTGCTTTTCATGTACATGGTGAACTAGGAGCGATTCAACCACCTTGGGATGGGGTGGTGATGTTCAACGACGTGGCGTTGACTCGGAATGCAGTGTACCAAGTACAGAAGAGAAATAAAAGGGAACAAGAAGCAGAAACTTATACACCTTCTCCTGTACAGGCGGACAGTCACCAATACAGAGTTCCGAGTTCGGACATGTATTGAACACAATCCAGAATTTCCGTCCCTGTGCAGTAAATGAGCGGGCAGCAGAGCGCAGCGAGTGACCTTCTGAGAACCATTTAACATCCCTGCCGAATGTGTTATAGTCGTTCTCCTTCCCTCCCTCACTCTCTTTCTCTCTTCAAGAGAAGAAAAGACTTGATCTTTAAACGTTGTATTCATCTCTTCCTCGAGTCAGCCAGCCAGTCGCCAGTTCATGACCGTAGCTGTGTATTTCTCGTCTGAGATTGTTACTCTCCTACCAAGGGACCGACCGACCAATCGACCCAGTCCGCTGTAATGTAGTTGCTCGTAGCTAGCCACTAGGTAGCTAGCTAGCTGATAGATACCCGGCAGTGTCTAGGGATACAGCCAGCCCGAAGACGAGAGAACTTGATATTGTCATTGCCTGTCTTTTGCTGGCCAGAGGACAGAGTATCCAGCAGCCTTTCTCTCACAGCGGAGTCATGGTTCCGTGCCAACCCAACACTTCGACAATTTCCGCTCCGTTAAAAGTTCCGAGTCCCATCTATTTCAGAGCTGTCTATCACCGCCCCTCCTATTCTTGTTCCTGTTCCGTGTTTCTCACTGTGCTGTGCTGTGAGTGAACCCACCCGCCCGTATCACAATGTGGCACGCGAACGAGTCAGACTCTCTCAATATCAATCAATAAATCAAACGCCGGGACGTCGCCCGCCGCTCTTTTCGTTTCGGTTGACAGGAGCCAGCTGCCACATGGCCAAACAGGTTTGACGTTTGTCTCTTGCGTTGGCCGTCACCTCGCATCCATCCAAACACGGGATGCGGGGGATTGATATAAAGATGCGTGGACCCAGGACCTGTTTCTGCTTTCTGCTTCGATCAAATAGCTCATTCTTGCCTCGCGAATATCATTATACCTCTCTCTCTCTCTCAATGCAACAAGCCTTCCTAGAAACAAGTCTGCCCGAGCCTCCTCGAAAGAATCATAATATAGCAACACCGCTGAACTCTGAGCAATCTCTGAGAGACTCTGGTAAGCTTTTGCCTGATTCTGGTTCTGCACGGAAGCCAAGCGCTTCGCGGTCAACCACAAGAAACAGGAGACTTGACATTGATAAAAACATGCAGAAAACTGTATCAAAATGGCCGACACCAGATCGTGGATTCGTTTCCCAGACGAACAGTCAAATGCTGTGCTCTGTGCGAGTTCAAGATTGCCCACACCACCACCAGGCCTTCGGGCAGGCCCAACTGCCCGCCCAGAGCCGTTCAAATTGATGATGTCCCCAATCGATCCGCACACTCGGGCCGCGCCTTGCGCAGGTCCGGGCATGGACAAACCTGTCTCTGGTTCGTTGCAAAACTGATAATGCACAGGTGTTCGCGCTGACAGCTTTAAACAGGCATTTTCACAATCGATCCCATCCGGCCTAACACTCCTCCTCCGGAGCCCCAAGGTAGCAGCTAGACCGCTGCTGGTTGGCTTCAAATCCTCATGTGCCACCGAAATACGCTGAGTGTAACATGAGGGGATCGATGAGATCGAGTGTATAGAGTTCCAAGGCTGGACATCGGGAAACATAATATGATAATGGTGTGTTGTGTTAGGAGTCGTAGAGCAGCTGGAAGGTGGTTGTGAAAAGTGTCGGCCATGACAGTTGGACAGTGGCTCCGTACAGCAACGTTAGGGAGGGATCTGGGCCAAAATTCGCAGCGCGGGCACAGCGCTACATCCCTCGGGCTGTGCCCTTGGCTGACACCATCATTGCAGATAGTTAGCGATAGTTACCCCTGCCACCACGTTTCCTCCGTCCTCTTTAAGTTCTTCTTGGACTTGTCCATCTTGCCTTAGCATCGTAAAGTGGTTGGTAACCTCGCTCCTGAACTTTTAGTTTCCTCACTTGACTCCCTGCCTCTCCAGCTCCCGCTCCCGTTCCATGACGCTTTCGTCAAACTTGATCAGAAACACGGTCCGGTTTGGCCACACGTCGGTGCCTGTGTTGTGTGCGCTGGCCTTACAAGAGAAGCCTGCGCCATCACACACGCCCTCGATAATTCCCGCAATATATGCCGCCACGCTCAACTGGGACATCTCCTTGGGAACGGAGATGTACTGGTTCGTGAGCGGAGTGTTGTCGATGATCATGTACTCCCCCGGGTTCGTCGTGGACTGTTCGAGCGAGTCTGCGGGACGGGAGAATAGTAAAGGGTAGAGCTTGGTGGTCAGAAGCGTCAAGAGGGGCAATAGCCTCAGTGGTCGACTGGCCCCTGCTCCGGAGCTACTAGTCGACGACCCTCCACTCGACGAACTCGAGCCACCCATCGGCGACGCCCGATAAAGCAAAAGATCCAGCAGCTTCAGTCCCAGGGGATAGCCCTGTTCGTTCAGTCTCTTCTCAAAGTCCTGGATCCCCTTGACCCGCTTGTGTGCGTACGCGACCATCTCCATAAACAGGTAGGCGAAGCTGGCTCTCGACAGTTCGGCATTGCGCGACCGGTTGAGGTTGCGGTCGTAGATGGTCTTGCGGGTCGACGGGTAGCGCAGGGTCGAGGCCGATGTGATGCTGGTGGGGGTGCCGGACGTGCGGTCTGGGAGGGGAGTCCCGGCTACAGTGGACGAGGCAGAGTATTGAGAGAGATGGCGAGAGGGGGAGCTGGTGTGTGACGGCGGGTAGTTTGAGAGGGATGGCGGAGCGGCGGCCATGGCCTGAGAGGTGCGTGTTGATGAAAGAAGCAGCAGCACCAAATGACCCCGGCGAGTTACCTATAATATCGTACCGGTGGTCAGTGAAGCGAATTGGTCTGGGAGCGATCACTTCAAAAGGTTGTGATGCTGCAGTCAAAAGGCCGTTGGTGGCTGAAATAAGCGTTGATGCAGCCACTCTGTGGCGTCCAAGTTTTAACGAGGCTCCTAGTAAAGGGACGGGACTCCACCCTGCATGGATGTCAATTGCCCATTACAATACTTCGCACTCTCTAACAGCTAAACCTACGCAATCCCGCCATGTCCCTCGCATGCTCATGTAACAAGAGGTCCGGGCGAGGAGATATGTTTGATATGCGTTTGAGAGATGGGGATAGATTCGCAGGAGGAACTTGAGGTTCGGAGAGCACACGAGTTCCCCTTCGACCTCTGTAAGTCCATGGTATATCTAGAGCGGTAGAACGCACTATATGTCTTCGAACATCATGTCCGTCATCGTGAAGATAGATTTCTCGTCCAAACACAACGGCATCTTCACCCCCAGAACCTAGGTCTGAGCTGGTCTGCGTTGCGCTGCGCGCCTGCTCATAGGCTACGTGCATCTATATCAGCATCCAGTGGCTGACATGTAGGACTCGTCTAGATCATCCCTTGCTGGGTGCTTCCTTGACTGTCTTTTCGCCATCCCATTCGTGAAATGCCTTTTGTCGTTGTCTAGAGTTCCACTGCAATGTCCTTGAAATGCTGTTGACCCAATCTTCACTTCGACGTCCCGGTGGCATGACGTTGGCAAATGGATACCGTGATGCCGAAATGGTCACATAGTCGCCTGGAAATAGTTCAATTCTGTCATCGAGTCAGTTCAATGCCTCCACGATCCGAGACCACGCCAATGAAATGCTCTTTACCTTTCACGCCCGTCGAAACTTGCCCACGAGTTCGATCTCGCGTCAAATGGAACTCCCAATCGAAGAACAATGGTGTCAGGAAGAATGATCGGTCGGAATGATAGAGTATGGGCACAAATGGCCGTGACGAGAATAACAGGATTCTCTGGATGACACAGTGAACCACCAGCGGCAAGATTGTAAGCAGTGGATCCCGTGGGAGTGGCCACACAGATACCATCTGCTTGCACAGTCGTAAGGTGTTCTTCATCCCCGAAAAGTTCAATGGTTGACATAGTCGGATTCGGACCTCTATCAACCACAATGTCGTTCAGAATCTCAAATGTCCGGTCCGGTCTATGCGTGTTCCGATCTTCGGCTTCCTCCCCGATCAGTTCCTCGACGATGTCTCGGCATTCTGCATCGTCGACACGCCTGTTGGTCCGCATAACAGTGCCTTCGAATCGCAGCCTCAGGCTGATCGTTACGCCGTCCTTTAGGGCCTGCGATAGAGTGTTCTGGTAGTCTCCAAAGTCGAATTTGGTGAGGAATCCCAATGAACCGAGGGCAAAGGACAGCACTGGCGGGACCACTCGCTGGAACAGCCAGCTCGCATAGAGGACGGTCCCGTCACCGCCAAGTGTTATCACAAAGTCGAATGTATGAGGGTGCCTCCGAGCCAGCTCGGCATCCCAATACCTCAGACGCTCTCGAAACGAAGGGTCCTCGGCACAAATACCCTCTGCGTCGAACGCCGGGTTGTCTTTCAAGCTGTCCTCGACATAGACAATATAAGGTACAGACCTATCTTTGGACAGCAACCACCTCGTCACCTCTTTCGTCTTGGAAATCAAGGTCTTGTCATATATCTTTGTGAGCAGGAAGATGGCCCGAACCCTCAGTCTGACCTTTAGGTTGCCCAGTCTCTTCGCCATCGTCCTCACGCTCATGGCCATATCACTCAATTGTTTCTTAGTGAGCAGGCGGGACTCGGTCGCGCGGATGTCGTCTTTGCCCGAGCTCGGACCGTTGACATCCAGCTTCGACGGAGGCTCGATCTCGTCGATCTGTTCGAGCTTGGATTCGACCTGGGGTTGCTGTCCTAACGAGCTTTTCTCGACCAGCTTGTGGACCAAGCACTGAGACTTGGTGCGCTCGGCCTGGATCCGCTGTGGCCTCTCGACCGCAGGGGTTTCCGCGAGCACGGTCGAGGATTTTCGTCGGCGCGCGACATCATTGTCAAAGACAACCTGGAGAAAGGAAACGAATTAGGTGATGGACACTTCAGCATGCGGGCATGGGCAAACTCACTTCGATCTTCCTGTTGTAGTCATCCTCGCTGCTAGAGCCGTCCTGTCGCTGCGCGCACACCGCTGTCAGTACCATCACGTCTCGACTTGTGAAACTTGGACATACATCGTCAGGGAGCACCTCGCTTATCCGGCGGCTCACTTGCGGAGCATCTCTTGAGCTTGACATGACAGAGATCGGGAGGGAGACAGAAAGGACGGTGGAGGTGGCAGCAGCTCTCTATTCTCTACGTCTTCATTAGCGTTACATCTGTACCCGGGCAGCTTGTGTCATTTTCGTGGTGAACGTTTTGGCTCAATCCGTCAATGTGCCTGCGCTGTCATCCAATGACGCACGAAAAGTCGCACTGAGCGTTGCCCCACCATGGCACTTATGTAAGATGGACTAAACGGGGTTGATGACTAACCTACCTGCTTTGGGAATGCAACATACGAGCACTCGTATATCTAACAGCTGGTTACCTGGTCAAGAAATTCTAGTTCTCGAACTGAACAGAGCTGAACAAAGCCGAGCTGAAGTCAACGGAAAGGAATCGAGTCACTACACTGGACAATATCGTCGTGGAATTAAAAGGGTATTATGCTATCCGTAAATTGGTGACGCTGCTATCATCACACCTCAGCTCCCATTACGGACGAGAATACATCCATAGCTAAATCATGCATTCATTGGGTATCATATTTTGGGCACTTCTGTCGTTACTTCATAATTTCGTTCGCCAGGAGATCGCCAGCCCTGTTCTTAAACGGCAGGCACGGCAGAAGTTGGTCCTTCAGAAGACGGAACTTGTACAACGTGACTGGATAGATCGGCCGCCGTTTTCAAGTTCATGCCGGGAAATCCCACCGAACCGTGTTGTTTCTCAGTCTCCTCAACCAGAACCTTGACCGGCGAGCTGCTCTGGGAAGAAGCAGAGTTAGAGTCTTGAGACACCTCGCTGGAGGGAGTAAGGTCGAATTCCGACACGCCCAATTCATCGTCGTCAAACAGTCTGTCAGACCGCTGCTCTATCTCGGCCATCTGCTCTGGATCGAGATGGTCCTTGGTTCGGTGGATAGTCTCCTCCAGGCCCGCAACGACTGCTGTTGTCACTTTTGGCATTTCCACTTCTGCCTGAGGAGGTGGAGGTGGGTCAACAGCTTCATAAAACAGCATGAAACCGTTGCCCCGAGCGAGGACTTCCTCTTCTGACATCTTGGCAACCCGTTCGTCGTTGAAAGAATACCAATCTTTGTGTCGTTTCCCGAGGGCAATGTAGTGACCGTCATGATGGCTCCCATAATGCGTCACAACGCATTTCAACTCGAATATAGCCTCGACAGAACTATCGCTCTTGTCGAGAGGAGCACACCATCGGCTCAGGAAATGCAACCGGGCAGGCACTCGGACGTGAGCGGTGTTTTTGAGCTGGTTGCCATAGTTGTCGAAAATACTGCGGTTGATGTGAAGAACCAGATCTTTGGGTAGCCGCGCGACAGTGATCTGTTTGGCCTTGGTCCTCAAAACTGGCTTGCTTTTTTTCGCTGGCTCGGCATCGGATTGCTCTGGCCTCTTGTCCTCCTCTTCTCTGGAGGTCATCCCGCCATTTGCCAACTTTGTGCAATTCACACATTCAACCCCTTCAACCTCTTCTGGTGCCGTATATTCATCAAGCAACTGTTCAACATCACAAGCTCCCTGCAATCCCAGGTTCAAAGTCAGGCAGTTGAACTGCGTTAGGGACAGACCCTCGGTGAAGCCACAAGTCCTGCACTCCAGACATTGTGCGGTCATGCCGTCGACGGGATTCCGAAGCCCGCGCTCCTTCAAATATGGTGCTGGATCGCCGATTCTCGCAGGCTGTGAAGCCCCAGAACCCTGCTCTTCTTCACGTGTGTCCGTCACAGAACCTCTCTGCTCAGCTTTCCTCAGGCATTCCAGACCTGCAGTTGTAGAACGTTTCATTCTGTTGACATATTGATTGGCCTCTTTTTCAACGGCGTCGAGAATACGTGAGAAATATTCCTGAGCATCCTGCTGTTGCCAGCTGTCCATAGATTTGAGGATCCTGGGGGTCCAGAGAACCTTGGTCCGAGAGTTTGGATCGGATAGTTGTCCCAGAAAGTCCACCAAGGCCTGATGTGTGGCTGCTGGAGAATCATACCTCTCACAAGAATCCAGGCTCTGTTCTAAATATTCGATGAGAGCCGGCAAAGAAGCCAAACCCTGCAGCACGCTGTTTTGGTAGCAGGAGTTGTCCCAGTTTCCCAAGCCAGGAGGGCCCGTCTCGTGGCCCAAAGACATGTATGACCCCGACAAACTCCTAGCCTTCCGAAGTGCAAGGGGCAACTGTGGTTGTCCCAGTATGAGTTTGAACGCCTCCTGTTTTGCAACCATATCCCCAAAGTTTGCTCTCTTGAACTTGGCATCCTCCGGGCTCAGACGACCCAGGTGAACCAGGCCGTACTGCATAGCGTAGATTAGGTGGGAAGGCGTTATAAAGACGACGAATTCGTAGACTGCTCTTTTGATCGTCGAAGGCCAAGCGTCAAATAAGGACAAGGCATAATATCCCAGGAGCAACAACGCAAGTGTGGAAATGATCTTGGTCTCGGTTGGGTAAGACGTCAAGCGATGGTCTGACGGCACCTCGTAGAAGGGGCTCTCGTTTGCCCTAACCGGGAGGTTGTTCATGTCGAACTGGGGAATGCGAGACGAGGGCGGACAAGAAGGCGCAGATGAGGTGAGGGTTCAGTAGATGCTTTCCCATCGGTGAAAGTAGGACGCGAGTTAACTCTTGGTCTAGAGAATCGAGAGGTATCCGAGTCGGGTCCGGGAGTGCGAATAGAGCGGCTTTTCAGATGACGAGTGAAGTGATCTTTGTACGACTTTGCACGTTCAGATCTCGGAAAGGCTTGGCGGCTGCGGAGGATGATGCGAGGATAATAATACAAATTACGAGGCGCTAGCCATTATAGCGCCTGGTAAAGGTACTCGGTACTCAACACCAGTGAAGATTCATCACAACATAATCTCCCAATTCGAATAGCATTCTTTCAGCAGATGATAGATTCTGCCTGCCGCTGAGAGCAAGGAGGACCACAGTACATGAGTACGTAGACTGTCAGGAATACAAGAAAGGCTTCGAGTCTTATATCTAATCCCCATCCTCTAAAGCTGCAGATTTGCGCTTCATTGTATTTCTAGTTCTAGCTGAGGCCGGAACATCAGGATCATTTTCTGCTGTGTTGCTCAATCCCCATGCTGTCTTCATTGGAGAAACCTGATAGTCGCAATCAGAATCAGTTTGAGGCACGGACCTACTTGGATCCCTTTTGCTCAGCTCTGTGGCGTCTCTGGCGTCTCGTGATATGCGTCGTCTTTCCTCCAGCTCTCTCATCGCTCGTTCGGGGGTGCCAGTCACATTTTTGATCCACCACCTCTCCCACATCCAGTCCAGAGCCTGCTCTGTCATTTTTCTCATATACGTCATATTGGGGATGTCAGCGTGTGTGACTTGATGGCGGAGATCAACAAATGTCTGTGGCATCCCGATCATGGCGGCGTAAGCATACATGGAGCTTTCCCCTTTGGTAGCACTTGCAGAGAATTGGGTCACTTCCCCTCGCTCGGGACTATCATCTCGAGCCATTTCGGCAGCAGACGAACGTGCGACATCACGGTCAACAAATCCATTGACGAACCTCGCAAACGCCATGGCATATATGCTCTGCATGGCCAGGTCCGAGATGCCCGTGCCAGATAGTGACCTCCTTTGTTCATCGTGAATCAAAGCATCCGTTAAGCTCGCCGTGGCTACCAGCGCTGAAGGAAGTTGGCCAGCCTTGAACAACCAGAGATTGACCCTGTCAATAGCACGCCGCCTCAGGTCTTGCGGAGTTGGGGATTCGGCTGTAGAATATAATTCCTGTTTCGTCTTCGCGGGAAAGAACCAGTCCCGGACCATGGCCAATTCCGAGTCGTGTCGCCATGGTGGAAATTGCATAGTCATGGTGCTGAGGGTCTCAGAGCGGAGGAGATACGGGCGAATGACTGGATCTGTGTGATTTAGGACTATACTCTTCGGTTCACACCAGGAATTGGAGAGACAGGAGGAATAAGCGAATCAGGTTGTAGTTATCAAAAAATTGTTGGGAGAGATGATATGGAGGTGATAGTGAAGACGAGCATGTTGAAACACGTCCTTGCAGGCAGAGACTGTAAGTTTCATGCAGGATTTCGCTCAACAGCTACTGGTTGACCCTCTGTAGAAGAGCCCTTCATATGACCAAACGAAAGGGAAAAACTGCCAAAATCCGAGACAACGAATTGGGTGTGGTGGTTGAGACATTCACGTGACTCGCAGGATCTCTGACCAATAGTAGGCGGGCCTTGTTAGCCAAGTGGGGGCCGTGCATGTGCCATGCTCCTATTGGCTGACAGTCAAGTACATCCCTCGATCTACTAGAAAAAGATAACTGTGTTGCCCGACGTCGAGAACTACTAAACATTGAAAACGTTGTCCGTTTCATCGTGTGCATGTGCATTGAACCCATTGCACTAATGTGTTCTTTGAGGAAAATATGATATCTTCAAAAATCCTAGTAATCTAGATTATACATGGGCCTGATGATCCGTTTAAGGTCATCACATAGAGGGGTATCATGGCTCTATAAGAACAATGTGTGGAACGCTGCAAATGTGCCAACAGCACCAATGCCATTTCCCAAGTGGCTGGTCATTACTGTCATCAAGTCGTCAAATTCAGGCCCAGCCGTAAGAATGCCCCGAAGGGTAGTAGGCACTATTCAGTTGCCTCAGAGTCGAAAGATACTTCATTGCCAGGGAATCTGGCTGCGCTTGCATCCCAAATATTAGGTGATCCGCGATAGATTGGCCCTCGTACTCGGCAGTGTCGGAGGTATCACATGGCTGAACGTCATCCTCGGCCTCCTGCTGCGCGTCTTGTTGATTCATCTCATCCTCTTCGGCATCTTCTGAGTCGGCGTCTTCCTCTTCTTCGTCATCCTTCTCCACTGGTTCAAAAGACTCTTCCAACTTCAAACCTTTTCTGGTCGAGGTTGTAGAGCCACCAAAGAGAAGGCACGATGATTGAACTTCAGCAGGTGAGTCGTACAAGCCCATACCGACCAATTCCTCCGAATCATCGTTCGATTTCGAGTCCTTGTTCCCAAGGGATAATGTGTCAAGCCCAAAATTCTGCAGTGGGAGAGAGTCCGGCGAGGATGGTGCTGTCTGTACATTGGGCGCCATGATAGCCTGATCGTCGAAACCCCATGTTGGATGTGCGAACGATTGTTGAGGATAGAAAGGAATTGAAGTAGAGTTCGGCTTCATTTGTCCTTGACCATACCACATGTTGTCAAGGTAAGGTTGATCCTCGTAGACTAAAGCTGGATCTTGGGATGGGAGTTCATCAAGCGGCGTAAAAGCTTCTGGTATCTGGGGTTCATTCATGGCCGGATAAGAGATCGGAGTGATAAGGCCGTGGACTTGAGCTGTCGAATAGTTCCAGGTAGACAAGTCTGGTTCATTGGCAACGGGGTTGACGGTCGTCGAGTTGACCGCCTCGAAAGAACTCGGATGCCAACTGAGGGGTCGAGAGCGAGGCATCTCTGTGTTCTGCCACTGTGTGCTGGAGCGGAGATGGTCGACGACGGACCGAGTTCTCGAGGCAGCAGCTGCAGTCATCGTTTGCCTTCGCCCCGAGGTTCGTGGACTGCTATTCCTGCTGTTCGATTTGACCACTTTGTTGGGCCGGACAAAATAAGACGACACATTGGTTGAGACTGCAGGATTGTAGAACATTTCGGGAGGAGAGGAGTGGTATTGCTGAAGGGTTTCCATGTTCACAACAATAATGGCGGATGGAAAGAAGTGAAAGAATCGGGTGGTCCCAACAGTCCATATCTATTCCCTAGTAAAAAGGACAAACGATCTCGTGGCAAGGGCCAGGTGCATAGTGGATATTTGTCCAAAGGGAGACAAGGCAAGATTAAATTGGTACATCACTCGCGGCGAGGGAGAGTTGGCTGCTGCAAGCAGTAGCCAGAGTTAGTCAATACAAGTTATATGGGTCAGGGTTTGACGAGGGTGGAATAGTTCGACCCAAAGCCAGGGTTTGGCGAAGGTAGAAGCGCAAAGCCAAAGCATGACGAACATGACTCCAGGACAGGTACCGGCAGGGGATGGGGTCTATTGGCGGGTTGCAGTGGATGTACTTAGGGTTAGAACCAAGGGGAAGCGATCAGGCGAGATGCATCAAGAAAACGGGCGGCTGCGGTAGCGTAGGATGTGGAAACCGGGGCAAAGGGGAATGGAATGGTGGAAATCGGGAAAAGCCTGGGTGGCCAGCCCTAAGCTGAGGTATGGTGCGCCTCTCTGCGACAATCTGATGGCCGAGGTGATCTGAAAAGAAACAAGTCCCACACGAGGTTAAGGAATGCAGTGCGGCAAGGGGCCCTATCGACGGAGCGAACGGAAATGGTACGAGGAGTGTGTAGGCTGTTACGGTCAGAGGATGGATTTGACGGGATGACAGTTTTTTGACCGCTGCACTGATGGAAATTCGCAGCAGCCTGGAACCAAGGCTGTCAGACTTGTGTCAGGAGCCACGGGCCATACGTGGAGGTCAAAGCGAGGTCGAGGTGGACAAGTATCAAAAGTAGGCTATCCTTTAAGCTCCAAGTTTGCTGATGAGTGGGCACAGTATCCAGAGGGCGCCAGAATCATTCCGCATAACAAGCAGAGGGGGTTTGAGGTGGCTCAGCCTGAACCTGGTCAGACGCGGGAAATAGGGAGGGGAAAAGCGCGGAGGTGGCCAGGCAAAAAAAAACTCGTCTGATGCATATTGCACAGCCAATGCGGTGGCGGAAGTCTGAGGTTGGAAAGGAAACGCGGCCGGCGGACACGGGATGACGCGGTTGCATTTCTCGATTGTTGCATGTTTTGATGGAGAAGAAAAGTCAAACAGGCACGACAGGGTCGAAGGAGAGCCAAAGACGGCGCAGGGATGCATGATCATTTGGTACCGCTACGTTTGTTCCTTGCTTCCTTGGAGGCGAAAAAGATGGTGAGGCGGGTGGTCACAACTGATTTCTCAACACTGGCGCAACAATCCTCCATGCTCGTGTTTAGTGTCTCGTATGTCAAAGCCCAGCTCTTGCGGTGCCGCATGGTCTCCCTCGTAAAATGGACTAGGTTAGGGTTGGGGTGAATGATCGCGAGAGCAGGAAGGATGAGGGAGAAGTTTGGCCGGGTCTTTGGTAGCTTTCGTCAATATGCCAGCTAGATTCAAGGTTAGCCGCCATCCATCGGGTCGGGAAGGGTTTCTGAAATTAGTGGAGTGGACCTGGGCAGGATGGAAGCAAATGGGGGAACATTGTCCAAGTGTCAGAACAAGGGTTGAGGGAATGTGGGACGATGGGCACATTCAGGAAATGGGGATGAGCATGGCGCCCACACAAAAGGAGAGACAACGGTCCAGAGACATGAGAAGGTCGAAGAAAGAAGAAAACGGGCCGAAGGGGGGCTGCCATGTGGGGTGGAGACCAGGAATGTGCATTTGGGGCTTTTGCAATAGAGATGCAATTGAACTACAAGGATGGACAGGGATCGATTACCCGTACAGTTGTAGTTTGTACCCAGTACTCCGTACATGCAAAGTTGGGTTGACAAGGGTCAAGGGGGAGGAGTGGATTGTGTGCCAGTGTTTCTTGGCACAAAGGGTCACAGTGCGTGCCAGAAATCCCCTTGGCTTACTGTATTATTGCTTGTACGAGTCCCTCGTACGTACTTGTAGAACATAACGAGAGTGAGCAGGATGGGTGGCGGCCCCGTAAAACCCCGGGACACTTCCCCAAACAGGTAATCAATAGGCACCCAAGGCACCATGCAGGGAGTAGTACCTAGGCGGCACGATCAGAGAAATATCAAGGCATCAGCGGTATCAGGCGAGAGAGCGACCAACTAGGGAAAAGATGGGCAGTTTCGATCATGTCTGACTTCCATTGCTCCCGTCCACCACCGCCTCGTACACGCAGCTGGCCCATGGACCACTAGGATGGGGCAAGGATGGAATGAGCGAGAAACATACAAAACCAAGTTGACGGTGTGAAGGTGTCTGTGCATGATGCAGCCCGCAGCCCGTAGCCCACAACCAGCCCGCAGCTCACGACTCACAGCCCACACTTCAGCAAAGCCCCCCAGCTTCCAGGCCTGGCCCAGGCTTGAAGCTGCGACTCTGATCCCTTGGTCAGGCGTGGATCACCGGCACACGGCAAACTGCATGGCCAACTTTAAAACAGGATCAGCTGTCTTCCCAGGCGGCGGTCGGGTGCTTTTCCCGGAAATGTCATTGGACGGTTCCGAACCACGAGAAGAGAGTTGGGCACGTCGGAGATTTCATGATTCTGAGGAGTACGGAGGACGTGGGTAAGGGTTGCAAGGGTGGCTTTGGTGGATCAGCTCGCCTAGAGGAGGCGACGGGGAAAGGGAGACGATAGTTGTGAGAAGAGGGGAGAGGGAACGATGATGTGAGGATGGTGTGTGGATGGGCGCAGGCGAGGAGGGGCAGCTCGAGGCCTCAATCCCTGAATGAAATCATGTCCAGAGTTACAGAGTGGGGAGTACCTACCCGACCCAGAGGGAGGAGGATGCCTGGGAGGACTACCTGGGACTCGTTCTCAGTGTCCCTAGTAGTCGTGCCTAGTTAAGGGAATCTTCAACTAGGCGCCTCCGATGTACTAGTGGCTTAATTGGGTATAGGTACTCGTAGTGTTTCTCCCTTTGATCGACTTGTTTCTCGTACCTGTACAGGTTAGTGAAATCTCTAGTGTCCCCTGAACATGCTCATACCCAGTACTTGCTGGTGTCTTGCCATCAATCTCTCCACATTGGTCCATCCCGTCAAATGGAGAATCGAAAATCTCGAAAAGTGTGCACCCAGTGTGTGATGTCTTCCTTCTGACTCCCCCACCTGCACCGCGCCTCTGGCCGCACCACTTCTTCCAATCCCTTTTCACGCCAGCCGCTCCTCTCCCTGGATCCATCCCTGTGGAGTCAGCGCTCACTTCGCATATAACCAACCAGAGTCAATGGACCCCTCTCCATCGCAAGAGGTGACCCGACATTGACCTGCCTCGTCTTCCCTTCTTGATCGAGATATGTTTGTGAAACCCTAATTCCCCTTCTGCTACTCCTATGAATAGCCAATAACAAACTACAGAGTCTTCGGATCTTCCTTCAAGCTCGGCCCAGGTGCAGACCGCCAAAGCCAGCTGACACCAACAAACATCCCTCTCATTCTCCTCGGCGATCTCAGTCTAAATCGCTAAACCTACGAGTACCATCATTGAATCGACCTGCTTTTCCTGGCCAGACAACCAGTCTGGCCAACAAGACCTATGAACATCGATCACCATTGCAAGGTCCACTTTAAAATGAATAATACATGAGTGGTGTGTGTGTGTTCCACAGGTTCCTTGTCGATGGCTGTCACACAAATCGGGTTTTTGGGAGCACGACGGGTCCTGACTCGCCCTTGCAAATTCGATACGAAGCGCCATGGGCTTATTAGCACAATTTTGGAAGTGTTGGCTTGGGCTGGAATCAGAAATGCACCACTGATCTCCACTATCTGACAAGTTTGCTGTGTACCCTGAAGGGTAAGCTTCAGGCCACAAGGGCTGACGCTCCCAACGCCGAGCAACAATACTCCGAAATGCGCTGCCATTGAATTGTCCGAGTACCTCCTCTGTGGCTTGCAGGGCTCGCAAACGCGTCATTTTACCTCGCTACGAGCCTACCCTTCCCATTTTTCTCATCCGCATTCTCACAGATGAGACAGTCACAAAAAATGCCAGGTGACAAGCCTCGAGTCCTGTTCGCAGCCTCCGTGCTGAACACAGACCTCGAGATGTCAAACAATCGGCCGTCGATTTCCTTGTGTGTACCCGCATGCAACGCTCATATTTCATCCGTCTGCATCAATGGACAGAGGACGTTCTGGAGGAATTGCCGGCATGGAAAGACAGTCACGAGCTGGAACAATCAAAAGTTGAAATGGCCAAACCCTCCCAAGTACTCGTAAGGAACCTGCACCAGGACTAAGTCCGTGGAGACACTGCCGGAGACAGTTGTGGTCCATATCGGAGATCGCGCCAATAGCAAGTGTGTAGGGTAGGTTGCTCTACTCGTAAACGACTGGTTTTGTGAGGGCCAGCCCAGCCCTTATTTTCTCGTCCTGATTCAGTAGTCGGGACGTGCAGACGACGGGCGTTGCGACAAAAGCAAATGGGACCCATTGCCGTCCCTAGATCCGCGTTGTCGTCATGGTCTCCTCGCCGCCACGGCCTTCCAGAGGGCATATCCTTCGAGTCAACCCAATGCGTCGATTCGTCCAAGAAAGCACACGTCTGGTGGCGAGGACCAGGCCTTGCTGAGCGGGACAAGAGAATTGACGATCAATTAATGTGACGATCAGGATTGCCCCGTACGAGATACTTGTACCTAGGCTACCCCCTACATGGGCCGTTTGACCTCAGTGGATACCCAAGTACAACATCGGCGGCAAAAATGATGGATGTACTCCGTACAAACGGAACACTTGTCCTCGTACGGAGTCCCAACTGGTGCAATAGGGGTTCTTCAGGTAAGAGGGGAACTGGGGTCCAGCGCTATTGTTGATCCACACTAATAGGCCTCCCGGATGCTCTACTTTTACGAGTAACTCCACTGTCCACGTTCTCAGCTCTCCCGATCTGTACCCCTATCAACATTACTATCCTCGTCTAGGCTAACAGAGAAGTGGTACGCGACGCCAGCGGACTGTCTTCCGTGGCTCCCAT